TCTTTAAGCATGATATAGAGAAGACAAATCTGAGTGTTCGGCTTGTTATAGAGAAGATATTGATCCACATCTCTCAGCTTCCTTAATTCACCCCCACAAGTCCCATCGGGAATTGATTTTGCTCATACTCTGGTTCCAGTCCTTATACACACACTTAAAAAAAAATGCATGAAAATTTCATGAAACACAACCATGGAGAAAACAGAACCATGATGTGAAAAAAAAATAATGAAGAAAAAAATTGGCATTTCTTTTTTTTTTGGAAAGAATCGAAGCAGGAAGATTGTTTAATGTTGGATCTAATATGGAATTATTCTAAAAGAGTATTGGTTTGATGACTCACCATAAGTTGTTGAGAGATGTGCTGGTATTTGTGCTGAAAATATATTTTGTCGTCTGCTTCAAATAAATTTTTGGATAAAATATCTTTTTTGTGAACTTATTGGGATTATTGATGAAGATAAATTAATACAATAAAAGATTATTCTTTTTATGGAATTTTGGAGAAATAAATAATTTCTGCTGTTCACCACAGTAATGTAACATTTGTGATAACATGAAAAGTGTGAATTAAAATTTATCATTATATGAAATATGTGAATTAATATTTATGATTAAATGAAAAGTGTGATTAATAAATGAAAAGAGTGATTATTAAATGAACAGTGTGAATTATTAAATGAAAAGTGAGATTATTGAATGAAAAGTGTAATTTTAAATGAACAGTTTGATTATTAAATGAAAAGTGTGATTGAAAAGTGTGATTATTAAATGAAAAGTGTGAAAATCATTTATGATTAAAGGTTAAGTGTGAATAAGAAGAATTGGTTATATGAAAATGAAATCTAATATAGAAGAAAAATAAGCTTTTTCATGGATTGTTTTTTTTTGGTTATAAATTTTGTTAATTAAGTATGACTGTTGAAAGATGAATCAATGTTTTACTTGATACTAACTATTGTCTGGTGGTTTTGTGAGATCGTTACAGACATCAGGATGTGTATGTGGGGTAGGTATAAAGAATTATGTTTGAAATTTATATAAAATAGTGTTAACATTTATGGATTTATATATTTGTTATGTATTCTTTTGTTTGTTTTTTTGTTTTTCCTTCTTGATTTTACAAAGTATGATATGCAAGTGTCCTTTGTGAATTGCCTGGAATTTTACCTAGCTTTCCTTTCCCACTTCTTCCTCTCCTATCTATCCCCAATTCTTTTCATCTTCCTCCTCCCACTCCCTTCCCCCACTTCCCCTTTCCAACTCCCTTCTACCTCCTTTTTCTCACTTCCCATCTTTCCCCTCCACCTTACATATTTCCCCTTCCCTCATTCCCCATCCCCTTATTCCCATTCCCTTGCTCCTCTTGCCTTCTCCACCTCCCTCCTCCCCCTTTACTGACTTCCCCCTCTTCAGCCTTTACCCACTCCAATCTTCACTCCCATTCTCCCACCCTCTCTTCTTAATTCCCCCCTTTACTGACTTCCCTATCTTCCTCCCCTTCTTCTTTCCCTCCCCCTCCTTTCTCTTGAGAAAAAAAACACAATTTTTTTGCACCCAATGCTTTAATAACACTATTTCTATGTGATTAATAAATTAATGATCAAAATGATCTTCTTACATCATAAAAGACAGCTTAATAGGCTATGAATAATGAATACACTGGAACTGCAGAATTTCTAGTATTGATAAATTCTGATTCATACATCCAGATGTCAATACAGTACAGCCTCCATTTTGTCTTCCATTCAGTTTTATATGTTATTGCCAAAAGTACAATGTACTTGAAAAAATCAATTAGATTCTATATTTTGCAAAAGGTTAAAAAAACAACTATCTAAACACTTTTATACAAGATTGTAAGAAAATGAGTGATACATGACTTTAGTTTATGTTTCCTTTTTGAAATTAATTTCTTATACCAAAGTGATAAAGAAAGACACTGGGTTAAGGTCCCACACTGCTGTTCAAGGTTTGAAAGACCTGGACTGCTGTTCAAGGTTTGAATCAAGTCAAAAGGTCTTGGATACTTTCTTGTGAGGAGGCTATCCAGCTAACTTACAGAACACAAAAAGAGGCTGTGAAAACTCTACAAATTCTTAAAAAAAGTTAATGTATGATTACTATACAAAATGTACTTCCTGATTGAACACATCTTTAAAAAAAGTTCAGACCTTTTGTATGTTTCATCCTGTATTTTACAATGATGTATACAAAATGCAAATTGAATTTAAATGAATAGATGTTAAAAGACTGAGATAATCTGGTTTTTAAAGTGAATATTTTGTGGACTTCCTGGTTTGAAATAGGTTATGTATCATTAAATAAGATTTACCATGGTGAGAGATTAAAATATTTAGATTTTATTTGTTATTTAATATTCATTGAGATAGTACATTGTACATGATTTTGCTCTGGGAGCATCCATAGGCCAGTGGTAACGTCTGTGTCTTCAATCCACTTGCCTCTTACTACTGTAGGTTCACTAACCACGCCAGCGTCTTCATATTCTTTCATGTGAGAAAACTTTCCTGAGCTAGCTTACAGAATGTTGGTGGTATTACTCAGGTGCCAGTTTTGTATAGCATATATAAATGTATAATAGAAATAAATTTGATAGAAATTATGATTATTTTTCCTTTATGCTAAAATTCAGGCACTGTGATATATCATTTTGGCAATGAATTATTCTAGTCCATACTACAAAACTGTATGTACATATTGATTTGAATATATAATACAAAAAAGAGAGAAAAATCTCCATGGTTTTGGCTGCTTGGAATAAACAAGTAGCATGGAATCATAAGAATTTTTGGCTAATGGAAGTCTGTATGGTGTGTTTATATGGTTATTCCTTTTTAAATTCTAGTATGTTACTGTTAAATGAAAATCGATTATTTGAGAACAATTGAATTTAGAATCAGCAGAAAAATTAACATTTGTATTACAATAAATAACTACCCTGTTCTCATACAGTGATCTGACTTCAAATCTAGGGCTTGTGAGCTTGTACCCCTGCATATCTAGCTACAATTTCTAAAAATTCTATTGAATGAGACTTTAACCACAACCTGCTGGTGGTGGAGATTGAATCAAACCATGCAGCCAGTGTAGACCAAGATCATCCAGCACATCTGTGTCTGTCTGATCATCGTCTGCACTGTTCACTATCCAGTCTGTACATACATGTACTTGTATTTTGAAATTCTCCCTAAAACTGATAAATGTTTTTTTTCCAGATTGTAAGATGGACAAGTCCATGTTAGATATTTAGTGTGGATATGGTTTAAATAAATCTTGTAATGTAACATTTAAGAAACAGTGACTTCTCCTGGGATGAAATTATTTCTGCATTTGTTGCTGTCCTCTAAAATAAGGGAAAATAGGATTGGGGTGCCTGTAGCCAAATAGTTAAGGTTATAAACTTCAAACCATTTGCCCTTTACCGCTGTGGGTTTGAATTCAACAAGGGACTTTGGATACTTTCAAGTGAGGAAGCTAACCAGCTGGCTTATATGGTATGTCAGCTGTTCTATTGTGCCTATTTGTGCCTGAAATAATGGAGGGGCACCTGAGGTCTTTCTTCACCAGTTAAAAATTTGCTTTATGATCTTTACAGTTTTGATGCAACATTAACCCCCAACCCCACTTTCCCCTGCCCTACACCCCCCCCCCCCCCCCCCCGAAAACAACACAAAAAAACAAACAAAATCAACCAACAACATCATCAATAGGGAGTTAAGTATAGATCTCCAGTGATGACATCACACATACCCTGTTATTTCTGCACCAAATAACCTTGCAATTTCCTTAACCTTGGTTAAAAAGGGTATAGAAACAATGGTGGGTTTGAAATATGGTTTACGGAGGAAACTTGAACCTATTGAGAAAAGTACAACATGCTTCGATACATTTAAGGAATCTATCATAAACAAGAAAAATAAAATAAGATCGAACTTGAATCATATACTTTATATCATCTTTATATACTTAATAAGCCATTCCTGAAAGACTTTTATATTTTTAAATATAAAGTATACTATTTTCGGTGTCCGCAGTTGTTAAATTTAATGGACAGTGAAAACATATGATAGATGTAAAAGAAATTTTAATGGTTTAATGGGAAATCATAAAAGAAATGAAATTGATGTTACAATATTTTTATAAACATGTATATGAATTCATAATATAAATTTTTCATAGCGTGATATGGGTTGTTTTGTGTAAATCTTTTCTTCTTTTTTATTTTCGTCAACTTTAAATCAAAAATATAGGAAAATACGCCCCAGTTAAAATTGCAAAAAAGTGGATTAAAAAGATGTGAATGAAGTTTTTTTTTTAAAGAGGAAAAATAAATAAATTTGGTGAAGTGTCAGGTTACAATAAAATGATTGGACATTTTTCTAAAAAGGCGAATCGGTATTCTGTTGAAATTAATCCAGTAAATTTGAATGGGATACACTCTTTGATAGGACTCCTTTCAGGTTTAAAAGGTTTGTCATTTTGATAAGTTTTAATGATAAATGCAGTTATGATTCTGTTTTCTTCAGTTCAAGTGTTCAGTTTTTTGTGCAGGAAAAACTTGTGACATTCATAGGCATGTTTTTACATCTATATTAGATATAAAGGAAGTTTAAAATCTGCAGAGATTTTGTATTTGTGAATATAAATCATGGTCAGTCAAAGAAAAGAGGCATTGTTTTTATTGAGAGACTGAACATGAAATGGATATGTACAAATTTGTCATAAACTTATAATATAACATACCGTATTGTTTCCAATTAACAAGTCCCTGAGTGCATTTAATAGAGACAATATGGTAGATGTAGTTTTAATGTAAAGCAGACTGTCAGGTTTTAAAGGTTCCTGCCCCTAAACAAAGGGATCTTGTGTCAGGTTCTAAATGAGGTCATGACCCTTGTTCAACCCAAAAATCTTTTTGGATATGTTGCATATAGTTATTGATTTTAATATAATTTTGTATATTTATGTATTTTCAGCACCAGGAAAACCAAAGTTTATTGAGCATCTTATAAACCGAGTTGTTTCAAAGCGAGTCAGCAGACGCAATAGCAATGGCCTGAACACAACAAATGAAGAGCCGGTAGAGGTTCCAGAAGAACCACTTTCGCCAGATTCTGAAAAGTGTCTACAACAGGCAGAAGCTATTGTTGAGGAATTATTATCATGCTCAAACAGACCTGCTAGTGGTGAATCAACTGATTCTGGTAAAGGCTCATCATTATTAGAATCAACGAGTGATTTTTCGCCAACATCTAAACGGAAGTCTTGGTCAACACCTGCTTCACCTACATTTCATGGACTTGTTAAAGAAAGATTAAAAAGTTTTCAGGCTTTAAATGAATCTAGTGACACTGATTCAGTTTGTTCCCAACCTGGATCACATTCGCCTTTACAGAAACAAAAAACCTTCAGAAATGAAGAGTTTGATCAAGAAATCAGAGAAATAAACAAAAATATCAAACAGTTCTATTGTTCAGATTCTCAGGATGAAAGTTTTAATACAGCAGTAATGGAAGAAGGTTATGTTAAAGCTCTTGTAGCTAAGATAAATGAGAATAAATTAAAACCAGAACCCGCTAAGTCTGTAAGTAGCGAGAGTGAACATTTAGAAAATGGCGAGGCAATAAGTGAAGATGCTAAACTGAAATTAGATATAGATCCAGAGGATTCTGGATGGAACGAGTGGGTACAGGAAGTTGGGGATGACAATGACGGAACAGGAGAAGAAGTGGAAGAAATTACAACTGTAGAAAAAAGGATCAGTAATATTTCTACAGCATCAGATAAAAGGACTAGTGGTAGTTTAGAGAGCAGTGATGTAAGATCAAAATTAACAAGACATTCTACTTCTGATAGAAGTTCGAATACTTCCTCAGGATCATCTTCATCTCGTGCAAATTCTCAGACAAACTCGGTATCAGACAGTGATAACCATGTAAGTAAAGCGCTTCAAAGATTTAATCTGGAACGAAATAAAAGCATACCACAATCTCGCTTGAACTCCCTCTCTTCCTCTTCTTTTTCTTTTAACTCACATATCAGATCTCCTCCGAAACTACGCAATCTTAAATCTAACAAACTCGGTGATTCTGAAAATTGTAACACTAATGATTATAGAAACACTAACGGTGCTGTTCTGTCTTCTTGTGCTAAAAATAGAAACTGTTTGTCATGTGATGTTGAAAGTACTGTTGAACAGTCTGCAGGTCAGACTGGGTCCACAGAGAAAAGAGGCTGTGTGTCACAGAGTTTCGATTACGGACTTCTTCCCCTAAATCCTGCCGAACTATTTGATGAGAATTGGTCAAAATGTGAACTTAGTTTCGAAGACTTCGACTGTGATTTTGACTCGCTGTCTGATTCCAAAAAGAAGGTAAGATAAATTGTACATGTTTGTACTGGATGATGTCTTCTTGGGAATTTTGTTGTGCACCATAAATAGACTTAGTGCATCTTGATTGATTATTGTGCACTATTTGTTTGGTGGCATTTGAAAATAACATTGGATATTTGTCGTTTTTTTTATGGCTGATTCTGTATTTTCTCTGGATTTTAATTGAATGCATAATTTTTCAAACTTGGGTATGTACTATGTAGTAAGCATGACTTGCATGTGTATTGCTTTAGTTTGCTCTATCATACTATTTTCATTATATTCCCTTCTTTGTACACTGGTGGAAGGAATGGCATCCTCTGTTATTTTTAGAAAATCAAGCATCTTTTTCTCCTTTCTTCAATCATGCAAACATATTCCGCTTTAAAATCTTTTTTCCAGTTGATAAGTTTACAGTCGCATTTACACTTGTACGGTTATCTGGGTACTTTCTATATCCCCTACCCTTTCCCTAGAATATCAATATACATTATTTCAGACAGGAAACAAATTGTGAGAATTCTATACAAGCTAACCTTTCTTAAATAATAAAGGTATTTGTGTGGCCTTTAAATAAAAAGGTATCTGTGTGGCCAAGTGACTACGGTTACTGAATTCAAACCTTTTAAATCCTGTCAGGACTTTGGATTCTTTCATTTGAGGAAGCTATCCAGCTGGCATACAGGTCAGTAGCTCTACTCAGACTGAAATATTAAGCATGGAGGGCACATTAAGTCTTGACTGGGAAAGTCACCATTTGCCCGTAACAATATCTGTGTGACTGAAAAGATAACCATACAAGTATCAATCACTCCCAGCATGATTCAAATCCACAGCATTAAGTGACAAATAGTTCAAAGTGAACTACCTTTATCTACATGTGACCATGTCAGAGTGACAAGATCTGTTTGAAAATGTCATAATTTTATCATTTTTCAATAAACTTAGAGTTAAGGCATGTGCAGGCAAAGTTATATATTAATTAAAGTAAACCATTAACTATATTCCATTAAATCACACGTTCAAGAAGGTCACATTCAGACAAGAATTTCAGGTGAGCAATGCAGGACCATAAAAGCTTTCTTGTTTCATTCATTAGGAACATAAACTCTTAGTCAGGGATTTCTTCTACCTGTGAAACCTCTCATAACTGAATTCATTCACAAGAAAGCAAGAGAATATTTACTCATAAGAGCTTTTTTTTTTCTTTTCATCTGAAACACGAAATGTTACCTCTGTAGGCTATTGATTTCTTACATCTATAGATTGTATATTCATTGTATGTAAGCTGTGTATAATGTAAACTTCATCTTTTATGTAGATAAGCATATTCAATGTGCATTCAACAGCAAAATAGTGTACATTGTATACAACAAAACATCGACAAAATCCGGTCTTGCATGAATTCACCACTGTATAATAATTATAACGTTCAAATTTGAGAAAAACGATTTTTTGTTTATCAATATTGTTTTTAATGTTTAAGTTAATATTGTTATTTAATGACTGTAACACAAACGCATCTAAAGATCTAATATAGGAAGGAAGTCGGCTATTGACTCGCCACTTCATGTTTATCTATTTCTTGCGTACATTTTGTATATTTCAATTTTATACAATTATAAGATGTATACATTGTAGTTGCATTTCTCAAAGCTTAACTTAGAATTCAGACATTTTTTTTTTGTTTTAACAGTTTTTATACTACAATGTATTGGATATAAGCAGATTATTTAATTGTTCAGTTTTACATGTGAATCGGACATTGTGTTGATTAATAGATTTCAAATTGTAAACAGTTTTTGGATAAGCTTATTGGATATTTTTCAAAGCTTTGTGAAAATAAATCGGACATTTAAAGTAATCTTTCAAAGACATATAAAAGTAGAGGAATATACATTTTGTTATTTAGTTGTTTGATGGATATTTAACAGTGGATTATATTGGCTTAAAAACGGATATATACGATATATATGGGACGGATCATCAGTTAAATGATAATTTTTATTAATATTATCTTTATTTTAACAAAAAGTGCTTTTATATTAATAATAAACAGTACATAGCCTGTTTGTTCTTTTGAATATTAATTGTTATAAGAAAAAGTTCAATTAATTAGTGAAACAGTTCCCTAGTCGCTTTTTATGTGAACACTGGACCATTTTAGTGAAACGATAAATGTTATAGCTGGATATATATATATACATGTATAAACAAGACATGGGTGTAATCCCCAGTTAATATGCAACATTTAACAAGCCAGTGATAATAAATGGTAGGTGCTTTTTTGTTTTCAAGTCAAAATAAAACAGTCACATAAAACGAAACTTGAATCTTAAATATACATGTATATTGAGCATAATTTTGTTTACTAACAATATTAATTCTTCATGTAATATTATAAAATTATTATTAAAAGTAAGATCTTTTATATATATATAAGCAGATTATATATTAGATTTTAAAGATTAAAATATATTTAGCAGAAATATAATATGCTGCAAAGTTCAGTAATCACTTTATTATTCTGTACCCTGCTGATTTTGTAAAATGGACATAACAGACATTTTCTTACTTCGTTATATTAGAACAGAGCATAAGAGATTTCATAAGCAAATATTTTTCAAATTTTCAAAAAACTGAGAAGCTTAGATGGCGATTAAAGTTCGGGCAAGCCTGACTCTGAGACCATGCTGATGGTAGTCTCGCATATTGAAATGATTTATAATAAATGAAATACTTATTAACAATGGATCTAAAAAGTTCTGACCTGACTAAGTCAAAATGGTGTAACTGAAGTGGAGACGTTGTATAGAGAATAAGTAAAACACCTATATAGGCACTCTATTTAAGAGTAACTTCAGGGTTTTCTTTCACTATGGGAGGGTTGGAAGTTGCACTTTACAAACCCCATTCAAAATTTGTTGTTACTTACATCTATTAACAGTTTAGATAAAAGGGCATCTGTGGCTGAATGGTTAAAATCAGTGACTTCAAACAACTTGCCTCTGGGTGCAAGTATCTTAGGATTCTTTCATATGAGAACAGGTTAGGTTACTGAATGTTGGTGGTTCTACTCAGATGCTAATTCAGGCACAGTGGGGCACCCGAGATCTTGCCTCACCAGTAAAGCTGGAAAAGGTGCCATATGATAGTATACTGTGTAGGTGCGACATTAAACCCAATTTTAAATAAAAATTAGATATAAGTTCATTCAAACATGAATTAAAAAGCATTTTCTTTTTGTTTGGATTAATTTTAATTAATTTAGGTAAAGCAGGAAGTGAATAATCATTGTTGAGTACTTTAGACAAACATTAATACTTCCAGGGTGATGGAATGAATGTTTTTATGAACCCATGCAGTTTTAGAAAGATAAATCTCAATTAAGATCATAGCTTCTGTTCTCTGTTTCAAGCTAGATACAGTTCTCTAATTTACAAAAAATACCCTCATGTATTAGTATAGGTGTTCAGAAGGAAGACAAATCTTGTTATCTCTTTATCTTTTATTATCTTTATTTCTTTAATTCAAAAAAGGTTAATCAACTCCAAAGCCCCCACATAAAGCAACACACAGTAAACTTCCCCCCTAGACTGGTTTAATGAAAATGAGTTAGTGGAATTTTTAGACTGTGAATCAAAATTAATAAAAATTCTTTTTACATAAAGTAACCAGTCCACACACCTTATCACCAGGGGTCTAACCTGAGTATGAGCATACCACCATTATTATTCCTGGTATATTTTTCAAAATTAAGAGCAAAATAACTTGATTCCAATGTGTACAAGTTCCTAGAACCATGTCCTTAATGAGGAAGTCTTAGGTATACGCCTTAACACTAGGTATGACAAGTAGATGACCCCTATTGATTTTGAGGTCAGTAGGTCAAGGTCACAATGATGCATGAAATCTTTCTCTGTCTTATCAAGAAGAATTATAAAGTTTCCTTAGTCATGTAGTTTGTGAAACTTATTAGTTATGATGCTATTATTACATGTGTCTATACATATATATTACTTATTAATTTATTAAATATGTATAAGTTTGTTAATATGTCACTATGACAGCAAATGAGGCTTGGTCATCTGTTGTGGCTCAAATCAGTTCACTGTTTAGGAGAAAAGATGTGTAAGCTGCCAGATAGCTTAGTTTTTAGAGCCATAGAATGATATTCCGAAGGTCAGGCTGCACATTTTCTCACCCTGTGACACTTATTTGTCCTAGTTACTGTATTTTATTTGAGTACCTCTGTACTCATAAGGACCATCCTATAAATATCTTGTAGTTTGAATGAAAATAATATTAAAACCTTTTGGTATATCATAGTTTTACATCCTTTTCTTTGTAACTTATAATACATTTATAATTTCAGTATATTAATGATATTACTTTAGAATATTTTTTTGTTTTTGTAAATGTACAACAGTTAAAAATCCACAAAATTAGACACGATACAAATATGCAGGATTTTACTTTAAGCAGCTAGCACAGGTTTTCCATGCACAAAATGGTTTTTCATACTGATTTAATACTAACTGAACAAACTTACAAAATTTAGTACCATACAAACATGACTGATCTTACACTATCAGCCTAGCTCATCATGCACAGGTTTTCCGTGCACAAAATGATTCTTCATACTGATTTATTACTCATTGAGTAGAATTACTCACCAAGAACCAACTGCTAATGTTGATATTCTAATGATGATATGAGCCGCGTCACAACAAAACCAACATAGTGCGTTTGCGACCAGCATGGATCCAGACCAGCCTGCGCATCCGCGCAGTCTGATCAGGATCCATGCTGTTCGCTATCAGTTTCTCTACTTGCAATAGGGTTGGTAAGCGAACAGCATGGATCCTGATCAGACTGCGCGGATGCGCAGGCTGGTCTGGATCCATGCTGGTCGCAAACGCATTACGTTGGTTTTGTCGTGACGCGGCTCATATTCTGTCTATTATATCTGTCATCTCTCCCTCAATCTTTCTCTATGAATGAATCAGCCCTGAAGCTTTGATTGTCTGCAGTTTTCTTGTTTCTTTGCTTCAATGGATTGTTGTGATAATATTTTTATCATGAAAAAAATAATGTTGTTATATTATTGTGTTAAATAATTGGAATTAAGGACACATTTTCACACCATACTTTAGCAGCTGCTGCTTTCAAGACAAAGATTTTAAATTCCTTATGTGATTATATATAGTGTAGTTATACATGTATCATGGTTAAACTCTTAGTAAAAGCTGAAGAAATAAATATAAAATATTAATTGATACATAACTTTTTTATTGCAAATTTTTAAAAAAAAATTACATTTGCTTAAGATCACACTTTATTTTATTTTTTCTTAATAATAGTATATTTCAATCATAGGTAATCATATTGATAAATAAACATGATATTTATTTTGATGAAAAATTCAAAAATCTTTCAATCATAATGATTTTATTTAAGATAATTGACCAAAGTGCTTACTAATTGTATTGCTTATTATGTAATGTTTAAAGAATTTATTGTTTCTATCATTTACTCTTTTATGAATTTGTCATGAATTTTTATAAAATGCAAATGAATTGAAATGCAAGATTAATTTTACTATAAAAATCATGAATTTTTGTTAATAAGTCATGAACTTTTGTAAATAAATCATAAATTATTTAACATACATATTGATATTTAATGCGTTCCAATTTCTTCTTTGTAACATTGAAATGTTTTGTTAGGAAGAATCCAGTAAAGCTTTGTCTAAGAGAACAAAAAGCACTAAAGAATTCAAATAAAGATCTGACTTTTATTTCATAGTAAATCTAATACTAAGAATGTGAATACTTTAAAGATACCATCATTAAGTCTTTTTTATGTTTCCATATAAATTTATTTCTGGTAGAGAAGAGAATTCATCTCTCAATCAAATTGAGTGCTGATAATAAATATAGAGAGGGGGGGGGGGGGGGGGGGGGGCGCGATTAATTGAGAAATTGGCACAATATGTGAATGAGCTAATGGTAGTAAAAACCGAGCCTGTCTGCAGGGGAGAGATGTTAATAGACAGCTGCCTTTAATATTTCCCTAAATTAATATTGCAGATTTTTGGTTGGGGGTTCAGATATAGTTTTGCCAGCACTAAAAACATAGGAATTTTTTTTGTATGTTGATACTCTGACTTTAATACATGGATGAACTTTAAACTACTTGTGAGTTAGAAACAAACATGTATTGTTAAATAAAGGAAGTTCTTTTGAGGATATACTTGTGGATAAAGGAATCATTTTTGTTTCGAAATTCATTGTTATATAGGTTGTTTCTAAACTTTCTTTATACTGGGAATTTATTTATATAACATCCCAGCTTACACTTGTTACAATATTTTGAGGAGTGATTTAAATTATGGATTTATTTAAATGATAAAATTGGTTGGATTTATATAATTTAAATATAAAAAAAAACATTAGAAATATGGTGGAATTAAGTTTACATGTAAAGGTAAGAGATGCTTGTGTTTTTAATTAAAAAAATCTGGCTGTTGTGCATGTATACATGTTTTGAGGGCTGCACCTAAATGTTTTCAAGTGCATATGCCTGGAATGCTGTACAGGAAAATGTTGTATAATTATGTAAACCTTTTATAGCATGTGGTTTACATTTTAAATGTGCTTTTTAAATCTAAATTTATCTTGTGTAATGCTCATAAAACGGTTTTAAAAGTCCATGTTTTAAATAATAGATAGTAAAATAGATATTAATTCAAAAGTAGAAAATTGGTTTTTAAGATAAATATGTTTATGCAAATTATAATTTAACTTCTTTCTGATTTTCTCTTAAATGTAATCTTTTCAACAATGAATTGATTTTGAAGTTAAATTAAACAGATAACATGCATGATTTTATCACTGGACTTAAAAAAGGTAGGAAAAAAATCCCAAACATATTAATGAACAAATGATAAGTTTGTGATTATTTTGAATTATATTGTACAATTATTATCACAAAGAAAAATTAATGTTTGTTGGAAGAAAGAAAAAATAATGATTGTTGGAAGGGGAGATAATTTTAATGTCACTAAGAAAATGGGTGTAAGAAAGGGAGATAACTTTTGAGTTTGAAAAAAAAGAATTACATGAAAATTTAAGGTATTGGAAAGATTGAAATCTTGGGAAAAATTAATGAACTGGAAAGTGCATTCTATATGATATGTGCATTCCAGCTTAAATGATTTGTAAATAGTGTGGAAGAAATGGTATCTTTTGAAAAAATCTTCCTTGTACAGTCTTCAATGTTCATTTTAGTATCACATTACTTTACTTGTTGTTTTTTTTATTTTGTTTTTTATTTCTTTATTTATTATTATTTTTTTCATGTAAATTGTCACCGTTACACATTTTCTATTTACACATGTCTCATGTAAAAACAGTCTGCCAGACAGATTTTGACATTTGATTTTTTCATTTTCTGGCTTTGTATTAATGTATCAGTTAATTTTAAATGAAATTCATATTTCTTATTATTTCATATAGACATTAATCTTGACAAGGCACTGAGGCCCAGAGGTGGCTTTTGAACTTGATTACACTTTTTCAGATACCTAACTTTTTACATAAAAGGAGTTGTTTTAAACATTTAAAGATTTCATCTGACTTTATCTTTTACGTTACTTTTCTTTTGACTTCAAATTAATCAGTGTTTTTTTTTTTGCTTGTACATGTATTATTAAGGAATTCCACCCATCTTTTGTATTAAAATATTTCATGGAAGATGAATTGAATTGAAAAAGTTGTTAAGGCCTCTGACTTTAAACCCCTTTGCCTCTCACCACTGTTACTAAGGTTCGAGCAGTGCCAGCATCATGTGAGAGAGCTATCCAGCTAGCTTACAAAATGTCTGTGGTTCTACTCGAGTGCCTGTTTGTGCCTGAAATAATGCACAAAGGGGCAATGAGTCCTCTCAACGCAGGGACCATGTCCTCTCAACGCAGGGACCATGTCCTCTCAACGCAGGGACCATGTCCTCTCAATGCAGGGACCATTTCCTCTCAACGCAGGGACCATGTCCTCTCAACGCAGGGACCATGTCCTCTCAACACAGGGACCGTGTCCTCTCAACGCAGGGACCGTGTCCTCTCAACGCAGGGACCATGGACCCATTGAATGCACATACATAACTTTATATACAATGTACATAGAATAGAATTCCAACAGAATATTTTTGTTCATGGTTTTATTTAGTTGTCTTTAGGTTTAACTAAAACTTATTACATGTATTCATTTATATTGTCTAGTTCAAGTCAATTGCCTTATCAAGCCCAGTCATGAAATTGTAGACAAATTGTTCATTCAATTAAACATAGAGATATATTTTAGGTGCTGTTCATGTCAAATGCTATTTTAGTTTATTTTATCTAACAGTACTAATTAGCTTATCAGTTTTAAGTACACTTGATTCATTAATGAATGGGGAATTTATTTTTCTATAGGAAGAAGAGGAGAAACCCAAAGATAAGCTACATCAGATCGCACATGAACTTCTTACAACTGAGAGGGCCTATGTAGCTAGATTAAACCTTATAGATCAGGTAATATATTTATTTTTTGGTTTAATCAGGTAATGACTATTTAGGTAGTTTAGGTAATGCCTAGTTAGGTAAATAACGTAAAACAGGTTATGTCTAGTTAGACAAAACAGGTAATGCCTAGTTAGGTAGATTAGGTAATGCCTAGTTAGGTAGATCAAGTAATGCCTAGTTAGGTAGATTAGGTAATGCATAGTTAGGTAAAACAGGAAATGCATTGTTAGGTAAAACAGGTTATGCCTAGTTAGGTAGATTTGGTAATGCCTAGTTAGGTAGAACAGGGAGTGCCTAGTTAGGTAGATCAGGAATGGTCTAGTGAGGTAAAACAGGTAATGTCTAGTTAGGTAAAACAGGTTATGCCTAGTTAGGTAGATTAGGTAAAGCCTAGTTAGGTAGATTAGGCAAAGCCTAGTTAGGTAGATCAGGTAATGCCTAGTTAGATAGATAAGGTAAAGCCTAGTTAGGTAGATCAGGTAATGCCTAGTTAGGTAGATTAGGTAATGCCTAGTTACGTAGATCAGGTAATGCCTAGTTAGGTAGATTAGGTATTGCCTAATTAGGTAGATTAGGTAATGCATAGTTAGGTAAAGCAGGTTATGCCTAGTTAGGTAGATAAGGTAATGCCTAGTTAGGTAGATTAGGTTATGCATAGTTAGGTAAATCAGGTAATGCATTGTTAGGTATAACAGGTTATGCCTAGTTAGATAAAACAGGTAATGCCTAGTTTGGTAGATTATGTAATGTCTAGTTAGGTAGATCAGGTAATGCCTAGTTAGGTAGATCAGGTAATGCCTGGTAAGGTAAAACAGGTAGTGCCTGGTTAGTTGGGTAGATCATGTAATGCCTAGTTAGGTTAAACAGTTAATACCTAGTTTAATGTAGATCAAGTAATACCTTGTTCAAGACTAGAAAGATATGGTTTAGTTAGGAAGATTAACAACCTGAAGTTTTTGCTAATTTCAGGAATCTTAATAAGAAATGTAACATTTCATGTGTTTTATATATTAAATTATTCCCTATACTGGTATTTTTATGGAAACCACATTAAAACAGGTATAAGAAGGAAGAATTTCACAAGGGATTAAGATCTATATTTACTATTACGTAAAATAATTTTTCCCTAGACTAAATCAGATATTATACATGTTTAGAATATCAAGTGGAAATTTTGTGGTTTTTACCAATATTAAATTCATGGAGAAAAATAAAGGTTTATAATCAACAAGGATGATATTTTCAGCAAGTTTCAGGGAATAATTTCTACCCACTCATGTGGTTTTCCTTGTAAAAGCTGCAGACATTTTAACAGAAGATATATTCCAACTCTTACTGTCAGTAGATAGTGCAATAATATATGTTGATAATTTTACAGAAGCCAAACTTTATTTTGAATGATGGTGTAAAGCATTTAAGTATTATTACAATTTTGCTGAAATAAGAGAAATGAGCCGTGTCACGACAAAACCAACATAGTGCGTTTGCGACCAGCATGGATCCAGACCAGCCTGCGCATTCGCGCAGTCTGATCAGGATCCAATGCTGTTCGCTTATCAACTCTATAACAAGTGGAGAAACTGACAGCGAACAGCATGGATCCTGATCAGACTGCGCGGATGCGCAGGCTGGTCTGGATCCATGCTTGTCACAAACCCATTATGTTGGTTTTGTCGTGACACGGCTCAAATGTGCATTATTACAGAAAACCTATAAAAATTTGCACATTGAATGTCGTTAGTAGAGAAATTTGAGAAATTTCAAAAACAGAAAATTTCCAACATTAACATGTTACATCACAAATTTTGCAGCAAAAGTCAATAAATCTTCCTTTTGAAATAAAAAAGAAGACTTGTTTGTTTGCATATAAGATGAAATTATATATATCCACTCATGAACATATGACCTGTTATGTTTTCACGTATGGGTATGCCACTCATGTAAATATTGCAACCAGTTGTTCACTTTTCTTTCTTACATGCAAAACAAACAAACAAAATTTATATTCTCTATAAAACTAATATGTATTGTTTCAAAATACAACTATTATGTAATGTTTATCTGTAATGATTGAGGATAAAGCTTCTGAATAAGATCATCCGATATTATGGTTTAATATGGTAGCTGATTTATGAGACAATAGATTTGATTTAACAATGTTTATAATAAATGTCTTATTATTCTAAACATTTTTCCGTCCTAGGTAAAAAAAATGCATGTTTATGCATAGAAATTATCAAACTTTGCATGGCTATACACTGGTATGTTAGACCAAAATAGTCTTTTTAAAAGTAAATGAATAAAATCTGTAAGTCAGAAAACTTATTAAATTATGGCAAAAAGTCAAAAATGTACTTTACGACTGAACTTTAAGCCAATATATTTTTGCATATTTTTGTAGACGTTCCATTTCCGCGTTACCATGGAGAGCAAGAACGGTAACTTCCTGCCAGCAGACGACATCAATACAATGTTTGCGAACATAAAACCTATATGCTTGTTTCACAAAGATTTCCTGCTCCCTCAACTTGAAGATAGGATGCAGCATTGGTACGTACAGTAAAACCTCTGCTAAGCAACACCCTGGGAGACCAAAGAATTTGAATGTTGCCGAGAGGTGTTTGCTCAAGACAGGTTTTTTATTGTGAAGTTTTTTTTGGGAGAAAAATGAGGCTTTTATTGTAAAGAGGTTATTGCTTTACAAAGGGCAGCTATGAGGAGGTTTACATTAATTGTTTTAATAGGGGAATGTCACAAGTAAAATGCCATGCGGGTCTATACATCTGTACCAGCTAGGACGTCTCAGCACACTGACCAGATTGTTAGCTTCCTTAGAGTAAAAATTACCTTCAATGGGTCCTATTTTACCTTTTATAATCTCTTAAATTAACAATAGACTGTTTCAAATTCAAATTAATTATAATAATTTATTTTTGTCCACAAGATCATACAAAAGTATAATTTGAACCTGTTTGAAATTTTGTGGAAGAATAAGAAATGAAACACCTGAAAAAGGTGTTTCTCAGTAGCTCAGATTTCTCTTGCAACCAGTTGAACTTCTGTACATTTATTTCTTAAGAAAAGTCAGCTGACTGGGGTTTTGGCATTGTTTAAGAGATTAAGTTATATTATTAGTTATAAACATTTTTCAGGAATATCTATAACGATTTTATAATACAGCAAACTTCCTTATTTAGACAAAAAAAGTGAGATTTCTTCATAAATTGACAGTAGTCGTGTATATAAGCCAATTAGCCAATTAAATGTCACGATTATCCAATGAAATGCAGCATTTAAAAATATGCAGTATTATAAAGCATGTGAGCTTTAAACTCAATATAAAACTATTCATTATTGAAATTGAAAATAAAATAAGAATAAAATTTATCAATGTTAGCCATGTTTAAAACATTTGGACTTGATTTGGTATAATTTATTAGTTAATACAGCCGCTGTAGGTGGGAATTTCTTCAAAAGGAATGTTATTATCTTCTTTGACTTTTCTGATTGATTATTATTTTGTGTAATGACTGGCAACTGTCCCAATTTTCCCGTCTACTGATCCAGAATCTAGACAGTCATCCATCTTGTTTTTTCTGGTTCCAGGTCAAGCTCTCAGAGGATTGGTGATGTAATGGCAAAGCTGGCGCCCTTCCTGAAGATCTATACAGAGTATGTGAAGAATTATGACAAGGCGATGGCCATGATTGATAAATGGACGTCACAATCGCCGCGATTTGCTACACTTCTTCAGGATATAAAGGTTAGTGATCAGAAAAAATATTTATTTCTAGTCCTATAGGTCAAAGGTCAAGGTCATTATTGCAAGGTTGTTTGCTCTCCAATATCAACGATTTGAATCAAGTAAAGTTTATCATTATTTAAATATCATGCCTCTGGCACTTCTTAGTTGTTATTAAGGTAGCAACATAACTGACTTTAATATGAAAAGTCAAAATAATGCTGAATTGCAGTCAATGACCGAGTAATGCAGTTCCAACATCAGAAATTTTCTTAGCTTTTGAAATAATTTTAGATATGCCTACACCAGGCTTGCAAAGATGATAAACATTAAGCAAAAGTTCTATGACTATGTTAAATTAATGAGACACAAAAGAACTAAATATCATCTTGACACAATGAATAAATTTGATGCCCAATTGTTGTTTGAATTTTGAAATCCTTATATGTACATAATTCTGCTGTGTTTTAGTCATTTTAAAGCAAAATATGATATGTTAGTGAAGAGTAAACTTCTATGTTTTTCAGTACGTTCTGAATTGTAAATTTCCCCTTTACTAAACTGCATTTATAAATATTGCAATTATAATCTATTAATGCTTGCACATACAAAATTCAGTGACTTTTTGGTTGGTTTTCTGTAATTTTCTGTATATTGTCCCGGACATTTACCCCCCCCCCCCACCATGTTTGCCATGTATGACATAGAAAATTGGGAAATAATAAAAATTCTTTGGAAACAAGATGTTTTAAGTTTGATAAAGTTCTTAGTGTTAAAAAAAATTAAAATCATATACTTTAAAAAATGGTTCCCCTTTTTCCCAAATTTCAATATGCGGGGTTTTGCAAACATTTTTAAAAAAGACCATTTACAATTTTACCCTTTGGTTTTAAGCCCAAAGTTTAAAGCCCCCCAGGAAAAAAAAAAATGGAAATGTGGAAGGTTCCCCTTCTATAATCTTTTAAAAATAAAAATTTTATTTGCAAAAAACCAATCTGCCCTTTTGTGTTTTTGTTAGACGGGTTTTAATTCCTTTAATGAAGAAAAAAATTTTTTGGGGGCTTTAAAATTTTATTTAAAATAAATTTTAAACCTTTTTAAACGCTATTATAAAATTCTGGTTGTTAAAACAATTTAAAAATTAATGAAAAATGCCAAAGTATTGGGTGAAAAAAAATAAATCGCGTTCACGGAAAAATGACTGGATCATTGAGTACAATACTAGCTTATGTTAAAGACATTTTTTGGCGGGATAGAATTTAAATCATTGCTGTGAGTAAAGACTTACCTTAACTCTAGTGTAGCAAATGAACTTATATTTCTATTTGAATTTTCTTTGTTTTTCTCATCAAGCAAAACTCCACCAGAATGACGGACAACTAAAAACCCTACAGCATCACATGTTAGAGCCTATCCAACGAGTTGCCTAGATACGAAAAAGCTCCTTAAAGGTAAAAATTTTTCTTTCAAAATTACAGTTTAAACCCTAAAAATTATCTTAATGGATATGGACCATTCATTCAATCTGGGAAAAAAACTACTTGTATTTAATCCATTGTGGTATAGAAGGAATTTTCATATGATATGTATTGACTGAATCAAGTGCACACCAAATAATCAGAAGGCACCAATATACGGACTGATCTTGGTTTGCACTGGTTTCATGGGTAAAATCAGTTTTATGCCAGTAGGTTTAAGGGGGACTGATCTTGGTATGCACTGGTTTCATACTGGTAATACCAGTTGCTACAAGAAAATATTATCATCACTTAATAGAAATTTCCATGACTGTCATTACATAAAGAGCAATTTTATGAACCTTAATGAATATTCATGACACTCTGCCTTGGTTCATGAAAGCTCTGTAATAAATTTTTAAAAAAATATGAGAACCAAGATAGGCCATGTTCACAGAACGCAGCCCCAAGGCAATGTCTTCTTTAACTTATCCATATTGCTATTTAAATGATATTCAGATTGTAAAAATTTCATGATCTTGAAATTATCATGTAAACATTTTAACGCAGGTGCAATTTTGATCGAATTTGTTAACAGAATATTAAAATAATATCAATGGGATTTCATGACCAAACGTAATACACAGTCATGTAAATGAAATTTGTTTTTTTTTCCATAAATTTTCTCTTATAGTAATAAAGGAGATATTTAAGAGACTATTCAAAGTTTTATTGAATGTGCCCATGACATTTCATGAAATAAATAAAAATCATTGAAGTACAATAAAACAGTTTCCCAGTGCTAGCAGTGATTATTATAGACCTTTTCCACTGAATATGAAACTTTGTGGCCTTATCACAAAAAAGACATTTTCAAGGGTCCTTAAATTCGTGAACTGGTAATTTTTCCAAAAGGTAAAAAGTAAATAATGTGATGCAAAATAATCTTACAGCAGACGAAATGAAATTTCATAGATCTTATATTCGTGGATTGTAAACAATGAAAATTAGTGCCCCATGAATAATAATGATTTTGCAGTAATTTCCATTTTACCTTTTCATTTTTCAGATTATTTAAAAAGACTTCCACAAGACTCGCCAGATCGACCTGATGCCCAAAGTAAGTATTTTGTCTGGACACACTTTTATTATTTTTTTTTTAACTAATAACTTACATAAAAATGTAATGCACGAATGAAGATTTATAATTATAACTAAATTTAAAGGTAGGGGCGTCCATGGCGGAGTGGTTAAGGTCAAAGACTTCAAACCACTTGCCCATCATAGCTGTGTGTTCAAATCCTGATTATGAATTCTTTCATGCGAAGAAGCTTTCCAGCTAGCTCATGGAACATCGGTGGTTTTACGCTGGTGCCCGTTCATGCCTGAAATAATGCACAGAAGAACACCTGATGTCTTGCTCCTTCGGTAAAGCTCGAAAGTAACCATATGACCTATACTGTGTTGGTGCAACATAAAATCCCCACTCCCCCACCAAAAAAAAAAACAAACAAAAAAAACACAAAAATTTAACAGATCAGCCCCTACTTATTTCTTTTTATTTTGATTAGGTTCAAGTACTGGTCATTTTGGTTTGTTATTATTGACCTCAAGTTCTATAAAAAAAAATTATAAATAACTTTTATATTCTTCCCTAATAGTAAATCCATTTATATCCACACAATGACATTTAAATGAAATTCAAATGTAAACATATAAATGTTGTCTACACATAAATTTCTCTTGCCATTTACAGAAGCCTTGGACCTTGTGACTGAGGCTGCCAGTCATTCCAATACTGCCATGAAGAAGCTGGTATGTATTTATTAAATCCTTCTCTTTATAGTGTGTGTAATAGATACTGTATTATAGGATGTGTCTCATTTCGAAAGTTAACGAATTTAAAATTCCAAACATTGCGCGAGTGGAAATATTAGCAAATCACTGGTTCGAAGCTAGAGTGAAAAACTGAAATATGATTTTCGCTTAGAGGAAAATTTTTGTGATATTTCTGAGTTTAACCACTTATACAGTACATGTATTTATTTAGTCGCTACCAGAATCTGGTGGACTTTAATTTCACTTTTTGGAGGAGAAACACCAGGGGCCCCTCTTATCAAATACATCCATTTTAATCATAACAATGTGTTTAGTAAGACAGCCTTACAATTAAGTGTATGACATTTTGTAAATCAATATTGTACACTGCACAGTAATACGTCTAAAATGTACGACCTTTGATAAGGATGCAGCCAAGGTTCTGTTAGGTGCAAGGTGAAAAATAGTCACCTTCACAGACCTTGGTTTTCAATTTTCATTGGAAAGTCTACTCGTAATAGTAATTTTAGTTGGAGTAGCAGGGGAGTGAACTCTAGAGCTCAATTCCTTTTAACAAAATAGTTATAAACCCCAAACATTTAAATTTTCTGTAAACAAATAAATTCTAGTTTAGTTCATTTGACAATAGAGAGAAACATGCGTAAATTTGTGTTTTGATCAATAGTTTATTTAATTATAATGGTGAAATTACTTTTTAATTGATGTAAATTTTCAGGAAATGTTTGGAAATTGTGATGAAGTTTGGTATCTTATTTCAAGAGTAATGAAATTCTAAGAATAATTGGATATTTTTTTTGTGTGTGTTAAATTAGAAAAAATATATCCTCAGTTGTATGTTTTTTTTTCTATTATATTATCATTATTTTAGAAAGAAACTTTGTACATTAATGTATAAAAAAGATCATTAAGAGATTTTACTGATTACTGCTGTCACTTTGTGTTTGAATTATAACATTTTCTCTGTTAAAACCATACAGAAATTTTGAAAAAAATGAAAGGCACAAAAGTTGTTATTTAAAGGAAAGATTCTTGGTTAATGAATTCTTTAAATAATTTGTGAGTCGCATATTTTCGTTCAAGTGCAGCTGAACTAAGTAAAGAAACAAGTCAATAGATGAATGTGTTTAATTCCACCATCACCTTTTGGTTTTGTCTTGGAAGGTGTTGGACGTGAAACGGGCCCCCCAATTTTCCCAACAGTGCAGGCATTTGGTTTGGATTGATCGTGAAATCCTCCTACGGCATTACACTGACCTTTGCCCGGGGCATGTACAGAATTTCAGTTCCTTTGGGCGGAAATGAAGGAAACTTTTTTACTGGAAACTGCTTGACAGCTTACCCAGGAACGGTGCGGGGACTGAACTGTGATCTTGAAACTTCAAGGTGGCTTCCTGCCATGATCCGGAGTGAAAACTACCAATACCACCAATACCACCACCGTCATTGGTTACACTTGGTATATATTCAATAATACTACATTATATGTCATCGGTTAACCATGGATTGTATTCTGTACATACTCAGATACTTTCACAAGTATATCAAAAATGCTATATTTGTATTATTTTAGGATAAATTTCACAAGTTATTAAACATAATACCTCGGTTGAATGGAGAAGGGACCAATGATTTAGTCAGTCCAACCAGAGAGCTTGTGAAAGAAGGGCCAATAACAAAAATATCAGCTCGCAGTGGAGAAAAGCAAGCAAGATATATTTTCTTAGTGAGTAAAAATTTGTATTATGTTATTAAAGGGCCTGTGTTGCTTTAAAATTTTTATATATTATAAATAGATAAGCAGGACACATTTTCATCAACATTTTACTTTTATGAACATTTCAAGTCTGAAAGTAAGACTTGGACTTTAAGCTTTTATTTGGGAGTGGTTTTATTTTGCTGTATTTTCTTCATTTTATATGAATATTGATGATATTTAAGAATGTAGCTAAAATGCAATTTCAACATAATCAGCTGTCATGTAATATTTTCACCATTCTTTACTTATTTATTTATAATTTTTTTCAGACATATTGGTGCATAACTTTAATTTATTTGTTGGTGTTTTATTTTTCCCTTGGTTGGATTTTGACCAATATAAAGGTCAAATGCAATTTTACCAGCTTTACTGGTGGTGGAGGAACACCTCCAGTGCCCTTCAGGACAATATTTTATGCTCAAGCAGACATCTTAGTAGAACCACGACCATACTGTGAATTAGATGTATAACTTCCTAACATAAAAGCATTCCAAGTCCCTGATGGGTTACCAAGCAACAGTGTATGTGTATGGCCAGAGGGGGTGGGGGTATTGGTGGGTAAATGATTTAAAGTCAGTGATCCTAAACTGACTGTGCGACCTATACAAGAAACTATATAATTAAGTTATCGTTGAAGAAGTGAAAAATTTAAACATTTTCATCTTCTCTTCTCTTTTTTCAGTTTAACGATTTACTACTAGTGTGTTCAGAACAAATGATGGGTTCATATAAACTCCGGGCTCGACTGAGTGTAGATGGGATGGAAATAACGGCAGGGGACAATCAAACCATACAAAACACATTCTGTGTTAAATGTATTGAGAAGACTGTAGAATTCCTAGATGAGTGCGTAATAATGTTTAAATGTTTTTGCAATCTCATTTGATCTCAAGATCTCAGATTTTGATTGTCTTTAAATATTATTTTCAGGAATTAAGTAACACCACTTTTTTGCCTTGGTTAACCTTAAGGTTAATTTCTCAAAAACAGTCAAAATTTTTCTATTCAAGCTTGGAATACTTGTTCATGATCAAAATTATAATGCATTCCTAAAGGGCAGCTAGGTAACACTGAAAGTTGATTTTTTGCTCATAACACTATCATAGATATTCACTTCAAACTAAAAACTCTTGTTTACTATCAAGGGAAAATGTTTCTATGTGGCAGTTTTTCAGAGTTATGCCCCATTATTATCAAGTACTGAGAAAAGTAGAGCATGCTGCTCCTTGTACAGCTCACATTTGAAAAATGTATCATCGTGTACTAAGGAAAGAATTGCTTAGCTTTAAGTATAAGCATAGCAATAACCCTGAACATTTTTTATAACTGGCCTTTATTGGGAGAACAAAGAATATCAGGCTTGTGTGGGTTAGTCCCAGGAATGAGTTTGATCATATTAATTCTTATGTTTCAATATTTTTTTTGAAACAGGCTTTTACATAATTATAGGGGAAAATTGGAGACTTTTTGCTTTTTATGCTGTTTAGTGTTTAAACAAATAGAAATGTAAAACAATCAGTTTTAATTTACCTATTTACTATAGCAACAGAGGCAAATAGATTTAAAGGGATGGTAGTTAAAATTGGTAACCATGGAAACATGTAGGATGGATAGATTTAACTAAATTTTGTTCTTACATTTATCTACATTTTGTTCTTTATCTCCATAGAGAATGGGTTTTGTTATTTAGTAGAATGGTACCTAAATGAGACAAAATAACAGGGAAGGCTAAAAAGATTGATATGTGTTTGGAAAGTAAGGATAAAATAGCTTTGAGATTGGTATTTAAATAGGCATTACAGTAAAAGGAGAATTGTCTTGCCTTTTGCAATTACTTTCATGAATATTTTTTGTATTTGAAGTACACATAGGTTCTCATTCATTACAGAAATAAATATAATTATAGTTTTTATATGGTAGGTAGTTCAAGTTGAACTGGCTCCGCTAGACAGTAATTACTGCTCGACAGTGAAACAGATTCTATATTTAGTAACAAAAATGATTTCTTGTTGTTATATTAGGAGAATTAAAGGGAGATAGTGCACAAACATTCAGGGTATGGAAAAACTGAGCAGATTTTGAGGACAAATTAAAAAATACAATTTCATTCCATCACATTTTTCAATATCTAAGTGTTTGTTTTTGTTTTTTTACAGGGCCAACAGTGGTCAAGGCTTGGACTGGTTTGCAGTAAGTGTAATTTTTTTTATAATTTTAGTCAGATGTCACTTTAATTAAATAACTAAATAAGTTCCTTATTTTATGTCTAGCACAAGTTCAGTGTTAAAGTCTCGACTGGTTCCCTATATTTATATTACCATGTGTTATATTTTTCAGACATTCCAACAAGTGGTCACAGACTACCATCATAAATCAAAATTATGTAGAGTAAAATCAGATCCCGGGCCGCCAAACCCTGTAGCTGACAACCATCCAGATCTGGTGAGTGAGGACCTTTTTTTTTTCAAATTTCTCAGAACCAATGTTGTAACATTGACTTGCCTATGACACCAGTATAGATTTTTGCCAGCCTGTATTTTTTTATCTGTACAGTCCTACCAACACTTAATTATTTTTATTTATTTTTTGATCATGGTAACCATGGACAACGCAATGTTTTAAAGGGTACTGGTATACAGTACAGCTGTTTTGGGCGTCTTTGATTAGTAGAATTTGTATTTCTTTGTATCTTTATAAAAATCAAACACCCAACACAAAACAAAGAACATAGATTAATGAATAATGTCTGTAGATTCTGATTATGTAGGTAGCACATGATGCGAAATACTTGCTAACCCTTTTGAATATATTATTTGAAAATTTCATTATATAAATATTTTGTTAAGATACATAGTTTATTCTGTTTTCAAATAATAAATCCACAAGTGTTACAAAACAGTGACACTTTTTGCTAGGACTCTATTCAGATATGCCCTATATTAAATTAAAAGAGATTAAAATGAGTCGCATCATGACAAAACCAACATAGTGGGTTTGCGACCAGCATGGATCCAGACCAGCCTGCACATATGTGCAGTCTGATCAGGATCCATGCTGTTCGCTATCAGTTTCTCTACTTGTAATAGAGTTTGTAAGCTAACAGCATGGAATCTGATCAGACTGCGCAGACCATTACATGTATGTTGGTTTTGTTGTGACTCGGCTCAAATAAGTACACGCTTCTGTAGTTCTAAAAGTTTTCATAATTTTCACCACCACTACACCCTTTAATGCAGGGCAAGTCACTGGTACTCCAAATTTTCATTTTTTAGCAAAATATGAAAAAAATATTAAATGGATGAAGGTCACTAATCATGTATCTCTTAACTTGTATAAATCATTTCATCTCTGCTTACTTATAATGTGATTTAATCCAAAAACTAATAAAAATATATAGAAACTAACATTTTAGATGGATATTGTCACCTTAGAGCAGTAATGGGTAAACTCCTTATACTATTTAATAGGAGTTAACCTGTAACTGCACTAAGGTGACAAATTAAGATGCTGCTAGTGCAACATTCCATATTTGAAATGCAGATATGACAAAAATATAAATACACATGTATAGTGTATCAGTTTAAATGCAAATAAACTGAATTGCTTATATTCATGGACAATAAATGGTAAACAGAGGAGGTCTCGGGTTGTGGAAAAATTTTGATTAAATTGATTGGAATCTTTGAGTGTTGAAATAAATATATATATACTGGTAGATCTATAAAGCCCTATGTACGATATTAGTTAAAATGCTGATTGTTTGGTTCTAGTTAGCATGCATTATTTGTGACTCTTATTATTGTGAAATGTATTGTTTGCCTGTATTGTGAGCAATAATAGAATGTTGCTTTGAATTGAATATGTGTGCTTGAAATTATAAATAGTTTCCATATTAAAGATATATATTTTAGTTTTTAGGCTGTTTGCTCATTGTTATTTCATCACATTATTCAGTGTGAATTTATTTCATTTAATGCAGTATGTTTATTGATTACTTCCATATAAACCAATTTAATTCCATGTTTATAGATTTGTATCACATAAACTGATTTTATTCCATGTTAATGGATTTTCTCCATATATTAAACTGATTTAATTTCCAATCACTTGATTTGTTCTATATAAACTGATTTTAATTTCACATTAATAGATTTGCTCCATACAAACTGATTCAATTTCATGTTAATTGATTTGCAGCATTTAAACCAATTTGATCTGATGTTTATTCCATGTTTATTAATTTGATCCCATATAAATTTGTACGATTTGAATAGATTTGCTGCATATAAACTGATTTGATCCCATTGCTATGCATAAACTAATTCAATTTTTATGCTAATTGATAGATTTGCTCCATATAAACTTATTTGATTCTGTTTGTTAATTGATTTGCTCCATATAAACTGATTTCATTTCATGTTAATTGATTTGTTACATATAAACTGATTCAATTTTATGTTAATTGATTCATTCCATATAAACTGATTCAATTTCATGTTAATTGATTTGTTACATATAAACTGATTCAATTTTATGTTAATTGATTCATTCCATATAAACTGATTCCATTTCATGTTAATTGATTTGTTACATATAATCTGATTCAATTTCATGTTTATTGATTCATTACATATAATCTGATTCAATTTCATGTTTATTGATTCATTCCATATAAACTGATTCAATTTCATGTTAATTGATTCATTCCATATAAACTGATTCAATTTCATGTTAATTGATTTGTTCCATATAAACTGATTCAATTTCATGTTTATTGATTTATTCAATATAAAGTGATTCAATTTCATGTTAATATTGATTCACTCCTTATAAACTGATTCCATTTCATGTTAATTGATTTGTTACAAATAATCTGATTCAATGTCATGTTAATTGATTCATTCCATATAAACTGATTCAATTTAATGTTAATTGATTCATTCCATATAAACTGATTCAATTTCATGTTAATTGATTCATTCAATATAAAGTGATTCAATTTCATGTTAATATTGATTCGCTCCATATAAACTGATTCCATTTCATGTTAATTGATTTGTTACATATAAACTGATTCAATTTCATGTTAATTGATTCATTCCATATAAACTGATTCAATTTCATGTTAATTGATTTGTTCCATATAAACTGATTCAATTTCATGTTAATTGATTCCCTCCATATAAACTGATTCAATTTCATGTTAATTGATTCGTTTCATAAAAACTGATTACATTTCATGTTAATTGATTTGTTCCATATAAACTGATTCAATTTCATGTTAATTGTTTTGTTCCATATAAACTGATTCAATTTCATGTTAATATTGATTCCCTCCATATAAAGTGATTCAATTTCATGTTTATTGATTCACTCCATATAAACTGATTTGATTCCATGTTAATTGATTTAATTCATGTTTTTATTTTATCAGGAATCAACAGTATCTCTAGGTTTATCAACAAGCATGTCATCTCTTTTCACCACATCATTACCTGCAAAAAATCTGGTACACATTTTGTTAGCAAAATTATCCAGCATAGTCCCCTCTCAATTCTTTATATATAGCTACAAAATCTTGTACAAACTGAAAATATTTATGTTGCAATGGAACCTTAGGATATAATATTAATATATATAGTCAAAGTTCATACCTGAAATTGTGGATTGTATTAAATACATGCTATAAAGAGAGAGAGAGAGAACAAATATCAATACTGTGTTGCGAAAAAAATTGTAGAAAATACGTCTCAATCTAAGTTTTTGGGTTCCTAATTGCATTTTATTTTGTAGTTTTCTTAATTTCTTCTTTCTTTTGGCTAATTTCCTCATCTGTTGATAAAAAAAAAAACTTCTCGATATGGCAGACACTGAACATGGGCAGAAAATTATTTTTAATTAGGTGCCATTTAAACATTTATTTGAATTTCTGGTTGTACAAGTTTTGAAGGGAAAGTAGGCTAGATGAAGTTGTTTTTACAGCATGGGCATTCTTCTAAGAAAGGAAAATAAAGTACATATACATGATTGTATATTTAATATATAATTTATTGCATTAAACCAAAATTTTCCTTATATATGTATTATCAAACTTAATTCTGCTCTGTTTAGTTTTGAAATTGAAACAGGCTTCTTTAATTATCTCGATGGCTCGCCGAATTGGCACAGTAGGGAGACAGTAAGGTGTCTCAACATGGGATTTGCAACTTTAAGCCTTTAAGGAGAGTCACATGATTTCCAGTAATTATTTGGCACTAAGCTAAACCTTTACTTTGATGGGGGGGGGGGGGGGAGGAATTAATTTACTCATGTGACCAGTGCAGACCAAGATCAGCTGGCAATCAGTGCTGTGTGGTCATGATCCTCATTGTTGACCAGGTTTTCAACGAAAACTGGTTATTGTAATGCCAAAGTCCGTGGGCGGGCACGTGTCAACTTTTGGTTTCCATTCAATAACTTGAGTTTGCTTTGGCCTATTGACACCAAACTTGGTGTATGGATAGCGTATATCAAGAGGCAGCTTGGGATTGCTACCCTGTGTCTGTGATCAAGGTAAAGATCACTGTTACTAAAAATAGCTAAAAATAGAAATTTCCACACCATAATTTGTTGTAATGCCAAAGTGGGCGGGCGGCCAGGTGTCAACTTTTGGTTTCCGTTCAATAACTTGAGTTTGCTTTGGCCTATTGACACAAAACTTGGTGTATGGGCAGCTTATTTCAAGAGGCAACTTAGCATTGCTACTCAGGGGTCTGTGAACAAGGTCAATGTTGCTTAAAAGAAAGAAGTTCAGTTTTCACATTATAACTTGAGTTTGCTTCACCAAAATTGCTGTGTGGCAGCTTTGGATTGCCACTTAGATATTTGGGAGCAAGGTCAAGGTCATTTGCTTACAATACTCAATAGAATTTTCAGCTTCTACTCAATAACTGCAGTGCACTTTGACCTACCATATTGATAGCTGTCACATCAAAACTTGGTCGTTGAAAATCTGGTTTTCATTGCATAACATGGCTTCTTGTTCACAATTCAATCACAATTCAATCAATACTTATTTTCAAAATTTCCCTAAAAAATTATGAACGGTTTGGTCCAGATTGACAGATGGACAAGTCCATTGAAGATGTATAGGGTGGTACAGGTTAAACAAAACAAACTATAAAAGCTCTGTAAGTTTGAATTACTGTAATTTTATTTGAACACATGATGGGTAACAATCTAAGATTATAAAATTTCTTATGTTTCATCAGAAACTCAAAGATTCATTTTTTTAAAGAAAAAATTTTTTTTCTTTGTTTTCAATTTTATCCATGTATAGACCAAATTTAGTGGTCCATCATATGCATGTACTATAATATTCTCTTCTGTGTGGTATCATATAAATAGACAGCAGACTCTCTGTGTACTCATTATGATGTCTTTTTCTTTTGCAAAAAGAGAAAATATTTATTTTGTATCATGTAAGTTTGTCAAAACACAAATACAGTCAGTTTAAACTTTCTTCTAATTAGTACATGTATTTACTTTAGTATTTTTCAACTTTCTGCTAATTAGTTACTCGTAGTTAATTACCATTCTTTAGTAAAGTTTAATTTTCTGCACAGGTTAATATTTGAATTTAACAAGAATTTGTAACAATGTTACCAACATCCCCGTTAGGGAAGTTTTATGTGAACAATAGTGTTATTTCAAATGTTTGAGCAACGGGTCTTGACTATTAGTGCAAAATCTTGATAAATGCTAGATCTGCACATTCAACAGTAAATTTGTTATAGAAATATAATGAAATAAGGAGATAATTCTTGTGACTTTGTCAATAGAAGTACATTTCAGCAGTTTTTTCACTGAAAATAACTAAATAAGGGGAGATAATTAGAAAATTATTTGAGATGGAGTTATGGTTATCTCGCAGTGCACTATTACCTATTTATATTTTTAATTTTAACTGGAATCTCTTGCATTCTTTTGGATTTATTCTCTGGACTAGGAAATAGACCATGTTAAGCTTTGACCTCTATGTGTGACCTTGATGGTAGAGGTCTGGGTGTTACAAATGGCACATTGTCTTAATATTGTTCATATATGTGCAAACTGATATCAAAATCCTTTCATGAATGGAGAAGTTGTGCACTGGACACAAAGCGAACAATAAAACAGACCATGTTAAGCTTTGACCTCTAACTGTGACCTTGACCTTTGAGGTAGGAGTCTTCATGTTGCTTTTGACACATTGTCATATAATGGTGATTATTTGTGCCAAGTTATTTCAAAATCTCTTAATGACGGCTGGATGGACAGACAGACAGACAGACAGAGAGATGGAGCCCATGTCTATGTCCCCTTTATCTTCGAAAAGGTGGGGACTGTTAAAAATAATCATAAAAAATAAACAACTTACAGAGTTAAAGGGGTGCTAATGACAAAAAAAATGAAAATAAAAACGTTTTTGAAAATAATTCTGCAGAAATGTATCTTGAATTATCAGTCTGTTGCATGCACTAGATATATCACATTTATATAGGAATACATACATAATTATACTCTTAGTACAACAAAGTTGGGAACAAGTTTAGTCTGGTTTAAATTCTTGTTCCAGCTTATTAGGCATTTTATTTGGAATACGTTTTGCTTTTGTCATATTATTAAGAGCTTTTTTAATGTTGATGAAAGGTATGAAATATTAGATTTGCTTGGTATATTTTAGAGTGGAATGATATTCAATGATTTTATTTTATATTCTGTTAATGTCCTGTTTGCTACATGTTTGTAACTTAAATCATAAGAAATGAAATTTGATTGATGCATTAACTTCTTTACCATAAGGTTTCAAAGCAGTTCTATATCGAAAGCTTGATGTTGTTGTGTAATATTTGTTCATAAAAAGAAGCTAACTTTCATATACCAGTCTCCAGCTTGAACACTGTCATTGGTTGAATTTGAATTTGTGCTTTGAATCAGCCAATCAGATGCTTGAACTTAAGACTGGTACTAGATAAATATTTCAGCTGAAATAGAAAGTGATAAGCCATTGCCACTAGTATTGAGCCAGAAAAGCCTGGACATTTGAAAGTGTTAGGTAGCCTTAACTGCCTTCTGCTCATGCTGTCCTAGCAGGCTCTATACTGTTGGCTGACTAACTTAAAATTTTGAACTTGATATCCCTATATTTATAATGAAGAGTTAAAAAAATGGAAGCTGAACAAATTTATGTAAGAAAGTAAGCAGGTTGTGTACAAGAATGGTTCTGGATATGATAAGAGATTGGTTTGCTTTTGTAGGGTAACCAGTTAGGACAGAAGTCTCCACAGTGGGTAAAGGACGAGGAAGTGACAATGTGTATGTCATGTCAGGACAAGTTCACAGCCATAAAAAGGAGGCACCATTGTAGGGCATGTGGCAAGGTGGTTACTTTTCTATATTATACAAATGTAATGCTTGCGTAAACAATTAGGATTGATATTTGGATTTATTTTCATCTATTGTCTTTCCCCAATCTGCAATTATTTCTTGTTTGATAGTTTCAGTTTTTAGCGGGAGTATTTTGAAGAACAGAGAGAGCTATTGTACTAATGTCGGTGTCACACTTTGGTTAAGTTTTTGTGTGCAAGCTAGTATCTCTAAAACTACTGAAGGGAATGGCTTGAAACTTCACACATTTATTTGAGAGCATAATAGGAGGTCACTATCCAAGGCCCATAAGTAAGACATGAATTTTGGAAGAATTATGGCCCTTTTTGAACTAAGAAATATTAATCAGGCTCTTGTTTTACTATCAAGTACTGAGAATAGAAAAGAATACCCTACAAACAGCTCTTGTTATTGTAGTTAAATGAAATTTGTATAAGGGACCATGAACAGTCTTAATCAGTAATTTTGTGATACATTTATAATGCTATTTCCAGGGACAACTAATACCATGCCATTATTGCTATAACTAACTATATATTACAGGTATTTTGTAACAAGTGTTCATCTAAGAAAGTCCAGTTAGCCTATGACAGTAACCAGATGAATAGAGTATGTCAGAAATGTTACGATATACTGAAGAAAGGAAAAGGAAGTGTTAGCTCTCTAGAGTTATCAACGGAAGTTACGCCTATATCACCTAAACCAGCCATTCAGGTATGCAAAATATTTTTCCTCCATTATCCAGTTGCGGCCTTAGCCTAACTGAAAGTAATTTAAACCTTTGTCACCAGAATAGAGCCTGTCCTGAGTCTGCACACCTGTGATGTCTGACCAGGCTCTAGGCTGTTGGTAGCTCAAATTTTTCTTTACTTTGATATCAAAATCCTTTAAACTTTAAATGGACTGTTCCAAATTTGGAGCTGGGTAAAACCATTACACAAATTTAGCAGGTTAAGGGTAGCATACATTTATTTCACTTGTATTTATACTATTACTGTTAATTGTTTGAAATGATTTTATAAAACCATATTCTTATTACAAAAAGCAGTCTTGATAATTAGTTGGTCCATATATTTTCTTAATTAATTCATAATCTTCCAAAAGTCCGAAAAAGTTTCAGACAAGAATATTTGACCTTTATGTATGACATTGACCTTCAGGATAGCAGCAACCTGGATGTTGCGCTATGCACATTGTGTCATGTTTGTGATCTTTTATACAAGTAATTTTAAACCCTTCCCAGTAGTCAATAAGTTATTGAGCAGTATTGATTCCTGCAAAATCATTTATATTCATGGGGAACTAGTTTTAGTGGTTTTTGTGGATAGGTCACAAATTCACGAGATCTAACAATTATTTTTTATTGCTTTATTTACATTTTACATTTTGGAAAAATAAACAGTCAATGAATTTTAGAGCCCACAAAACGTTCCTTGTGACAAAACCACGAAATTTCATGCCCAGGAAATTATGTGAATTTACGGTATGTATTTATTATATATTTCAGATACACAAGGCAGATGAGGCTTCTATACTAAGTGGTTATTTAAATGTGATGGACAAGGATCATAAATGGACAAAAAAATGGATAACCGTTCATGATGATTTTGCTCTCTATTTTTACAAGAAACATAAAGTAAGCAATGCTTTTTAAAGGTTTTTCAGAAACATCCATAAAAATTTTTTAAAAAAAGACAAAAAAAACCCATAAAACAAGATGCTGTAAAATTAAGAATTTTCTCAAAAGGTTAAATTTTAGTGGACTTGTTGTAAAGAAGAAATATTTAAGTGTCATATATAATTAAGAAGGAACGCAGGAATATTTTTTTATATCTTGCTGTAAAAATAGAGCCAAAATGTTGAATTGGTAAAATTATGGCCTCACATAAATAACTTATTATACAGTAATTGTCAAAAATTTTCTACTTTCAACATGATTTGTGAAAGCAGTATTCTACAATTAAAAAAACTGTGGAAAAAACCAAACCTAATAAAATTTTACTATTTATGTTAATAATTAGATTTTACTTTTTCCAAAATCTTTACCAAAAGGATATAACTGAAACAACAACAAAATAGACCCAAACAACAGAAATGTAAAATGCTTTTAATCATTCTAATGAAAGGCCATATTTTAGAGACAGGTCAACCAACATGACTGTGCACGCTGGCCTAATGGCATTGTAAGTTTGCTTAAAGGATTTTTATATACAAACTAAGTTTACAAAATTAAAAGTAGGCCAATGGAACAGGGCAATTATATTGCGAAACATTATGGATAAAAGAATAAAAAGTGTACTATATTATATTTTTAAATTACAGGATGTTGCAGCGATACAGACTTTACCTTTACCTGGTCATTCTGTAAAGGTGATAGGAGACTCAGCAGACCGTCCCAACGTGTTCTCCCTAACTCACAAAGATATCAATGTATGCTTCTTCCAGGCAGATTCAGAAATTCAATTCACGCAGTAAGTCATTTATTTTTTTACAATAGCTGAAACTGCATAGGCTTGGCAACCAGTTTTGCTCCATGCCAGCCTGTACAAACATGCAGTCTGATCAGGCTCAATACTCTAGGCTGATCAACATCCAAACAATCACTGTGAATTAGTGATGTTCCGATTGTCGCTAGTTGCCGATGATTAGAGCGACAATAATTGATTAACATAAATTCCGATTCGCGATGTCGTGAAAAATTACTCACCATAACAAAGGGAGTTAATTCTGACAATAATTTTCCTTGCGATGGACGCAAATGATGTGGAATTGTTTTCTCATCCAGTGAACAAATAACTTAGCATTGTACTTCTTTAAATTCAGACAGGATTTTTATAAATGGAAAATCTTCTACTCAATACGGCTATCTGAAACATATATGCAAAAGTGGGTTCTGTTTAACATAAGGCCTCTGATTCAACAAGAGTAAAATTATTAAAGTTTTTTATTAGTCAAAACTAAAAAATGGTGTTCATCATTTGACACCCATAGAAAAAAGGTTAACTTGTCTTCTGTTATTCAGCAGACCCTCATTGCAAATGCGTCCAAACCAGCTACATGTAGATATTTAATTTTCTTTTAAGTAAATGGACTGTACTGATTACATACATACTAAAAATATAAATCTGTTGTTAAATCAGGGCCGTTAAATTCCTTTCCTGCTTAAATGTATCTGGTCATGTACATATAATAAGTCCATGTCAAAATACTACTTAAGTTATGGGTACTGTATTGTAACTGAAATAATAGCAACATCCATCTTTTTATTTATTTGTAGGTCATTATAATTATATATAATAACTATTTTGGATGCAGTCTATCAGGTTATTTTACGTCTCTTCTTTCTTGTTCAGGCAATTATCAACCAGAAAGTTATCGATTATATCCCATCCGATTGAACCTGTAATCGATTGGGTGAAATTTCACCCGATTTCCATCACTACTGTCAATTGCCTTACATTGATATTAACTGTTTCAAAAACACAATTTATAAACAAAATCACTGTACCCTGTCTTTCGAGCTTATAAAATCCAATTGCGATTACAAGCCAAGTTACTTCAAGTCACTGTAACTTTCTTGGGAGCTAATATATTTTAACTTGTACTTTTCTTGCTACAACAGGAAGTAGTCTATTGTTTGTACTTTTCGAAAAAAGGAAAATTGGACATGTCTATGCATTCAGGTTAAGGTTTTAAAAAAGATTGTAGTGTTAAATGCTTTTATAAATTTATGATGATTTTTATTTATTTGTGATCATGATAAAGAAATAAGTTTTATAACCATTACCTTGCGACCACAAATCCTTAATAAACAGAAAACTTGTAATATTTTCAGATGGGTGCGTGTCTTAGAGAAGATGGTCATTTTGGAATTACCAACTGATGAAGAAAAACGCACGTCCACACACTCGGACAGTAGTGGTCAGTCAAACAGTTCCGGCAGCTCAGGCCATAGCATATGATTTTCATATAAATAGCCAAATACACATCCTCGCATCATAAAACTTTGTCATTATTAATCATTACAATACAAAAAAACAAGTATATACAAAAACTGACATTGGATTTGTCAGGTAATTGAAAGCAATTTATCAATGCAAGCTCTCTAGGTTACAAAATATTTACTGAAAAGCTCACAGATTGATTTTCCAAGCTTTGACAGAAGAAGACGGAATGGGACAACAATTTTTAGCCAAAAGAGACAAAACTTTATATAAAACATATAAGCAATTGTGGCTATTAGCCTCGGAAACTGAATGTTGGGCCAGGCTTGTTGTTAAGACTTTATTTTAGTATTACCAACTTGACAACCCTTCAATGGACAATAGGCCATCCAAAATCCAATGCAGGGCAAGTCTATTGTAAAAAAATCAGAGAATGTAGGATAAAACAATGATTTTAGTGCTGATACTCTTGACAAACTACTTGGCTTGTACTTGTGTTCACTGTCATTTTTATTCGGATCTCAAGGTCATCTCAATTTACGATTAGAAAACTGCAGGAGAGAATGTGTGGAGCTATTTCGACTTGGTGTCTAAAAAAGTGCAAAACGGAAACTTGTGATGCATGAATGAACAAATGTATAATTATATTATTCCAGAGCAGCGTATGTCTGAACATATTCAAATAGGAAATGTTAATTTCAGCATTAGCAGACGGCAATTTCTAGTACAGCTTTGCTAATTGAACGTTTGCTATTTGCTTTAAATATTGACAGAAAGAATGTCTTGTATACATATTGTATATGAAATATACTAACCACCATGTTTAAATATTATGATTTGAAATTGTTGTTTTGGTTAATATTTAGTCTCTTCTTTTTTTTTTTAAGAGGTATGTTTACATGTTCCATTATGCTTGAAATTTTTAAAAGTGAATTGGTCTATAATGGAAGGTCTGTAAATATATACAATAAATAATTATGTTGATAATTTTTAGAAGGGGGTTTCACATTTATCCGTTAAAAGGGTATGGCTGGTTTTTAGCTATAAACCGGTTAAAAAGTTCAATAGCCGGAAACTGTTATTAGTATTTGACAAAGAGGCGAAAAAGAAATTGATTCTAAATATTTCCTTAGTTTTTTCATCACAAAATATAACAAGTTGTTTGTATATTAGTTGTACTCAACAATGTATTTTTTAAAGTATGGTACGACCCTAATCAAAAATAGTTACTCCATATTTGGATATGTATAATAATCATTTTGAGTACAACAAAATACAAACTAAATGTCATAAATAGAGGATATTCAAGTTTTTTCTATAAATACATGATTTATTTTCATCGAGTGGTATGAAAATAAATATTTCATGAGTGGCGGTAGCCACGAGTGAAATATGGTAATTTTCATGCCACAAGATGAAAATAAATCATGTATGTATAGAAAAAACTTGAATTTTCTGTTTATTATATACATTTTTCTCTTCCTGGACATTAAAGTTTAAAAGACTTTCACTTAAATTTTGAGTACTGGCAGAATTTAAAAGAAAGTAGTCCGGCAAGACACCAGTGAAAATACGGAAAATATGTTTCACTGCAGTGAAAAATAAATTTTTACAGTGAAAATACGGAAAATGAAAATACGCATTTTATTTCATCAATATTTCTCAATATTTCATTTAAAAGTATATAATAAAGAAACTAAGTTAATGTTGAAAATCTAAGGGTTTTATTAGTGTGGTCAGTAATACGTTTAACATGGTTATTAGGTTGTCGTTTAAACAGTTAGCATTTTTTCTAACCGTGACACCCCTTATTTTTAGTATAAGACATATACAACAATCTCAAAAGAATTATATACATGGATGTTGTTGGCAAGCATGATATACACAATCAAATATTGTATATATATTATATATGTATTTATATAGCAGATGATAAAGTGTTATAGAAGTAAATATTTATATTCATTTTATAAATGTTCATAAATGTCCACTTAGAACTTTATTAACATTTTTTCACAGAAATATGTTATAAGAATATCCAAATGATACAGTTCTTTTATTTTAAATCCATATTTAAAATACTTATGGAAAATGTGCCTATTGTAGACCAGTCCACTTTTAAGTGACCATCAAAAATAATTAGAGCAAGTTTGACTAATTCTTGAAAGTATTTCTGAAAGGCAAATGGATAACTTTAAAAGGTATTTCTTAAAGGTTATTTTGCCTATCTTCTAGTAAATCAGATCTAAGTATTTGGGTATAAACAAATTCTGGCCAGTAAGCTGTTATTTGCATCCATTTTAATGCATTTAATTGAAAGTGATGTCTCAAAGAACACAGATCATGATTATTACAAACAGTTAAAGCACAGCAGTAAAGAAATATAACATATGTATCAATGGTTTATATTAAAGGGACTCCACTGAGGTTTTTTGACATGATTGGTATATACTTTCGAGATGAATGTTCCATATGGTGTAGGTCGCTCGACCAATAACTTGTGAGTGAAATTTCTGATAATTATCTTTCGCCGTTCTTCCAGAACAATGCTTTTCACTCAAATTCAACGGATTAGTACAAAAATACGATTTTCTATTTATTTTTAGTATATTTCTGAATTTATCTTTTACATTATGTTATTGTTTCAAGTGTCTTGGATAATGTATGTAAGAAACTCAAATTTTATGTTTTTGGACCTCAGTGGAGTTCCTTTAATAAAGAAGAGTGTTAAGTGCTAATATTGCTGAATTTTTTGCCGCTTTTTGTGTGAATTAAGTAAAATACATGTATTTTAAGTTTGCTAGGGGTAGTCAGCAATATTGTACTTTTTCTGTTAATTTGTTTTTGTTATACATATATTTTTTAACAAGATATTCTGTGATCTTCATATAATGGTGTACATGTACATTGTATATTTATAGATGTCCATTGAAAATATGTTGTAATGTTTTTGCTTCCAGTAAACTTTGGACTATTTTTTTTTATTAAGTTTTTAAGCTATATTTCTTTATTACATGTTGTTGACCAACTTTTAGTTTGTAATTAGTTTGTTTTATTGTGTACTTGTACTAAAACCACATCCATTTAGATTGTTGTTTTTTTTTGTTTTGTTATGGTTATTTTGATAACTTGCGGATAAATTGATTTTAACCCTTATACTGCTTGAACCAAAAACGATTAGCCATTGCCACCAAGCCAGGCAAGCCTGAAATCCGGTTGAAATGCGGTGCAGTGACTGCAATCTGACCAGGTTATGTACGATTGGCTTACTCAAAAATAAATCTTAAAATTTTCATCCTGATATCCCTAGAATTGATAATGGACAGGTCCTAAAACATAGAAGTTGGACAAGTCCATTTAATAGATTCAGCAGGTTAAGGGTTATTTAACCCTTTCCCCCATGAGCATATTGTGAAAAATGGCCATTTTCACTGAAAAGCCTCCTCTTACATGTTCAAACTGCTATGAAACTATGAAAAATGCTTCAATACTAATCAAACTTGGCACAAATGTTGACTGGACCATTGCCTTTGTAACGACATGCTCAGTCTTAAATTTCCTGTTACCATGGCAACGAGGGGACATCTCAAAATTGCCAAAAATCACTTTTTTGCCTCGATTTTTTCCATCAAAATTTATTTCAAAGTGCTGCAACTTCTCAAGGGATTGAGATAGAGTCAAAGGCTTTTCAGCGTTGGTTACACGTTACCTTATGATCAACCTGGGGTCATATTAAGCCTCTCACAAGTCCAAAATTTTCTTGGCGATGAGGGGGACTCCGCCCCCCTTCAAACCCCCCAAACAGAAGGGGGCACATCCCCCTTCTGGCAACCCCTTGATGTATTATTTGGATGGGGGACGGCGCCGAAAAAATGGTCACTTTTTTTAACAACATTTCTCAAACGAAAAACAGTGTTTGGGGTCTAAATAGGACATTTTTTCACTGTTTGGGGCCTCAAAAGGGGGGGGGGGCAAAAAGCCGTCGAAACACGCTTATATAAGGGAAAAGGTTAAACAGAGATATAGACACATTTATAGATCATTTTTCATCCTGCTCTCCCCCACATCTCCAGCAGTATGCGTACAGATACATTATTACAGATACAGTATGTCCCTCCGATTAAAGGAACTCCACTGAGGTCAAAAAGTATTCAATGTCTTACATATATCAACTGGAACATTTAAACATTAAAGATATGCAAAAGATAATTAAAAAATATACTCAGAAATAAATTAGCCAGATTTGAGTGGAAAGTGTTGCAATGCTTTTTGATTTTGGTTAATTTTTCACAATTAGACTAATTATTCTGGAAACAGGGAGTGCGCCCATGATTTGAAATTTTGCACACTAGTTACTGCTATAGACCTACATCAGATGTTACAAAAATTTTGAACATTTTATCCAACCCGTCATGTTGAAAAATCTCAGTGGAGTCCCTTTAACAATTGACTGTTTCCAAATAAAAATGCAAAACAAGTCCTTTTTACATATTCAGCAGAGTTAGAGTTAAGCCTTATTGTTAAGCGTTCATCAAGATGTTTCTGTATGTTATATAAGTTATGCACATCTGAAAAAGAGTAAATAAAGTAACACCGATTCATATCTTTTATTTACATTAAAATTGTTGATGTATTATATAATTATGTACTAATAAAATCAGAAATTGTTTATATTGATTTTGTTTGTTGATTTTGTTTGATTGGGTTTTATGTCGCACCAACACAGTATAGGTCATATGGCAACATTCCAGCTTTACTGGTGGAGGAAGAACTCCTTCTGTGCATTATTTTAGGCACGAACGGTGCACCTGAGTAGAACAAGCAACATTCTGTAAGCTAGCTGGATAGCTTCCTCACATGAAAGAATCCAAAGTCCCTGTTGGGAATCGAACCCTAAGGGGTGAGGGGCAAGTGGTTCAAAGTCAACGACCTTAACCAATAGGCCACGGACGCCCCTTATGTTGATTTTGTTTTGTTGATTTAATTTAAGGACTGTCAAGTGTAGCAGTTAAATAGCTAATATAATACAATAATACTATACAATCGCAGTAGGACAAGAGGCATCACTCTGTATAAAGGTACTCGTAGTTATGGGACCTGTTTGGCCATTTCCATTATGCACTTTTTTAGAAACTAACTTGCATACCAAAGTATGAGGCTGACCCCTGGGTGAATGAATACAATAGCTCTTCCTATTCTTTTAATAGTCAAGCTTAAAGTGAAGAAACATTCACAGATTGCTAAATCTCTGCCAAACGTGAGAAAAAATCATAAAACAAGAAATGTCAAACGACACATATGCCCCCTTTCTAGCCCTTGCTTTGACTCACATTATTGGTTATTTTGTTGTACAAACTTGCCATAAATGGGTACATGGAAGTGTTTAGATATGGAAAAAAGAAAAATATGAAGACTTTGTTATAAAAAGTTTTCAAGATAATGAGCGGAAACCATTCTGACATTTAAGGCCCCTGTGACCTTGACCTCTGAGCTAGGGGTCATCTAATAGTTATGACCAATCAATATGAGAAATATGAAGACTTTATGATAAATAGCTTTCAAGATAATGAGCGGAAACCATACTAACATTCAAGGACCCTGTGACCCAAAAATCAACAGGGGTCACTTACTGGTTATGACCAATAAGTATGTGAATTATAAAGATTTTGTGATGCATAGTTTTCAAGAAAATAAGAGGAAATGATTCTGACATTTAAGGCCCCTGTGACCTTTGAACTAGTGACCCCAAAAGCAATACGGGTCAACTACTAGTTATGACCAATCACTATGTGAAATATAAAGACTTTGTGATAATTAGCTTTCATGAGCTGAAATCATAGGATCCTGTGAGCTTTGACCTGGTGACCCCAAAATCAACAAGGGTTATTTACAAGTTATGACAAATCACTATGTGAAATATGAAAACTTTGTGATGAATACTTTTCAAGATAATCAGCGACGACCATTCTGACATATAAGGCGCCTGTGACCTAAAAATCAATAGAGGTCATCCATTAGTTATGACCAATCACTATGTGAAATATGAAGACTTTCTGATGCATAGTTTTTCAAGATAATCAGCGGAAACCATTATGACATTTAAGGCCCCAGTGACCTTGACCTTTAACCTAGTGACCCCAAAATCAATAGGGGTCATGTACTCTATATGACCAACCACTATGTGCAATCTGAAGACTTTGAGATAAATAGTTTATAAGATAATCAGCAGAAACCATGTGGTCTACCTACAGACAGACAGACTGACGGACCAACATCAGCAAAACAATATACCCCCGATTCTTTGAAGGGGGGCATAATAATGTCACAAGGCCTTCAACCCAATTTGGCAGAAAAAAAGGTTACAATGTGCAGCTGAGGGAATTTTAGCATATGTGGGAATTTTTTCTATTTCTTTTCTGGTTAAAATTTTAATGTCATTAGATACAACTTAAATATGGTTTTTCTTTAATTAAAGTTATGTCTACCTTGCGCATTAGCCTAAACTCAAAATCTTTGACATATGCTGTACAGGCATGACGTTTGATCTGTTAAGAGTTAGGACAGGAAAAACAAAACCCAACAAAAAATTCTGTCCTCAAAATATTTTAATAAAACATTACCAATATTTGTCCAAGTCTATACCAATAATCAGTATTATCACACCAAGTTTCACAGCACTGTTAATTCATATAAGTAACTACAGCACATTTTCAGAGTACTAAAGCACTCATATATAAATATTCCAAACAATTTGCAATTTTTTTGTCCAGCGTCTTACATAATACTTGTCACACGCTCAAAGTTCACAATATTCTCTCAATCATTCTTTCTGTTTATTTTTTCTACAAAAATCTTTTAACAGACGCATTTAAGATTTATATAAATTAGATTAACATCAACTTGTTACCTATCACATAGATCATGTGTATGTTACATGTTTTCTGATGACTACATATAAAATTTTAATGTCTATGAACGCCCCTGATTACAAAGCGTTAGCTCCTGAGATGATTTCGATCAATTCTCTAGTAATGACAGCCTGTCTGGTTCTGTTGAAGGTCAAGGTTAACTTGGCAATCATTTCCTCTGAAAAGCATCAAATGTAAAATCCAATTTAAAAATATTCGAAAAATCTGCCACAACCTATTAGCAGTTCTTGATGAAGTATCAGTATTATTACATCATTTTATAACTTAGTCACTCAAAGAGTAGAAACATAAATGGATAATAATTCAGAGCCAAGCAAAATCTGATTTTGTCTTACTTTTTCGTTTTATCTTAATTATTTTTTTACATGTCTATATTTTATTTATAAAGTAAATTCTGGTAAAATTTTACTTGTCAATACTGGCTGTGAGACAAGCTGGGCAATATGAACAATTGATTTTGCTGCCCCTGGATTTATTCACAACATTGTGTAGAATAACTTATTATATGTCTCATTTTCAATTCATAATCACTAATGGCACAAGAAGGTATTCAGCAACTAAGTTTTTCATAAACTGAATACATGTAATAATGTTTTCAATAAACAAGATGATCAAGTTTTTAAAAACCCAGCATGAATGCTCTTCAATGGTTCCACTGATTAGCCTTAGCCACCTGTATAGAACCAGGCAATCCACCTCTGTGCACTTTGGCACTGTTTGCTGACTATCTTTTCAGCTTGTTCTTCGTACCCACATAATTGATAATGGACAAAAAAAGTGTGACCTGGACAACTTGGACAAGAATCTTTACACTCACTGCTTAGCACTGGTTGATTCCAGGAAATGATTGGAGTAGCTGATAGCTGCCTTTATGATCAAACTAAAATAAATTCTGTGTAAACTTAAGAAATTCATCAGATAAAGGGGGGAAACAACTTATTTTGATAAGGAAGTCACTTACTCACTAAACATGTATATGTGAGCTGGCAAGAAAGTAAAAAATTAAAACTTACCTGCATTCTTACTAGCAGAGTCCATGGCAGTCATTCTAGAGCTCTGTTCACTACATGCAGCCTCTTTGAGGGCGTAATAGATGCGACTTGCCAGCATGTACTCATTGTAACACTTCAATACTTCTTCATCCACGCTATCGTATTCAGACAATTTGGGAGATGCGGCTACGACTTCTTCCGTGTAAAGGGTCATATTGGATGTATTGTACGACACCACGTTCCTGTGCAGCAAAAAAGAAAATCAACTGTCAAAGGATATCATAAGGTGTTATGTTTATGTACTGAACTGCTCTTGCTTTATTGTTGACAATGTCTAAGAGATGGTCTGATATTATCGATTAAAATCGTTATAATTTCCTTCATGATATGGTCTCCTGATACAATGTTTAGGTATCGATATCTCGCGATACGTTTTTCTATTGTTATGTTTTACTGTTTGAAAAGGAATTTCCCCAAAGGCGGGGCTAGTATTGACCCCTGAGGATAAAATACAGAAAACAAGTTCTTACCTAAATTTGTTGAAGAAGAGTGATGCTGAATCAAACTTATATCCAGAGTTGGATATCTGTTCAGCCAGGAATGAGGCATCATTGAAGTTTGGAGGTGCCTTACCAATGTTGCTAAATGCCAGGATAATATCTTTTCCATACAGTCTGAAATACACATATTAGGTAGTAGTATTTTAAAATCTTTTGTGCTGGATAATAAAAACAAGTCATGATGGCCATTTCATCACATACCTAAGCTCAGTAGAGTTTAAGTATTACCAATATATCAATGATAAACAGATGATCACGATTTACCTTTTATCTACATAGATTTAAATATACATAGATTTAATGGAAGACAACCAGTATTTAGATACTCCAGAATTCAAATATGGGGTTTTCCTATCTAATCCCAGGGTCAAAACAAATTTACAGCTGATTACTCTATTGTGCAAGGTAGTGCACTACAAAGCTATATTGATCCAAGTTTGTTTGATTCCCAGGATTGGATGGGAAAACCCCACATTTGCCAAGTTCTGAATATCATATAATCAAAATAAAGAGATTTTTAAACACTGGTCTAAAGCTGTGCACTCTAATGTGTTAAATGTTTCCTGTAAGTCGACCACATGACATTCTTTTTTTACCCATATGACCTATATTTCTACACCAATCTAGATATCGACAAGCCAGATAATCTTAATAAAACTTCAAATCATTTATGGTTTTAGAAATGTTAAGCTGCACAAAAAAACCATAGCAATGTACTGCCCTGACATCAGTTTTAGTATGATCACAGAAGTGAAGGTCAAAGTACCACCACCTCCACTCTATATACAGGGGATATAATCAGTATATCACTCTTAAGATATAGTTTTAGTATGTTTCAGTTGGTAATATATCAAAACCTATAAACAAAACCAGCTTGTGTTTTTCACTACAGAATTCAATGTATAACAAGAGCTGTCGGTAGGACAGCATGCTCGACTATTCTAAGTGCTTGATAGTAAAAGAGCCTTGATAATGTTAAATTTTTTAAGTTCACAAAAGGGCTATTTTTTTTCTCCATAAATTCATGTTATAGGCCTTAGTGAGAGTCTAATTATACAGTATTGGCTTGACTATTCGGAAGGTTACAATGTCACAAGTGTGTTTTTTGAGTATAATAATACTAATTACCTATGAATACTTAAATTTGACAGAAAAGGTACAAAGGCTTGTTATTAAGATGTTTTATCAAGTAAATAACTGCTTTATTATTATGAATGCATAAAATTGTCCCAAAAAAGGCACAAACCCTTCAGTAGTTACGGAGATAACAGCTTACAAGCAAAACTTTACCATGAATTTCTAAGTTGAAAAAGGGGAGAAAAATCAGCCTAAATGCAAGATAGAATTATGGATCTTTGTCAGTGACCTACAATTATGACCCTAAATTCATATGTGAAGTTTTAAATAAATATCTTTAATAGTTATTGAGATATGTAAAACTTGCATGTAAACATTAACCAAGAGACTAAAGTAGAAAAGGAGATATGAATCAGCCTTAATGCAAGATAGAGTTATGGAACTTAGTCAGTGACATACAATTATGACCCTCAAATTATGACCCTTAGTACATGTGTAAAGTTTCAAGTAAATATCTTTGAAGACCTTTAACCTTTAACCAAAATTTCTAAGTTTCAAAAGAGCAAATAATTCTGCAAATATTGCAGGCAGAGTTATGCAACATTGAAAACAGATGTACATTGTTACTATAAACAAGATTGCATTTGAAAAAAATGCTATGCCACTGCATTAATACAACACTAAATAGTAGTGTAGGAACAGATTTTTTTTTGTTTCTATACAATTGAAGATTGTCATAATGCATATCTAATTCTTATTATCAGATTAGTGGTTAAATCTATTGTTAACTCAATAAAAGATCAGAGTAGGAATATATCAATGCACTTGAGTCTAGTGAATTTGGTGGTGAAGGTCATATTTCACACAGCCTAAAATTTCATGACTGCATCAAAGGACAACATGTAATACACTTTGTCAAAATCAAGGTCAGCTGATATCAAAGTTCACTTTAAATTTTGACACTAGAGGCAAAATTTGAACAACTTTGGTAGAGTACCTAAAGATGATATCATTTAACAAATATTAAAGCTCTAAGCCTAGTACCTTCAGACAATAAGATTTTTTTGATTTTTTACTATATGTATATATTGAAAATCAATGACCCCGGGGCGGGGGCAATTTTGACCCCAGGGCTATTATTTGAACATTCTTGCTAGAGTTTCACTTCACAATGTTTCATGCAAAGTATCTAACCTCTAGCATTTGTCAATTGCTAGAAGAATTTTTTTTAAAGTTTTTACTATAAGTTTTTACTATGTAAATATGAGGAAAATCAATGACCCCCGGGGCCGGGCCGATTTTGACCCCAGGGCTATAATTTGAACAATCTGGGTAGAGGTCTATCAGACAATGCCTTATGCAAAATATCTAAGCTCTAGGCCTTTTGGGTCTTTACAAGAAGGTATTTTAAAATTTTACTGTATGTACATATAGTGAAAATCCATGACCCCCGGGGCAGGGCTGATTTTGACCCCAGGGCTATAATTTGAACAATATTGGTAGAGGTCTACCAGACAATGCCTTATGCAAAATATCTAAGCTCTAGGCCTATGGGTCTTTATAAAAAGATATTTTAAGTTTTTACTATATGTACATATAGTGAAAATCAATGACCCCCGGGGCGGGGCCGATTTTGACCCCAGGGCTACAATTTGAACAATCTTGGTAGAGGTCTACCAGACAATGCCTTATGCAAAATATCTAAGCTCTAGGCCTTTTGGGTCTTTACAAGAAGATTTTTAAAATTTATTCTTATAATTCCTTTTTGTTGCCATGGCAACCAGATTTCTGCATGGAATTAAATTCTTTGAACAACTTTGGAAGCCCTTCACCCAAGGATCAATCCTGCCAAGTTTGATTGAAATTGGACTAGTGGTTTTTCACAAGAAGATTTTTTAAGTTCACTATATAATCTATATAACACACACACACACAAACAAACAAACATATTTGTTAAAGCTCTAAGCCTAGTACCTTCAGACAATAAGATTTTTTTGATTTTTTACTATATGTATATATTGAAAATCGATGACCCCGGGGAGGGGGCAATTTTGACTCCAGGGCTATTATTTGGACAATCTTGCTAGAGGTTCCCTTCACAATGTTTCATGCAAAATATCTAACCTCTAGCATTTGCTAGGAGAATTTATTTTAAGTTTTTATTATAAGTTTTTTACTATGTAAATATGAGGAAAATAAATTACCCCTGGGCGTGGCCGATTTTGACCCCAGGGCTATAATTTGAACAATCTGGGTAGAGGTCTACCAGACAATGCCTTATGCAAAATATCTAAGCTCTAGGCCTTTTGGGTCTTTACAAGAAGGTATTTTAAGTCTAAACTATATGTACATAAAGTGAAAATCAATGACTCCCGGGGCGGGGCCGATTTTGACCCCAGGGCTATAATTTAAACAATCTTGGTAGAGGTCTACCAGACAATGCCTTATGCAAAATATCTAAGCTCTAGGCCTATGGGTCTTTATAAAAAGGTATTTTAAGTTTTTACTATATGTACATATAGTGAAAATCAATGACCCCCGGGGCGGGGCCGATTTTGACCCCAGGGCTATAATTTGAACAATCTTGGTAGAGGTCTACCAGACAATGCCTTATGCAAAATATCTAAGCTCTAGGCCTTTTGGGTCTTTACAAGAAGATTTTTAAAATTTATTCTTATAATTCCTTTTTGTTGCCATGGCAACCAGATTTCTGCATGGAATTAAATTCTTTGAACAACTTTGGAAGCCCTTCACCCAAGGATCAATCCTGCCAAGTTTGATTGAAATTGGACTAGTGGTTTTTCACAAGAAGATTTTTTAAGTTCACTATATAATCCATATAACACACACACACACAAACAAACAAACAAACACACACACACACACACACACACACAGGTGAATCGCTATATGCCACCGCATCGCAGATGCTGCGGTGGCATAAAAAGTATTTTAAATTTCAATTGAATATCTCAAGCAATAATTGAGATATTTGACTTTACAAGAAAACTTTAACCAAAATTTCTAAGTTCCAAAGGGGCATAATTCTGCAAATATTGTAGGCAGAGTTATCCAACTTGTCAATCTGATGTACCTTGTTACTATAAATAAGTATTGTAAGTTTCAATTGAATATCTCAAGCAATAATTGAGATATTTGACTTTACAAAAAACTTTAACCAAAATTTCTTAGTTAAAAAGGGGCATAATTCTGCAAATATTGTAGGCAGAGTTATCCAACTTGTCAATCTGATGTACCTTGTTACTATAAATAAGTATTGTAAGTTTCAATTGAATATCTCAAGCAATAGTTGAGATATTTGACTTTACAAAAAACTTTAACCAAAATTTCTAAGTTAAAAAGGGGCATAATTCTGTCAATATTGTAGGCAGAGTTATCCAACTTGTCAATCTGATGTACCTTGTTACTATAAATAAGTATTGTAAGTTTCAATTGAATATCTCAAGAAATAATTGAGATATTTGACTTTACAAAAAACTTTAACCAAAATTTCTAAATTAAAAAGGGGCATAATTCTGTCAATATTGTAGGCAGAGTTATCCAACTTGTCAATCTGATGTACCTTGTTACTATAAATAAGTATTGTAAGTTTCAATTGAATATCTCAAGAAATAATTGAGATATTTGACTTTACAAAAAACTTTAACCAACGCAGACGCCAACGCCGACGCCGGGGCGACTACAATAGCTCTCATATTCTTCGAATAGTCGAGCTAAAAACAAACCTCTGTAATATATTCCTGGCTTTATCACCGATGAGTATCAATTTGGTCTCGACACCGGACTCCTTGGCGTTCATTTTTGCCTTGATAGCTCTACAGACATTCGAGTGTACACCACCGCACAATCCCCTGTCAGAAGTCATAGCAATAAACACTTGACTCTTCTTGCCCTCTGTTTCTTTTTCTTCTGGGGCTATCTTCTCAAAAAATGCTGAACAAAAAAATATAAACAGAGCATGGAACATAGTATTCTTTCTTTACATAATAACAAAAATTCTACTCCACAGCCACAATTGTGAACACAAGCCTAATCAATTTCTTGCATTCAATCCTAATTCAATCTTCATTTATGTGTAAAGTCTGGGATAATTTTTTTTTATTTACAATATATAAATGTAACCTACTCTTGACAAGATGATATTAATAAAATTATACATTAAACCTGCTAAATTGTTTGTCCTGCTTTTAATAAGGGATTTTAATATCAAAATAATAAACCCTTTTATTCAAAAAAACGTAACTTAAAAAGAATAATTTTTATTAGTGAATTTACTTAATAAGATTAACAGACACAACTTTATGTGAATGGAATCAGAAATAACTAGAACTGCCACTATCATGGCGTGAATACCCCCGCATACCACTTTGTCAGAATCAACAGTGGCCATTTAGAGCTCAAGGACAACCTCCCTGCCAAATCTGAGGTTACTACATCCTTCAAATGTGAAAATGTCAAAATCAATACATTGCGGACAGGACATTCTTTAGCAATTGAGAAGAAAAGCTTTTTTTTGTCAAGGTCCCTGTGACATTGACCTTTGACCCAGTGACCTCAAAATCAATAGGGGTCACCTTATAGTCATGATCAACATCCATGCCAAATATGAAGACTGTGGGTCAAAGGAATCTTAAGTTAATGGGTGGACAAACTTTTTGAAGTCAAAGTCCCTATGACCTTGACCTTTGATCCAGTGACCTCAAAATCAAAAGGGGTCATCTACTAATCATGATAAACATCCATGCCAAATATGAAGACTGTGGGTCAAAGGAATCTAAAGTTATTGGGCAGACAAACTTTTTGAAGTCAAAGTCCCTGTGACCTTGACCTTTGACCTGGTGACCTCAAAATCAAAAGGGGTCATCTACTAATCATGATTAACATCCATGCCAAATATGAAGACTGTGGGTCAAAGGAATCTTAAGTTAATGGGTGGACAAACTTTTTGAAGTCAAAGTCCCTGTGACCTTGACCTTTGACCTGGTGACCTCAAAATCAATAGGGGTCATCTACTAATCATGACTAACCTCCATTCCAAATATGAAGACTGTGGGTCAAAGGAATCTTAAGTTATTGGGCGGACAAGCTTTTTGAAGTCAAGGCCCCTGTGACCTTGACCTTTGACCTGGTGACCTCAAAATCAATAGGGGTCATCTACTAATCATGACTAACCTCCATGCCAAATATGAAGACTGTGGGTCAAAGGAATCTCAAGTTATAGGGCGGACAAGCTTTTTGAAGTCAAGGCCCCTGTGACCTTGACCTTTGACCTGGTGACCTCAAAGTCAAAAGGGGTCATCTACTAATCATGACTAACCTCCATGCCAAATATGAAGACTCTGGGTAAAAGGAATCTTAAGTTATTGGGCGGACAAGCTTTTTGAAGTCATGGCCCCTATGACCTGGACCTTTGACCTCAAAGTCAATAGGGGTCATCTACTTATCATGACTAGCCTCCATGCCAAATATGAAGACTGTGGGTCAAAGGAATCTAAAGTTATTGGGCGGACAAGCTTTTTGAAGTCAAGGCCCCTGTGACCTTGACCTTTGACCTGGTGACCTCAAAATCAATAGGGGTCATCTACTAATCATGACTAACCTAAATGCCAAATATGAAGACTATGGGTTAAAAGGAATCTTAAGTTATTGGGCGGACAAGCTTTTTGATGTCAAGGTCCCTGTGACCTTGACCTTTGACCTAGTGACCTCAAAATCAATAGGGGTCATCTACTAATCATGACTAACCTCCATGCCAAATATGAAGACTAAGGGTCAAAGGAATCTTAAGTTATTGGGCGGACAAGAAAAAACCGACGGACAGCCAGACGGACGGACAGGCTGATTCCAGTATACCCCCCTTACAACTTTGTTGTGCGGGGGTATAATTAGGGTGCCAAGTTCATCCGTTTAAACGGGTTCGGTTTTAGCCAAAAAAAGGTTAAAAAATCCAATAAACTGTAACCGATGTTAGTATTAGACCAACAGTAAAAGACATTTAAGAATGATTTAATATATTGCTTTTGTTTAATTATGACCAGGTATGGCATTTTGTTTTTAATTTAGTCGTACATCTGTGTATTTTCTCAATTGCATGCTATCTTGTATACAGTACGGACCTAGCAGAAAATAGTGACTCTTTCATTGGATATTTGTTGAAATCTTGTTGAGTAGAACATACAAAATAAATGTCATAACTTGTCATACAGTAACAAAGATAATGTTTTAAATGTAAGAGTTCTTTTTGTACGGTTGGTTAAACATTTAATACGGTTATCATGTCACCATTTAAACCTCAGCATATTAGCTAACCTTATCACCCCTAATTGTGATCAAAAAGAAATACGCACCATCAGCCCCAATACCATAGGACCTTGCTGATCTTAGGTCTCTTTCTGCACGAGCATATTTAGCAGCTGACACCATCTTCATTGACTTAGTGATCTTCTGAATATTCTGTACAGACTTCAAACGCAGCCGAACTGTTCAAAAAATAACTTCTCATTAGTTTGAACTTATTTATTTCAGCTTGACTGTTCTTACAACTTATATTTATCAGAACTGGAACAAACCAGTACTGGTGCCTAGACTAGTGAATAAACATGGTGTGACTGTCCATGACACGTGTACATGTACCTGGAGTTAGAGGCAAACATATTAACCACTAGGCCACTACACCCTTTATGAAATCTCTTAGTTATAAAGAACTAAGAAATTATTTCTATATTGCTGAAAATTGTTTATACAGAACATTGTAGCTGCATTCAATTTTAACTTTTAACAACTTAGTCATTCAATGTCAGAAGAACAGACTGCTAAATTACTGGGAATTTTTGTGACCTACTTTTATTATTTGCATAATTCTTTATTTATAAATTTATACAGAAAAAATATCCTATTTATATTGATTGCTGTGCAAAGTAAATACAATCTAATAATAACAATTTTATAATAACACATGTATCAAATTATAAACTTACTTTCTTTCAATGTGGCCATCCCACGCACCTGAGTGCTGAAAACAAAAACAAGATACATTTACAAATGTACATGTAATACATTTACAAATACTGACTACAAAAATTTATGTCTTTATATTATATCAAGAAAAACAATTTCATACAGTCCTTCACCCCAAACATTTTGGAAGTGCCACCATTTTAATTGTTCAGCAATCTTCCCAGGTACCTTTCAGCGCTGTTATAACATTTAAGTTCAATCAGTGATTTTTCTCACTTAATTGGGAAGAGGCCTTTGCCGCTTGATTTAGGGAAAAATTATCGCTAATAATAAAATTGCTAATTTGGGAGGTAAATAAGCAGACCTGTTTAAGTTCACATTTTTGGGGAAACTGCATGATTTTAAATAAAATCCTGATTAGCAAAGAGGCCTTTTATCGGAGTCTTGTTATATAAGCAAGAATCACCGTCAATAGTCTGTGTATGTTTTGTTTCAGTTTTACTTTATTTTTTCTGTGACTTAATAGATTTTTTTCATGTCCACTTTGTTTATAATTTTCTTAACAAAAGTAGTCTAATCTATTTTGATTGCATGTGGCAATGTGAAATTAATCGCCTGCTGAAATTGATAACTGATGCACCATGCTGTGTTTGATTGTATTAGTAAACCGTTGTCCAAAATAAGCATAGATCTGTCAAAATTTGTTGACTTTCTGCTTATTCAAGTAAATGTCAGTTGTCCGAAGTGGTTTTAGAGTTGTCCCAGACGTCCGACTAAAGGGTTTGTAGAACCCTGGTAATTTAATGTTAAGATTTGATATCCGTGTGCATTGCAAGTTTACAAACTTGATAAGAAGAATATTTCCCCAGGATTCATATCTATCATATTCATAACAATAAATTTATTCTATTCTAAATGATATTAGAGACATGGTTTTATATAATTTGACAGGTGCACAAGGTTTTTAACAGGTTGATTTTGAGATAGCCAGGACATCTACCAAGCAAGGATAGCAGGCAAACGTTTATATACTATATAGTAGGATGTGTTTAACTTGCTGATTGGGAATGGGATAGATCTACACAAGAGGAAAATGACCTTGAACAAATATCTAATTTTCATCAAAACAACAAAGGTGGCAATACTAAACAGGCATTGATTATAAAGAACAATTTAAAAGCTAGGCATCTGCTGGTCAACAGGTGTAATTAATATGTAGTTTACCCGGGAGCCACAAAAATTTGAGCACTTCTGGAGAACATGTCGGCTTCGTTTGCACGTTCTCAAAACGAGGCTGTTGTTCAGTGTTCGTAGGAAGAAATATTCATTACAGAAAAATTGTGACGGCATGAAACCACTAAATATAACAAGGAGGTTTACAAATTTTGCTTTTCATTGAGAATCTGTAATGATGAAAAAGTCGTCATATTTGAGATTGTATAATAATAACAGATATACTATGGGACTTTATCACGGATTTATATGTAATATAAATCCGTTGACTTTGACACAAAGACACTTGGGGTGTGGACCTCAAAACGCCTCTAAAATCCAAATAAAATGTATATTTGTCAATCCCAGCACATGCACTGATCATATATATACCAAAAAAACTTAATGTAAGCCGTTTTGAAAAAAAAAGATATTTCAACGTTTATAATAATGCATAATAATTGTATTCAATGAGATTCTATATCAGAAAATTAAGTAGTCTTGAAAAGTGAAATATCCAGTAGTTAATCTGAGGTTCAACTGTGAATACAGCACACGTCTTGGGCTAAGGATTAATTAAGACAGTTTTTTTTTTTTTTTTTTTTTTTTTGTTACATTTTGTAATTAGGTCCCAAAAGGTATTTCTTTTTTTAAAAAAGAAAAGAAGAAAAAAACGTATCTTAAATAATCTTAAATGATTTTAATTTATCTGTTTCAGAACTAAACCTGGCTTGGATGACGAAAGATTAGGGTTAAAAAAACTGTATCTTTTATTGCATGGGATGGATTGTATAAAAAAGACGGGTAGAGCTGTCATTTCATCAATGACATTTTTACATTGTTGAAGTAGTGACCCGTGATGCTAATACACTTGGAGGAAAGTAGTTAAGTCGGTTACAGGCAGTAAGGCGCGACGGAGTTATTGTGTATATAGAATTTTTTCTTTTTTCTGCACGTTATTTTCGAAATTTGTTAGTTTTTCACGGATGAAATGGCTTCGGATAGTAATGGAGGAGAAATTAAGCTAACGGTCGGGGAAGACAAGGTGACCACTGCTGACGTCACAAAAGGAGAGGAGATAGACCTGAAAAACAGGGACCCTGAAAACTTACACGACCATATAAAGGTATGCAATACATATAATACTAGCATTGTATCACATACAAATATATATTTAATTAAGCAATATATGAAATACATTTAGAAATTATCAGTTCTTCTGGTTTTTTGTTTGTTTGTTTGTTTGTTTGTTTTTTGTTTTGTTTTTTGACGATGGATTACTGTAGACTTTTTAAAGATTTTCTCTGTATTTCAACATGTTTTATGTTAATGCAATGTCTTTCCCCATTAGGAATTGAAGATCATGTAAAACGCGAAAATCAAGGTAAAACACTGCAGTATTTGTTTAAAAAAAACCGATTATTCTACAAGTTAATTGTTATATGATCCTTTTTTTATATAAAAGAAAGGAATTTAATTATTTACAGGAAAACTCAGCTTATTATGTACTTTGAATATACTTGACACAATTATTTGTTCCATGAAAACATGCTTTCATATCTTGTAGAAGATCCCCACGCCACCACGTACCCGTATCTTTTCAGTTTTTTCTTTCTTTTTGTTTTTTCTTTTCACCTTCTGTAACAGAGATAACATATAAAAGGCCTCTTCTCAATTGAAATTTTCTTTAAAATCATGCAGTTTTCCCCAAAATCTGGACTTACACCAGCTTTTTTACTTCCTAAATAAGCAATTTTGCGATATTTTTCTTTGAACCAAGAGACAAATGCCTAATCTCATTTAAGTGAGAAACGCCACTGCTTAAAAAAAAAAAAAACAAAAAAAAAAAAAAAAAAAAAAAAAACAAGGAGAGTCTGTTATATATAATACCATTTTTACTACTACGCTATACTATTACTACTTTATTTTTGATGGTACTCTACATGAAAGAAAAATGAAGCATTCTTTTGTTAAATTTATACTATAATATATCGAAGTCGGGATGCTCTTGATGAAAAGATAACACTTGGCCATTTACTTTCTAACATATGTCACTTTTCTTCTGTGATGTACTGGCGGAAATCATTGTTTATTGTAACCAGATATTTAACGAGAATTTTCATAAAGAAAGCAATAATACAACGCTATTTTTCGCACTAAAATTATCTTCACTAGCTTGTTACATGACCCGAAATGTTTCAGATTTTGTCAATTGCCGACCAAGTGGAAAACTAGGGTTGGGACAATAAAGTACAGCTAACGACCAGTGAAATACTGGATAACTGCTCTTTAATCATCACAAACGCTAAATTCAGTTGGAAATATTGATACTGATTTATGATATTTTTCATCGCTATATACAAATGTCGGATATCAGATGACTATTTCGTGCAAAGACCAAAAATACATGTACATTATTTCAAGCAATTATATTTGATAAATATTATACTTTGTTAAACATTAATTACTATATATGTAATATGATATCATTTTTTTTCTATATCAACTCATGAAACCGTTACCAAATGGCTGGTGTCATGGGATATTTTTTTTATTTTTTGCTTTGCTAGCAGTGATATTGATATGCCTATGAAGCCAGAAAAAATGTAGGTCAGTTTATGTAATTCAGGGATACACCCGTATTCAACCAGTAAGATATAGGGCAGTCAAGTGCAAAAAGTATAGATAGATTAGTCAGTGCACCTAAATAGAGATGAAACCACATTAGAGATAGGCCAGTTTATGCAACCAATATCGAGATAGGTCGGTCAGTATCAACCAGTATTTAAATAAGCCGGTTTATGGATAGACCAGTCTATGTAACCAGAATGTAGAAAGGCTAGTATATGAAACCAGAATAGATAGAGGATAGTCTGTGCAACCAGAATAGATATAGGCTAGTCTGTGCAACCAGAATAGATAGAGGCTAGTCTTTGCAACCAGAATAGATACAGGCTAGTCTGTGCAACCAGAATAGATAGAGTCTAGTCTGTGCAACCAGAACAGATAGAGGCTAGTATGTGCAACCAGAACAGATATAGGCTAGTATGTGCAACCAGAATAGATAGAGGCTAGTATGTGCAACCAGAATAGATAGAAGTTAGTCTGTGCAACCTGAACAGATAGAGAGGCTAGTCTGTGCAACCAGAACAGATAGAGGCTAGTCTGTGCAACCAGAATAGATAGAAGCTAGTCTGTGCAACCAGAACAGATAGAGGCTAGTCTGTGCAACCAGAATAGATAGAGGCTAGTCTGTGCATTCAGAATAGATAGAGAATAGTCTGTGCAACCAGAATAGATAGAGGCTAGTCTGTGCAACCAGAATAGATAGTGGCTAATCTGTGCAACCAGAATAGATATAGGCTAGTCTGTGCAACCAGAATAGATAGAGGCTAGTCTGTGCAACCAGAAGCCTAGTATGTGCAACCATAATAAATACAGGCTAATCTGTGCAACCATAATAAATATAGGCCAACCTGTGCAACCAGAATAGATATAGGCTAGTCTGTGCAACCAGAATAAATACAGGCTAATCTGTGCAACCATAATAAATATAGGCCAACCTGTGCAACAAGAATAGATATAGGCTAGTCTGTGCAACCAGAATAGATAGTGGCTAATCTGTGCAACCAGAATAGATAGAGGCTAGCCTGTGCAACCAGAATAGATATAGGCTTGTCTGTGCAACAAGAATAGATAGAGGCTAGTATGTGCAACCAGAATAGATAAAGGCTAGTCTGTGCAACCAGAATAGATGTAGGCTAGCCTGTACAACCAGAATAGATAGAGGCTAGTATGTGCAACCATTATAAATATAGGCTTATCTGTGCAAACCATAATAAATATAGGCTAATCTGTGCAACCAGAATAGATAGAGGATAATCTGTGCAACCAGAATAGATAGAGGATAGCATGTGCAACCATAATAAATATAGGCTAATCTGTGCAACCAGAATAGATAGAGGCTAGCATGTGCAACCAGAATAGATATAGGCTAGTCTGTGCAACCAAAATAGAGATAGGCTAGTATGTGCAGCGAAAATAGCTATGGGTTAGACTGTGCAACGAGAACAAGAGATAAGCTTGTTTATGCAACCTGGATATATAGGGACAGACCAGTCAATGCAACCAGAATAGAGATAGGTCATGGAGTGTATTTAATTAGAATAGACATATACCTGTCTAAGAGACCAGGACATAGATCGGCCAGTCTCTGCAACCAGCATATAGGTAGCCTAGATTTCGAAACCAGAATTTATAGGCCAGTCTATGCAGCTAATATAGAGATAAGCAAGTCTATTTAACCAGTATCGGTAGGCCAGTCTGTCTAACAACGCATGAATAAGCCAGTCTATGCAACTAATATTATAAAGATAGGCCAGTCTATGCAACCAGTAAATATTATTGATTAGACAGTCTATCCAACCAGAACCGGCATTGGCCAGTCTATGAAATACCTTAGAGATAGGCCAGAATTTGAAAACCCCTATCCAGTATTATAGAGATATGACATCTTTTGCTAAGCCGGGCTATGCAACCGGTATATAGAGATAATACCGTGCAGTCTGGCCAGACGGTAAGTTATTGTCGTCTGCTCAATTCTGACACCCATTAAAATCTCAATGGACAGTTCCGAATTATACACAGAACAAGCCCATTGGACAAATTCAGGTGATTATGGGTAAATGTTGCTAACGTGTTATTTTTAATCTATGAACATTAAAGGTGTACAAACATAGGCACTTGGTTTCGGGATAAAAAACCTTTTGAAGGGTTTGTAGAACTCAAATTTGATTGAATGTAACGATTTTTTAACGTAGATGTCTCGATTCTAAATTCGTCATTTTTCCGATATTACAAGTGTTTTTTTTAGTAATATCGGAAAAATGACGAATTTAGAATCGAGACATATACGTTAAAAATCGTTACATTCAATCAAATTTGAGTTTTACAAACCCTTCAAAAGGTTTTTTTTTTATCCCGAAACCAAGTGCCTATGTGTACAAAGTGCTATTATACATTCAAACTTTATCAAATTAACATATTAGTTTTCAGTTCTAATTATACGTTATATGGTGTGTTGCAAGGTCTATACATACACGGTATTTAAAAGGAAATATCATCGTTATAATTTTCACGAAAAACTTGGGGATTTATAAGCCATATCCAATACGTTTTTTACTAGTTTAGACAATGTTGTATGTATGTAGCCCATCTTAAAACTTATATGTATATGATCTGATTTACGTTCAATCATCATCATCATCATTACCACCACCACCGTAATTATATTTATAATCATCATCATCATCACCACCACTACCATTATTATCATCATCTCCATAATTATCATCATCATTAGCTAGGGTATTAAAAGACACCGAGCACTATCATCATCATCATCATCTCCATCATCAGCGTTACTACTACTTATGTGACTTAAAATGCATTTGACATCGTTTATTTTTATATTAGATCTACAATGATGTTTCTTTTTTTTTGTAACAGATACAATTTCATGACGTGTTCGGAGAACCAGATGAAACAGTCTTTTCTTTCGACTTTGTTTGGAGATTTGCATTCAAGGTAAAGCCGTTTTAGAACGAAACTTTTTCTCTTCTTTCGTGTCTTAAACTTTTGAAATTATAGTTTAAAGAATTTGAAACATTTCTTAACTATTAGTATAACGTTATGCGTTGTCGACAAAATGTGATCGACCAGTCCAGATTCAAAGGTTTGCGAAAAATTACGGCATAACTTTTAATGGTTTTACAAATTATAGTGATAAAAATTGCGCACAAGGTGAACGGAATTAAGTTTTGAGTTTAGTTTCATCATATTTTATAAGACAAAACATATCGAACAAATCGGATTCTACAAACCTCTCAATTTTTATCCCGAAACCAAGTGCCTATGGATCAACATTGCGTTTTTAGTAATTTCGAAAAAAAAAATGACGGTTTTAGAATCGAGACATCTACGTCAAAAAACGTTACATTCCATCAGTTTTAAAAAGATCTCAAAAGGGTTTTATCCCAAAACCAAGTGCCTATGTGCGAGAAGGTAATACGATTTGCAGACGTCCGATATGTTATAAAAAAATAAAAATTCGCGCAACGGAAACACAAGCTGTGTAAAAATCATGTCGCGGGAAGGAAATATGCCTACAATTAGCGCGTTAATACAGTGAAACCTCCGCAGAGCAGCCCTCTTGAAAGTTATTACCTCTTAACAACAACAATTTCAATTCTTCGTAAAGTAAGACTTTGCTTTAAATTTAACCTCTCTAGATCAACACCTCTTAGTAACACCCAAAAGGTTTTGCCTTCCAAAGGATAATCCTCAACGGAGGTTGTACTGTAGTGAAGTACTTAGAAAAGTATGACACGCGATAGTAACACAAGTTACAACTCCCACCCTCCTCAATTAAAAGAAGTCCGTGCGACGGTAATACAACTTGTGCAGAAAAACGACAAAAGGCAGCAAACCTGAGCTTAAAATTTCTTAATGTTATTACCTGTAGAGAATCTATTGTTCATTAAAGCCAAAATAACATGCTAACATTTGGACCAACACATTTCTTTTTCTTCAGCTCTTCACAAACGTTAAGTTATGGTGTTACAGAATCGTGTCCCTTATTTGTGGTTTACCACTGGCAATATTTTGGGGAATCTATTTTGCCATGCTGTCATTCTGTGCAATTTGGTGTTGTGAGCCCTACATGAAGGCGTACGCTATAGAACTTGGCTGTATCAGACGACTTTTCAACACGATGTTAAATGCCTTTGTCCGACCATGTTTTGAAGTAATGGGATACTGTTTCTACAACATTCGAGTGCAGAAGGGATAAAGACTATATATAGTGGAAATAGCATGTTTGTTGTTGTTTTTTTTTTAAACAATACAGTAACGTTGTGTATTTTATAAGATAGTAAATCTACAAGCATTATATATTATCATATAAGTATTTATATTTAGATATCAAATCTATTTATTTGTAAATGTTTCTGCCTATTCTTTGTCCTTTTAAAAAAGGAATGAGCGGCTTATTTCAAATTACAAAATGTATTATATTATATCATATTATATTGCATTTGTTTTATGTTTTTAATTTATATTAAATTTAATATAAACAACGCAAACAATGTTCAGTCATGTTTCAATTTTTTATATATATATTTAACAGTACAACCCTTGTTTGAAAACTTATTCAATGTATACAGTAGATTCTATTTGTTGTCCTAAACGATTTTTTTTCTAAAGGTAAAACATTAATAGATCTACATACAATATTTGTCATGCAACTTATGTTCTCATAAAAAATTAAATCTTGATAAAGTCACCACTTTTATCATTCATGTGACAATATCATTCGTTATAATGGTTGAGTTTTCACTGGCACACTAGTCTTATGGCAACAATCCAGCTTTACTGGTGGACCGAACCCCCAAATCTCAACAGCAGATTATTTTGATCAAAGTTGTTAAAAAAAGCAGATGAGGTTACCATGGTGAGCAACATATAAGAAGGGGTTTTCATCAACCTTCTATTTGGTGCGTTGAAATTTTGCCATCTTACGACAATGACATGTCAAATTTGACTGCTTAACCCTTACCATGCTAAAATTCTTAAATGGACATGTCCATCCTTCAACTTGGAGAAAACTAATCATTTTTAGGGAAAATTTCAAAAGTATTTACTGACTCAATAGCAAAATTAATAGTGCTGACTATGAGCATACAGCATGCATTTCATGGGCCATCAAAGTTAATTCCATGGATTGTTGTATATAGTGTCTACACAAGAATCAAGCAGACAATCATAGTCAGACAATCAGCAATACAGAATTGATCACCACAGAATTTATGCTTGATCACCCTTCAATTTTCGTAATGGATTTGCCCAGCTTGAATTTGGAACAGTCAATTCAAAGTTTAAGGCATTTAAAAATAAAAATTAAAAAAAATAAGGTTGCCAACAATATAGAGCCTAGTCAGTCTGCATGGATGGGCAAGCAAGCAGGGGTGGCTCTATATTAGTGAAAATGGAGCACCATTCTCCCATAATTGAAGCACTTTTGGTTCACAAAAAATGAAAAATCTGACTTTCATAAACAACGTTTTTTATAATTTGCTTTTAATGTTCAATACCTTGGACAGATTGTGTGGAAGTTTAACACACACCATTCGCTCCGTTTGTATAGAACTTATGAAGTTATTTACTGAATAACATTGTTACGGAACATATATATACCATAGGAATTACTTTGGAGGTATTGTTTTACTAACATTTTAAATTAAACAATCCAAAAGAATATGCATTGTAAAGTTGAAGACCAATGGTTACCTTTAGCAAAAATATTTTATGCCATATCTTATTCTGAAACTTGTATACTTCGTATTTGAAAAGCTGCAAATATTTTCGTAACTAAAGATTGACATTGTTTCGATACAATGCACAAACAAATACTGTCATAAAAGTTATCGAATTATATCTAAAATAGAAGCAGAAAACAAATAAAGCATAACTTTTAATCGGTGTAACGTTACCAAAAAAACTTCGCTGCACAAATTTTCATCAAACAGTCCTTATGATCTGTTACGGAACATAGGTGAATAATTAAAAAACATAGGATTTATAACTCAATATTTTCACTCTTTAAAATTACTTAAACAATTTAAATGTGGTATCTTCACAAACAACATAAATCATAAACACACTGTATCAATTAAATATAACATTAACAGTTTAATTTAGTGAGTAGTGCAGGAAAAGATATCTGTTACGGAACATATGATATAGAAAAAAAGATATTATGTTTTTCACAGAAAATGAACAAGAATTCTTTTTTTTTCACTTTTATTTGCTTTATTTCTGCCTAATTTACACAAATTTGTTGTAATGTTATAATGTTTCATGTAGTTCTCTCTACATTTTCTTCACCAGTGCGTTTTCTTTTTTGAGTGGGAACATACTTTTTTCTGCTTTCTTTTTCTTTTAAATGATTTGTTGTTTTCCCCTCTCTGCTTTTGTCTTTTGTATTTCTGTATTTAAAAGCACCATTCTAAAATAGGTATCGTTCCATATTATAAATTTATTAACCTTGATACATGAACATCATTACAATAATTAGTTTTATCATGATTATTATTAATATAACAATTACATAATCATCATCATTTTTATCATTATTACATTAATATCATTATTAATATTACTTTTTTCATGATAATTGTAATTCTAAAACTTTTAGATAATGTAAGTGACATAATGATACAATTTTGGTATTTAATAAATAGTAAAAAACATAAAAAATCATATTCAAACATAGCATTTATGAATGCTATGTTCCGTAACAAATTTGATATGTTCCGTAACGGAAAACTGTAACCTTACAACACAATACAAATCATGTTAGACTTCCAGCTAATATTGGACACCATTTTTATACATCTTTATAATGAAAAAACTCACTGGAACAGTATTTATAAACAAACTGAATATATGTATTATGGTGCTGAAAAAAGATGATAGAAGACTATGCTTCCGTAACAAATTGCCTTGACTATTTGAAAAACTGTGCACGTTTTTTTCATCGAAATATGTGTTCCATGTTTGAAACCAATCATTCATTTCAAATTGTTAAATAACTATGGATAAAGTACATATAAGACATCAGATTATGATCTCAAAATAATTAACTATGTTCCGTAACAAATGTTTTAAACAGGTAAAAAAAATTAAATAGCATCAACTTGCTGACTCTGTGGTTTGCTGAAAATAAAGCTTGCAATCGATTTTGATCAGTAAAATTTCTCATGTAAGTAACATAATTGTGAAAATATCGTTATCAAATCAAAAACAGTGGTTGCCAAAATAAAGTACAGTGATTGCCAATTACCTCCGGTTGCCCAATTGTATCATAAAAGTCAATTAAGATGTTGCATGCATACCTCTTAATGACGTATGGGAGCGGTGATAGACAAAAAAGTCACACTGTCAAATGAACCGTATACTGTGATCGTTTTGTTACGGAAAATAGTCGTTATAGAAACATAGTGAAATTAGACTTCTACGGGTCAGAGTTATCACATTTCTGTGCAAACGACATCTCATTTTGGTGTTTTTCATTTAGAGGAATACAAAACAATATTTCAAAATTTTTAATTGATTGGTATAATGTATATTTAAAAGTATACGCCCGCCCGTTACGGAGGCATAGCATTTTAAACGCGACATTTGAATTATTTACAATAAAACGGTTTGTGTTTAAATGTATCATCGCAGGAGTCTAATTTATCAATTTTATTCCAAATATAGTCTTTTAATATTGTTTTGAGTACAAATTTAAAAGAATATAACACATCTCAAGATCGTTACATTCCAGTTTAAAATCGTTACGGTACCATAGTAACATTTTGGCGACGGCACCGTTTAAAGAAAATCATGGAAAATAAGGGTCTCTTTCTCGAACTTCTTATGTAATTCTTAATGTATTATCAATATTGTATTGATTTTAGGCAAAAACTTGTTGGAAAACATGGAAATGGATTATTTTTTTCGCCAATCTTAAACTTTAATTGGTCAAGCGACAGCGATTTTTTGCAGTTACTATATATAGCTTTTCAGTTTAGCACAAATGAATCAAAGCGCTGAAAGCACTGCTGGGGGCGCATTATGTTGATTGTATAGTGGTCTATTGTTACAAGCAGATGCCATTCCTACTTTCAAAGCAGATGTCACATTTTTACTCGATTATTCGATAAGAATAAGTAGAATTATCCTAGTCATCTGAACATTGGCGTCTATCACCTCAATTTTTCCCGAAGTCCATTGACATATGGCATTGAAACTTTGCACACTTGATCCCGATCAGGCACCCATTTGTTAAAGATTGCCTATGGCTTCAAGATATTTTCGTATTCCATAGACATCTGGCTTTGAAATAAATTGAAATGTTATACATTTCTTTGCGAGCATACTAGCTAGGACTCTCTCCAATGCTTATATCTGTAGAATATTGGGTTTAAAGAAATTTTTTGGTCCTTTTGTGAACTTAAAATATTTTAAATAACCAAGGTTCTTCTATTGTCAAGCACTAAGCATATAGTTGAGTGTGCTGTCCTACCAACAGCTATTGTTTGCATACCTTGTGAAATATAACTCCTTCAAACTTTTGTTCAGTTATTATTATACAAACACAAGAACTGTCTGAGGACAGTAAGGCTCGACTATTCGAAAAAGTTGTCACAAGGGTGTTTATTGAGTATAAAAATGCTTACCAATGAATACATAAAACTGACCGAAAAGGTACAAAGGCTTGGATTAAGATGTTTTATCAAGTAAATCACTGCTTTATTATCATGAATGCATAAAATTGTCCCAAAAAAGGCACAAACCCTTCAGTAGTTATCGAGATAACATGCTTACAAGCAAAACTTTACCATTAAATTCTAAGTTGAAAAAGGGGAGAAAAATAAGCCTAAATTCTCGATAAAATTATGGATCTTGGTCAGTAACCTACATGTACAATTATGACCCTAAATGCATGTGAAGTTTTAATATTGTAAGCAGAGTTATCCAACTTGTCAATCTGATGTACATTGTTACTATAAATAACTATAGTAAGTTTCAATTGAATATCTCAAGCAATAATTGAGATATTTGACTTTAAAATAAACTTAAACCAACGCAGACGCGGACGCTCTCATATTTTTCAAATAGTCGAGCTAAAAACTACCAAGTCATGGTTGAGACCATATAGTTATTCCATATATAAATATATATGTATATATCATGGAAAACATTTCAAGATGTTACAATGGATTGTAGTGTATAACAAGAAAATCAGTGTACTTTAACTTTAATCCAATAATCATACAAACATCTGTAAATAACTGGAACAAAATATTTCTTAAATAAAACCATACAAAACAAGAGGGCCATGATAGCCCTAGATCGCTCACCTGACTTATCAAACTCGTCCAAACAATTACCTAGACAAACATTCTGACCAAGTCTCATGACAGGTGAGTCAAAAATGTGACCACTACAGTGTTAACAAGGATTATCCATATTTGAGCAGTGCGACCTTGTTTTTTACTCAGGTGACACATATTCAAACTTGACCTAGAAATCATCAAAACAAACTGTCAGACCAATTTCCAGGATACTTGGATCAAAACAGTAGCAACAAGAGTGTTAACAAGATTTTTCTATTTTTAGCTCCGGTGACCTAGTTTCACATGCGATTTCGAACTCATCCAAGCAATTACCTAGATAAGCATCCTGACCAAGTTTGATGATAATTGAGTCGAAAATGTGACCAGTAGAATGTTAACAAGGCTTTTCCATATTTGGGCAGTGTGACCTAGTTTTTCATCCAAGATGACCCATGTTGGATCTTGACTTAGAAATCATCAAAACAAACTTTTAGACCAATTAACAGAATATTTGGATCACAACAGTAGCCACTAGAGTGTTAACAAGATTTTTCTATTTTTATCTCCTGTGACCTAGTTTTTCATCCGAGATGTCCCATGTTCGATTTATTCCCAGCAATGACCTAGGCAAGTTTCCTGACCAAGTTTGCTAACAATTGAGTCAAAATTGTGACCACTAGAGTGTTAACAAGGTTTTTCTATTTTTAGCTCCTGTGACCTAGTTTTTCATCCGAGATGACCCATTTCCGAACTCATCCGAGCTATCACCTAGACAAGCATCTTAATCAAGTTTGATGATGATTGATGCAAAAATGTGACCACAAGAGTGTTAACAAGGTTTTTCTATTTCTACCCCAGGTGACCTACTTTTTCATCCAAGATGACCCATGTTCAAACTCATCCGAGCTATCAACTAGACAAACATCTTGACAAAAGTTTGATCAGGGCTGCCAACAGCAAATTTCAAAATCAGCGGAAAATACGCCGGGGGTCAAGGGGGCTGCGTAAGCCCCCTTTGCAGGTCCAGGGCAGAGCCCTGGTGGGGGTTCAGGGGGCGAAGCCCCCGAAAGCTCCTGGGTTCTGATGATTTGGTATGCCCTAAAATCAATTTCCAGGACTCTAAATTTGACAAATATCCGACATTTTGACGCATTTTGACAACAGACAAGAGCGACAATGTAAACTGTAATTTGATTGGTTATTCTAAAATAGAATGCCGGAAAAGACTCGATATGACCAATGAGAAAAGCGCTTACAGACGTACCATAGGCAGCTAGCGTAACGATAAAAGCCGAAGCGTGCCGGTTTCTGGGTACTGTATAAAATATGACGAATGAATTTATTGTCTTTGTCGAATTTACATCGATCTCAAAAATGACCCAGGAGCTCACGAAATCCGCGGATTTCCGCGGATCCGCGGAAAATCGGCAGCCCTGTTTGATGATGACTGATGCAAAAATGTGACTGCTAGAGTGTTAACAAGGTTTTTCTATTTTTAGCTCCGGTGACCTACTTTTTCATCCGAGATGACCCATGTTTGTACTCATCCGAGCTATCACATAGACAAGCATCTTGACCAAGTTTGATGATGATTGATGCAAAAATGTGACCGCTAAATTGTTAACAATGTTTTTCTATTTTTAGCTCCGGTGACCTACTTTTTCATCTGAGATGACCCATGTTCAAACTCATCCAAGATATCAACTAGATAAGCATCCTGACCAAGTTTGATGATGATTGATGCAAAAATGTGACTGCTAGAGTGTTAACAAGGTTTTTCTATTTATAGCTCCGGTGACCTAGTTTTACATCCGAAATGACCCATGTTCGAACTCATCCGAGCTATCAACCAGATAAGCATCCTGACAAAGTGTGATGATGATTGGGTCAAAAATGTGACCACTAGAGTGTTCACAAGGTTTTTCTATTTTTAGCTCCTGTGACCTAGTTTTTCACCAGAGATGACCCATGTTCAAACTCATCCAAGCAATTGACTAGACAAGCATTCTGACCAAGTTTGATGATGATTGGTTTAAAAATGTGACCACTAGAGTGTTCACAAGGTGTTTCTATTTATAGCTCCTGTGACCTACTTTTTCATCAGAGATGACCCATGTTCGAACTCATCCGAGCTATCACCTAGGCAAACATCTTGACCAAGTTTAATGATGATTGGGTCAAAAATGTGACCTCTACAGTGTTCACAAGGTTTTTCTTTTTTTAGCTCTTGTGACCTAGTCTTTCATCCGAGATGACTCATGATCGAACTCATCCATGCTTTCAACTAGATAAGCATCCTGACCAAGTTTGATGATGATTGAGGCAAAAATGCGACCGCTAGAGTGTTCACAAGCAATTGTGGACGGACGACGGACATTCACCGATCCTTAAAGCTCACCCTGAGCAAGCTCAGGTGAGCTAAAAACCAAAAACTGATGATGACAGAACGGGTATCACTTTATGCCTATAAAATTTTTTTTGCTCAAGTGATTTTTTTTCGAAGAGCTACATGTGAAATTGCTGCCAAATATACATAAGTAAAATCTATTTCAAAGCTGCATGCATTCATATAAAATATATTTTAAAAAAATCAAACTTGATTAAATAAAAAAAAAGTTCAAGGATAGCCCAAACTTGTTAATTATAAAAAAATATATATACAGAATATTATGTTGTAGTAGCTCTCTGAGGCTTTTTATTTTGCTATGAGCAGCGGTGGGAAATTGATATCTTGCGAGACTAAAGGGCGAGCTAGATAACAATTTTCCAACATTGCAAGTAGAAAAATGCATAGCCTCAGAAAGCTACTACAACATAATTTTCCTTTAATAATATACCTTTTCGTTTGAAGTATAAATGATTTTCATTATACTACACTTATATAAGAAATTTTCAGAAAAAGAAATGTAGCTGTCAAGAAATAAATTATGACTGACAGATGAATACGTAATTTGTGCAAAACCAGCCACACCTTTTATTATTTTGGTTGCCGTTTCCATATACTATGTTATACACAGCTAAGATCAGAACCAACATTAACAAGAACCGGTTGAACCGGGTGATGCTCCCCGAGAAGGTTCTGGACACTGGAAAGTATAAAAAAAATGAACAAAGGGCAAAAACCCCAAAATTAGGCAAAGCGGAGTTATGTTTTTTTTTGCACTGCACTTCTATTCAATTAGATCTATCCATCTATATAAAGTTGCCTGATGATATCAGAGTTATGTCCAAGGTAAAATTCAAAGTGTAAAAATGAAATTAGGGTAATAACTCCAAAATTAGACCAGGCTTTCTTTAGGTTCTTTAAGCATTGCAGTTCTATCCAATTATATCTAGCTACCTACAAAGTTTCATGTTGATATCTCTAATAGTTTTAAAGTTATGTCTCGTACAAAAGTCAAAAAGTAAAAATAAACAAAGGGCAATTACTTCAAAATAAGGCAAGGCAGAGTAATAATTCTTAAGCACTGCTTAGAGTAATGTCCCGGACAAAGTTCAAAGTGTCAAAATGATCAAAGGGCAATAACTCCAAAAGTAGCCAAGACAGTGTTACAGTTCTTGTGCACTGCAAACTTACTCAACGATATCTATCTACCTACAAAGTTTCATGTTGATATCTCTTTTACATTGAGAGTTATGTCTCGGACAAAGTTCAAAGTGTAAAAATAAACAAAGGGGGATAATTCAAAAAATTAGGCAAGGGAGAGTTAAGGTTCTTGTGCACTGCTTACCAACTCAATGAAATCTATCTACCTACAAAGTTTCATGTTGATACCTGTTATAGTTTTAGAGACAAAGTTCAAAGTGTAAAATAAAGAAAGGGGGATAATTCAAAAATTAGGCAAGGCAGAGTTACGGTTCTTGTGCACTGCATACCAAGTCAATGAGATCTATCTACCTACAAAGTTTCATGTTGATACCTCTTATAGTTTAAAGGTTATGTCCCGGACAAATTTCAAAGTGTAAAATAAACAAAGGGGATTATTCAAAAATTAGGCAAGGCAGAGTTACGGTTCTTGTACACTGCATACCAAGTCAATGAGATCTATCTACCTACAAAGTTTCATGTTGATACCTCTTATACTTTTAGAGTTATGTCCCGGACATAGTTCAAAGTGTAAAATAAACAAAGGGGAATAATTCAAAAATTAAGCAAGGCAGAGTTACGGTTCTTGTGCACTGCACACCTACTCAATTAGATCTATCTACCTACAAAGTTTTCATGTTGATACCTCTTATAGTTTTAGAGTTATGTCCCGGACAAAGTTCAAAGTGTAAAAATAAACAAAGGGGAATAATTCAAAAATTAGACAAGGCAGAGTTACGGTTCTTGTGCACTGCACACCTACTCAATTAGATCTATCTACCTACAAAGTTTCATGTTGATACCTCTTATAGTTTTAGAGTTATGTCCCGGACAAAGTTCAAAGTGTAAAATAAACAAAGGGGAATAATTCAAAAATTAAGCAAGGCAGAGTTAAGGTTCTTGTGCACTGCACACCTACTCAATGAGATCTATCTACCTACAAAGTTTCATGTTAATACCTGTTGTTGTTTCAAAGTTAAGTCCCGGACAAGAAAAGGGGATGGACGGACGGACGGACGGACAAGGCGGCGACTATATGCTCACCCGAAATTTTTTGGGGAGCATAAAAATAGTCCAGGCCTTTCATATATGGTACTGTATTTGTCTCTAACATAATACAGAATTTTCTAACCGTTGAAAACTATTTGCGCTTCAAGATAATCCTGTGTTTTAGGAAGAAAATTTATAGGTATATAATAAATGCTGTCATTGACATTTCTTATGCTTATATTTATTATATGTATTTCTTGCAATCCTATTTATAGCTACAAATTCTATGAATTAAAATAGAAAATGAAGGTAGCATGCAGACGGTGTTGATATTGTGTGATAAAAATTTAAAGATCATTGGAAATCATCCCAGTAACCGAATACTCTAAATGACCGAGTACTCGAGTATTGATTTTAGTAATTGTTGCCATCCCTAAAAAAATTAAGTACTTGACAAGATCAACTAACATCTAAACAAGAGGGCCATGATGGCCCTAGATCGCTCACCTGAATTATCAAACTCATCCAAACAATTACCTAGACAAGCATTCTGACCAAGTCTCATGACAGGTGAGTCAAAAATGTGACCACTACAGTGTTAACAAGGATTATCCATATTTGAGCAGTGCGACCTAGTTTTTTACCCAATATTCAAACTTGACCTAGAAATCATCAAAACAAACTTTCAGACCAATTTCCAGGATACTTGGATCAAAACAGTAGCAACTAGAGTGTTAACAAGATTTTTCTATTTTTAGCTCCGGTGACCTAGTTTCACATGCGATTTCGAACTCATCCAAGCAATTACCTAGACAAACATCCTGACCAAGTTTGATGATAATTGAGTCGAAAATGTGACCACTAGAATGTTAACAAGGTTTTTCCATATTTTGGGCGGTGTGTGACCTAGTTTTTCATCCAAGATGACCCATGTTAGAACTTGACTTAGAAATCATCAAAACAAACTTTCAGACCAATTAACAGAATATTTGGATCACAACAGTAGCCACTAGAGTGTTAACAAGATTTTTTCTATTTTTAGCTCCTGTGACCTAGTTTTTCATCCGAAAGGTCCCATGTTCGATTTAAGGTCCCATGTTCGATTTATTCCCAGCAATGACCTAGACAAGTTTCCTGACCAAGTTTGATGACAATTGAGTCAAAATTGTGACCACTAGAGTGTTAACAAGGTTTTTCTATTTTTAGCTCCTGTGACCTAGTTTTTCATCCGAGATGACCCATGTTCGAACTCATCCGAGCTATCACCTAGACAAGCATCTTGATCAAGTTTGATGATGATTGATGCAAAAATGTGACCGCTAAAGTGTTAACAAGGTTTTTCTATTTTTAGCTCTGGTGACCTACTTTTTCATCCGAGATGACCCATGTTCGAACTCATCCAAGCTATCAACTAGATAAGCATCCTGACCAAGTTTGATGATGATTGATGCAAAAATGTGACCACTAGAGTGTTCACAAGGTTTTTCTATTTATAGCTCCTGTGACCTAGTTTTTCATCCGAGATGACCCATATTCGAACTCATCCGAGCTATTATCTAAACAAGCATCCTGACAAAGTTTGATGATGATTGGGTCAAAAATGTGACCACTAGAGTGTTCACAAGGTTTTTCTATTTTTAGCTCCTGTGACCTAGTTTTTCATCAGAGATGACCCATGTTCGAACTCATCCAAGCAATTGACTAGACAAGCATTCTGACCAAGTTTGATGATGATTGGTTCAAAAATGTGACCACTAGAGAGTGTTCACAAGGTTTTTCTATTTATAGCTCCTGTGACCTACTTTTTTCATCCGAGATGACCCATGTTCGAACTCATCCAAGCTATCACCTAGACAAACATCCTGACCAAGTTTGATGATGATTGGGTCAAAAATGTGACCTCTAGAGTGTTCACAAGGTTTTTCTATTTTTAGCTCTTGTGACCTAGTTTTTCATCCGAGATGACCCATGTTCGAACTCATCCGAGCTTTCAACTAGATAAGCATCCTGACCAAGTTTGATGATGATTGAGGCAAAAATGCGACCGCTAGAGTGTTCACAAGTAATTGTGGACGGCCGGACGGACGACGGACGACGGACGACGGACATTCACCGATCCTAAAAGCTCACTGAGCAAGCTCAGGTGAGCTAATAAAAAACTTTGAAAACAGAATTAATTATTTTGAAAAATTCACTCTGAGCTGTATTATTTAAAATGGGTGTTCAAACACACCGAAAACATTGATAATTCATTTCATGTTCTTGGTGATGAAGTGGTGCCTCAATATAGTTATCACTGCATTCTATCTTCCCTCATAACTCCTACTATTACTGTATCTGTCAAACAAGCATCTCTGTTTTCTGAAATAGAGTTTTTGAAAAAGTTTATTGCTGACCGAGATATTCCATACTTGTATGTTAACTTTTTTTCAGCATCTTTCTGTTAGAATTACTCTGATTTATAAAGGTATAAAACCAAAAAAATGCGCGACCAATGCCAGAGCTCAACCCCTCTGATCAGATTTCACAAACGAGCATCTGAGTAGAACCACCGCCTTTTTTTAAAGCTAGCTGGATTGCTTTCTCACATTAAAGAATCCATATTAAATATAATAGAACATTGATAATTGCTACACAGTCTCTTTGTAAACATAAAATAAGCATGTTTTGTGTTTACATAAAAGTAGCTATGTAATGTTAAAACACCACATGCTATAGTTTGGTCACAATATAAATATATAGTGTTGTTAGGAAACTGACAGTTTTTAAGAAGGACCAAAATTTTTTTTTGTCTCGTAAGAAGGAACATGGCTTCCAATGCATAGTTAATTCATTCAAATTAGACATATTCAAAAAGAATTGCATAGAATTCAATACATTTTCATGATTAAAATATTTTACTGATGAGCATAGTATATCTTTAAAGGTAAGTGGTTTAGGTGCATTACTTTGACTATGGTCACCCCAATTAAATCTATTTATTTGCTTAGTAACACAACTTTTTAAAGTCATATAATTTGTAAAATGTGAGTGATTCTGATAATCTATATACAGCTAAGTCAAGATGAGATGATTAGGTTTTACTGACTGCTTACTACATGAAGTCACTATTTCAATGTCAAATGCCTTGAGGTGAAAGGAATGAAAACTTGAATTTCAAAATACAATTTAAGTGAATTACATGTCACAAATGAGCCATGTCATGACAAAACCAACATAATGGTTTGCGACCAGCATGGATCCAGACCAGGTTGGTCTGATCAGGATCCATGCTGTTCGCTTACAAACCTTACTACAAGTAGAGAAATGATAGCGAACAGTATGGATCCTGATCAGACTGGGCGGATGCCCATTATGTTGGTTTCGTCATGACACGGCTAAAATGTTTTTGCTATCGACTTTTGTTCCTAAATTAACAACAGATTGCATAATGAAAAGATATTGAAATAATTAATATACAATTGGCTCTAAGTGCCAAGCTTACAGATTTTAAATAAACCTTGAGCCCTGTGTTGGCCTTTAAACATGTCAAACATTTAGAAAGTATTTAATAAGGAAAAGTGTATACAAATAATCATGTACCTCTTCATTATATGCCCATGACATTGAAAAACATTGTGTCATCTGTTTACTTCAAGGTTAGTCACATTGACAGTATCACATTTTAGACTTCATCTCTCGTGATTCCATTCATAAAAAGCATCCTCAAAATGGGTCCTCTTAATTTCACATTCATCAATCTGACAAAAACCTCCTGGAAAAGAAGTTAGAAACATATGCCACTAATTATGTCAGTTAATGTTCAAATAAATACTTTGAGAAAACTATTTGGTCAAAATTGTAAATATACAAAGATTTTCAAACCAAAATATATATATAACAATGAACATTTCCTTTTTAACTTTCTAACATATATAATGTATGGTCTTACTTGAAGAAAAATGTTTGCCCGTGTGACCGAAAAGGGATTAAGGACCATTACTATTGTTTTTCCTTTTGTTTATTAAAGGGCCATGGCCCCATATTCTATTGTTATGGAATGAATTCTATTGTTCTCTTTTGTTATGCTACAGTAAGATGGATATATATATCAAAGTCAGAAAAAAGCTAACATGTTTTTACCTTAATGGCCTGTATAATTATGTTTCACAGCTTCTCAGCAAACAACCAACTGAGCCACAATTGAAATCTAACAAACAAGCCTTTATTCACAAACCTGAAATAAAAAACTTTTCCTAATCAATACAATAGTTCTTTTAATTTATTATATACTTCATTGAAACATTAAGAAATATTGATAAAGTAAAATGCTCATTTTCATTTCCTGTATTTTCAATGTAATTATTCATTTTTCATTGCGTATTTTCACAAGTGTCTCCTAAATTTAGCCTATACACAATAGACTGTAAAGAATAATAGGGGCAATTTCTTTATAATTTCAAGTATTTATAGTCGAAACAGTCCTTTTTAAAGGCATATATATGGGTAAGTTGAATGTTGCATGTCCAGATATGATTGACTAACAATAATTATTGTAAAAAGTGAGTAATAATTGTCGGAATCATAGCTCAATCGGTAGAGAACATAGCTCGAGGTTACCAGATTTCAAAAAAAAAAAATTATTAATTTTGTTCTGACATGTCAGGAACAACTTAGACATGTCAGGAACAACTTTAAATTTAAATGAGTTTTTCGTTTGATTCATTTTTGTTACCTATCTTACTTTTTCATTGAAGTATCTTTACCTTCTTAAAAATTTTGCCCAAATCTCATTTCTTTCTCTTTTTTTTTTAAACTTCTTTTCATGAATTTAATATGAATATTTTCAAACAGATTTTAAAATAATCAAAATACAAACACTGTTAAGCATATATAACTGTTGTCAGGATTAAGTTTTGTTTCATCAAAAAAAAAACTTGAATAGAAAATAGAACAGTTTCCACCTGTAGTTTGGAACCCACTAACTGAATTCACTTTTATATCAATATTATGGACAGTCTTAAACTTATTTCACTAGTAAGTCAAATGATTTATTATCTCAAACAATGTAATTACATGTAGTATAAGTTTTTATGGAAAATAATGTGGTTAATCACTTGCAGTTAATCAAGGCTTGACAAATCCACTTGTCCGCTCATAAATGATAAATACAGAGTAAAAATGACTCCGGACAAGTTAATCTCCCAAAAATGCCCGTCCTGCAGGACGTGTGGAATTTCTAGCATAAATTAATCAAATTTCAATTCAATTCTTTTGAAACCATTTTTCAAGTTTTACTAGTAGGACAGAGCACAAAATAATTCCCCTGTGTTTGATGGGCAAAACTGATGTTGATTTGTTGAATGCAACGCTTAATTCTGTCTGATTCTATTTTGTAAAAACTTACTAAAAGCCCGTGCGGCGATTCCAGTATGTTCCACAAAAATTTTTTTAAAATGTCACAATGCAATATTTGGCAAATGTTTAGCCAGAAAGAAGTAAGTTAAACAGTGTCTTCAAAAAAGAAAAATTGTCTTCAAAAAAGAAAAATGAGTCAGAACATGTAGGAAATTTATATTTTTTTAAGCATTGTTGTTGTTGTTGTTTTTCGTTTTTCAATCCCTGATATATTATTTGTAGTATTTGTAACTATTATCTATTCTATTTGTAATAGAACAGCATTTTTCCCTTATAAAACTATTTACATTCCCAATAAAAAAAGACAGCAAATTTTCAAATGTTTTATTTTTAAAGTCCCAAAATTACTGTCAAAATTCCCATCCAAAATTGGCATATATAAAATGGATGATTTCATATTGATAAGTGATATGTGATAAAAACGAAGTATAACTACATCTGACAGAGCAATATTTGTACCTAGTTCATTTTATACTTCCGAACATTATTTATGTACATGTACTCATTTTTTTCACTCCAATAAGAAATCAATATATTATGCATGGTTTAACTTTAAATGTGTATAAATATTATGCATAATTCTCATGTCTCCCTGGATAAAATTCTAAATTAACCATGTGGCATGAATACCTGTCAGTTATCTAGTATCAATTTGAGTCAAAACGCATTTTTCCAAAAAAAAATTGTACTGGTAGCGTATAGATGTTACACAGAACTAAGCAAATGTCAGGGTTTTTCAATGCTAATCCCCAGTGTAAATATAATTATAACCTTACTCAAATTTTTTAAAATGAGGGGTGAAGTGTCTGCAAAAAAGGGCCTAGGGTGAAGTGTCTGGGGGGTGAAGTGTCTGTAAGCCGAGGTGATGGACAAGGCAAGACATGTCGATTTTTTTTAGCTTATTATGAAGTTGCAGTACATGAGAGACTGGCACATGATGAATCAGCACATAAATAAAACAATCTAGTGTTCTGTGGTCTCTAAGTGTCATACCTCAGCTCTTTTCCTTATTACAATGAAATTTTACATGATTGTTATCCACCGCTGGTTTGTTTTAAAGCAGTGAATGATAGGTACCGTTTCAGCAGATTTCGCAAAGAGGGTACAAATATGGATTATGCACCGTGGATCCAGTTCATTCTTTGAGAAAATGTAATAAGACATCATTACTGAACTTGTATATTTTTTATTTAAAAAAGCTGTAAGGCAAGCATCAACAATATGTATACGCTAGATGTAAATAACTCACCTCCAAAAAATATATAAAAAAAAAAATGGGTCAAAAATGTCTGGGTAGGAAATGGTTTGAGGGAGGACTTTCAAGGGAAGGAACTGCTAAACTTAAAAATTTGATAAGGTCAATTCAGTACAAAAAAGCTTTACCCCGATAATGGCCGATTGTGAAGAAAATTTGTAAAAAATACAGCTTTTTGATTGCAACTTAAATATCAACGTTATGAAATATAAACAATGAACATCAGTCATCTTGAATAACGTTGTATTTAAAGTCATATCCGGTATTAAGTCCTTGTATTTTTTGTAATCAACCAGAATCGCCAACGATTTGACGACGATTTCGCCACTGATAAATGGATAAATGCAAAACAAGCAAAGTTATACAACATTTAGGTAAATGGGAGATAAGGTTTTTGTAAGATAAAACTTACAACTCGTTTTAACACGTGGAACTTCTATATAAACTTCTCAATCTTTCACGGATGAACTTGTAAACAATGGCGATTGCGGTAAAATGACGTTAGGGCGAAAATAGTTCGTATTCATACGCATGCATTGTTTTTCTTAAATTTACACTTATGAAGCATTAGGCCCTATAAGCTTTAAAGTTAGCTGATCTGAAATCCGTATTCCATTACTTGCTAAATTTTTGAGTTCTATGACACTTAATTAACTTGTGACTACATGTAATTTGTACTATATTTATGCAAGTACTTTGGCTATGATCGACCGCTGGCGTAGTAATATTAAAATCGCGTAAAGCAAAAAATATACATACAATTTTAAAAGACGATTGCTAAATTTAGTACAAAATTGGCCAGTCAATTTTAAAATAGATAGGGAACTATGATTTTGGAGTTACTGCGAAGTTTTGGAACTATTTTGCTTAGCGTAGGTAGCTGACTAATTGTGTTCACATCATAGTAAATCTGAATTTGTCGTTATTACATTGGGGGCCCCCCAAAAACGAGGAGCATCCACGCTACATAATTTAAGTTAAGCTGCTGAGAACATCCCAGTGTACTTATTTAAATGTTTGTCACAAATGATTAAGCGCGTCTGTACATTTTACTACGATTTTAAAAGTGGAGACAGGAATTATTAACAAGAGCTGTCACAGGAGACAGCGAAGCTCGACTAATGAAATACTGGACGCAGTAAGGAGGACAAAACTATGAAAAAATTATGTATAATTATGTATTAAGTTATAGTAAAAAAATAATATTTGTTTACATAAATTCCAAGATCAAGGGGAATAATGCTAGAAATAGTCATGCTAGAGTTATGGACCTTGTCACACAACATTTGTGTAATGATAAGAAACATATATTTGAAGTTTGAAGCAGATACCTTAAAAAGAAAAGAAGCTATTATATTTCTTAAAGAAAATCCTAAGTTCAAAGAGAGATAAATCTGTAAATGTTGCATCAAGAGTTATGAACAATGTCACATAAAATGTAATTGTTGATAGGGAATAAGTATTTGGAATTTGAGGTAGATACCTTTAAAAATAAAAAAGTTATAATAAAAAATAACATTTTTCTAGTAAAAAAATCTAAGTTTATGGGGAGATAATTCTTGTAATATTGGTGCTAGAGTTATGAACCTTGTCACATAAGATGTGGATGATGATAACGTAAACATATTTGAAGTATGAAGTTGATCCCTTTAGAAATAAATAAATAACAGTAAAAAAAATATTTTTTATGGAAAATTCTAAGTTCAAAGGGAGATAAATCTGAAAATATTGGTGCTAGAGTTATGAACCTTGTCACATAAGATGGGGATGATGATAACGTAAATACATTTGAAGTATGAGGTTGATCCCTTAAGAAATAAAGAAGAAACAGTAAGAAATAGTACTTTTTGAGGAAAATTCTAAGTTCAAGGGGAGATAAATCTGAAACTATTGGTGCTAGAGTTATGAACCTTGTCACATAAGATGGGGATGATGATAAGGTACATATATTTGAAGTATGAGGTTGATCCCTTAAGAAATAAGGAAGTAACAGTAAAAAATAGTATTTTTTAAGGAAAATTCTAAGTTCAAGGGGAGATAAATCTGAAAATATTGGTGCTAGAGTTATGAACCTTGTCACATATGATGTGGTTGATGATAAGGAAGATATATTTGAAGTTTGAAGTTGATACCTTAAGAAATGACAAAGTTATAGTGAAAAATATTTTACTGCACCAAAACTTTAATCTAAAATCTGGACGCGGACGCCGACGCGAGTAGGACAGCTCTCCATATACTTCGTATAGTCGAGCTAAAAAGTGCTTCAATTATAGGAGAATGGCTGGGCTAATCCCTTTTGTTTACAGCAGGGTTAAAAAGGTTAAGGGTTAAAGTGAATTGGTCTATATAATGCAAGGTCTATCTATATGTAATACCATTGATAATTCAGAATTTCTTTTCAAGACACATTTTACAAATATATCCAAATGATACATTTCTATTGTTTTTAATTCAATATTTGAAATATTTATGAAAAATGTGCCCATTGTAGACCAATCCACTTTAAATAAAAACTAACTAAGATGGGGTTTTTCCAAGCACTTCTTTATTTCCTTCAATTACAATATCAAAATATATCAGAAAAAAATGACTATTGAAGTTGAATAGAAAGATTTGAAATAATAAAATATAAATAATGGTCAATAAATTTCACGAGATCTTTGTCTCAAGGTAGATCATCATAACAATTATATAAGTCATATATTCAAATGCATTTGTTGGTTTCTTTCATCTTTGAAAGGTAATGAAAATATTGAACATAAAGTTGGTAAATATCAATTTAATACACCTATTTATCTTCTTATTTTAAGATGTAGAATATAAATTTATCAGTATTTCAGCCATGCATGTATATCAGTGGACAGTATCTAACATCTATCCTTAAATTCTATACACAAAATAACATGTTACTCCACAAGTATCCATCAACTTCTCCACATTACAAGATATCTGGCATATGACACATTGATGTCAACAAAATTGTCAAAGAGAAACATGGGCTTTGCACAGGGCTTGAACTTGTAAACCCAAAGTTTATTGACCCTTACCTATTCCAGATTAACCAGATTTTGATTTTTTTTAAAATTCCATGTACATTTATAGTCTAATATGTGAAAATTTCACATAAAACTAATAAGATGGGGGAAAAAAACCTTAAAAACTAATGAATGAAAAATAATTTCTCCTCATTGTTAACGTTTATTGGTAAGGATTATATCTACATGTATGTGACAAACAAGCCAGGGCAGCCTGCACGTCCTGATCAGGCTCTATACTAAAATAATAAAATTCATGTGTCTAATTCTTGTAAATGATACTGAAATCTCGTCTTACTACAGAATTAACAACTTGTCAATTCCATTAATGCCATTATTATACAACTGTGTGTAAGATGTAAGAGTAATAATACTTATATAGAGGACATTAAATGAGTGCAAGTTTAATACTGAATTTATTGAACAAGTTGAATAAAATTACAATATGCAAGCCTCAGGCGAGCATAATATTATTTTATTCAAAGAGTTGAATAAATTCAGTAATAAACTTACACGAATTTAATATTCTTTTTATCATATACCAAAAATAGAGACCGTTTGAAGTGAAAAAGAACAATTTTTCAATCGTGTGCCTATACATGTAGTTTAGTCCTTACCACCTGAAACATCTGAAATGGACTTGTCCATCCTTCAATCTCGACAAAATTTGGACAAAACCATCCACCATTTTAGGGAAATTTTCAAAACATGTATTGACTGAATAGCAAATAGTCCTGGCTGATCTTGATCTACACTGGTTAACATACAATAAATATTCAGCAACTGTTGTATATCTTACAAAAAATAATAAATCAGCAAAATATTTGTTCAATATTTTCAAAGCGATAAATTATGATTACCAGTTTATAATGATATAAATACAAAATATATGTTTTAAAAACTGTTCTGTAACTGTTGAGAGATCAAAAACAAGAAAATAAGAAAAAACAATTAAAAAGCAAATGAAGTAAAAAACAAAAAGTTTTTCATTGCCTAAACAACTCAAAATTTCAAATCCCCCACCCCCTCCTCCAAAGAAAAGAGGGGGGAAAAGTTATTACAATAACCATATATATTTCAAAGTAAGAATGTTGTTTCTCAGGGGCATGATAGCTGAAGTCTGTGCTATAATTTGACAAAAGTATCTTATTATTTACTTCCCATCATTTAAACTCTCTAAAATTTAGAATTTACCAAATAAAACATCTAGAGACAAAATTTAGCCAATTTTGTAACAACAAACATATTTAAATCATTTTATATGATTTTCTTGCCTTTATTGATGTGCAAAACTTTCAATAAACAAAAAGGACAAAATTAGAATTTTTTACAAAATTAATGCTTAGAAAGGAAATACTGAAATATGTTGAAGGCTCAGTTTAATTGAGCCAGTTAGTGGACAGTAGTGTTAAAAGCAAGCTACTGTCTATACCCCCTAGCACCGGCTTAAGCAGAATTCAACATTTAAATATGAAAATGGTGAAAATCCTCATTCCAGTTAGTATCACTATTATTTTTCTACTTCTTATCACATTACTGTTGTTATCATTATTGTTGTTATCATTGTTGTTATTATCATTATCACCATTATCAAAATGACAACATCAAAGTTGGCAATATAATTACGTAAATGTAAATATTAACAGTGCAGGTAGACTACTACACACAAAATAATATCAACTTTGTGTTCTTGTTCCAAAACATGTAACTTAAAGCAGGCCTTGTTAACGTTCATGTTAAACATATACAAAACAAATGAAAGTTAAAAAATACAACCAAATCATTTTCACTGAACATTTAATAATAGGCTGTCACGTGACTTACACCATATTTCTCAAAAACAATTATCACTTAGAAATATAACATTTCATACATGTATACAAATATATCCTTTTTCTTCTAAAATTTTAAAATAATAATTAACATGATAGATTTTGTCTCAAAATATAACAATTCATAACATTTGATTTTTTATAAAATATACATTGTAATAACATTTACGCCATTGACAGTTATTCTCTAAAATGTAATATAACATTCTGTAAAATGTAATAAAATTCTCTTAAATGTAATAACATTCTCTAAAATGTAATAACATTCTCTAAATTGTAATAACATTCTCTAAATTGTAATAACATTCTCTAAATTATAATAACATTCAAGCATTGATCATGATTATCTGCTAAAATACACAAAATATAATAACATTTATGATATTGACACGATCACAGTTTCTCTCTAATTCATGAATATTTAAGTTTTCTTAGTGTGATAGAATACTAGTATAATATTAATATTTATGCTTTTTTATAGTTTTTTTTCTTCTAAAATATAAAAATGGGTCTTAAAGCATATAAAGCTATATCTGATGAAAATGTCTTTATAAGTTTAAAAACATGAATTATGTTGTTTTCATAACCTTATGGCCTTGAAAGATTTGTAACATAGAAAGTTTTCATAATTTAATATACAACTTCCAAAACAAATATTCCAATGCAATTATAGTATGTTTGGCCCTGATTTTAGGAATGCCTCACTGGCTTTCAATTAAATATATACTGACAAATTTCTTTTAAACAAGGTATCCGATAATCAATTTTATCAAAATATGTACATTAATTTTACAATAATGAAACAACAAAATTAATATAAGAGCTTTATACACTTTAAATAATGACTTGCTAAAATTACCATCACATTTATGTTTGAGCAGGGTTTTCTTTACAATAAAGGAGATACTAAGTTGACATTTCTATGTTTTTCTCTAAAATAACAATTAACAAATTAAAGAAAATTTTCTCCAAAATATGGAACTGGATTTAAGAAATATTATTTTTATCTTTAAAGAAAAAGCAGCATAACATTATTAAAGAAATTATACCAAATTCATTCATTGCGTAGAAATGTAATAACTTTTTTACTTTTTTTATCTCTCTCTTTCTTTATTGGCATAATAAGAAAATTATTTTGTCCTTAAAACAGTAAAAATGTAATAATAACATTGTGATTGTCAAACAAAATCATGTATAAACATAATAGGCCTCAAAAAAAAAAAGCATGCATAAAAGGGGTAATTAAGTTGGGGCCTCAAAAACATCATAAATAAATGGGGTAACCCACTTGGGGCCTCAAATTAAAAAAAAAATCATCCTTAAACAAATACATAAACTCCAGACTTTACTTGCTGAATTGCTAAAATGGACTTGTCCAACTTCCAGTTTTGGGACTGTCCATTACTCCACTTGTGGGTTTCAAGATGACAAGTAAAAGTAAATCAGCCAACAGTGTACAACCTAGCCAGACTGCACAGAAGAACAGGCTGGCCTGGTTCTATACTGGTGACAAAGGCTAATCATTTATGTTTCCAGCATGTTAAGGGTTAACAAACAATGCAATATTTACATAATTATTAGTACATAAAATTTACGGAAAAAGACATCATCAAATAGTTAATGATTGTAAAAAATATATTTCTTGGTAACAAAAATCATGATCTTTTCAGTTTTTACCAAAGACATCAAAGACGTCCCAGTAATTGATAAAACCCACTAAGTTATCACCACCATACTTGATGTTTTTTTCAGTAATAAGCAGCAATAAGCATTTTTAGTTATTGGTGTAAACATATTTTATTTTGTTCCTTGCAGCCAATATCAGTCCTTGCCTTATAAAAATAATATCAAAACACTGAGAAAGGTGTCCGTTGTGCCTTGAGTAGAAATATTTAATATTATATGATGTACATTTCTATATACATTTTGTACAATGGTCTATAGTTCAACCTAATTTTTACATTTGTTACAATGACTAGTCTAACACATTGCAGTGAGTTTGTTTTTTGTTCGTCAGGTTTTTATGCCGATTTGACACGATTTTTAGTCATATCTCCGCGTTCATTCCATCTAACCAGCTGTATAGTGAGAATTTTGCATGAGTCACCAGAACAGTAACAAAGACCTCCCATCATGCATATACATACACATAATATTTATTTATAGAAGCAAAGCTGTGACAAAAGCTGCATGCTAACATGTGTTTAAATTGTTCTTAAAATTAGTGTCATAATTGGATACAAGGTCACGATCTCAGTTGACCTAAAAAACGAATCCCTGATGCCGGTCCTTGAGGTTAAAAAAAACTTTTTTCTAAGGGGATTGTTAAAAAATTGTCATTGCAATGTACATTTTTGTTGAAAAGTTTTGACCAATCAAATAAGTAAGATCTGAACTTGAGCTTTGAGAATTTCTTTAACACCTTGGACCCTGGGTTAAACAAAAAAGGAAAATTTTATCAAATGTTAACCCCTCTCTTTTATTTTATTAGCAACTTAACCAAATTGGGGTTTAAAAAAAAAGACACTTAAAGGGTTTAAATACCAAGTTTAACAGCAAGTGAGAAATCAGCAGATGCCGTAAACACTAGATTACACAACAGGCACATTAATTTTACCACCAGTTTATACAGTAGACACGATAAAGGGACTCCTCTGAGGTTTTTTTTACATGAAGGTGCCAAAATTTTTTTCAAGGCCTTTACATAACTGGACCAATTACTTGTGTACAAAATTTCAACTCATTCCATCACTCCACTTCCCAGACATAACCAATTTCAACTGTGCAATTAAATTGACCCCAAAATACTCAAATCAGCCAAAAAAAAAATTGTATTAAAAAATTGAGTATCAATTTAATAATAGTGAGTATACATGCATTTATATATTATTATCTATTGCATAGTTTTCAATTTTAAATGTACCTGTTGATTTAAGAAAGAATTTCAGATTTCATTATTTTTTGGCCATTTGACCTCAAATGGAGTTCCCTTTTAAAATCTAAAAAAACACAGGGAAATTTAGTCTACAATTTTATCAATTTAATAAAATTATCAAAATCCTTTTATAACCCGGTGGTCAATGTTTTTAGTAAAACCCATTTGAATAGAAAAAAAAGGGAAAAAAGTATACTTTCCATCTGCAAGTACGTAAACCTTTAACCTTCCCACAATGCAACTAAAATGGTATTATTTTAATACATTGTTCTTAATATAAACTCAAGTCACTGCCTGCAATAATATACAGTAAACTCCACTTTTTATATCGTTATATTCGGATATCTTTATTTCAGAGAGGCTAACAATATAAAAATGAGAGTCCGACTGCCACAACATCATTAAAAGTAGTATATAGATATAAACAATATGCTGTAAGTGAAGCTTTCCTAGCAAAATGTTAAATCTGTAATAAATATATCTATCTTTAAGAAAGTTTAATTTCATCATTTAATAATACTGCCCTATTATAATTGTGTTATTTGATCAGCGTTGCATTGTTAAAAAACAAAGCTTGCACATCAGCATTTTAAATAACTTATTTTCTGCTTCCAAAGAATAATTATCTAAAATATATGAGTCCATTCTAGTCTTGAGGGATATAAAATTTGACTCAGTTAGTTCTCATACAAATTTTTTTTTATCTTTGTCCAAATATGCCATTGATTTATGTAATACTGCCTTATGTTAGTGAAGAAAAAAAAGTTATAAGTACAAAGTTTAAAGCATTTTCTGGGCCAAATAAATGAAACATGTTATTGCAGACAATATACAAGAACAATGACCAAAAAACACTTAAATGTTTCAAGCACTTTCAAAAAACAACATTCAACTTTAAGCACTCATCAAACACTGCACAAACCTTGACTACCTTCCAAAAGTTTTGAGACACATTTTTGATCAAATGAGATTAAACATACTCCTCGCAGTGACCTTCACTTGGTTCCCGTCTTTGCAGCAAATCCTGAATGTTGTTCACAACTTTACCAGTACTTGACTGACTTTGTCTCCTTTGATTATCATGCATTGCTGAGACGTTACTATAGTCACCTGTTGCATGCTGGGAATCACAATGACCTTGATCTTTGTCAACAGCAGAACAGTTTTCATAATGACCTTCACTGTTTATTTGGAGACGATTTATTCCGACCTCATTTTCATAAATATTTTTAGAACAACCTTGACCTGGTGAACTTTTCACTCCATGATCAAAATCTTCCTGTTGGGCAGATCTTTCATGAAGTTCCTCCGAATCATTTCTAGTCATACCCTGATACATGCTCAACTTCTTTTGATGCTCTTCAAGACTGGCGTCAATGTTTTCATTGGAGACTTTTTCCGGCACATTTGCGTAACGACATGCTCCCTCGCTGACAAAGAGGGCATCGTCATTGAAGATGTCGGCACTGCATGAGGTTCGTAATCATTGTTTATTGATCTCAGTTTACTAGTGCTGCTCTGCTCACGAATGCTTTCAGCTCGAAATCAAACTTAAAATTTCTAATTCATCCATTAATCATCTACAAAAATCTGCATCTTGGTACATTAATTAAGGGCTTCATCTGGGGCCAGCAGGATGAAACTTATCGAAAATTCCTCTATTCATAGAGCTTTTAACTTTAGCAGCTTTAGTTTCAATTTCATCTAATTCTTTACTGAAGTCAATATCAAACCCTGGACATTGGCTATTGTCTTTTGGATTGTTTGAAGCCTCTTTACCTACTTCTGAAGACATAACTGGTATATTTGGATTCTCCGATTGATTTTCACTTCCGGGAATTTGTTTAGCTTTTTCATAAATGTTATCATCATTCAATCTGCTTGAAATTTTCTCAGAATTTTCTAATGGAACAGGACTGCGTCTGAATTGATTTAACCTCATTTTCTGCTCTACCTCTGGTTTAGAGACATTTTCAAGATCAAACTTCTCAATTTTTTCCAATTTACTTGGGTCTGATTTAAAAACTGACATCATTTCCTCAGTTTTCTGATCAACATTGATGTATTCATGTCCTTTAGATTCTTTCTGCTGCTTCATGTCTACCTCCTTCTGAAGAAAGAATGCCTCGGGCAAAGGTTTGCCTTTAGGCAGCATGTCGATTGGGCTTTGCGGTACCGACTTTGCAGGAATCCCGACAGGAGGGCCTTTTAGGTCAGAGGAGAAACTTGGCAGATTTTTCGTGGTCATGTGATTTTCATGTATTGAACCAGCTTTGCCCACATCTTCTACAACTCCTGTTAATGTAAAACAAGAACAAAAATTACAAATAAATCAGTTAAAAAAAAAATTCCATAATCTACCAGTCTTAAAGAGTTCAGACTTTTCATATGTTATTCTATACAAGGATGGTTGAAAATTACTGTCTAAATATAAATAAACTTTATTCTTTAATTTAGTTTGATTGTGCTGGAATCAATGTATGAATTCATAAAGTTTCTTGCTCAAGGAAACAAAGGCTTGTCCTTGGAGGTGTATGAACCTATGTGAGCAGGAATCCTTAAATTACTAGTCAGACGTATTTACCATTCCCCCATGACGCCACCCCATTACCCAGTTGTCTGCAACTAAATCTATCCATGCAACCAGAGCAGACCAAGATCAACAGGTACATTCATGCTGTCTGGTCATGGCCTGCACTGTTTCCTTTTCAGTCAGTACTTATTTTGACTTTTTCCCAAAACTGATGAATGGTCTTGTCCATATTGATAGACAGACAGGTCCATTTATGATATTTAGGGTGGTAAAGGTTAAACATTGTACTGCTACAAAATATTTAATCATTAATCATATAACTAACATTACCTTTTATGTTCACATAATTTGGTCCATTGAGATCACTTTCACATTTCTCTATCTCAGAATACACCTAAATTTCAGGAGAAAAAAACATACCATAAATACAATAAGATAGAATAAATTTCACCCTCAACACACTGAATTTGTATAATGGACTTTCCCTGCTTTGAATATGGAACAGTCCATTCAAAGTCTAAGGGATTTCAGTATCAAAATATAAAAGTAGAGCTACTAACAGTATAGAGCTTGGTCAGACTGCACGGATGCGCAGGCTGGCCTGGCTCTATACTGGCAGCAAAGGCTGGTCACTCTCATTTCCAGCAGGTTAAGGGTTAATAATATAATGGTTGAATATATAATGATATATATCCTGAACATCATGTAAATGATTTAGCACATATTTTGAAACATCTTTCTTGAGACCAGAAAGGTTTTTTTTTTGTTTTGTTTTTTAAGAACCGATTTAACACATATTTTCGTCATATCTTGGTGGTCTATCAACATAATCAACTTTCCTGGATAACTAACAAGCATGCACCAATTTCTCTGCAAGTAACAGACTATTAATTCTACATATGGAAGAATTTTAATTTTCTACGACAGAAAGATTCTATGCTTCATAGAATGAGCAAGGCTACATGATGATTCTAAAACTTTAGATAAAGACTACCTCTGTATAAGTGCTCATACTTCAATTCTGAATGACAATACCTTCAGGGAGCATCCTTCATTTAATTTCTTGCTCAATGAGACCTGGCAATGATTGCTAAAGGGCCTCTGTCTCTGCCATCAACCAGTAAATAGCACAGAAATCAAGCATTCTTAAGCCCTTTAAATCAAACCTGGTGACTCTCCAGTTTTACAGTGGAGGAAATCCTAAGAAAATCTAAGTCCCTGACTCAAACCAACAGCAGTGAGGGGCAAGTGGTTTGAAGCCAACGACCTTAACCACTCGGTCACAGACACCCCAAGACTATTCTATCAGCCACCATTATAAGCAAATCACCTTCCTAAGTGAACCACTTCTAAACATCTCAAACAGAAATTACTGCATGTGTAAGTGGTATAAGTCTTTTGCAGGATGGGCCACCAGCAGTCCCAGCAGTTTGTGTTGGGGGATCATTTTCTTTTCCATCCAAAATAATTTACTGATCTGAAAAAAAGGCCCAAGTTTAAAAAAGTGCAAAAAATTAAATTTCATACTCTACCATATTGGGCCCTGCCCTTCTTTTTTTTCATGTGTAAGCTGAGCTCTAACCATCTAAAGTTGGGGTTTTAAAAAATTATCTTAAATTTGGATCTTAAAATGTTTTCTGCTTTTTTAACTTAGGTGAATCTTCTAAAGCACTTTGTATGTACTCAACCTTGACAGAATAGTAAAATTCAGAACTTAAATAGAGTACATTGACAGAAGAGTAAAATTCAGAACTTTTATTGAGTACAATCATGGATTTTTGTCCCCCATTCGATGTTAATTTTGTATAAATGAAATAAAGCTGTGTAAATATTTTCTACCATACAAAAATCCTAACAATGTTTAAAACAGGGTAGAAATAAGGTGATAAAATCAGATAATCAACTCCTAATTTGCTTAAAGCTTGTCAAACATTTATGAATTTAGAAAATTAAAATATTTCTTAAACTCTGACTATGTTTTCTTAAAGCTTAATCCTTTCCTAATTTTCATTGATGGTCACTTCTTCGGATGCATGCAGCTTTAAATAAAGCTATCATTTACTATCAACTAGGATTTTACAAATTCTTCACTTCAATATTATAAAATATATATCTTAAAAAAGGTAAACCACTTAAAAATGGATTTTTGTTGTTGTTTTTTTTTCATTATTATTGGTTGGGTTTAAAGTGGTACCAACACAATATAAATGACTTTCTAGCATTACTAGTGGAGGAATACCTCAGGTGCCCCTCTGTACCTTATTTCAGGCACAAATGGGCACCTAATTAGAACCACAGAGGTTCCATAAGCTAACTGGGCAGCTTTCTCACATTGGCCCGGATCGAACATATAGAGGTAAATTAATCTTAACCGCTTGGAACCAGACACCCTAATGGTGCAATATTTCAAATCACAACAATAATTGATGAATGGGATTTTTTAAAACCAAATAATTGAAAACCAAAAATATAATGTTAAAAAATCCCTATATTTTAGTTCTACAGATATTAAGTACATTAAGCTGTAGGTATCCACATAATTGGTGTAAAGCATCAGACCATCAAAAGGAAGTTTAAATACTTTTTCTATAAAATCCAATGGTGCATTGAATATATTGATAAAAGAAATATTTTTTGTATTTATTGCGTAAAAAATATGCCAGAATTTAGATGAATGAATACACAGCAGGAAGTTCAGAAACTATCTCATAACATTTATATTCATCCAATTATCAAGGTATAGAACAAATTATCTTTTATTGAGGAAGCCTTTTAAAAACTTAAACCAGGAAGTTTAAGACATAAATGAAGGAAATAACCTTTTATCAATGAAATAAACACTGATATTTATAAATGATTCACAGAAATGTCTAAATCATGAAATAATATACCTTTGCAAAATACTTTTGAAATATTAATAAGGCAAAATAGTATTAGGTACTGGTCAGTCATGAGTTGTCAAGGCACTTGAAAATGATATTTTGAGCTATCTGTCCGCCATGAATTTATCAGGTATTTGTCAGTATTAATTAAGTATCTGCCATAAACAAGTTTATGACTTATTTTTTCATTTATAAGTAATTTGTCAGTCATGAGTTTTGGTCAAGAGTTAATAAGGTAGTTTGTCAATCATGAATTCATGAAATATTTGTCAGTCATGAATTTGTGAGGCTATTGCTGGTCATAAGTATAGAGGGTTGTTGTCAGTTATGAATTCAGGAAGTATTTGTCAAAAGCTATGAGGTAAATGCTAGTCATAGATTTATGAAGTATTTCCAGCCATGAATACATTATATGAGGTATTTTACAGTCATGAATAATATGACTGGAAATTCTTTATATATTCAATATATAAAGAATTTCCCAGTCATGAATATATGAGGTATTTTCCAGTCATGAATATATGAGGTATATGCCAGTCCTGAATTCATTGAATATTTTCCATTCATCAATTCATAATGAACTTATCAGTCATGAAATCCTTAAATCCTTTATGTTCTGTATATTTTATAAAATCCTTTATGTTCTGTATATTTTGAGATTTTGTTAAGTCAATTACTTTTTATAGTCTTAAAAAATTCTTGTTTTAACAATGTGTGATATTCATAAATTCACGAGCTATTTTTTCGTCACTCTATCTTCTGTTACATGAGATATGATAGATATAGATAAAGGTGAGCAATGCTTACGAGATATTTGTGTTCCACACTGCCTTCTCTCCTTTCATCATAAGCCTCTTGCCCAGACAAACACTCAAACATCACCTACAAACATCGAAAATATTCAATGAAATATTGAATAACATATTTAAAAAAAAAAATGAATACAATATTTAAACAAGAGCACCACATACCAGTAGGCTACCCATAAATGCCCAATTGCAAATTTGTTTTAAGCAAATAAAATTTAAAGTAATCAAAAATAGGCCTTGACAAAATTCCTGTTTTTTAATGTTAATCATACTTTGTCTAAATTATGGAACTTTTATAACAATATATGAGCGATTTTTTATTTATTTCAAATGCACTTATTTTTTCAAATATTAAAAGCAGAAAAAAATGTAGAAAGCCATTTAGACCTGAGATTATAAATTCTGTTGCCAAAGTTATACCAACACAATAACATAGATTTTTCTTTTAACCTTTTACCCCATGAGCATATTGTGAAAAATGGCCGTTTTCATTGAAAAGCCACCTGTTACAAGTTCAAACTGCTATGAAACTATGAAAAAAATGCTTTAATACTGATGAAACTTGGCACAAATGTTGACTGGACCATAGCCTCTTTAACAGCATGCTCAATCGTAAATTTCCTGTTACCATGGCAACGGGGTGGTGGGGGGGATTGGGGGGAGGTTGGACGTCTCAAAATTGCGAAAAATCACTATTTTGCATTGTTTTTTTCCCATCAAAACTGATTTCAAAGTGCAGCAACTTTGAGATAGAGTAAAAGGCTTTTCAGAATCAGTTACTAGTTACCCTAAGATCGACCGGAGGCCATTTTTAGCCTGTCATATGTCCAAAATTTTCTTGGTGATGAGGGGACTACCGCCCCGCTTCAAACCCAGCAAACATTTTGATTGGGAGGGAGGTGGCGCCGAAAAAGTGGTCACTTTTTTAACAACATTTCTCAAAAGAAAAACAGTGTTTTGGGCTTAAATAGGGCATTTTTACACTATTTGAGTCATCAAAAAAAAGGGGGGAAAGCTGTCAAAACACGCCTATATGAGGTAAAAGGTTAATTGATCTTTCATGAGGAGTTTCATTATGTTTTAAAGTTTTAAGTTAGAGAAGTATATACATGTAAGTAGCATCAATCCAGGTCACAATGAAACCCTTGTTTCATCATCTTAACACACTGTCAACACTGAGATTTCTGTTGATATATTTCTTATACCGCTTGCAAGTACTTTTACAAGTATTTCTGTGCATTTTATACTAGATTATTATGCACAAAGTAATGCTATACCAATTGCTCTTAATATGACTTGAAGATCTGCATAAACTATAAATATTTCAGACAACTTATATACACTAAGGTCAAGTGGTAAAAGTGCCTGACAGACTCCCAACCAAGACATTTCGTAGTCATGTTTACTCAAATTGCACCAGTATTGGTCACTTCCAGAAGGCAAACATGAGAGACTGCTCAATGCTTTTAACATTCTTGAATTAAAATAAAAACTGTTTAAACTCAAACAACTTACAACTCCAAATGAATAAGCATCTCCCTTGATTGAGAAACCGTTTCCTCGAGCAATCTCTGGCGGGTGATATGCCTTGTTCTTGTAGTCGCTAATACTCGTAGTTTTCTTCGTAATATGAGTGAGACGGCCGGCTGTTTCACCCCCAGTGGCCGGCTTTGCCATACCAAGGTCACTGATTTTTGCCACAAAATGTTCATCAAGTAATATGTTGGCACTGTGAAAAGGAGGACAACAAATGTTGAAGAATGTTTTTACATGTAAGAGTGTTTGGTCATTAATATAAGGAGTGGCAATAGGAGTGGCAATCAACTTAAGGAGGAGTGGTTATAAATGAAGGGGACTGGCTGTAAATTTTTAAATGTAAGGTTGTGACTAAAAATGTATCAATGTAAGGGAAAGGATGTTAATATGTTTAAATGGAAAGGAATTACTGTAAATGTATTAAAATAAAGGAATTATTGTAAATGTGTTAATGTAAGGGAAATACTGTAAATTATAAAATTGTAACAAATACATATTAAGCTGCCATGTTACAAGAAATGACTAATATATAACAAGGCGTGGCTATAAAAAAAACCCAACACAACTGTAATTAAGACAAATATTTGTCCTACCTCTTTACATTTCCAAGAATGACTGGTACCGTCTCAGCTGTATGAAGGAACTGTAGCCCACACGAGGCTCCTTTCAATATAGACATTCTTTGTTCCCATGACAACACTTTAAATACAGTACCAGGCTATAAGAAATAACAAGAGGACCATGACAACCATTGCTAGAAAAAGTTATATTTCCTACAAAGCAGAAGTAGGTCACTGGGTCAAGTTCAAGGTCAAATATTTAATTAATATGCATAAGTGTACAAATTAGATAGTCCAAATTTGATTTTGAAGGTGTTTTTTTTTACAAGGTGGTTACTAAGACAATACTGTACTTCAAAGCTAACAATCAGAACCAAAAAATTATGCTATATATATGTATATTCCTTAATTTCCTGTATTACAGTTTTTGACATAAAAAAACTAAGGCAAACTTTAAATAATTTCATTTCTCCAGTTTATCATTAGCTCCTTTGACCTCATTGTGCATCAGGCAAGAACCATCTATACAACTTTTGCAGATTTGCAGACGTCTATCTAAAGAACATTCCTGTGAAGTTTGGCTAAATTCTAGCCAGTGATTTGGGAAAAGATGATTTGTATAGATAATAAGGGGCTAAAAATAATAATTTAAATTTTTCTCCAAATTGGAACATTCATGAGCAAAACAATGCACACAAAAAATAAATTAAATTATGACTTCATTTCTATGAGCCAAATACAGAAGTTACAAGGTGAAAGAACACATTCTATTACCCTGGGTTAGATTAAATATTTACAAGGAACATATTTTGTTACTCTGAGCCAGATTTAAAATTTACAGGGAACATGTTCTGTTACTCCGAGACCAATAAAAAACAATCAAACTCACCTTGCCATGTAGACACTGGTATAGGGAACCATTTATCATGTACTGGTAAACAAGACATACTTCATCATTATCTAGTGAATATCCATACAGGCTCAAAATGTTTTCATGTCTATACCTAAAAACATTAAATAAAAAATACAAATACTTGGTCAGACATGTACATAGGGTATATATTCTAAACTCCAGCTTTACTGATGAGGAAGACCTCAGGTGCCCATGCACGCATTATTTCAGGAACAAATGGGCACCTGAGTAGAACCACCGATATTCCTTAAGTAAGCTGGATAGCTTCCTGAGATGAAAATAATCTGGAGTCCCTGGCAGGATTCAAACCCATAGCAGTTAGGGGCAAGTCAACATTGGAGTTTTGAAGTCAACAACCTTAACCACTTGGCCATGGACGCCCCCATCAGACATGTTTAAAATAGATATACAAAAACAACATCATCAATATTGGAATGTAACATGAGTATACATACTTGCTCAATGTTTTCAGTTCTGCTGCCATACATAGTGCCGAGTCTTCGTCCTGCGGATTATCTCTCTGTTTGAATGATATAAAACATGAGAAACATGTCAATGTCAATGAATCCAGTCAATTTTTCTATAGTTATCTAACTTCTTAAAGGAACTCCACTTAGATCCAAAAGTCTACAAACTTAAAATTTGATTTTCTTTCAGAGATCAGCAATTAAAACAGAAAAATATGCAAAAGAAAATTAAAAAATATACTCATAAATAAATTGAAAATGGTATTTTTGTGTTAGACTGACTTGAGTGAAAAATGTTCCAAATTTTTGGTCATTTTTCACGATTTAAAATAATTGTTCTGGAAACACAGAGGGAGCAAAACTGATCTGAAGTTTTTTTTATCTAGACCTAAGTTAAATGGAACATTGACCTTGAACAATTATTTTCAGTCCTATCATGTCAAAAAACCTCAATGGAGTCCCTTTAAGATGTGACACTCTGGCTTACTAACAAAAATATTTCCAGTTCAGTCACTTAACCTCAGTGGAGCCCCTAAATGTGTTTCCATTAAAATCAAACCCTTCTCCATGACAACCCTTTTACTTGTTTTCTGTTTTGAGTATTAGAACTTGTATATTCAAATATTGAAAAAAAATAAAATATGTAAACTGTAAAGGAACTCTGGTATATTATTTCCTTTGTAAACTGTGAAACAATCACCAATAAAAACCTGATCAAATTAATTAAATACGAAATGTAAAATATAAACTTAGTGGATTAACTTAAGTTCGTCTAAATTGATAATGTACGATTCCAAAAATGGAAGCTGGACAGTCCATTAAAGATAACGTACGCTAATGAATCTTTTAACATCTCATAACCTGAGACTACTTTCGCTTTCTTTTGGCAGTTTTCCGATACCTATTTTTAGTGTTTTTCACTGTCATTACTGATAATATTTCAATATAATGTCATCTTGAATGCATGTCCATTTGGGTCAGTAATCCTATTGTAAAAAACATTTATCAAAGTCAATAAATAAAAGTTTGATTTAATTAAATATTTTCTCTCTCTACCTGTTTCAGCTTTCTGATTGCACATTTTGTGTTCTTCACTACACCATAATACACTTCTCCATATTTCCCCTCCCCAATTCGGTTATGAACCTTGAACCCATCAGTTGCTGCACTAAGGTCTTTGTACGTATAGTTTGGAGAGCCCATCAGAGCGTGCGCAATCTGCCTCCTACTTTCGCTCCAACCAGACATGTCTATACCCTCGGAACTATATTCCATCATTGACCTTACACGCTCAAATGAACGCGCTGCAGAAGATGCTGCACCAAGATTTCCCTGTTTTTGATAAATCAAAATGTCTGGAATTATTTCCTATGCTTTTAAATTAGCCATTTATAGACATTTGACAATCATCAATATGTCATGAATAACTTTTGTGGATTGAAAATGCATACTTAGAAACTGTCTCTGGCCAACAGAAAGTCAAAAGAGAACATGTACTATATTAAATGGGGGCATAATTTATTGCAAACTTACCTTTAAAGAAGCCGGACCATCTGCTTGGGCGAATGTTTCCCCGGATGAGGCACCGTGTGGTTCAAGCATGGTACCCAGAATCTTTTCAAACATGGGAGATTTATTGCCCGTCTTCTCACTCTTCATGCATGGCATATTAAAGTTGACATCTGGCATGTTGCTTTCTTTGACAACTGGACCACATTTCTTCATACTTGGGATCGGTAACACTGAAAACAAATTTCTTATAATTACCATAGCTACCAAAAATCTGTTAAATAATTATTCCTATTAATAAATATTTCATTATTGTTGAATTTCTATACATGTACAAGAGGAACATGATTGAGCTGACATGCATAATTGATTCAATATTCTAAAATATATAGAAGCCTTATGTAGGTGACATTATTCAAAATAAAGCCTTTTATGACATGGATATTATGCCAAAGTATGAATGCTCTTATTAAATTAAGATGATATGGCCAAGCCATAGTTGTATACTAATAGATAAACAAACAATTAAATAGGACAAAAACAACATATGTCAACAGAATCTATTGCAAACAGATAGGAAAAAAACAATACATGTCAACTGGATCTATTGCAAACAGATAGGACAAAAACAATATATGTCAATTGGATCTATTGCAAACAGATAGGACAAAAACAATATATGTCAATTGGATCTATAGCAAACAGATAGGACAAAAACAATATATGTCAACTGGAAAACAGATAGGACAAAACCAATATATGTCAACTGGATCTATTGCAAACAAACAGATGGGATAAAATATGTCAACCGGATCTATTGCAAAAAGAAACAGATAGGACAAAATCAATAGATCCATCAAATTTATCAAACAATGCAGGAGCATAAAAAGTAGTTCTTACTCTCTGTTTCATAGAAGTTCTGATCGATGTCACTGGAGAAGTTATCAGTTTTTGATGATATACTATCATCATTAGCTGTATTCTCAACCTTATGTTCCTTCTTTTTCCCCTTTCCTGGGTTTACTGTATAATAATAAAAAACTACACATTATACTACTGTGATTAAAGGATTTCAGTGAGAACATGTTTTAGTCAATTTCTTATTCCTTATAAAGGATATGACAGATTTATATAATATATTGTATATCCATAAGCCTTTTCTGACAGCCCTTAATTAATTAATTTTTACATAATAGTTATGCAGTCATGCATGGATAAAATGTGGACGCCCAGCCCCTTAAAGCCAATATTTAACAGTCTACTGGTCATGATCAACTTTTTTATTTTTCATTGGAAAAAACTTTTTAAAAATCATTAATCAAATATCAATAACGGTGGTTGTAAAACTCTTGTCAAAAAAAAAAAAAAATCTTGGAAAAAAAAAAATAAAGATAAGAAAAACTTGCTTGAACAGAATACTTTGACTTACAACTAGGATATTTAAAAAGATATTCTAAAGATATTTATCAAAATAATGAGAAAAATAGGAAAAATTTATACCTATATCTTCAAGCAATTTCATGCTTTGAGCTTTGTTGATCAGATCTAATTTATCATAAAGATTTCTTACAGTGCCCCCTCTGGAGCCCCAATCCCAGAGCAACTTTTTGGTAGGACTTCCATGTGATCTCTGGGTCTCTAGCTCAAACGTCTGGATATGACTTGTAGAATACCCAATATCACCAGCTGAAATAATTAATTACAATCATTAGCCTATTGAGTATAGAGACTAATAATGTGAAGGCTACACATTTCAGTTGGTTTCTCTATTTTCTCTGCTTTTCTGTTATTCAAGAAGAATATAATTTTGCTTGATATTTTTTTTTGTGTCCCGGCTATAATAACATGTACTTATGATCATCTATTCTCCATATTTCAAACCCCTTCAAAAATGTCAAGAAGGTTAAAAAGGGTTATTTAAATCAGGATAAAAGAAGAAAAGAATATGTTAAAATCAAGGATCTAGAAAACTAAAGCAAGATATATATAAGACCAGATATGGCTGCACTTAACTATTCTAGGGTTGAGAGTAGGGCAATTGTGGGTGTTTGGGTTTCAATGCTTACTGTCCTGGGATAAAAGAGAATGCATAATAATAGTCTGAAGTTACTGTAAGTAACATCTAGCTTTGGACTAAAGGCCATGATGTGATGTCAGGGAAAATAGGGGCCATGTACTCCTTTAGTTGGTGCCAGCAAGCCAGACCATACTTAAGGCAGCAAGGGATAACCTTACATCTACCGTACATGTCTATTTTTAGTCTACACAGATTAAGAGAGTGAAGCATATTGATCAGTAATACTGGAGTTCTGACCTTAATCTAGCCTGATTCAACAAGCTGCTTTCAATCAGATCTATTTCTATAATAGGTATCAAGTGACGTAGTGTATGTTCACTACTGCCAAATTTGGTAAGTATGATGCAATCGATGTGTGTGTAATGTACATAATGACCTGAGTAAACTGGATTAAGACTTGTGTCAGATTTTTTTTTTAATTATGGAGTACCAACGGAAGATTTTTTTAGGCAGCATTTTTTTTATTTACCTTTCTATGGCTGCATGAATACTACAGAAAAATATTGATACCAAACCAGAAAAAGCTTTGGATAATGGATATGTTTAACTTTTAAAAGTATATTTATTTTAATGATTTGCATGCATCAAATTCAAGTTTATTTTATACCAATGATTCAATTTAAATCTTAGTACAAAAAATAAAATTAAATTTTATATGATACATGTATACATGTGAATATATTTTTTTTACAGAGATTTTTATTTTATTTACATCAAAATTTTAAGAATACCTATGTTTATTTGCAATTGTCACAATGGTATATAGACAGATAGATTGTATTTAAATTTTAATTTTCTTTGAGACTGTATTTAGAGACTCCCTGTCATATGTGACCTTTTCTGAAGATCACTTGGAAAGTCACATATGACAGTCTTGACTGTATATGATTCAAACAATACGCTAGTTGACCAATCAACTGTCAAATGGACGCTAACATAAGGGGCTTAACTAGTCTGTAGTTGCTTGCCTTTGTTTTATCATGTTCCATTTTTAACCATTATGATATCTGATGTCTTGAAGGTTAATGATCATGCTGTTAGCATGGTAAAGTTCAAAATAATTTTGGTTTTATAATTTAAGAGCAAAATATCGCACAAGTTTTTGACATGAAATCACTCCCAGTGTTGCATTGTTCACTAATTGGGGGGAGATAATGTGTTAGCGGCCAGATATATGCCGCATCAAAGGAAAGAAAAAATGTTTAAAAAGCCGCTTATAAAATTTTGGAAGTCAGAACTATGTCTGTAGAGCCACAATACAGTATCCAAAGCTAGTGTCCCTGGTTCAATTCCTGGTCAGGTTGCACATTTTTCTCACCCTATGACATTTGATGTCCAACATGGGGCTGTGATAGTATTAAACAGTATGTAATGGTATTGAACTACATGTATCACTTATTAAGGGAGATAATGTGCAGCAGGTATAACTATGGTTCAATATTTTTAGGGTCCTGGTTCGAGTCTGGTCAGGCTGTACATTTTTCTCACCATACATGACATTACCTGATTAGCGGTCCTACTAAACACTGTTAAGGACTGCTAAGGAGCCACAAAGGACTGCTAGGGAGGCGCGAATTTAAGGACCTTAAAATACCTCCTAGGGCATTTTTATAATATATGGTATACTCAACATCACTAATTCCGCGTCATCACTTATTTCACGGTAATGGCATATTTTTATGTAACCAGTGTTAAAATTGGTCTGAATTGACTTATTTTTTTCAAAAACCTAGACAACAAAGTTTTTGTGCAAAATATTTAAAATCTCTAGATTTTTATGTAAAACAGAACAACATTTTACAAAATTCTGCAAAAAGCAACAATAGTATGTTAAATTTGTGCATACATCTGAAACAATCATCATTTTCTAAATGTTCTTGTTTTGTTGAAAAAATAAATTTTTGAGTTACAATGTGAAGATACTTTTAATATTTAAAATTATGCAAAATAACATGTAGAAATTTTAACTGAAACATGAAAAAACTGAAATAAAACACCATTACCGCGATTTAAATGATGATATACTGTTTTCAAAATGGCCGACATATGGTCTATGTCTGGCTCATTTAAACCACGGATTTATATATTATTACAAAATATAAATCCGTGTATAAACTGATTTTGACTAAATCTATTGTTGTTTCCTTGTGTCATACAGCAGAAAATACCTATATGTTACAGCTTATGACAATTTTTGTACCATAAGTTTTTAGTGTTGTTTTCTTTCTTGCTTCAAAGTGTTAAGTACCGTGAACTACGAGGAGCACAGTATAGTATGTTTAGTGAGGAAAAATGTTTTATTTTAAGAAAGAATATAATTTTGGTGATAGAATGTATATGCTTTCGATGAATTGCCCGACCACTAAGGACTGCTCAGAAGCACAAAGGACTGTTAGGGAGGCACAAAGGACCTTAAAAAACCTCCTAGGGCATTCTTATAATATATGGTAGTATGGTTACTGTAGTGAGAAAAACATGCATTATTTTAAGAAAAAATATGATTTAAGCAGTGTACGTGTAATTATTAAAGTAGAAACTTAGTAAACAACAACACGTTCAATGATAGGACTCGTATGTATTTTCTATAAGAAAGAAATAACATAGACGTAACACGACATGTCATCGTCTGAAAAATGTCACACAATAAAATTTCAGAATTTATGCGAGAGATTCATGTTTAATTACCCAGTTGCTCCCACGTTCTGTCTATATCAAAATTCTTGCAAAGTTCATACGTGATGCTATAGTCCAAATCATTGATGTTCATATCGGGGTGGCGCTCCCTTTTAACCGGCATTTTTACATAGGAACAAGAACAAATTTACATCCTGCAACAACAATATTACACGATGTTGTCAAAATCTGTCAACTTCCCTGTGTAATTTGTGTAATTGACAATCAAACGATATGATTGGACAATTTTTTGATGACGTAAAAAGTCTGTTTTCTTTCCTGGTTTGCTTCAGAAGCCTTTAACTGGTAATATACCGTTATGCAGGCAATGGCATACTTCGGCTAAAATATCTAGAACAATATACAGTACCTATAAGCCATATCTAAACTTCCTTTATCATCAATACTATACTTATTTGTATGGAAAGGATATTTTTTTACCCGGATATGGTATATGCGCATTATTGTGGTCATCACCACAGGGTTCAATTTGAGACCGGATCTACAGTACATGTAAAATGAAACATTTGCTTTTGATCCAATCAGTATATATGTCATCTTATTTTTAATTTCTTATTAATATTTTTATTTAAAAACACCGCCTCGATTCACTAACATTTACAGACAACAAAATTCCTATTTTAGAAACAATTCATTAATTGATTCATAAAATATATTATTTTACAACTTACAACACTTTTATAATCTTACAATGTGGTCCTACTTAAATTTGTTCGTAAATTACAATTTTATTTGTCCAATCCCTGACTCCTTGTGTTTGTTCTGTGTCCTACCGAATTCCTTTTCGGTGGTCCTGTTTGGCTGATGTTATTGGCCTCACAACGGTATAGATGGATACCGAAAATACGCTATTTTCGCGAAAATAAGATCGCGGCTACGAGTTATATACTTATGCATTCTTTAAATGATTTTTCAGCAAAATAAAATTTCACAACCCAAAAACTATCTTAAAAAGTGTAGTTTGAGCCGAAAAACATACGTACGAAAATAGCTCGCCTCACAACGGTTCCATGAAGGTCGTTCTTCCTCGTAGATATATGTATTCATCAGGGTCTTTCAAATAGAAATACTATTTGAAAGACCCTGGTATTCATGTTTAAATTTTGCATCACATTAATGGACACTATTTACATGGATTGGTTATATAATTTCAACAAGGGATAACGACTAACACAATATCAGACTCAAAGTTTGCAATTTTCAAGAACTTTTGTTACTTTCATTACTTCCAAGAGATTTTCGCCGGCCTTGACCCTTTTCAGATTTTTATATACATATAATAACGCAGCCTACATAACAGTCCGCCACACATTATATGAGCATGGGAAACCTGAATTGGTAAGTCAGACAAACTTCTATGATTTCCTGTTTTATAATGACATCCCGTCCGTTTTTTATTTGCCCGTGTGCCCTGTCCTGTTTGGTATCCTGCTGGGCTCCTTGCCGGTGGTCCTGTGTTCGGCAATGCGTTCGTTGAGTGCCTCCCTTCCTTGTTGATCTTGTTCTTTTATATTTTAACATATTTCAGAAGAATGGCACGAAAGTGTCACATTGAAGGTCCCGTGATTAACGATGTATGAACACATATGCGGGTGTTTCTGAATTCAAAATTTCACAATTTTATGTTTAAATGACGAATTTTGTTTAAGCTGGTGCTAGTTGCATAGTCGGTAGCTTGCTAATTACCAGAGCCGTTACATCTTGACACACCGTGATGTCTTCATTGACACATTTCGTACTTATAAATACAGTAAAAATCCTCAATGAAGACCACCATCGGGACTGGACTAAAGTGGTCTTAATTGTGGGGTAGTCTTAATTGTGAATATTCTTATCATTGCTTACATATACTTTATGACCATGGTCTATTTAAGTCATTTTGTATGAACAAGCAATATGTATCTTAACCTACAAATACAATATATGTTATAATATTTAATCAGAACTTTTTTCTGCAGAAATTCAATATTAAATTCTCTTTGGTCTGATTTCAATATTAACTATCATATAATATTGTATATTATATGATAATTAATATTGATAATTAATAATGATAATGATGATAATAATGATAATTAATATTTCACCTATCATATAAGAAATTATTTCTTCACAAAATAAATGTGCTGATAGTAACATTGAACCACAGTTAATCTAGAATTTACTTTCACACCTTATTTCATACAATAAATAACCTTTTAATAACAATTTTTGACACCTTGTAAAAATCAAGTGTCATGCCTAAGAGCATTCAAGCAAATAATAACAACAAATAGGTAATCTTGGTAGGTGTTGACTTAAAATCAGTGGTCTCAAGAGTAAGTTCAAATAAAGAATAAATCAAAGAATTGGGACTGAATCTGGTGGTCTTAAAAGTGGATAACCGGGATGGTCTTAATTCTGGAGCATGCTATATTGACATAAAGAACAGAAAATTTCGTTCTTTTAAAAGATGGTCTGAATAGCGGGGTGGTCTTAAATCTTAGTTGGTCATAAGTAGGGATATTACTGTACACGTTTTATCTCAATTTATATAGACTGTGCTATGCTAATCCACATGGAATGACATAAAATTATGAGTTAAACTGTTCATTTACAAACATCAATCAAAACAATTATAAAACGGTGGTAACCGAAAACTCACTTTGATTTGATCTCTTCACAAGATTTGATGGAATATGCTTTATCGACCCCACAGCACCGGCTTTACCAGTTTCCAATTTTGACGCTTAAAACTATTATTATCAACGACCCCAAAGATCAGAAAATGCATTAATCCCTATTGCTATTGATCAATCAGAAAAATAGCTAAATCCCTATTGATCAATCAGAAAGATAGATAAATCCCTATTGATGATCAATCAGAAAAATACATGAACACTGAAATGAAGAACAGAATAAACAGCTACTATACGACCGGAATTTCACGCCTGAAATCATTCTTAAATATGTTTTTACAAAGGGCATTGGAAATAAAGCGCTGTTTACTGAAAAATACTACATGCCGTTTTGTGCATTCTTTGATTTGATTTGATTGTATTTTAAGCGATATTTATTGCGAACATTAATTATATAAACACTATTTGTTAATCAATTGGATTAATTATCTCATCAAAAGAAGCACTAGACATGTGACGCCTTATATGTTTTACTTTAAATTTCTTCAGTGTTAAATTTTGCTTAAAGCGAATAAAATGTTTAATAAAACAGAACATTCATCATTTGCTATGCCAGGTGACTTTAAAAATATCTTTCCCCTTGCAATATTTACATCGAAACTTAAAGATAAAGATCTAAAAGGAAGAGAAATTTCACATATTTCAATGTCTACATCAAGCAAAACATTATTGTCAAATTCTATATTTAACGCTCAATGAATGATGTCCTGATTTTTTTGCAGTGCATCCGAACCAGAGCTTCACAGGAAGTACAACTTTATTTTTTTAAATGATGAGTTTAAAACATAAAATTGATATTTAAATGCATATTCAATGTATGTAGAATGCGCTTCCTATATTAAACTGAAATATAAATATTTATTTAAACCTCCTTTTGCAAACATTTAAACACAAACCCGCTGAACCTGTTAAACGAATTTGTCCAGCTTTGAATTTGGAACAGTTCATTTAAAGTTTAAGGGGGTCTCAATATCAAAGTACATAAATTGAAAAAGTGAGCTATGAACAATATAGCACAACGAATGTGCAGGGTTGCTTGGCTCTATACTGATTGCAAAGGCTTATTTCCTTTGGTTTAAGTATTCAAAGATTGAGTTATATTTTCCAATTCATTTTATTATTCAATGTTAATATCCCCTATCGAACCTTTTTATTTCTATTTGTTTCAAAATACACAGTATTAATAGTATCCTCTTGAATGAATTACATTTGAAATGAAAAGGTACGTATATACCTATATGAAATTATTCCAAAATATATCTTCCAGCGCATTTCAACAATGTTAAACACTAAGTAATATTTCTGCTTTATATGTTTAGAATTAAATAAATAAAAAACAATAAGACTTCCGTGGTTCACATTCAAACAGGTCATTGGATAAGCAACCTGGGCCAACATCCAATCAGTAGTCATGATTACTTTGCCTCACATGTAGTTCTATTAACGTTCAAACCTTAACGGTATATGCCATTGAATTGTGAACATAGAATAGGCCACCTTTTTAAATATTTAAAGTTACTTTTATAGACGCAATTATCGCTGTAAGCAGCTTGTTAAATATTCAATAAATGATACATTTTACGTCCTCTAATCTTATAACGATTCTTCGTTAATAAAAAAGAGCTGTAAATTTACGTAAAACAATCTACATAAATTAGTTAGTATCCATAAAATGTAGAAACGATCTAATTTGTGTAATGTTTGTTTAAACCTAGTTATTTATGATAAACACTTTATTTTTGTATGTTTTCTTTTTCGCTTGACGCATGTTATCAGATTTGATACAATTAAGAACGGATGTGTAACTAAAGTATGCATTTATCAATTGCTTCTTGTGTTAATAGGTACATGTACATGTACGACTAAAATATAAAATAAATAAGCCAAACAAGAGCATTTTAAAAACTATTTGAAAACCCTGTAAAGTTGAAGATAAGTGATGCGCATATAGCTAAGTGTGGTAAAAGGGAAATCTCGCGATAGCAATGATAAAAGTAGTGTATGTAGCAATAAACTAAATTACTTGATGGTAACATGACGCTATTGAAAAAAGAATAATGCAAATCGTCTTTCACAGCAGTAAATAAAAAAGTTTATGTATGAAATCATTACAAACTGATAAAAATCCTAATAAACGCTACGCATTAGGATCTGGCAAACACTAATAGGAGGTCCTCTTCTCATGATCTTTCCAGCAATCAGCCGGTCATCAGCGAGCTTTCACAATTTTAAAAGCGATGTGGTTTCTAATTTTAACCGCTGAAAACAATACTGACAGTAATTTTTATGATTCGAGAACTTACATGATGTTGTCCATATAGCCGACATGTAAACTGGCAAAAAACGACCTTGCCCATTAAAAATTGAGTCTATTATTTCCATTTATAAAATATCTTTTGGCCATGCATTTACAGGTAGGCATCAGACGAAGTATCAACATATCGCTGTCCGTGGAAGTAAAACAAATTGTTGATTTTTTGTTGTAATTTAGTAAGTAAATAAAGCAAATAAACTGGAAATAATAGACTCAATTTTTAACAGGCAAGATTGTTTTGCCAGTTTACCTGCCGGCTATGGACAACGTCATGTTTGTTCTCGAAATTATGAAAATTACCTACTCAGTTTGTTTGGTTTGCAAGCGGTTAAATTCGCCGATACTTTCTGAATTTACTGCTGTTGTGGTTGGATTGTGTCGGGGGATGTGTCATGTGAACATTGCCTTTGCTTTGTCGATCTATGTTCTCATTTTATTTTACTCTTGTTAGGGTGTTGTGCTAAGTATTGAAATAATTTGCTGAAGTTTTATTTACATGCACTTATTTATCACCTTATAATAAGTTGAAGAATTAAGCATATTCTTGTTTTACTCGCAAGCACATAAAAAGTTTGCTATCTTTAATTGCAGTTTTTCTTAGAGCTTATTTGTAAAGTTTATATATCATGTTTTATCGGCCACCTCTAAGCCACCGTTCCATCCACCGACTTCAGTCAAAGACACTCCTTCCCGAGGCTCAGCTACAATTCAGTGCACTGCTTTGCAATTATGTTAAGCAACACCACCACTTCTTGCAGCAACACCACCAAATTAAGCCCCAACACCACCTGATATAGTTCCAAGACCAGCTTGTCGAGCTCCAACACACCTGGTTGTCATCTAATAACACCTAGTCGTTTCAACACACTGGATGGTGATTAACCGAGAAAACATATTATATAGTCCAAAGAGCAGCTGTACATCAGATGGGTTTTCTTCATTCGTTGAATAACACCAATGAAATGCTAAGGTCATATCTAGGAGACCAATTTTAATGAAATTTGATTTAAACAGTTTATGACTTGTAGAATTTCTTTTTTCTAAAGAAATAGTGTTCCATAACTCCATATTAGAATTATTAAAAGTATATTTCAAATAACTTGTTTTAGGTCGTTTATGCATATGAGTTTTTTCTGTGTTTAAGTATGTATGTTTTATTCAGAGATAGCGGAATTAGAGTAGATTCATCGCTTCATACACCATTATATAGTCCAGAAAAGAAATAGATGCTAGATAACCATTTATGATTATAGATTTTAAAACATTTCATTCAATATCCTCTATTTAGGTCCGATTTGTTACTTTGGCAATATATAATGCATCCATTATCAAAAGTAGGGGCTATGTCAGCTTTATATAGAATAATTGTTTCATTTCAGGTGTAAGAAATATTTGAATTCTTTTCAACAGGGATATTTTAGAATAAGTTTTGTATAAGTTTTGTCAATTTGGTTTTCCAAGATAGACAATAATTATTGTCAACGTGCAATCCAAGTAGCTTTTGACAATAAACATTATTTATGCTCGAATTCACAATACGTACTGTAGATAAAGATCTTATGTTATTTATTTTACATTTTTGTCCAATTATCATTTACGTTGACTGATCTGGATAATAAATTTGGAATAGATCTACAGTAGTGCATATTCTACTATATCTTCGTATCAAATTTAGGCTTTTGAAATCATATATAAATAACTTTTTTCAGGGGAAAACCCAAATTATCACGTGACAAGTCACATGCAAACAAAATGGCAGATAATTAGAAAAAGGGATGTATATGGTGACTTAAAGATGATGTCCTGAAAAGAACAATTACCAGACCTAAGTTTACTCATATCCAGTTGGTTCTTTTCCGATTCATTATCATTTTTATTTAGTGTCAATATTGATCAGCAATACATATTGTCTACTGTAAAGACACCTGTTCTATATACTGATGTATACTCAGTTCCTATGATCAGATGATATCACGGGTTCTATGATATCACGGTATTTACATTTTCTGCGACTGATAGTAGAAGCAACACAGGTTTTTATTATTATTTTTTAAACTGTCACACTAACTTGCATAGCATCTGCCAATAATTTAATTTTGTGAATGATGAATATAGATCTACCTGTTATAAAATCTTCATATTTCATTTGACTACTATTTCCCTTACTGGTCGGAGAGATAACTCCGACGCATAGATAACCCCGACACTTGATAAATATAATTGTTATAACTTTGTTTTTCAACAAACAAGCACATGGTCACCTAAAAGTATAGAAGCAGGACCTAATGGGATGATTTTTTTATAATTTGATAAACTTTTTAATGTTTTTCAAATAACCTGAACTTTTCATAGGCAGAACTGCTTCAAAACGTTCTTTTTACTAAATTACAATAAGGTAGTTAGAATTGTATTGACCACAGGCCACTGGCTTGGGAAAGATTTTTGAAAAATTGTTTAAATATTCACAAAAACTAGATAAAACATATAAAATGTAAAAATAAATTATTGATGCAGATTTTCCAGTCATTTTTTACTTTAAAAATTAAGTGTCGACTTTATCTACTGTTGTGGGGTAAAAATACCATGTTTTGTATACCTCTTTCAGGACCTTAAAGAAGTACCAGATTCCATTTTCATACATAATTTTTGTTGTATAATGTAAAGTCTTTGAACTGAAGTTTGTTTAGGTGGTTCAATATTTAAAATATACAGGAAGATAATTAAGATATTGCAAAAAATATGTGATTTAGTGTCGGGGTTATCTCTCCAACCAGTAATTGTTTTAACATAGTCAATTAAGATATTTTATAATGACATATTGTTTGTTCCTTTAATTTGAATTTTATAGCATGTTAACTGTTGAAAGTTTTTCACTTGAAGATTTTGACCCATCTGTCCTTCAACTCTTGAATTTTTGGGGATTATCGTGATACCCTAGTAACCTTCTCTGAAATCACCCAAAATGGCAGACAATGTAAATAGTTTAGAAAATAACATTTTAATTGGATCTTTTGTTATAATTTTTTGACAGTTTTGGAAAAGGATCACTTATTAAATACATGAAAAGTTTCATTCATGTGTGATTTTTATATTTAAATGCATGTATTTTTCGATAAATGTTAAGTACTGCAATATTATAGAACACGGGGCTAATAGATCTATGTTGAGTTCATGTTGCCACTGTTCTTAACAGCAATATTGAAATATGAAAATCGGACATGAATTAGATTCTTCTTTATATAAATAAATCATCATTTCCCAGCATTTGTAGTCCCAAAACTTATTTAAAAAAAAACAACAACAACAACAAAAAAAACACAGAGCTACATCACAGAACTGTATTTATGTATTATATAATTTATACTGTACTCCTCTTAGTTCACATAGTTTCATAACAAATGTTTTTCCTTACACATGTACTTTAATTTCAAAACATCTTTACATTGACTTGTCATTGATTGTTCTTTAGGTTTGATGTTTTGGTAAAGTACTTCGAAATATGGATTTTGAAACATTCCTGAAAGACTACATTTGGGTATGTTTATTAGATATAGATATTCTTAACTTAACTGTGCTATCTTTTGAATTGACATTTTTCAAACTGAAACACACATATGCAATGTACATGACTGTATATCTACTGTTTATTGTAAGATTCTCTAATTGGATGTACATTTATTAATACTGGATTGGCTTTTACTGATCATAATTTTACTAAATATAGAATTAATCTAAATTATATTTTACATAATGTACATGTATCTAAAATCAAGTGGTTTCATTTTCTTTTGATTTGTGTGTATAAGATAAGTATTAAGATATAAAAGATCTTTAAATTAAAGTGGCAGCATGGCCTAGTGGTTAACACGTCAGACTAGTAATATAAGGATTGAAACTAGTAATCTAAGGATTACTTACCGCGTGGGTTCAAATCCTGTCAGGGACAAGCCGTTGTTTCCTTGAGCAAGAAACTTTACATTCGTTGCTTTGTACTGGTTGGTTCCAGGAAAGGATTCGAGAGTGTTTCAATAAACTTATAGCTTCCAACACAATCCAACTAAAATAAATTTGTATAAACTAAGCTAAAAGGTCTTTAGATAATATTATGAATGTGTGAAATTTGTTATCCTACAGATTTTGTAAGCAGTAAATTCATGCTGATATATCTATACATGTGCATTTGTTACTAAAATTGTTAATTTTTGCAGGTGCCAATCGTCATTGGGATATTGGTGGTCATCATTATTATTTTCATACTTTGCTATGTCTTTAAATGTTGCAGGTAAGTCTTATAGTCAAAACATTTTTGGGTTAATTTTATATTGAAAACCGTCGAGTCACATGTTAAAATAAGAAAAAAGCCTAATAATATATCCTTTTTCTTAAAGAGACTCGCGTTTACATTTAAGCTCTTTGTAAAAAATCATTTTAAAAATGTCTACTTACACAATAACATTATTTTGTTATATATTTAATGTTAAAGTATTTATTGAAAAATGTAAAATGAATGTATTATGTAAAAAAGAAAACATAAATAAAATGGCCTTAAATGTGGTTCAAAAAAAAAGAAAAGAAAAAAGGCCAAAGCACTGCATAGAAATTTTTATATTATCTAAGTAGAAATTTATATATTATCTAAGTGATGAATGTTTGGCTAATCCTGGATAGTTCTATAATCCGGTATTGTTTGGCTTATCCTAGATAAATTGTTTGGCTTATCCTAGATAGTTCTTTAATCCAGCATTGTTTGGCATATCCTAGATAGTTCTATAATCTGGTATTGTTTGGCTTATCCTAGATAGTTCTATAATCTGGTATTGTTTGACTAATCCTAGATAGTTCTATAATCATATTGTTTGGCATATCCTAGATAGTTCTATAAGCATATTGTTTGGCATATCCTAGATAGTTCTATAATCCAGTATTGTTTTGCTTATCATAGATAGTTCTATAATCGGGTATTGTTTGGTATTATTCTAGATAGTTTTATAATCTGATATTCTTTGGCCTTATCCTAGATAGTTCTATAATCCAGTATTGTTTGGCTTATCCCAGATAGTTCTATAATACAGTATTGTTTGGCTTATCCTAGATATTTCTATAATCCGGTATTGTTTGGCTTATCCTAGATAGTTCTATAATCTGGTATTGTTTGGCTTATCCTAGATAGTTCTATAATCCAGTATTGTTTGGCTTATCCTAGATAGTTCTATAATCCGGTATTGTTTGGCTTATCCTAGATAGTTCTATAATCTGGTATTGTTTGGCTTATCCTAGATAGTTCTATAATCTGGTATTGTTTGGCTTATCCTAGATAGTTCTATAATCCAGTATTGGTTGGCCTTATCCTAGATAGTTCTATAATCCAGTAATGTTTGGCTTATCCTAGATAGTTCTATAATCCAGTATTGTTTGACCTTATCCTAGATAGTTCTATAATCCAGTATTGTTTGGCCTTATCCTAAATAGTTCTATAATCCATTATTGTTTGGCTTATCCTAGATAGTTCTATAATCTGGTATCATTTGGCTTATCCTAGATAGTTCTATAATCCAGTATTGTTTGGCTTATCCTAGATAGCTCTATAATCCAGTATTGTTTGGCTTATCCTAGATACATGTAGTTCTATAATCCAGTATTGTTTGGCTAATCCTAGATAGTTCTAACTTCTATAATCCAGTATTGTTTGGCTTATCCTAGATAGTTCTATAATCCAGTATTGTTTGGTAGATAGTTCTATAATCCAGTATTGTTTGGCTTATCCTAGATAGTTCTATAATCCGGTATTGTTTGGCTTATCGTAGATAGTTCTATAATCTGGTATTGTTTGGCTAATCCAAGATAGTTCTATAATCCAGTATTGTTTGACCTTATCCTAGATAGTTCTATAATACAGTATTGTTTTTGCTTTAATCCTAGATAGTTCTATAATCCAGTATTGTTTGGCCTTATCCTAAATAGTTCTATAATCCAGTATTGTTTGGCATATCCTAGATAGTTCTATAATCTGGTATTGTTTGGCTTATCCTAGATAGTTCTATAATCCAGTATTGTTTGGCTTATCCTAGATAGTTCTATAATCCAGTATTGTTTGGCTTATCCTAGATAGTTCTATAATCTGGTATTGTTTGGCTTATCCTAGATAATTCTATAATCCAGTATTGTTTGGCTTATCCTAGATAGTTCTATAATCCGGTATTGTTTGGCTTATCTTAGATAGTTCTATAATCTGGTATTGTTTGGCTTATCCTAGAAAGTTCTTTAATCCAGTATTGTTTGGCCTTATCCTAGATAGTTCTATAATCCGATATTGTTTGGCCTTATCCTTGATAGTTCTATAATCCAGTAATGTTTGGCTTATCCCAGATAGCTCTATAATCCAGTATTGTTTGGCTTATCCTAGATAGTTCTATAATACAGTAGATTTATTATCTTTATTTCTATTTAATTTAGGAATACATCTCGTGGTGACTATATGCCGTTGAGGCAAGAAGATGTAAGACTATATGGGAACCAGGAGATTGGTATTGGCCAGCGCTTAGATTATGAAAGGAATAAGAAACAGCAGGCCTTAGAATGTACATTATTTAACTGCTATCAATCTCAATAATTTCAAATTCTGATGATAATTCCATTTCAATAAGCTTAATGATTTATTTAACTTGTCTCCTTCAAGATCTCTGAGACTTGAAGTTTCAATTTTTTAAGTCATTAAAATTATGTTAAAACAAAAAGGCTTTACATTTTACACCCTTTCATGGCACTTGGGTTTTAGATAAAAAAAAGGAATGGTACTTTATTGCACATTATATATCTTTCTATGAAAATGAATTTAATTTTTTGTTTTAGGGTAGGAATTAGATAAAAACTTGCTAATTATTTAAATATCTTGAATGCAACTTTACTTTTATTAAACGTTAAAAGTATTAAATATTTAATAGTTAAATAAATAGTTTACATAGCTTTACAGAACTGAGACATACATGATTATACTTTATTTTTCCTCTACAAATTTTCAGCAACAGCTTGGATGAATGCACAGTATTATCTTCGTGCAAACCCAGAATATAATGATATTAAACAACTTGAAATTCTTGGTAAATATTTTAATTGTATTTGGGGGCGCGGGGAGGGGGTCCCCCTGGCTGAGTTGTATCGGATGCTGACTTTAAATTACTTGCCTCTCATGACTGTGAGTTGGAATCTTGTCATGAACTTTTGGACTCTTTCATGTGAAGAAACAGCCCAGCTGGCTTTTGGAAGGTCAGTGGTTGTACTTAATGCTTGCTCAAGCATGAAATAATGCAGGAAGGGGTGTCCAAGGTCTCTGTCCACCAGTTAAGTTGGAAAGTTGTCAATATGACCTTTACAGTATCGGTGTGACTTAAAACCCTAGATGAAATAACAATTATTATACCAGTAATAATATTTGTTATTTATCAGGAGTATTTTCTACTGCAGAAATATTGCAGGTGTGCATCATTGACAAGAAAAAGATCAACAATAAAATTTACATTTTTTTCCAGTTTCATTCTAGAAAGTTTTTTACCTGGTTGTATAAACATTCACATATGTTCTCGATTTTGTACATATTGCAGTATGTAATTTGCATTACTAAATATCTAAGTTCACTATGATTGTATATTTATTACAGGTTCCCAGTCTCAATAAATTATTTATTGATGATAGTTCCCGTTCTCAGATTTTTTTATCAATTACAGGTTCCCGGTCTCACAAAACTTGGTTCCTGGTCCCAAGGAAAAACCTGCTTCTGACGATGATAGATAAACCAGAAAAAATGATTCCGACGTTTTCAAAACAAACTTGTCGTGCTATAAGAGACATGCTGAATTTACTACAACACCCTTTTATATATCCTATATATAGCATAGATTTTATGGTGGATCAAAACATCGTGGTTGTACTGTATCCTATTAGCAAAAGAGGCTCTTTGAAAGATTATATTTATCAGGTACTAGCATTAGAAATTTATATGTTTTTCAAATAAACAATTCAAACAATTTGTGTATTTAAATCCTATTTTGAGTTTTATTATTTTAAAAGTTTATACATTGTATAAAGGCTTCATCTTGACTTTCAAGATCACAAGATCATCAAAACTCTTCTTTTTTTTATTTATTTATTTTTATTTATTTATTTTTTATTTAAATGCTTATGATATCATTTGATGACCTCACTCTAATCTTCACAAGGACCACAATTGCAAAAAAGGCACAAATATTTTTGTATCACTTGTTTTCATCTTAATGAAAAGTTACAGTGATAGTTTAAATTATTTCAGAACAGCTATACTGAGCCTTGGAAAAATAAATACAGAACAAGGAAAAGAGGTCTTAATGTGACGCAGATACGATGCTTCGGAAAACAGATCCTTACGGTGAGGTCTTGTAGTTGTAGTTGTAGATAAACCTGCATCAAGTTTTGTTTACATCTGATTACATATGAAAGTCTTTAAAATTAATGGTACTGTATATTGTTTATTCCTTTGCATAGTACTGAAAAAAGTTGTCTGTTTACTTTTCAATTTTATCCTATTTTTTTAAAAAAAAAGAAAAAGAAAAGAAAAGTAATCTGCTCTGGTATCAAACTGTTTGCAAAAGCTACTGTATTGCCCTTGGTAAATTTAGCAGACTTAAATGATTGTTATATATTGCTAGCTTAATTAGACTTGATGGCCATAATGAATTTTCTATGCCACTAGTGTGGAGCCATACCTGTTTGAATCCATTATCCCTAACACGGTGAAGTTTTTGAATGAACCTGTTTGGTTTCCATTTTTGGAACTATCCATTATAAGTTTTAGGGAAAAACATGTATCAAGATATAAATTTGAAGTTTGTCAGCCTATATTATAGAGCCTGGTCTGAGGGCATGGACATGCAGACTAGCCTGGCTCTATACTGCTGGCTAATGTTAGACCTAGGTTTAAGGTTTGTACTACACATACTTATGTGTAATTCCAAATCTTAAGTTTGATATGTTTATTATTCTATATTTATGGATGTAACTCACTATAGTGTAAGAGCACTACCTCAAGACACTTACTTTTTCGCTGATTTTTACATTTTTCATTGTTATCGTATATAAATTGGTTTGAAGAGATGAATAAGATGTCTTAAAGTTCATTTCGTTGGGTGAAAAGTCGAGATTTTAGCATTAAATCATTCAAGCACCTTGTCGGTATTTAGTGTGGTGCTCCAACATGTTTTTAATCTCACTCAATATTGATCAGGTGAATAATTAAATAAAAAGCACTATTTTAAGTTAAGATTTTATGACATTTCAGGCTCTGATATTTATAGAAGATAAGGGATTTCCTCCACATGGTAATGTTCACTCAGGAAATATTGTTATAGACAATAATAGTTGTAGGTGAGTGCTGTGCTAGCCAATAAAACATCAAAAGTCCCTTATTTCAATGAGAGTATTTTTGTTAACTTTGCAACACTAATATCTGTACATGTATGTATTTGGCTTACTTGAAAAAATTATGAAAGTATATACAGTATAACCTGTGTAGAGCAACACCCTTTGGGAGACAAAGATTGTGGTTGTATTTGAGAGGCGTTGCTCCAGAGAGGATGAATTTTTTACTTTCAAAAATATTTAAACTGTGTTTGTAGAGAGGTAATTGCTCTACAGAGGGTTGGTGTGCAGAGGTTATACTGTAATTCACTGCCTCTTTGTGGTGTTGTTATGTACATCAAAGCAAAATGGATAAATATATATGAATATATTTCCTATAATATTAACCTTACCATGCTTAAATGGATTGAAAGGCCATTTATTATTTTAATGTAAAAATTTCAAAATATCAACTGACTGAATAGCAAACAGTGCAGACCATGATCAGACAGAAAGGATTATGCTAAGTGATCTTTGTAGGGTGAAATCTATTGCCTCTTGCAGGCTAAATGTTTAAAAATATGAATTGTGTATTGTTAAGTACATATTCAGCAACTGTTAATTAATTTCATAGAAGAGAATAAAATATATTATCATGATTTTGTAGACTTATTTTACTTTTGTAAACATTATTGAATGATTTTACTTTTGTAAACATGATTTTACTTTTGTAAACAGTATTTTACTTTTGTAAACATTATATTACTTTTGTAAACATTATTTTACTTTTGTAGAATTACTTTACTTTTGTCGACTTAAGTTATTTAATGATTATATCTTTGTAGACTTATGGGTTGTGAGAGCTCTTTTATCGGAGAAGAACCAAAAATATATCAACTTTTTAGGAAGAAAGTCAAACAAAATAAAGAAGCCATAGATGTTATATCTTTTGGTAAGTACTTCTAGCAGAAGTGATTCAAAATTTCTGAAATCATTCCAACCATTTGCCTGCTAGCAGCAACTGTTTACAATCATCAATTCAGGCTTAGACTTCAGGACTGCAGCCATGGAAGCTCAGCCCGAAGATATGTTTTCGAACTGAGCTTAATATTTTCGTGTCGGTTTCATCCATACTATAAGTATACTCTTATCAACTTCTGGTTGTGCATCTCCTGTCTTGGCAGATATCTTTATTGAAAGTTGAAACAGCATAATTCTATATACTTTCCAACAATGCTGATATTATTTGATTGTTTTTTTTTTCTTGTCTGTTTTAGTATTCAAAATCACAGATTTGATTATACATTTGTAATTAAAGATTTTAGCTTACTTTAATCACCTTGGCATCTCTATTTGAATTGACCAATATTACAGGTGTCATACCTGGTATGTGAAAATAAGATCATGTACGGCTCAAACCTAAAGTCCCTGAATTAAGAGGCAAAAATTTGAAGCCAATAGCACATACTACAAGAGAAGGGTTCAAGATAATGTTGGTACAAGTTTTAGTCCAACCTTATTGTATGTGTACATTATAATTTTGCTGAAAAGCCCATTGTGCCCAAGAAGTGCTATTTTTGGTGTATTGTTAAAGTTTCCAAAAAGTTACTCACTGGCCAATTATTTGACCATCTTTTGCATCTTCTGTCTTTTGGCAATTAGCACAGTTATAATGAATAAGATTGGGAGACAAAATTCTACTTTGTTTACATTTTTCCATGTTATGACTTTTCACATCGACAGCGCCACTTTCTTCAGGTGATGAGCATCTAACATTTTCTAAAACCATTTTAAATATTTGTTTCTGAGCAAATGTATAACTATTACATAACACAAATGTATAACATATAACCGTGTGATTGAATTCTCTTTTCAGGTCATTTGATCTATGAAATGTGCGTGGGGACGGAGCTTGACTCGGCGCATCCTCAGCCTGCTCATCTTAGCATGTGTAAAAACCCTGAAATAGTCACTGTAAGATTTATCTACCTTGATAGCTGACAAAATTTTCATATATGATATATAATCAGTTCTATAAAAACAAATGCTTTTCTTAAGCTTTCGACATTTTGTCTTCTTCAGAAAAAATTAACGTTTATAAAATAACAAATGATGCAATGTCCGTTTAACTATACGCTGAACGGAACATGACATTAATGCGGAAATAAAACTTTTGTCAAGTAAAACCAGAACATTTCAATTAAAACATTGCTTCATAAATACAGCAATATACAATACAATATACATAGAAAATGGATCTACACATGTGATACAAACATTCTCATAATTAATAATAATAAAAATGATAATGATAAAAAAATGGATAACATATCACTATTTTTTTTTTCATTTTTTTTTCTTTTTTTTTATTAAACTTTTAGCAAAGTTTTAATACCAAAAAAGAAATCTATTGCAATTTTAATATTTTCCCTGAATATTAATCTCTAAAAATGGGATAGTATTTATTTTGGTAGAAATTTTAGTTTTGTATAGTTAGGAGAATTTAAAGGTCATAACATTACTGTTGTATAGTTTTGCTAGAATTTTTAAATAGATTTAAGTTAGCAGAGTTTAACTTAAAAAAATGAAAATATTGATAATTGAGACAAAGTTATGAAGTAACTTGATTTTAAAATTTTGTATAAATAAGCTGCAGAGATTCTTTAAAAGTAATTCCATTATACACTTTGTAACTAAAATGGTTAAAAAAGTTAAATAAAAAATATTTTCGTTATTTTCAGGTTCTGAATTTTATTTTCCCTGAAACAGGGACAGCATATCCTTCCTTAAAAGACGTAAGTAATATGTTTTTTCATTGACCCCTATGTTAAAATGGGGTTTGAAATTATTTGGGTCATGGTCAAGGTTAGTTGTGCTAAAAATAGATTTGGTTGGTCAACCATGTCTTATAAACCAGTGTGTGATTTACTGCATGTTTACGAGTATTTTACTGCTAAATTTGAGAATAACAATAGCACCTACTGAACATAACTTTAATTCTTCAAAATGAAATTGAACATTCCTTCAAAATGGAATCACCCATTCCCTTCAAAATGGAATCACCCATTCTCTTCAAAATGGAATCACCCATTCTCTTCAAAATGAAATCACTTATTTATGTAACATTTGATCACTAGGAATATAGATAAATACATGCATTCAAGTCTTCTTTCTGTGGTAATACTTGGTACTTGATTGAAGTTTAATTGATAGTTATCGATTTTTTTGCTATCAGTATAGAATCAGGCGAGTCTGTATATCTGTGCAGTCTGACCAGGCTGTTGGCTGAATAACTTTAATTTCTCATCTCCCAAATCTGAGAATGGATTGTTCCAAAAATAGAGTCTATTTGAGGAATTCAGCAAGTTAAGGGTTAAGCTTAATTGTAAAAACAAGTTTTTAAACTTAGATCAATCACTCCAAAATACTTACCAATCACTATGTCACATAATTATTATGTGGAAACATTGCCGTGACTAAAATATGACTTGAACTCACAAAACCTTGGTTGAAAATCAAATACCTAAACAACTTCTTTTAAGTTTAGACTTTAATTTGTTGACCTGAAGCCTTTTGTCCATATTGTTGTTAGTTTGAACTTTTATGATGATGATAGTAAGACTCATAGACAGATTGGTGTACAGAACCAAGTAGGGAAAAGAAATAATTCTATAGACTGGTTTACCAAAAAATAGGCAATAGCAATAAACTCATAGACTGGTGTACAAATAAGGTAGAAATAAATTTAAAGGTAGATATTGTAAAAAATAACTGTACATGTTTAACACTTACATGTAATTCAATTTCAGATTGCCAGTCATGATTTTTTCTCAACAGTTCCACTGCCAGCACTAGAAAATTACCATTTTACACCAGTAAGTTATACTTGTTTTTTGTGTGTTTGTCCATTTTTTCTTGTGATGCTAATCAAAATTGCAATTAATTGCAGTACATGTAAATGCAAAAACTGTTTGTTCTATGAAACCTTTGAGTCTAATGTCATAGAAAAATGAAGTCACACTGGCACAATAATTAACGCTGTAAAGATGGCAACTTTGTAGTTTTTACCAGTGGAGGAATACCTCATGAAGCACAGCGATTATGCATTATTTCAGGCATGAGAGGGTACCCCAGTAGATCCACAAGCCTTCTACAAGCTAGGTGGAAAGCTTGTTCACATTCACGACTTCACACATCCGAGCATTTACAAGTCTATAAGAGTAACAATGCAAAGTCTTCTTTCATAAATTGACTAAGGTGATAGCTCTCCTCATATATATTTTAAGGTTTTTATCTTTTTATTTTACAGATCAACTTAAATAAGGAGATGAAGAGTATAGTAAAAGCAATCAAACAGGGTAAACCAATGTTAGCTAGGAGGTTAGAACACAATTTCTATTATTACCTAATGCCTTCTATAAATGCTAATTCCTTATTTACAACAAGTTTAATTGAACCGCTGAAATCCTGTGCATATGCAGTGATGAAGTGAACAGTGTCTGTTGACCGGTCAACATTTTTAACTGTTTCATCCCCTGTCATCAGGTATTTCTGATAATGCCGTCAACCACTATTTGAAATCAAACGTCTCTCAGCTCTATACAGTGAAAACTCTGAAAACCGGACCCTCTGAAAACCGGAATCCTTTGAAAACCGGACCATTTTAAAAGTCCCGTATTTTCTCCTTATATGTTCATTGAAAAAAATCCTCTGAATACCGGAACCTCTGAATTCCGAAAACCGGACGCTTTTCTGTGGCTTCTAATGCTAAACATGCATAAAAAATCCTCTGAAAACCGTACAGCAATTTTAAGTATCAACTTTCTGTGTATTTTAAAGTATATTAAAACATAATCTCAACAGGTGACATGTTCAATTACCAGTTAATGATCACCCTTTTTATCTATGCAGGTGTGAAAACACTTGTGTGTTTTAATTTCTTATTGGCAATTAAATCATAGCTCTTTCATTATAATTTTGCCTTTCCCTGTATAGGTATGATTTTTCTAAATGTTTTTAATTTGTTGTGTGTTTTTTTCTTCTTTAAATATAAAATGTCTAAAAGAATTAGAAACTTTTGTAAAATGATTCCTGTTTTGCTAAAAAAATTGATCTTTGTTTAGATATTTATTATATGCAAAAGTAGTAATACTAAATTCCATTAATTACATATTTTAAAAGCCAATTAACACAAGATATATTTCAGACAATGTGTTGTTTAAATTTCTGATTTTCTGAATTATATTCATGGATTTGCATAATAAAATTACTTAAGACATTTATTGTTAAAAGAAATTAAAATATGACTTAGACAAAAATGTTAAAAAGTAAATACATGACTGTACAAAATGTTTTAACAAAGTCATTGTTCAAACACATCATAATTATCAATAAATGTATAAAACCTCTGAAATCGGAATCCTCTGAAAACCGGACTTTTGGTCAAGTCTGGAGAGGGTCCGGTTTTCAGAGTTTTTACTGTATATGGTAGTGTTTTTTAGAAAATTTAACCTTTGTAGGATTCAGTTGTAAACAGTTTACAATTGAAACAGTTGTAAAACTGTTATCAGTCTGTTGTTGCAATAATCATTATAATTTGATTGCAAAGCATAAGGTCATAAAAGGTAATAGAACAGTTATTTCATGAATGTTTGCTGAATAGAAAAAATTGTTGTCCCTCGGTATCGGGGATGACATTTGAAACTGTTGTCCCTCGGCCTTCAGATGAATGGTCTTGTCCAGATTGAAAAACCAGTCCTTTTTAAGATATTTTGCTTAGTTTTTGTTAATGAGTGCCGAAAAGAATGTAAACAAAACTGAATGATTTGATATATACTTAATGTTTTAACTATTTTAAACTTTGTTAGATGAAATTATTCTTACCAAATAAAAATTGTCTTTACCATTATCTATTACAAGAAAATAAAATTTAATTTTTGTCAAAATCAATAATTGTTATTTGAATTATTTCAAAATCTTTTTTGTCAAAATCAAGTAGATTGTTATCAAAAGTTTTTAAAAATCTTCACGAGAGGTTTCAATGATTTATATTTTTAATATTTTATTGTAGGAAGTCAAGATTAAAGAGAACCGCCTCAAATGCCTCTGTTTTACATGGGTCACAAACAGACATAAAATACGTTGATGAAACAAAAGGTGTTACCACAGCAAATGTTCCTGCTCCTCCCCCACCACCTCCTGCCATGGGGGCAGTTCCTCCTCCGCCCGCCGGGGCACCCCCTCCCCCACCTGCACCACCAGGTCCCCCACCACCTCCAGGGCCACCACCACCACCGGGGCCACCACCAGCTGGAGCACCTCCTGCTCCCCCGCCGTCTTCAGGGAGATCGGCCCTGCTTGGTGATATACGTAAAGGGATGTCGCTGAAAAAGACTAAAACCAATGATAGAAGTGGTCCTAAAGTTTGATGAAGATTTTTCCTTAGTAATTAAGATTTAAAGTGTATAAAGCTATATATCTGATGCCTGTACTTAACAAAATTGTTTGAATTTTTGAAAAAGAACAATCCCAAAATATCTATATTAAAGAAATATGTTGTACATTTTTATAGAGAAAATAGTGCAATTGTACTAAACTTAAAATAGCTGAACAATGATTTGTTTTGGAACTTTTGATTACTTATTAATAACAGAGATGGTCTATTATCTTCCTGCTCTTTCAAGTATCTACAAATAATATTATTTTACTGTTTATAAGGTTTATGGAAATTTTTATAAGATATAGCTTTATATTCTTTGAAAAAATATATGCAATAACAATTTGCCACTCATGAATACATCAGATTTAACTGAGATAGTACTGATTGTGTTGCTTTAAAAGCAAAAAAAATTTTTTTTAAAAACAATACTCAATTTTTGAGGCAGAAAGTGAGCATGTTTGTCATATGTACTGCACATTTAACTGACTCGTTTTTTTTATGTTGTTTGTTTATTTAGTGTGTGAAATTATTACATGTATTTGTCCAATAAAACATAGCACAAAAACGTTGGTCAATTGACTGTTTATAACAATAATTTCATATACTAGATTGGTTAGTATTCATTAGTAAACATTTGCAAACTTAAATTGATCAAGCCCTTTAACTGCTCTTGACCTGTTTAGTTTTGTAAATGCTTACTCAAGAACAGTTAACTATGTTTTAAGGTAACTGTACATGTACTTGTAAAAAAAAATTCCTAGTGCAATTATACTTTGTTTTGTAAGTGCAATATTTATTCAAATCAATTTCAAAACACATTATTTACCTTTGACATGGATTGAACTGATGACCTTTTACCCAATAGAAAACCTTTATTCAACAAAAATGAAAATTGATACATGCACAATTGATTTTTATTTATACAATTTATAAACTTTAAACAAAAAAGTCTATGGGACTGTTTTATAACTTTTGTCTGATTAACTTATGTCTCAAATATGAAACTATCCATCCGTTTAAAAGATATTCTATGCTCATCTTTGAGTAAAATAATTTTATCGCAGAAATTTCTTGAAATCTATGAAATACTTACTGAATATGTCTCATTTGAATAAAAGAATGAATTAACTATGTATTGGAAGCTGCATTCCCAATTACAGATCAAGTAATTTATTAGTTGATCCTAATTAAAAAAAAAAATATGCCAGTTTTTTTTAATAACACAATATATTCATATTGTGGCCTCCTGTAGTGTTTAGACTTTAAAATACAACATATATACTTTGTGTAAAGTCGAAACATGTTTGATTTTATATTTTCAAAGAGACAGTGTACCAATTTTCAGTATTAACAGTTATCAAATTTGAGCATAATATATCATAAGTATTTTAGAAATCAAAACCAATCATACTTGTCTCTGCCTGTGACGGGCATGCACTGCCAGCATTCAAAAACTTGAATCAAATACAGATGACACAAAATCAAAAAAAATTTTGCATGATAATGATAATTTCATGCTGTTACAATAAGATAAATTGTTGATTTTATTGTTTGTTTTGTCTAATGTATTAACTATTGTTTTTGTGTGTGTGTTTTTTTTTTTAATTTCAAATCAATAAAATATTTTTTTATCGATTTCTATAATTTTAAGATTTCAAATTAAAATTAATGGATATACTTGAAAGATCATTTAATTTCTGACTTTGTCCATGAATTATTGTTATATTGTGATACATGTGTAGATTGTTCATCTGGAAAAAAAGAGTTGATATTTTGCAATTGAAATTTTTTTGGAAATTTATGCAAGATTTTCAAATATTTATTTCTTAACAGTAACAGGGTTGTGTTAAATTATTATCATGCTTCTGGAAATTATGATTGAATGTTACAAAGGCATTAGCATATCAAGTTTATTTTTAGAAGTGTTTTGTGATTGTAAGTACATGTACATTGTATATATGTAATGAATAATTTACATGTTTTTTGATTCCTCATATTTGATTAAAATACCGATAATATTATGCATTATTACTTGTATTCGAATGTTACCAAACTGTATTAGTAATGAAAATTTGTGCGCTCATCTGTGATATACTCGGTGATTTTTTAGCCCAAAGTCATCCATTAGCATTGTTATTAACTGGTAGTTGTATTCTGGTCAGGTTTGATGCAGTGAAATACTGTCATACATTCATAGGTGATGATATCTTACTCTAGAGGTAAATGTACTATTTCACAGAAATTTAGATTATATATTGTATTAAAAGGAGCTCTTCAAGCCTTAAAACATAAAAATTGAAAATCTTACATAGATCAACCAGGGCATTTAGAACATAGAAATACAAGCATGATTATAAATTATAATTCTTACAGGACCCGCATATTTCCCTATTGAACATAGAAGAACCGAAAAAGTGTGTAAATATGCAATAGAATCCCTGTTGATGATCTATTTTTGCCCCCGTGATATAATTCCTCACATCCCAACTCCAAACAGTGAGTTTATTTAGCGATAAAATCACTGTCGGGGATATATTATTTCTTAAATATAATCAGAATTAAAGTGAAAAGAAATATCAAGACCCTTTCTCAGTCCATTTTAGGTAAAAAGCATTTAAACACATTTTAGGTCATTTTGAACAATGAAATTTATTATTTTGGGAAAACAAAGTGGCAAATGATATGAAATATTTGCACACAAGTTATTGGTACATATGTACATCAAATGGTATAGAAATCTGGGGGGAAAAAATTCTAGTCCTGTCAAATAAACTCAGTGGAGTCTCTGTATCAGTATGTACCTGATTTCTTATTTTGTAAGTAGGCTTTTGTGAAAATGTTGTTAATTTTAAGATTCTGTTTAAAATTTGAAAAAGTGCAATATTACAATACCTGGTCATTTTGTGTAAATGTTGTGTAAAATTGTTTTTTTTTAAATGTTTTTTGTCGATTTTTTTTTTATTTATCAATTGTTTCTTATTGTTTATTGTTGTGATTTTATATAGTTAAAATAATATTGTTACATATTTTCATGAACATTGAAACTTTTATAAGCATGTGTGAACATTTTTTTACCATGCACACAAATGTTTACAGCATTTGTCACAAGCTAAAGGATTTACTTTCATCTTGTGATATGAAATATATTATGTTTCACTTGTGGCTACCACCACTTCTGAAATAATTATTTTCATACCACTCTATGAAAATAAATACTGTATTTATAGAAAAAAACTTGAATATTCTCTATAATTCTATACATGCATATTCCTGGTAAATAATTCCTGTGATAATATATGATTAACCAACATATATACAAAAGTCAATAACAAAATGTTTGGGTGCTATGTTTGTTTTCTTATCTTTTTATCATATTGACAGTGATTTTATATACACAATGTATTGCTATTTAAAATATCCATGACCAGTTGTACTGCTCATTTACATGAATTATTTGAAATTTTACCACATTGATTATAAGTTGATATAATTATACATGTATATTTTCTTACATTTTGTTATAGATAATAATAAAATACTTCAAAAATTCTTTTGCAATATATTATCTATAGTACCCGTTATAAACAATAGCAGTGATTTCTGTGTCATGCTGATGATTGCAACATCAACACAATTAAGTTGGTCAGTCGGCCCGGTATGTCCAATATAATTAAAAATAAGAGTTTCAAAACTGATTTGCATCGACTGTAAAATAAGTTATCAAATTCACAATATTTGTTTGAAATCCATGAAAGTATGATAAAATATAATTATTATTTGTCAAACATTTTGGCCATTTAAACAAGCAGATGAAGACAGTAAATTTAGTGGGTACAATTGTAGGAGAATAAAAAGAAGTTCATATAAATTATGACATAAAATAATGTCTTTTCCTTGCTAATTTGGTATAATTATTATTCTGTAAATCAATATCAGAATATTTTGTAGATGATGTCTTAATGTGCGGCAAACTTGCTGTTCTTTACTTTTTACTCAAGATACCAATAATAAATACCAACACATATTACTTTTAAACACTTGTAAACTTTTTAATACCTTGCCTACATCTCAAAGTGGCCTCTATCACTGGGTAGTTAGGGTCAGCTACTTCAAGTCACTCAAGGATTTTGGATTCTTTTATCTGAAGGGGCTTTTGAGATTTTCTTTCACCAGTAAAGTGATAAAATCACTGACATTTTAAAATTTTGTGTGACTTAAAATCCAACAAAGCAATCAAACAAGCTATCTCATGATCTGTAAAACAGCGTGCTACACTATTCTCAGCTACACTATTCTCAGTGCTTGACAATAGGAATAGGGGCTTAACTCTGTTAAAAAAGGTAACTCAGAGTTACTAGACCTGTGTCCATCATGTTAATTAAAGCCACAAAAATCCCTGCCCTGGTAGGGAGAATTTTGTAGGCGTGTTTATCAGATAAATCATGCAAAGGACGCTGTACCTGTGCTAAATTTAGCTGATGTAAACAAACACTACAGCAGACGGTAACATTTGTTATTACTGATCAGCAGCTCCCTTCCAAGAGTAATATTTCAAGTTTCTACTAGAAAGTTAACACTTGCAGTTCATGACCCCATTAACTCCGCCCCGGGATTTTCAAATTTTTGACAGTTAACCGATTTTTTTTTTCACAAAGTACATTTAAGTGAATCTTTTGTAATATTTTTTCTGCCATTTTATTTCAAATGTTACAAAGAAGTTATACAAAAAGTTTTTAGGCAATATACTTCTTGGTTATTTTACTATTTCAAAAAAGGGCTGTTAGATGTGAAGCATGTCAAAAATACCATGAAAATCTGCCCCAGCGCCATCTAGTGGCTTAAATAGTCAAGTTGCAGGTTTCAATAACTACAGAGAACAAGTGGGTGAAGTTTCAACCCATTCTCTTCAGTAGTTTTGGAGATACCAACTTGTACACAAAAAAAAAAATTTGATGGCAGATGCCAGGGCGAGTACAATATCTTTCCATATTCTTTGAATTATCAAGCCTAAATCTTTCTAACATAACCATTATAGAACCAGGCCAACCTGCATGTCTTTATGTTTGATTGGGTTTTGTCTCACCGACACAGGTCATATGGCCACATTCCCGCTTTACTGGTGGAGGAAGACAGGTGCCCTTCCGTGCATTATTTCAGGAACGAACGGGCACCCAAGTAGAACCACCGATGTTCCGTAAGCTAGCTGGATAACCTCCTTACATGAAAGAATCCAAAGTCCCTGTCAGGATTCGAACCCACAGTGGTCAGGTGCAAATGGTTTGATGGTTTGAAGTTGACAACCTTAACCACTCGGCCACGGACGCCCCTTCATGTCTGTCTGTTCAGATAGAATACAGTTAGATGATCACTCTAATGCTGACATGGCAATTACAACAGAAATCTCAAAATTTAAACAGAGATGGTTAATCACACCAATTTTGCACAAAAAAGACTCAAGTCTAAAGGGGAGAATTTCTCTTCAAATGAGTAAACCAAGTTCTTTTTTTGTTAGTTCAGTAAATTGTAGTGAATAAAAAACAAAATCTAAATTTTCAACCTTTAATTGTTTTATAAAGCCAATTTAGAAGAGTATATAACAAAGATACACAATAAAAATCATATAAATTATTCATACTTAATACACTTTACACTTTATTTATACACTGTGCATAACTTACATATTCCTACAACATGCATAAATCTTACATTCATACACTTATGCATAAATCAAATTTTAGACATTATGCACAAATTATATCTTCATACAACATGGCATAATTTATTTATTTATATATTCACTGCATGAATTACATATTTATTCCCTGCAATAATGACATATCCATACACTATGCGTAAATTTAATATTCATACAAGCTGCACAAATTACACATTTATAAATACATATTTGTACATGATGCAAAAATTTGTTGTTTTCATATGCAGCGCATAAATTATAAACACATATACAAGTTGCATAAATCACATACTCTTTCACTATGCATAAATCACATACTCATTCACTATGCATAAATCACTTACTCATCCACTATGCATAAATTACGCACATTCACTATGCATAAATCACATACTTATTCACTATGCATAAATCAAATACTCATTCATTATGCATAAATCACATACTCATTCACTATGCATAAATCAGTTTTCTTTTTTGTTTACTTGTCCACTTTTTACTGTTTACGAAGTGTCAACGGAAAATTTTTAAGACAGCATTTTTTTATTTCACCTTTCTATGGCTACAAATTTTTTCTCTGAAACCTTTCATTTAAAGAGAAAAATCTTTCTCTTTCATTTAAAGAGAAAAAACTTTGGCTGTTAAAGTATATTTATTTTAATGATTTTGAATGCATCAATTTCAAGTTATTTGTACTAAAATGATTCAATATATATCTGATATAAAAATGTATTTTATATGATATACATTATTTGTTTTACAGGGATTCTTATTTTATTTAGATCTACATCAAATATTTAACGTGCCTATGTTTATTTGCAATTCAATTGTTTACATATTATTCTTTCACAGTCATGTATGTTAAAACTTGAAAATATCAAATGATCATGGGAAATTTAATTAAATGTTTGCATCGTTTTAAGATTACGACTGGTTTGTGCATGCTTAAAAATCCCCCTATTTTTTGTCCAAATCCCCTGCTTTTTAAAGCTATTTCCCCCTATCTGGGTGGCTGGAAATATGGCATGTATGCACTATGTATAAATTACACAACTCCACTATGCATAAATCACATAATCAATATGCATAAATCACATACTCGTCCACTATGCATAAATTACACACATCCATTATGTATAAATAACATCACAGTTATCTCACAATATTCAATTTTATAAATATAGAAAATTGTGGGCTAAAACACATATCTTTTATACAATAAGAACACAATAGAAAGAAATCATATGCATAGATGTAATTTAATATGAGCCGCGTCACGACAAAACCAACATAAATGGTTTGCGACCAGCATGGATCCAGACCAGCCTGCGCATCAGCGCAGTCTGATCAGGATCCATGCTGTTCGTTATCAGTTTCACTACTTGTTATAGGGGTTGTAAGCGAACAGCATCATGTTGGTTTTGTCGTGACGCGGCTCATTTTGTCTTTCAAGAAATTACAAAACATAGAACACAATAGTTAAAATCAATATTACACTAATTTATAAAATCTATGCCTATAGTACATAATTATGAACATTGTTAGAACATCAGTACATGTATCAAAACATTTGATTGTATAAAACTACTTTATGTGTATTAAAATTAAAGCAAGAAGGTAAAAGCATATATCCCCATTTAATCACCCCTGTGGATGATGCATTATGAAAATATTTGGCCTGACAATTGCTCCGTTACCACCAAATATTCAATGCCCTCAATATGACACTACTTTTATCACTAAAAGGTTATTTATAGAAATATCTGAGCGCCATGTGGGTTATTGAATATTTATTTAAACTACAATATGAAATCAGAAACAAATATGGCAAAATGTAAACTTATTTTGACTTTTACCTGTAGTATCAATATTTAAACAAGGGCATAATGTCACTTTAAGATCCATTAATACAAGTGTGATCGTTTATGATGTCACTGATGAGATGCCATTATTTTACAGTTGAATATGTAGATTTAATACTTGAGGAAAGAATATAATTTAAAAATATGTTGACCAATTTTTAAATGTCAGTATTCAGCTCTTGTGGCTTCAATGGCTTATGCAATTCTTGCCAAGGAAAATTCACTTGAAAAGTTCACTCAAGTAAGCAACTTTTCAGCTTAACAGGTGGAGGAAGACCCTCAGGTGCCCTTCCGAGCCTAAATTCAGACACAAAGTGGTACCTGAGTAGAACAACCAACGTTTCGTAAACTGGCTGGATAGCTTCCATCACATGAAAGAATCCAAAATCTCTGACAGGATTCAAAATCACAGTGGTTAAGGAGCAAGTGGTTTAAAGTCAAGGACCTTAACCACTTAGTCACGGACGCACATTTTGTAAAAATGTAAGTTATATGTAAAATACAAGCACATAACTGTGATACAACAATTATGACAATTTGACAAGTGGATTTCAGTAAGTCATAAAATATGTCAAACAAGAAGAAAATATATCAATAATATTTGCAAATATGGTCTTGCTAAAAGTAATATTGTAGAAGTTCTAATGACTCCCTTTCCTTTTTTTGTAATTCAAATGTAGATTATAAAGCTTTTACCAACTGAATAATGTAAGTTTGTACATAAAATAAAAATAAAATAAAATTTGCTACACAGACATTCAAATTGTTCACATTTCATTAAAAACAAATAACGTACAACAAAACACATATCAGGTTTGTTCAAATTCCTTTAAAACAAACATAAAATCAGAAAAGAAATACTGTAAGGTTAGAAATGTAACTTACATTCTCTAACAATACAGTGTTATGGCAGTTTTATGATTGGACAAATTATCCCTAAGATAGGTTAAATGATCTATTTACAAAAAAAAATGAATCGTATTTAAAGGCTTTGATTACATTTTAAAGCAAGATCACCGTATACGGTGTTAATGCTCGTCTGTTAAGGACAAAAGTCAATTTTGTTAAAAAAGGGCATTTAACTAAAAAAATATTGCTTTCAGAATTATGCCCCTTGTCAAACAACTGCACCTTGTCATGATAAACAAGTATACAAAGTTTCATTTTCATAACTTTAAATAAAAATATTTGAATAAATGGCTACATTAAAGTTTTTGCAAAATGACAACAACAATGACAATGTGGCAGAGATCACCATCATTAGCTTGACACAGACAAGCTAAAAATAGAATTATTTCTATGAAGCATTAAGCATCAATCAATGCCTGTTGAAGTGGGATTTCATCAGGTAATGGTTTAGGTAACCTATTTTTGATCACAGATGCCCTGAATACAGAAAAACTTCCTACAAATGTCACACCAATCATAAAATAGAACATTCCTGACCAGCCATACGCTGTGGCTATCATGCCAATTACTGGACCCTCTATAAATGTCCCTACACTTCCAAAACCTGAAAAGAAAACAAGATTATTAAGCACAGTGTTTCAGGGGCATATCTGTTAATCAGCAGCATCTTTGTTTATCAGCACTATCTTTGTTTATCAACAGCATCTTTGTTTATCAGAGGTACCTTTGTTTATCAGAGGCATCTTTTTTTATCAGAGGCATCTTTGTATATCAGCAGCAACTTTGTTTATCAGCAGCAACTTTGTTTATCAGAGGCATTTTTGTTAATGTTTTATTAAAAGAAAACAAGTGATATGACATTGTCACAAATCCAAGTTTTCTGCCGTTATCACATATGTAAAAATAAACAGGGCCATAATTCTGCCAAAATGATGTAATCATAAACCCTGACAATGCATGAAATTGGTGAAAATAGTTCTGCGAACGTTTGGTGGATACACATTGAGAAATAGGAGTTGTGCACAGAAAAAATTGGTTAAGCCTGCCTGATAATGTACACCAATCAGATAATCAGTTTTTCCCCTTTGTTAAACATGGTTAAAAATGTGCTTTACTGATAAGCAAGGTATTGGGTTAAATGTCCATGTATTTTAAATATTCATATGAAATTAAATAATAACTTATATTTCTTGTACATACTTTAATATCATGGGGACCTAAAGACAGGCATACCAAGAGACTTTAAGTAAAATTTCAATTTTAAATTGTTAACATTATTATAAATTCCACATAAAAATATATGATAAGATGAAAGACAAAGTAACAAATATTTACCATTGACCAACCCTACAGTTGCTGCTGCCACATTTCGACCATCCATTTCACCTAACTCTGCTGGCACTGAACCGCCTGAAAAACAAGATATGTCGGTAAAACAGTGTGCTCGCCTATTGTCAGTGCTTGACAATAAAGAAAGGACAATAATTCTGCCAAAATCCACGTTAAGAGTAATGGGCCTTGGATAGTAACTTATAAAGCTCTCAAATAAGAGTGTGAAGTTTCAACCCATTCCCTTCAGTAGTTTTCATTAAAAAAAATCTTAACCAAAGTGTGAGGCAGATGCCTGGGTGAGTACAATAGTTCTTCCTATTCTTCAAATATGCATTATTTACCATAATATCACCATCAAACCAAAACTGTAACTGAAATCTCTAACCTTACATTTCAATAAACCTAAGGCCTATGGCAGCTGTCAAGACTAAGAACAACCTAAGGCCTATGGCAGCTGTCGAGACTAAGACCCTTACATTTCAATAAACCCAAGGCCTATGGCAGCTGTACAGACTAAGTACAAATTCAGTACAGTACTGGTTAATATCCATCTATGTACCTTCGAGGGGTTCAACATTATTAGGAGATAGATTCAGAAATTTTACTCTGTTAAAGATAATTCATTTCTATCTGCCTTGTTCATCTAAAATAATTGATCAAAATAAACCAACTTACCTAGAATGACATCTGGACCACAGTTGAATGCACCAGCCACAAACAGAAATAAAGTATTAAACCCTATACCCCATGTACCCGTCACCATGAATAAAAACAGCGCTATACCCGACAGAGCTGCAGATATTGCCGTACCAAACAAGGAACGACCTTGAAATAACCTGAAACATAAAAATTTAACCAAACTGTTGCCCCGTTTCTTTTTGTTCATACTGGTGTATAAAAAAACTTTGACTTCTTGGTACGATTATTCAGTCAAGCATAACATATTAAAAGTGAACTTTTACTTCTGTGCTGGTTAATAAATGTATAAGCATTTAAAATTGAAATACTTTAAAGCTGCATGCCTTCAGAACTGAACCAAAATATTTAATGAAAACCAACTTGAGAAAAAAGTACTGAGATTTTAAGGAAAGTAAAAAGATTCAAGATAAATGTTATAATTTCCATGTTATGTGTGATACATAACCGATTTTGCAGTATTTTCACTGTATTTCCAATGTGTTACTTATGCAGTATGGGGTATTTTTGCATATTTTTACCTCTTTTTGGTAATTTACATGGGTTATAAGTGCTGTTTGCAATGTGAAAATTATTTCCTTTGTCCACAATATTTTTGATACATTTTCTAAATTTTCAAGAAAATTAGCCTGAAACTAGGAAAGTGCTGCTTTAAATTAATAATAAGAAACATAAAATACAAGTCCGTAACAAGAAAACAGCGTTGTAAAGGTCAACTGAAATTATTAAATATTATGACAGCCGAGGACCCAAGACATGGGAAAAAGAAGCTTCACATTAGATTCAATTTTGACTACTGTGAATCAATTTAATTTTTATGGGCATAAAATTTTGTGGTCTTTCTGGGTTCTTAAATCCATGGATGACAGGTTTGTTTTTTTTTTTTTTTTTTTTTTTTTTTTTAAAGTATGACGTAAAAATACAAAAATAAAGATTATCATACATTACAGGCAAAATAAAATTTCATTATATCTAAAATTCATGGACTGACACATCCATGAAAATCACGTAAATTACTGTCACAACAATAATAATGATTTTGCACTGATTTAATTTAATCAACCAGTTTTCAGTTGCGTTAATGGCCTTTGTCTATGAATAGACTTAATCCGGAATTAAGAATATTTGGGGTTTTCCCGGCTATTAATGTAGGTACAAATGAACTTTTACAGTAACAGCTTAGAAAATAAGTGAAACAGGTTGACTAATCTATTGTGATGGGTTGACGGGTGACGAGTGTGCACTGTGAAGCTATAACGGTAAAAGTTAGTTTGTACCTACAGATTAGCTGGGAAAAAACCAATATTTGCCGAGTTCCGGTTAACGTCTATTAATGCCTGGTTAGCTTAAATATAACTGGTACAGTGTGTTATGTCAACATCTAGCTCATTAAAAAGTTCATAACATTATATTATTTCATGTTAAACACTCACCTATCTATTATTAAACCTATTACAGCACTTCCAATAACACCACCTATCTCAAACGTTGTGGAAAACATCCCTGCTTGCGCTTTTGAATATTGCAACTAATAAAAATATCAAGATTAGTTAGTCCAAGTTCTTTAAACATACAATGTACATGTATTTTGTATCTACATTTATTTTTTATCAAAATTATAAAACAATTACAAATACTTGTAAATCATTATGCACCTTTTTTTAATTTGTTGAACTTTTTTTAAAGCAGCATGCCTCCAGATTTATGCTAATTTTCATGAAAATTTTGAAAATGTATCTAAAAGTAAAATACTAAGAAGTGAACAAAGAAAGTAATTTACACGTTGCAAATGGCACTTTCAATTTACGAAAATTACCAAAAAGAGGCCAAAATATACATAGATACAACTTACTGCATTAGTAACGCAGTAGAATTATAGTGATTGATACTGCAAAATCAGTCATTAATCACACATAACATGTAAATAATTAATTAAATATTGAATATTTTTACTTTTCTTAAGATCTAAATACATTTTTCTAGATATTGAATTTCTTGAAATATTTTGGCTCATCTGGAGGCGTGCAGCTCTAAATTAATATTTGCATATTGATCATATTTTATTGAAGCATGGATTTATGATTAACAGTTTCAGCATGTTTGTAAGTAATTTTTAAATGATGATTTACACTCAATGTTAATTCAGTCAGCCCACTAAGCTCAATAGGGAGAGCATCAGCTTGGTTATCCAGCGGTCGCTGGCTCGATCCTCGGCTCAGGCAAAATTTCAGTTGTGATCTAACACGTCGAGACAATTAATTATTAGTCTCTCACTACCCAAGTTCTGTAAACTTCCCATATGGCTTTATCATCTAAAACATGTTGAGGACTTACCTGATTTAAAAGATACATGGGTAGCCACATGTACATACAATATCTAACTGCTTTCAGACAGAAAACAGCCACAGCTACTTCAGCTAACATCCTAATAAGAGACACACAAAGTTTCCACTATATTCTTATCAAAAATACTAAAAATAACATGCTCGTATTTATCTCTCACTGTCATGAATAAGATATGACTCACTGCAATCAATGAGATATAATATTTATCACTCACTGTTATCAATGAGATATAATTTTATCACTCACTGAAAATCAATGAAATATAATTTTTATCAATCACTGTAAGCCATGAGATATTATTTTATTACTCACAGTTATCAATGAGATATCATTTTTATCACTCACTTTAATCAATGAAATATAATTCTTATCACTCACTGTTATCAATAAGATATAATTTTTATCAATCATTGTAAGCAATGATATATTATTTTACCACTCACTGTTATCAATGGGATATCATTTTATCATTCACTGTTATCAATGAAATATATCTTTATCACTCACTGTAAATCAATGAAATATAATTTTTATCAATCACTGTAAGCAGTGAGATATCATTTTTATCAAACACTGTTATCAATGACATAATTTTTATCACTCACTGTTGTCAACGAGATATCATTTTTAGCACTCACTATTACCAATGAGATATTCTTTTATCTCTTATTCTTATCAATGAAATATAATTTCCATTGCTCTCTGTCAATAATGAGATAATTATTTTCATCATATGACTCATTACAAATATAATCAAATTATGAAACTATTTAAAAGATTCTGAAAAGTTTGCACGATAATATGAGTTTTGAGAAAATTTACATAACTTAATCACTATAAACAATTCAATCGTGAATAATCTGTGAACTTAAAAATTTCAACAAGAGCTGTTAGTTGGACAGCTCCCTCAACTATTTTCAAGTGCTTGAAAGTAAAACAAAATCCTGGATAATGTAGGAATAAAGAAAGAAGAAGATTTCAAGCAAATCACTTTCAAACTAGCACAGCACACTCTCTAGCAGTATGTTAGTAAAAACTTGGATTAAATTCTACAGAAAACTAGGGAAGAACTACGAAAAAATAGTTTATAACACAAACCTATGAGTTCTAATATAATAATAGTTTATAACACAAAAACTATGAAGTCAAACATAATAAGAGTTTATAACAGAAAACTATGAGTTTTAACATGTATTAGTACTCTGTTAGTTGCTACCACCAAATCATGAAAATTCGGTATCATCATTAATACATGTACTTTACACCATTTCAGCAACAAGTGCGTTATTTTTTTAATAAAATCAACAGGCAGAATGTTAATCTGCTCAGAGCGAAAAAAATATTTATAATTTTACAGTAAATACTGAGTAAGCAAGACCAGTGACACAAATGTTGCAAGTTTTTGTGTCAAAAAAAACAACAAACAAAACTTACCATAATAACAAGCTAGGTATACTAGGTGCATTTAACTTTGGATACTAGGTGCATTTAACTTTAAAGGAAACCTACGATCAAGGTGGGGAAAAAATGGGAATACTAGGAAAAACTAGGAACTCTACGGTAACTTTGAACCCATGGTGACCTTGAACCCATGGTGACCTTGAACCCATGGTGACCTTGAAAAACCTTGTACCCACAGCACAGCCTGCACAAACAATACACCTTGCACCCATAATCCCTTGTTTTAGGGCAAACACCTTAATCACAGACCATTCTCCGCCCTTTTTAACGAAACTTACGGGATTTTCCACAGCTGTATCCAGGATAATTTTGTATTGTTGTTAGATGATCCTTCAGCGCTTTTTATAGACTCTATAATATAACACACTGGACATTACCAAAATATGAAAGGGAAAAAATTCATTTCTGAAAAATAATTCATCAACATGTTTATTTCTGATACATAATCAACAATACCATATGATTATAGTCAATCAAATTATCACACTGCCAAGTAAACTTAATGTTTTGTAAAGTTGCCCGTGGCAACCATTTATCAAGGTTTGAAGCATATTTATATTTTGGCAGTTGTCTAACACTACTAATTGTTACTTTCTTAGAATCACATTTCAACGCCACCTTACTCAAACATAAGAGCCAATGATGAAATCATAAAGCATGTGTGAAAGTCATGGAAACTCCCAAACCACTAGCATATGCAAATTAGATTAAGTATGTTATTTGTATTATCCAATAGAATCCATAAATAACAATTATTCTCTGCCTCCAAATGTATTTAAGCAGCTCTAGTTGGTATTTATTCTGACTTTTTTTATTTTGGCAACTTAAACAACATTTAACATATTAGCATATGATGCATATAATGGTTTCATTGGCCTCCATTGCATCACTTAGTCATCATGCATATTGTTACCAAATAGAAAAGGAAAAAAACAACATATATTAAGTCACATTCAGTGAATTATCTTATTAATCTTATAACACACACACACACATTTATTCTGCAGTGCTGATGCAGTGGCTGAATTGTGCTCTGCTAAATTCAATGTTGCTTTCTGCCGCGATCCAGAGTGAAAAATACCAATACCAACACCAGTGAAATTGACCTCCCCCTTCCCAGAAGGGGATACGATTAGTTATAATGTTACTGGCAAAGTCTTTCTTTGTCTTAAGAAACTATTGTATTTAGCTGCCATTTTTTGCAGCTCCCTTAAGCCCTCTCTAAATACAAGATTGACTATACCCTGTGCATGTATAACTTATAGATCACAATTACATTAAAAAGACATTTTTTCGGTTAAATTGACAAAATATATATTGCATGATTGTATACCAAGCATGTCACACATATTAAGGGAATACTGCGTGAGTGTGCTTTTCTTTTCTTTTTTGGTTGGGTTTTACATTGCACCAACACAGTATAGGTCATATGGCAACTTTCCAGCTTTACTGGTGGAGTAATGTGGATTATTTCAGGCACAAACTGGCACTTGAGCAGAACCACCACAATCCCTAGGCTAGCTGGATAGCTGACACACATGAAAGATTCCAAAGATGCTGGCAAAGCTGGAACCTAGAGCAGGGTTTGAAGTCAATGACCTTAATCACTTGGGCACAGACACCCCAAGGTGCTATTTCATTGGCTTGTTGATTGTGTAAGTTGTATTCTAGCAAGTCTTGCAGTCTAGTGGGAAAATGGCTTTATGCAATCAACTAAATTAGCACACTCATTAAATTTGCCTTTCATCGTATATCTTACGTAAAATGCATATATACATGTATATATAAATAAGTAAAGCGGTTATTTTTTTTAAGAAAAGGCATAATAAGGTATAAGAATATAACATTAATAAATACATGTAATTATGTAACAACTCAAAAAATTCAAAGTAATTCATATGGATGTATACATGTATATTTCTTCAGCTGAAAATGACCAAAATTTCATTGGAAAACTTTTAGGTATAAACCGATAATAAATTATAATATCAATCTACTCCTTATTGTTGAGAAAGTTATTCAATTATACATAACTAAAGTAGATAAATATGTTAAAAACAAGAATACCTTTCCCAACCACCTCAATGTTTACTTCATCTGGCTGCTGGAAAAACAGTAACACCACAAAACCTAAACCAAGCTGAAAATACAACATCATTTTGTTCATACAAGTATATAGAGTTTGTCGTGGATGGCAATAATCAATGTTCAGCGATATTTCAATGTTTTATCAGCCGAGTAGATATGTGCCAAATATTCATACAGTATATATAAGCAAGATAAATTAATATATTATATTTTCAATATCATAACTTATACTAACTTTTTATTAATCTAAAACCACAATGTCAATACGAAACAGAAGGTTGGGTTTTAAGTCACACAACCATGGAAAACCTTAAGTACCCCTTCATCCATTACTTTAGGCACAATGTGGGCACCCAAGTAGAACCACTGACCTCCTTTAATCTAGCTGGATACAATGTAGCTCCCTACTCTGAGAGAATCCTGTCAATTGTGGGATTCAGACTCACAGCAGTGGGGAACATGGGAATTAAAGTCAGATTAGATTTTGAGAAAACATTTATATATAGTCACACATAAAGCACCCTTTAAAGAGCTTTATTTTTGAATTCACTAAGTACTTCATTAATTTTATCTTGAAATAGTGCATTTTATCACTATTAAGCCGGATAAAGCATCTGAAAAACCAGTGTACCAAGATAGGGGATCAAATTGTTTGCTTTACTAATCTTAATATAGAGTGCGGACCAGTAGATAAGCTGTATCGAGGGGTTTCCTTATTGTTTTTGTATTTTATCGTTGGCAATTTTCATTTTCCACCTTAATTCTTTTGATTTGACAACTATATGAAATGATTTATCTAAAAATAACATATTTAACCTTTAGAAAAGCTGGAGGCCGATAAATTTAAGTTATGAATTAGTAACATTAATTAATCAAAGAAACAACACAACTCACAACTAATAATGACGGTGTCAGAAATGCACTTCTCCAGCCATATGATGTTTGAAGCCATACCTGTAATTTAAACAAAAAAAAATTTAAAATCTAAAATTAATTTATCAATTGATTATTTTAAGTAAATTTCAACAAAACCTCATATAAATTGACAGTAACTAACATTCATAAACACACGCACATCTATGCCATGCAATCATGGTTTGCACGGTTCTTTATTCAGTCAGTATACATTTTGAAATTTTCACTAAAAGTCAAGTGATGAATGGTTCTTCTGTCCAGATTAGAAGATAAGATGGACAAGTTCATTTAAGATATTTAGAGCAGTCAGGGTTAGATATCAGTTTCAAAAAAGGCACTTGCTTATATCTCTAATATTAAGTCCAGCCTGTAAATCCATTTAGTCTAAAATACTCCCTATTCTGTTTGGAGATCAAATATACCTTTTTGTATCCTTAAAGTGAATTGGTCTACAATGGGCACATTTCCGCAGGTTTTTCAAATACTAATAAAAACAATAGAAATGTATCATTTGGCTAATCTAATGAAATATTTCTGGCAAACAAAATGTTGAAGGAGTTCTAAAGTAATTTATTATGGACATAAATATGATGAGTAATATTTTTTTGTTCTGGTACACTTCATTATTTGCTATATGTTGATATGTCATATCAGATCATATATCTAACACTCACCAAAAACATTCACATATAATTTTTTCGTGGTTTGTTGCCATGTGTGATACTTAAATATCAACATAATTTTTTATAGTATTAGAGATATTCCATTATAGACCAATTCACTTTAACCCCTTAAGATTGACAATGGACAGTTCCAAATTAAAAACTTCAAATCAATAATACCAATTAAGCAGTGTAATGGTTAATAATTTAATCATAATTATAATTGCTAAATTAAGACAATTAACATAATAAAGAAAATTGCAAGAAACCTTATACAACTTACAGCAAGGGCTGTTCCAATAATTCCGCCGGAAAAGGCACATGTTCCGAACATTCCTGCCACAGAGTTTCTTACTTTATCAGAATACCATGATCCCAATGCCTTCATACAGTTGGGCCAGCACTGTGCCTGTATAATAAACACAGCAAAATAACTGACAGAGAAAAAACAGTTTGTGTTGTGTGACCAATGATAAAATGTTATTGAAAAGTACAATGTAATAATTTCAAATATGTGAAAGAGTAAGTCGTTCAGCACAAATGAAAATGACAAAAATTTAATTGTACATATAGTCAAAAATTCATATCATGATGAAACAAATGAATTGTTTGTATTTTATTAAAATTTGTGATGAACCATCATGATTCAGTTATGAACCTACACACAAATAATATTCGTTTATCACATACCCCAAAATGTATACTGTTTAAAGTGCAAAAGAATCAATTTTCATTTCGGTATTAGATTTTGGTTGACAAAAATCAAAATCAAGTAAATCGTATAAATGATTCCCAAACTTCCACTTAAGGAAGCCCTGGTATCTAACTATACATGTATTTTCATAAGTCTAAAGTAAGAAAAACTTATCACCAGTTGTATAATATGATGAGAAACTTACCTGAGCAGATCCATTCAGGAATAACAGCAGACTAAACATGTAGAAATTACTCCACATTCCAAATGATGCCTAAAATTACATATTATATATCAGTAAATGACAATGATAACAGTATACAATAAAACAATGTATATGAATAACACATAGGTTCGTGGGTAAAAGTAAATATATCATCCTGAGGGAAATACTGTTACCCGAGGCTTAGCCTTCATGCTGAACTTCGAAAATAAGGGACTGAGCTGAGACAAAAAAGGCCGACATTTTACTTTTGAGAAAAAAAAAAAACAACAACATGACCAGATTTCATACTGTTAAAAAGTACTGTTACCTATATTAGATTATTACAGTACAAATTTCTTAGTCATGTGGTACACTTTCATTAAAACAGTAAAAATAACTCCCAGTGGCCTATGGGAAATTAATGTTATATGTATGTGATAATGATTATGTGTATGCTAATATGCCTACAGAATATAATTTATCCATTTTAAATCAATTATTCAAACAACATGATATGATCTAATTTTCAAAATTTTCAACCATTAAAGCAAACTAAAGCGATTGATAGATTGACAGGTCCCTCTTTGATATTCCATGTGCTAAGAGTTAAAATCATATAACATTCATACATACCATAGATATACCTGATAATATCATACATAAACCAAATGTTTTTCTTGGCCCAAACCTATCTCCGCATGATCCAAGTAACATCTAAAATTAGTAATATCATTACATTTACATATTTATAGATTTCGTGACTTCAACACAGGGGTTTTCAAATGCCAACTTTATTCCCAAAAATGGATTTTTTGTAAAAGCAACACAACAAAGAAATTTTTATTTTTATTTGGGCTTAGAGAATAATCATTTATGAATACAAATTTTAAAAAGAAATCTTTCTTTTAGCACAGTAAAAAATTAACACTGGCAATTTAATTGCTAAATGCTTATTAACTGCATTTCTTAACAAATTTTTTTTTTTACCAAAAATTTCTCAGATCAATAATATCTGTCATTTGTTGCAGTTTGAAATTACAACTTCATTCATAACGACAAAATAACATCATACTATGCATGCCATTGTATAGCACAAGACTCATCTGCCAGATGAAATTTTCGACATGGGTTAAACTAACGGAAACACCAGTCTGATATACAAGAAATAATAATGACCAATTTCTCAGTGCCGTACAATAATGCTTTGAAAATGTGTAAAATAAAAACAAAATGAAGCCTTTAAAATTAGTCAAATCCTGGCACATCTGATCATCCTACCTGCATTACTGCGTAAGGGAGTAACAGTGCTGTGTCCAACAATCCTAGCTGTGTTTTACTGAATTTCAGGTCATTTTCTAAGTCTGTCTTTACCTGCAATAGGTGATCATTTTATCAGCATGCCAAATAATATGTCTTTGTTACATACATAATTTTTCTGTAAGTATCATTTTTTGAAATTAATAAGATTAATCAAGTCAATTTTACTATAACCTATGTAAAAGTAAGTTTGCTATTAAAGTCAATAAAATAAATCGACAACTTAAATTTATAAATTAATTTTGTTGAACTTGATGTTTGAATGAAAAAGAGAATTAATACTTTGACAATGTTAAGCAATATTTTTTTTTCATTTTTCATTTTGGGAAAGAGTCATAAATATATTGACAGTGAGATAGCAAAACTTGGATTTTTAAAGATATACTATGCTAATGTATGGATAGATCACATCAACAATGAATTTCAACATGATAAAGGAGTATATCAAGTCACCATACACTAAATTACTAACAATATAGAGTTTTTTCTTTCTAAATTGAGGAAAGGACTTTATAATAGCCTCTTTACAGAAAATTTCTATTGTAATGAGGCCTTATATAGCCCTCTACAATATAAGTGGAAAAAACCACTTGAAAATGTTAATGTTTTTTCAACTTACAACTCCTAAAGGTTTCCTCAAGCAGTATGTTGAAGCATAAGCAAACCATCCAATGGCAAATATCAAGATCTGCCGTCTTTGTAAGGGATTACAATCAATCTTCATTTTGAGTCAGTAGCATTTGCAATTCTAAATCTGAAACAAAAAATACAACAAACATTCAGCAATATTAATATAGAAGTGGTTCAGGTATCCATTATGATTATACATCAGGGTTTTCAATTAGTTCAATGCACTGGATATAACACATGACATGATGTTAATTTACAATTAGGGCTGGATGTTTTTTCATTAGGCCAAAAATTAATACTGTCTCGTTTTAGGTCGATACTGTTTTTATCGATGAAAGCTCTAAAAAAAATTTGACCTGTCAATGATTAACAAAGGTGTAAGGAACTCCACTGTATTTTGCTTTGAGTGATCAAAGTCTATTTTACAACTAACTTTATTATTACACAATTTGCATCTTTTTTAAAAATTTAGTTTATCCAGGGTCTTTCAATTCTATTTATCACAAATCAGGAACATCAAAAAGTTCCACAAGGCCACCAGATAGAACTTTTTTCTTCTGAGTTATCAGGGCTCGAGCTAGTGGGCGATTCGGGCGAAATAGTCGCCGAATTCCGTCTGACTTCGCCGACATCCTACATGAAAGCGAAGATGAAGTTGCCCGATTTTATTGATCCATTATTGAAAATTACCAACAATAACAATAACTGTGAATAACATGTTGTGTGTGTGTTTGCTTTGTTTACCCTCGCCGCCGGAAAAAGGGACTGTCATGCATCTCAATCAACGCGAAATGTCATTAATCCGTTTGTTTACCAATATGTCATAAAAGTCTAATTAACAGTCACTCGAGGAACAATTAGACTCCCCCCACGGCGAGATTACCGATACGTGCGAGAAACCAATCGTAATTCACGTTTTAATCGAGGCGACATTATCAAACCAATCATTTAATCGCTAACATACAACTACCTGTAACAATTATTTATGATGGACGGATCAAATGTCAATTAAATTTTCACTATCGAATGATTGTCAGAATTAAGAGGACCGCTTGACATATAACTGTAACGGTAATTTTAAATGAAAGTTATGATAACCTTTTTTGTCGACGAGTTAAATTTGATAAAATTGACGGCGTATTGCATTGTATTTATTACAAATGAAGTTAAATTAAAGATCGTTTCTTTCGTTATCTACTTTCATTTTCTTTACAACATAAGTGAATATGAATATAATGTCCGACGCAAGCTTTTTAATAGTAAATCAGAAGGGAATAACTGTTAATCCACCAATGATATGATCCATAATAGGAATCAACTATGTCTTTTTTATCTTCACTTAATGCAATGGTTGCATTACATGATACTCATTCTTATTACTTGTTTCAAACTACTTTTAAATTAAAATTGAATATTCTGTTGTAACACAAATCCAATTCATTTAATAAGATATGTACAGTGAGTCAAGATAATTGCGATAACATACAACAAACATCGATAAATGAATCTCCTCACTTCTCCCTAAAGTATCCCCACTTCTCCCTAAAGCAGCTGGAGGGAGAAGTGACTTCTCCCTAAATTTTGAACCTAGCTTGAGCCCTGGTTATATCTGTTGGGAACGAGATAGTCAATTTTTGTTTTTTATTCTCAGTTATATCGGCAATCTCCTGGATTAGACCCCTATGAATATTTCAGAAGTAAAACTTTTATATAATACACTATAGAAAATGGAATGAACCTTATATAAAAATAATATATACTCCTGGTTAAGACCCTGAGGTCTATTCCAGGATATAGCCGTTATATCTTGTGGTAACAAGTTTTTTTACAAGATGGCATTTTCTTTTTCTTTTTTTTCTTAGTTATTATCTCGTGGCTGCGAGATAGAATTTTATTTGATTCTGATTTATATTTCGCGGCCACGAGATACGACAAGAAAAAAATCGGAATGTCTCCTCTGTGTAGGGGTGTCATCGATTCAATCGATATTGGTGTATTAACGATCTTTGTTATCCGATTCGATATCAATTCCATTTTTTAAATATCAGATATCGAATGCAAATATATTTCTAGCTAAAGAGACTTCAGCGAACAGGTTTTATAGAACTGATAGACCTGTTTACTGTTGCAAAACGTCAAAATAAACCGATATATCGCTGTATCGCCGATAATTCATTACCGATATATCGATACAAAAATCCTTATCGATGACACCTCTACCTCTGTGCTTCCATACGATTATCTTATTTGTATCCGAAAATATGTGCAACCGGTTACTAAAACATTATGAACGATTATTGAATTGCTGTAAAATACCATTAGTTTTGTAAATATATTTAGGAAATAATTACATTTATAATCATTAATAAATAAAACATGTTTTGAAATACCTTAAATCATCTGTGAAATCACAAAATATCAAAAAATAATACGTGAGCTGACAAGTGAGCTGATCGGTGCTGTATATTTTTCACTTTGTCGTGAAGGTTACTACACAACAACCTTGCCCTTAGAGAGTGTGGTCCTTGCATGGTAAAGGCGTTTTTTGCAAATATTTGCACTGTCTATCGTTGAAAAACCAATGTCACTTTATGGATATGTAACATTGATCTTTTAAGTCTCAAAATATCAAGTAAGTTTCATTAGATTTACTCGTTTTGTCCTCTGGTTTTACAGTACGAAGTTATCTGGTTATTCTGAAAGTTAAGGCGTAACAGAACTAAATTTATCTTTTTAAGAGCTTTTACTCTGTTACATATTCATGTCATGAATTATGAGTTGTATATCCTTTGATTTTTTTACATCAAAAATATATCATTCAAACAGTTTGATGTCGCAGACACAGGGACCCAGCACAGCGTTGGGATAGTGTAAAAAAGTAATTCTAGAAAAAAATATATACTCAGTCAGTCAGTGATTTTCTCACTTAATTGAGAAGAGGCATTAGCCACATGATTTGGGAAAATTTATCATTAGAATTGCTGCTTTGGGGAGTAAAAAAGCAGGTTTAAGTTCAGTTTCTTGGGAAAACTGCACAATTTTAAAGAAAATTAAAGAGGCCTTTTATCGGAGTTTGTTATATAAGCAGGGAAATCACTGATACTGTATATATAATAATCTACTATATGACACAAAATAATCTATGTGACACAGAGTAATCTATATGACACAGAATAATCTGATATATGACACAGAATAATCTGCTATATGACACAGAGTAAACTGCTATATGACACAGAATAATCTGTTATATGACACAGAATAATCTGCTGTATGACACAGAATAATCTGCTATATGACACATAATAATCTGTTATATGACACAGAATAATCTGTTATATGTGATAGAATAACAGAATAATCTGCTATTTGGCACAGAATAATCTGCTATTTGACACAGAATAATCTGTTATATGACACAGAATAATCTGCTATATGACACAGAGTAAACTGCTATATGACACAGAATAATCTGTTATATGACACAGAATAATCTGCTGTATGACACAGAATAATCTGCTATATGACACATAATAATCTGTTATATGACACAGAATAATCTGTTATTTGTGATAGAATAACAGAATAATCTGCTATTTGGCACAGAACAATCTGCTATATGACACATAATAATATAATCTGTTATATGACACAAAATAATCTGCTATATGACACAGAATAATATACTATATGACATAGAATAATCTGCTATATAACACAGAATAATCTACTATATGATATTGAATAATCTGCTATATTACACAGAATAATCTGATATATGAGACAGAACAATCTGCTGTATGACACAGAATAATCTGCTTTATGACACATAATAATCTGCTATAATTATGATATAGAATAATCTGCTATATTACACATAATAATCTGATATATCTCACAGAATAATCTGCTATATGACATAGAATAATCTGCTTTATGACACAAAATAATCTGCTATCATAATGATATAGAATTATCTGCAATATTACACAGAATAATCTGATATATGTCACAGAATAACAGAATAATCTGCTATGTGACACAGAATAATCTACTATATGACATAGAATAATCTGATATATGACACAGAATAATCTGATATATGACATTGAATAACAGAATAATCTACTATATGACACAGAATAATCTACTATATGACACAGAATAACCTGCCATATTACACAGAATAATCTGATATATGTCACAGAATAACAGAATAATCTGCTATGTGACACAGAATAATCTACTATATGACATAGAATTATCTGATATATGACACAGAATAATCTGATATATGACATAGAATAACAGAATAATCTACTATATGACACAGAATAATCTACTATGTGACACAGAATAACCTGCTATATTACACAGAATAATCTGATATATGTCACAGAATAACAGAATAATCTACTATATGACACAGAATAATCTACTATATGACATATATAACACAGAATAATCTGATAAATGACACAGAATAATTTGATTTATGACACAGAATAACAGAATAATCTGCTATATTACACAGAATAATCGGATATATGTCACAGAATAATCTGCTATATGACATAGAATAATCTGCTTTATGACACAAAATAATCTGCTATAATTATGATATATAATTATCTGCAATATTACATAGAATAATCTGATATATGTCACAGAATAACAGAATAATCTGCTTAATGACACAGAATAATCTACTATATGACTTAGAATAATATGATATATGACACAGAATAATCTGATATATGACATAGAATAATCTGATATATGACACAGGATAATCTGATATATGACATAGAATAACAGAATAATCTACTATATGACACAGTATAATCTACTACATGACACAGAATAACCTGCTATATTACACAGAATAATCTGATATATGTCACAGAATAACAGAATAATCTACTTTATGACACAGAATCATCTACTATATGACACAGAATAATCTGATATATGACACAGAATAATCTTCTAAATGACACAGAATAACAGAATAATCTGCTATATTACACAGAATAATCTGATATATGACACAGAACAATCTGCTGTATGACACAGAACAATCTGCTATTTGACACAGAATAATCTACTATATGACACAGAATAATCTGATATATGACACAGAATAATCTGATATATGACACAGAATTAAGATAATAATCTGCTGTATGACACAGAATAATCTGATATGCAACAAAGAATAACAGAATAATCTGATATATGACACAGAATAATCTGATATATGACACAGAATTAAGATAATAATCTGCTGTATGACACAGAATAATCTGATATATAACAAAGAATAACAGAATAATCTGATATATGACACAGAATAATCTGATATATGACACAGAACAATCTGCTGTATGACACAGAACAATCTGCTATATTACACAGAATAATCTGCTAAATGACACATAATTATCTGCTTTATGACACAGAATAATCTGCTATGTGACACAACAACATATTTTTTATGTAAATCACATTTTACTTGGCCACCCAGATACAGCTACAAAATGTTTTGCATGAACTGATGAATGTATTGTAATGAGTCATTTGCCCAATTTATAAACACTAGCGGGCAGAGGTCTCATGACTCTAAAATCAACAAGCATCAACTTTCTTCTTACATCCTTTTACAATATTAACATTTTTCTGTTTCATTTCAGAAATTGTTAAGTGTTTGTGCATTCATTTGAATCTATATGGCCCAAACCTAATGTAATTGTATTTAGCTAAAAACATAGCCCAGTTGACCCCTACACATTTTTCATAAATAATACTCCCTAATATGGCTACTGCCCTGGTGGTCACTCAGTATGGAAAAACAAAATTAATTCAGTGAAACTACATGACTAAGAGATATCTAATTACCATACTGTAAGACCATTAATATTATCTTCAGGTGGAAATTTCTGAGTCAAATGAATATAGCCAAAATGAAATATAGATTGATTTTTTTCTTTCATTGCAGATCATCCCTGTGTGAACAAAAGCTATGGAGGCGAATTTTCTACTGAACAAATTAAAGGTTGTTGGACAGCTTAAGCAATGTGTTAACTTTCCTAAACAAATAAGCAAAAAACATTTACATACACTCTTAAATGAGGGCAGATATAGATCTGGTCAAAGTTGGTGCAAATACCGCTATAACCGGAATACTTTGTTATCACATAACTGGAATCATTTAGCCGCATCAGGTGTGCCGGTGTACCTAATGCAAGACAGACTCTCGGATCACCAGCACAGAGACATTTACCATTTATGTGATAAAAATAGATTACAGAAATACAAAAGACTTGAACACGGGTTAATTTTACCTGCTACAAATGTTTCGATACATCACAGACCAGTTTCCTTTGGTACCAAAGCAATTCTTGATGCGTCCCCACCTAAAGTACAGCCATACTTAAGACTACTACGATTTGATAAACCAATAGGTAAGATGTGCCCAGTAATGACATGTAATGTATGTTAAAATCACAATTATTTTCTTATATCAAATGCTAGGCAAATTATTATTTCTGTTACATGAGATTACTTGCAAGCATACTTTTCTGAGACAGTTTTGTAGAAAATAAACATTTTGTTTAAAAATCCTTTAGTAAAGAAAGCTTTTAAGGTATACATTTGAATGTTTTTCAAAATATTGTACTAAGATATATTTTTTTACTAGGGACATATCTTTTATTCTGGCCATGTACATGGAGTATTGGACTAGCGGCGCAAGCAGGTCATTTACCTGATTTGTACCTGCTCGCTCTGTTTGGCCTTGGATCTTTAATCATGCGAGGATCTGGATGTATTATAAATGACATGTGGGACAGAGATATTGATAAAAAGGTAAACTATTAGAAATTTGACTCTTGTTTTTTACTTTCTTTCTTAAATGTGATGTTATGAGGAGAAAGTAAGTAATGCCTTTGTTTTCCCCAAAAGCCAGTGTGTTAAAATCTTATTTCATGTTTCAAAATAATTCTAATTGGTTGAAAGTTCAATCATAAGGCAAGGTTGGATTTTTCTCATGACAATAGATCTGAAATTAAGTCTAATGATCATTTGTCTCTCACCGATGATTCAGAAATCATGTGTTATTAGTTGTCAGTCACTTGCGGAGAAATGGTTATTACTGGGTAATTATCTAGGAAAGCCATTTTCCTTGCTATATTACCAAACATTGGTTAAAGCCAGAGTAAAAGCCAGAAAAAATAAGGTTTGTAAAGGGTGAGAAAATTGCTGAACTTACAAATCTTGAGTAAAGTTTGAATTGTGGCAATTTATTTGATTGAATCATATATTGTCAACTTTATGCAGTAACAGGTTAACCCCTATTAAATTAAACATGAGTTCGGCCTTTGCTGTATTAGGGTGAAAATATGTAAAAATTTATTAGGGTGAAAATATGTAAAAATTGGGCAGTCAGTGGCAGATAGTCTCATCAGACTGCCTTTGCCACCATTATAAAGAATCAGGCCAGCCTACATTTATGTCTAGTGTAACCAGGGTTTATAATTTTGGCAGCTCAGATTTTGTATTTTAATGAAATCCCTTAGACTTCAAATGGACTGTTTGGTTGTGTATTACGTTTCACCAAGGCAGTATAGGTTATGTTAAGACTTTTTAGCTTTACAGGAAGACCATGGGTGCCATTCCGTGCATTATTTCAGGCATCTTAGTAGAACCACCAACATGCCGTTAGCTAGCAGTATAACTTCCTCAAATAAAAGCATCCACTCGGCCAAGGACATCCCCAAGGACTATTTAAGCAGTTTATTTTAAGAAATTCATACAAAAGCATTAAAAGTTTTATGATTATAAAATTTTCAGGTTGAAAGAACAAAAACACGGCCATTGGCAAGTGGAGAGCTCACACCATTCCAGGCACTGGTATTTCTTGGAGGCAACCTTTCTTTAGCTCTGGCAATATTGTTACAACTAAACTGGAACAGGTAATTCTTGCTTCTATCATTTCAATTATACACTGTTCCTTCACTTTAGACCATGACATACTTAATAAATTGATTGGATAATTCTTATTAGCTTCACTATTCGATATCAGTAAGTGGAGCTATATTAGTCACCCGAGCGTCAGTATTGGCGTAACCACTAGGTTTTTGTAATACCTCAAATATTTTCAAAGTCCATTGACATATGGCTTGATCCTGCCAGGGACTATAAATTCTTCTATTTGACTTAGTCAACCAGCTAGCTTATAGAAGGTTGGTAGTTCTACACGGGAACCTGTTAGTGCCTGAAATACTGAAATACAGCACAGAGGTATATGTTAGTGATTTTCCTGCTTATATAACAGACTCTGAATCTGATAAAGGGCCTCTTTCCAATTGAAATTTTCTTTAAAAACATGCAGTTTTCCCAAAATTCTGAACTTAAACCTGGTAATTTTACTTTTCAAAATTAACAATATTAGGTATAATAACAGTTTTCTGAGGATGTTTCTAGATCAAAAGTTTTGCCAATTTTATGACATTGTCATAAAGTTAAATTGTGCTTAAGCCAGTGCTAGAGGGCATGGGCAGTAACTTGCATTAACCCCTCCTGTCCATGAACAGACTCAATAAAACCCAGCCTGTATTATTTTGAATTGTGCCGTTTTGGGAATTCCCGTTTTGGGCATTCTTTAAAGTTTTCATTTTTGATCATTTTAAAGTACTATAAAAAGTACTATTATAAACAATTGATGATGTTTACTGTTTATTTTAGTGTTTTCCTTGGGGCAGCATCTATGATTCTGGTAATTGCATATCCCCTTGCTAAGCGCTATACATACTGGCCACAAGTTGTTCTAGGTATGTATTTCAAAGTTTATTTTTCAAGTTTAATTTCTTCATTCCTTTGTGCTGTTAATTCTAATCTATGTTACTGTCAAGCTTTTTGTTAATGTGAAAAGTGTTTAATGTGTTTTATTGGACAGATAAACTGTCTCTGAAAGTTGAAAGGTTATTAAACGAAGGTCTGATATTATTATCATAAACTTTAAAAATTACAAATTAAGAAAAACTTTAACTGACAGGGAAAAATTTAAATTTCAAGCATTGGTACTTGTTTCTTTGCAAAAACATGTCAATTTTAAAAGCATTTTTATGACCATGAATGTTCAGTGTGAAAATAAATTGTGAAGGGGAAGCATATAATTGCAGTTTTATTCTTCCATCTTCCCTTCAGCTGCTTTTATTTTACGGCATCCTATGGCGCATTCACCTCTTGACTGAAATGATTATAAATTGTTATGAATATACTATATTACAAGAACATATATACACTTTGGTTGGGTTAAAGGTCAACCAGGTCAAGGCCATTGAAGCTAAAGATAGATATTTTATCTACTGCTAATAGATTGCATTCTTTAGTTGAGTAGGGTATTTCTATTTATATGACGTTTCTTTGTGATATTTTTAGCTCACCTGTCACAAAGTGACAGGGTGAGCTTTTGTGATCGCTTTTTGTCCGGCGTCCGTCCGTCCATCGTCCGTCCGTCCATCGTCCGTCCGTCCGTAAACTTTTGCTTTAAATGACATCTCCTCATAAACCACTGAGCCAATTTCATCCAAACTTCACAGGAATGTTCCTTTGGTGGTCACCTTTAAAAATTGTTCAAAGAATTTAATTCCATGCTGAACTCTGGTTGCCATGGCAACCGAAAGAAAAATCTTTAAATATCTTCTTTTAAACAACCCTAAGAGCTAGAGCTTAGATATTTGACATGAAACATCTTCTAGTGAGTGTCTACCAAGTTTGTTCAAATAAAAGCCCTGGGGTCAAAATTGGCCCCGCCCCAGGGGGTCATTGATTTTCCCTATATGCATATAGTAAAAACTTAAAAGATCTTCTTTTAAAGAACCCAAAGAGCTAGAGCTAAGATATTTGGCATGAAACATCTTCTAGTGAGTGTCTACCAAGTTTGTTCAAATAATAGCCTTTGGGTCAAAATTGGTGCCGCCCCGGGGGTCATTGATTTTCCCTATATGCATATAGTAAAAACTTAAAAAATCCTCTTTTAAAGAACCATAAGAGCTAGAGCTTAGATATTTGGCATGAAACATCTTCTAGTGAATGTCTACCAAGTTTGTTCAAATAAAAGCCCTGGGGTCAAAATTGGCCCCGCCCCAGGGGGTCATTGATTTTCCCTATATGCATATAGTAAAAACTTAAAAAATCTTCTTTTAAAGAACCCAAAGAGCTAGAGCTAAGATATTTGGCATGAAACATCTTCTAGTGAGTGTCTACCAAGTTTGTTCAAATAATAGCCTTTGGGTCAAAATTGGTGCCGCCCCGGGGTCATTGATTTTTCCCTATATGCATATAGTAAAAACTTAAAAAATCCTCTTTTAAAGAACCATAAGAGCTAGAGCTTAGATATTTGGCATGAAACATCTTCTAGTGAATGTCTACCAAGTTTGTTCAAATAAAAGCCCTGGGGTCAAAATTGGCCCCGCCCCAGGGGGTCATTGATTTTCCCTATATGCATATAGTAAAAACTTAAAAAATCTTCTTTTAAAGAACCCAAAGAGCTAGAGCTAAGATATTAAGCATGAAACATCTTCTAGTGAGTGTCTACCAAGTTTATTCAAATTAAAGCCCTGGGGTCAAAATTGGTCCCGCCCGGGGGGTCATTGATTTTATCCTTTATGCATATAGTAAAAACTTAAAAAATCTTCTTTTAAAGAACCATAAGAGCTAGAGCTTAGATATTTGGCATGAAACATCTTCTAGTGAATGTCTACCAAGTTTGTTCAAATAAAAGCCCTGGGGTCAAAATTGACCCCGCCCCAGGGGGTCATAGATTTTCCCTATATGCATATAGTAAAAACTTAAAAAATCTTCTTTTAAAGAACTCAAAGAGCTAGAGCTAAGATATTTAGCATGAAACATAATCCAATGGGTGTCTACCAAGTATGTTCAAATAAAAGCCCTGGGGTCAAAACTGGCCCCGCCCGGGGGGGTCATTGATTTTCCTCATATGTGTATAGCAAAAGCTTAAAACTTAAAAAAGTTTCTTTGAAAAAAACCCAAATAGCTAGAGTTTAGATATTAAGCATGAAACATCTTCTAGTGAGTGTCTACAAAGTTTGTTGAAATAAAAGCCCGGGGGTCAAAACTGGCCCTGCCCCAGGGGTGTCATTGTTTTTAACTATATGTGTATAGTAAAAACTTTAAAAATCTTCTTTTAAAAAACCCAATGAGCTAGAACTTAGATGTTTAGCATGAAACATCTTCTTATGGGTGTCTACCAAGTCTGTTCAAATAAACAAATAAAAGCCCTTGGGTAAAAATTGGCCTGGGGGTGGGGGGGGCCTATATACAGGTGAGCGACCTCAGGGCCATCATGGCCCTCTTGTTACTTGTCATATCTAAATTGTTCTAAAACCTATAGCTCTTTTAAGCTAGATTTTCTTGCTTAAAATGATTTAACTGTAAATTTGTGGTGTTATTTTGCTTTACTTGTCATGCCCAATATAAATTATAACAAGTGCATTATGTTAAATATTTTAGACTAAAGAGTATGATTGTCTTTACAAGTGGCTTTGGCAAAGCCACATCAGTGAGCCTGTATTGTTCTTAATAATTTTAAACTTTGGAGAAAGGAAGTTTTTTTGTCTAACATTTTATAACAGGACATTTGGGCAACTAAGTATCTTTAAAACTTAATGGTTTGTAGGTAATTTTACTAGTCAGAAACATTGTCCAGTCCAAATAATGTAGCTAGTTGGACAAGAGGTGTTGACCTATGTTGATATTATAAGAAAAATTAAGTTAAAAAACTTTGTGTTACTGCAAATTAGATTGTTTATTGATGACTTTGGATAAACTGTCTTTGGTTTGTTTTGAGACTACAGAGTCATACAATTACAATACAGGACTTGTGTCTGTTGATTTTACAACATTGAGTTCGGAGATACTAGTACATGTATATTGAGCTCTCCTAGAAGGTTCTTGTAATGCAAGATTACCAGTAAAAAAGGAATATTTTTAAAACTAGAAGGTGCTTTATGCTTTTTTTACCTTATAGAATTCTACCAGGTGCCGTTGTTTATAGCTTGTGATATTTTAAACAATATTTTATTTGTAGGGGTAACCCTGAACTGGGGTGTGCTGATTGCTTGGTCGGCCCTCAAAGGTTCCTTGGAGTGGCCTGTGTTGCCCCTATATACAGCTTGTGTTGTCTATACAATGTTTTACGACACTATTTACTCCCATCAGGTAGTTTGTTAGGTTCACTAGTCTGTACCTGGGTATACTATATTCACGGAGGAGGAACTATTACACAAGGGATGGAGTTCTCATGATAACTTGTCAGGAGTTCTTGTGATAACTGTCCTGGAGTTTGTCAGAAAACTCGTCAAAAATGGTCATTTTCATCATTAATGAGTTTTAGGTGCTAAATTAACCTTTATGATAAAGCTTACCTTACATCTTATATTATGTTATTAGTATTAGTATTTGACGCATAATACAAGATGTAAGGCAAGCTTAATCGTTAAAGTTTAAAACTCATTTTTTATAGATGAAAATGACCATTTTTGACGAGTGCTTCTGTAGTATATACAAAAGTTTTCCGACGAACTCCATGAAAGTTATCACAAGAACTCCTGACAAGTTATCATAAGAACTTCATCCCTTGTGTAACAGTTCCTCTCCTGTGATATAAGTTGATACCTGGGTAATATACTAGTCAACACCTTTCCATTTATACATGTAGATTTTAGTCAGCAGTTTACATGTCTTGTGCTTTTGTTAGCCCCATTAAGCGCATGTCTTTCCTATTTACTTCTTTATTGTATTCAGTTACAGTACATGAATGTTAGAAGCCGCAACACAGTGTATCTTTAACAGCTTGTTTATTTGTAACATAATATATGTCTAATTCTGAAATTACTGTACTCGTTTCATCAGTGTGATAACTTTCAATATCATGGGCTATCAATCTTTTGGAAAAAATAAAGTCCATTTTTTTTAATAGGGTTGATTATTCCAACCTGGATAATTGCAAACCTTGGACATTGGTGTACTGTAGTGTATCCAAAAACTGAACTGTTAACTGATCAAGTTAAGCCATTTAATATTGAAACACCTCAAAATAAAGTTTGACAAAACCATTCATCAATTTTAAGGGAAAATTTTAAAATATTTATTGACTGAACAGTGCATGGAATAGATGTGCCAGTTGATCTTGGTCTGCACTGGTCGCAGGGAAGAGTATGCAGCCACCAGCAGGCCAAGGGTTAAAAACGATGAAATTCAGTATACAAATATAACATAATAAAGTTAACCTCTGGTAATTAGATGTTCATATAAGATATGATGTGAAACAATGTAGATTTCAGAATGAACAGTTTAGTTATGTAACTATAGGTATGCATGAGTGCATGAAATCTGGAAATAATTTGAAAGTTTATGCCTAGTAAAATTTATGATTATTTCCCTTGTTAAATCAAAAGTATAAAACCAGTTTTAAATGATTGCTTTTTAATTTGCTTGCTGACCTATAAAAAAAATGACACAAATTACCACATTTCTATAAAGTACCAGTACACCCTTATATTCAAATTTATAATACTGCACATTTGTAACGTCTTTTTTCATTGGATAATCATGATGTTTATATAATCTATATACACGGCTACAGTCGATGTAGGAATAAAATTATTTTTTTCTGCAATAAAGAAAGTTAGCAGTATTGTAAATTCGTTATAGAGATTCTAAATAGGTTATATGGCCCTATATAAACAGTTATTTGCAATATAACCCTCGCCTAACAGCTCAGATTATATATTCAAACAACCGTTTATTTAGGGCCATATAACCTGTCAAAAAGATCTTCATAACTAATAAATTATTTCAAATGAATTGGAACAACTACACATTTATATAACTTGCACTCTTATACATGTATATACATTTATATACTCAATTTATATTAGTAAAATACTACTGCATTCAAGAAAAGATTGAAAAGAGCCTTTTGAGACTGACATGTCAAGGTCATAAATAAAATTTTATTCCTTGGTTTCTTATTTTGATACTGATTAAATATATTCTAAGCAAGTTCTCACATAATAGTAATATATGGCACATTTTAAGTACTCAGTGCACCGGATTAGCTCCGATTTGTAAAAAAAATCCTCAAGAATCTCTCCTGTTCCGGCTTAAGCAGAATTCACTTTTCAATATCAAATGTTTTGGAAACAATGATTCTCAAGGACCAGAAAAAATATTACATCACTGATAAGTAAGTTAGACTTGTGTCTGAGACATAATTATGGTCTGTGGAGTTTTGGGTAGATGACTGTATGTCTAAAACCAATGGTCAAGCACTTGTTTTAAATCATAAATTATGTAAAGAATCTTAAGAATCCTGAAAGTACAGTTTATGACTGTCAGAAATATATTTAGTTTATTAGTTTATACAAATGTATTTTAGTTTGATTGTGTTGGTAGCTATAAGCTTATTGAAACACTAACAATCTTTTCCTGGATCCAACCAGTACTGAGCAATGAGTGTAAAGTTTCTTGCTCATGGAAACAATGGCTGACGAGGTTTGAACCCACGCAACCAGCAATCATTAGATTATTAGTTGGAGGTGTTAACCACTCAGCCATGTGGCCACTCAAAAAATACTATTGAAAACCAGTGCTTCAGCAAAAACCAAAACCAAATAATTTTCAATGGAATACTGATAATGTTCATCAAAAAGCAAACAAAACGATTTTGTTAAAGAATTATAAAAAGATAAAATCATCGTTTAAGACAGTTTTGTGAGTTTTGTCAGTGTCGTAGCTTGTAATTTGTATTTTGATGTTGTAGTTTGTGTCTTTTGACAATTCTATCTGCAATCTGTCCTTAGCTTAAAACTTTTTGCCAACACAATCTTGTGCCAGTTGTTCTGAAATAGTTGTTTATATGGGGGGGAAAATGGCAGATGCTGACACAAATTTTGCAGATACTGAAAGCACGACATAAGTAATATTTGTACAGCTTGTAAAGTGCTGAGTATGCAATGCGAAATAACCCTTAAAATAGTATACTTTTGTTTTGCTTAGTATGTTAACCATTAACCCATAACCCTAAATATGTTACATGGACTTGTCCATCTTTCAATCGGGACAAAACCATTCTTCAGATTTAGGGAAAATTTTAAGATTTGTACTTAACAAATAGCTAACAGTGCAGACCATGATCAGACAGCACAGATTTGCTGGCAGATGTTAGTCTTACCTAGTCACACGTAAAATTTATTGCTGCAACCAAACTGAGGGTTAAAAATGGACTGTTCCAAATTCAAGGAACTTGGCAAGTCCATTATGTAAAATTCAGCAGGAAAAGAGATAAGAAATAAAATGATGTAAAATTTGTGTCTGCATATACCATTATTCCATCTAATAAGCTACCCCTTAAACTGCTGGAATTAAAAGTGATTGGCTTCCAGAATAGTTCCTAAGATACGAGTATAAGCTGGACACGTGCATTACAGAACTTCCGCAGGTTAAGGGCTATTTCAGTACTCGTTATTCCCGGCCATAGTCATATATAACCTTTTACAGCACACGGCACATTCCAGACAAGGGTTATCTTCTCATTGTAACTCGTTCTCTTACAGCTTGTTGCTATGGCAACTTCTTCGACATTTTGTGACCTAGTTTTGTTACTATGCGTTCAAAATGTCGGAAGCGATACCTACATCATTGTTATATGTTTTAATAAAATGCTTAACTAATGAAACTGAACTTTTTGCTAGGGTTAACATTCAACTATGGGGCAATGCTGGGCTGGTGTGCTGTGAAGGGGGATTTAGACTGGCCTATATTACCCCTGTATGCAAGCTGTTTGCTCTGGACTCTTGTCTATGATACCATATATGCACATCAAGTAAGAATGAGTTCTTATCTATTACTATAGTCTTCTTCAGTAGTGAAATTGCTTTATTTTCTGGGCTGGGACATTTTATTTGTAAAGGTTAAGCTTCCAAATTAATTGATGTACACATTTAAATATTTTTGACCATGAAATTCATGGGAAGTATCAATTTCAATACAGGTACAGGTATATGATCTTGAGAGATTCATTCACTATGGAAACCTGTTATTATAATATAAATTGTTAAACAAAAAGAATGGAACAGGTTAAAATTTAATTATATCAATTCAGTTAACCATGTATTAATGATAATTTGACTGAAAAAGTTAATTTGGAAGTATTTGTTTTTACTAGCAATATGAAGTACATATTTAATAATTGTTTTCATTTTTAACTGCAAAACAAATAAAATAAAATGTTAACTTACTGTAATCCTTTTTGCTAAAGCAATAATTGTTCTGCCCAGTGTATAAGGTGATATCACTATAATTGTTTTTATTTGTTACTTGGTGTGGCTTTGTTAGCACGTAATTCATTTATTTTAATATTGCTCTAGGGTAATAACTTTATATTTTATTCATGTAACAAATATTAGTATTGCTGACAAAACACAAAAGTCGATACACAGATTCAGTGTAATTGTTTATCTGCACAACTTCTATATAATTAATCTTCACCACTCTATTAATCTTAGACTTGTCCATCTTTCAATCTGGACAAGACCATTCATCTGTTGTGGGAAAAATTTCAAAATATGTATTGACTGAACAACAAGCAGTGCAGACCATGATCAGACAACACAGATGTGCCGTGCCCAATGTTGCTCAGCATCTTCAGGCCTTTTTCCCCTATCCCATGGGTCTGAATATGGGCCTAATTCCCCAATTCTGTTTTTTTTTTACCCAAATAAAAAAAAATAAAAAAAATACACAATCTAGAAGTCGGCAATTTGAAAGAAAATGTACCGCATTTTCAATTTTGGTGTCAAGAAATAGCACAGAATATATATATTCATGTTTTGTGAATAAAAACAGGATTTTTAATTGATTCAGTTTTACATTGGTACACATTTTTGCCTGTCCTTGTATTTTTGATATGACAGAAAAAGCTGAACAGTTTAAGTAAGATTTATTTAGATTTATTTTAACAATTGTAACACCTTGGATGCTAGCATATTTTCCCAAATTGGCAAATTTCACTATAACTTATTTTCCCAATTTGGAAAATTTTACGACACAAATTCCCCCAATTTTGCCATGTGGTGTTTTCCCAAAATAGAGGGAAAAAGGCCTGGGTAGAATCTGTTGCTGATCAAAACGTCTTTGAAAGGATAATAACTTTACTTTTCCAGGTTAAAAGTAAAGTATCATTCTAGTACAGTTAATTGTTAAGTTTAGTTAAATTGAAACATATTTATTTAAGCTTGATTGTGAAACAAGTTCTGGCAACTTATATTAATCACTTCCTAGTCTGCTTTCTGGAACTAACCAGTACTGGTGTCATATGTGCAAAGTTGTTCATGACCATAGTAAAACCCCAACCCATGATCGTAGGGTTAAGAGGCAAACACCTTAACCACTAGGCCACTGCTTCCCTCCAATTGTAATTGTAACCAACAGTTGCAAGTGTTAATATTTTAATAATGCATCAAGGCATTTATTCCAATTTTAAGAAGATTTTATGATGCATGTAGAGCCATGCCATTTAGTATGGTACTTTAGTGATATTTCTGAGCTGTGAGTTTTTTCCTTTCTAATCCAAGGTTACAAACAAATTTATACAGTTACCACTCAGTAAATATTTATCGATAATAAGCACATCATTATAAGCACAATGCTACAATCACTCTATTGGACACGGTACTGCACTTTCAAACTAGAGCAGTAAAAGTTTGGTTTGTTTCACTTCTCAGGGTTAGATGGGAAAAACCCACATTTGCCGAGTTCCGGATAACTTCTATTTCCACAAGGTGATATCATTCCACAAGGCGGTATTGAAATTTCTCAAATTAAAATTATTATATGGAAATTTCAGAATCTCTATGAAAATATGATAGTCATGTGATACTGAGACATGTTTAATGCAATACTGGATACTTTCCGAACATTTTGTTTTTTTACATGCTGTTTGCTTGTTTGCATATTTTACTGTTTTAGTATTGTTGTTATTGTTATTTATTGTTACATGGTTTCTGAAATTATTTTGCAAGAGGTACACATTACATTTTATCTGGCAATTTTTTTATTTTTATCTTTTAAATTCTGGGAATGCTGGCAGGGATATAAATAACTTGCATGTGCTACTAGATAGAGGCAGACCAGTCTGTACACCATTATGGTCTGATCAGGCTTTTACTGCTGGCTGCTCAATTTTGTTTTATATACATGTATTAAAATAAAATAAAAAATTGCATTAAAATAAAATAAAAAATTGCAATAAACATTTCTATGTTTAAACCAGGACAAATTCAGTACACACAAATTCATCAGCATTATGGTATAAGATCTCTCAAAAAGTAAGTTTTAACAGTTAAAGAAAAGATAAGGGTAATGATATAAATGGTAAGGATCTCTAGAATAGTTCAATTAATCAATAGTTTAAGACAAGATCTGATTATCAATTATAAATCATTTACAGAAATAAATACAGAATCCATCTGAAAATGTTTTTATGAAAATTCATATATATTTGTACATTCTTTCATTTTTCAAATCCATTATAAAATAGAGATTTTGTTACAAATCTAGGACAAGTATGATGATATGCTAATTGGAGTGAAATCTACAGCTCTGAAGTTTGGGGATCAGACCAAAATCTGGCTGACAGGATTTTCAAGTATGATGATTGGTTGCCTAACATTGACCGGACACATGTGCGGCCAGACTTGGCCATACTACACAGCTGTAGCTTTAACTGGGACACATTTAGCTCACCAGGTACGTTTATTTTACACTATCATGCTAGACATTTTAAATGGATTTGCCCATCTTTCTATCTAGACAAAACATTTATAATTTTTTAGAGAAAATTTCAAAGTAAATGCCGACAAAATAGTGATCAGTGCAGACCATGATCAGACCAGCATGCTAGGCACAGATGTGCCAGTTGATCTTGGTCTGCACTAATCACATTGGTAAGTTCAGCCATCCCCAGTATGTGATAAGGGTATACAACCCAGTTATTAAAGAAGATGAATTCTGTAAAAGGAGTTTTGTCAGTTTCTTACCTTGTTATTAAAAAGTTTTAGTTGCAGATGGAAGCTGCATCCCCTCAATTTAAATTTCCAGTCTCTTGAAGGGAATGTTATGTTACCAAATTGTATAGACAATATAATATAATCAGTATACTTAGTTACACAATGTCTTAATCACTCAAGAGATTTACTCATGGAATAGCTTTACATATCCTGTCATCTCATATTTGTTTGTGTCCGTCTCTTTGTTGGCATTTTTTCCCTTGCTGCTGGAAATAATTCACAGAGGCGCACCTGTAAAGCTGGAAAAGTTGCTATATGACCTTTGCTGTTTTGGTGAAACTTAAAACCCAAACCCTTGAATTAAAAGGAAAAAAATTGGGAGAAATTTGATAGTTTCCTTGTAGATGTACATGAGCTTTTGACTTGCAGAGTCATGTATGATTTAAGCACTGTCTATGGAAAATTAGTTTTTACTATGGATTGAAAAAGTTAAGGGGGAAAAAATTAAGCTTTAGCATGGTTTTTGTAAGAAATAAATTTTTATTTTTAAAATATTTCTTTACAGCTGTACACAGTGGACCTCAACAACCCTGAGGATTGCCTTAAAAAGTTCAAATCCAATACCCAGCTTGGTGCAGTATTGTTCATCGGTATAGTGATGGGGACATTACTAAAGCCGAAGGAAAAGGAAAACGAAGAAACAACATGACAATCATTTACACTCATCATATAGACAATTCTCCTTTACCCTGCTGGAACCAATATATTATTATTAAGACACAAGTTTGGCTTTCTCTAATTATGTCTCTGTAAATCAAAATGTCAATTCTCAAATTTGTACATCTCAATTGTCTCAGAGATGGATGCCAATTTTGTTGTAGAATTTTTAAGGCTGATAATATATGGCAACTTTCCAGCTTTACTGGCGGAGGAACACCACAGATGACTTTCTGTGCACAAGTAGGCACATGAGTAGAACCACGAATGTTCAGTTAGCTAGCTGAATAGCTTCCGTGCATGAAAGAATCCCTATTGGGATTCAAAACCACAGCCATAAGGGGCAAGTGGTCAGAATTCAATGAATGGTAACCTAACTAAAAATTTCCAGGACCTTTTACTTAAATGCTGCTACTTGTACTTGCATTGTACATGAAATACTGGTAAACAGTTTTGTAGATTTAGCTATATACATTATCAATGAAGTACAGGTGCGCAAATATGCTCTTATTGCATTATTTAAATTTTGAAGTTCAAATGAAAAACTTTTTCTTATGAAATAATCAGCTTGTTACACTGTTTGTTAACAATGCAGTAGTAATCAAATTTAAACATACCATTTAGTCATCTTTCATTATTTTATTCATGTGTATGACACTTTTATAATACATGTACATTTTATGCAATAATGAGAAAAAATATATATATAAATAAAGAATATCTATCAATAACAAAGCATTTATCATTAATAAATCCCTCATAAAATAGTCCCTCAATATAACTGTCATAAAGTAACAACAAATGTAGATACAATGTAAATAATTATGGTAAAGCCTTCATCCAAAAAACCAATGCTTTGAATTCAGAACAATAGATATCGGCTTTGATTCCATTTTACACTTTGGTGGTCAATCCATCTAACCTGCTTGACTGGATAAGTAACCAGTAATTTCCAATTTCTCTTTAAGTGACTGACGACTTATCCCATATGAACCAACAGTTAGAGACAACTGACCTAATATAACTTTTTCACAGAATTTTAGCCTTGTCCAAAAATCAAACCAGCATCCCTTGAATTACAAATTTGACACTTTCTCTTTGAGTTAAGTAAGTTAATGACAGGCTATGATATTCAGTGTGACTTTTTTTTACCAGACACCAACAATCTTCTCCACAATAATGGCAACAACAATCATTACAACAGGCAAGAACTTGATGGCTTGCTAAATGGCTTTAAACTTGCAATCTTACATTCCATTTGTAACAATATGTTCAGAAGAAGGCATGTGGACATGTTTGGGGCATACTCTTTTAACCCTGTGCATGCCTATGGTGATCATAATGTCAGGCTAGAAGCTTAACAACACTATATTGCTAAAAATTAAGTCCATTTAAATTTACCAAGCTAAATATCTTAAGGTAGTACACCCCTAATGCACTATCTCCACTTTGAAATAGGCTAGAATCACTGTAAAGTGTATTGAAACTGAGGGGCGTGGGTTCGAACCCCATAAGGGGCAACTTTTTTTCTTTCTTTTTTTTTCTTTTTAACATATTTTATTAATCTCCCAGATCCCTAATGGAAGAAAAAAGTGTTTCATTTTAATAATATAATTTTTGTAGGTACTTTTTTACTAAATAATGCCAAATTTAATAGCAAATTTGATACCATATATTTTCAAAGGTTAATAAAATAAAAACTACACGGTAAAAGTATTTTATATTTTGCAAGACCAACCAATATACATTTAAAAAAATTTAGGCAAACTTTGAAAACAGCCCCTCATTGTGGAAAATTTTAGGAATATTTTAAATAAGGCTTTTTACACATGGAAAAGGTGAATTAAGTGTTAAAAGTGGGTGGGGTAGGGTTACATTTTTATACATATTTAAAAACATTTCGTTTTTTAAAAACAATAATTTTGCTTGTTTAATTTGTTACCTAAAATGTCATTATTTGTTTCTTAACAATGAGCAATAGGAAAAACATTTTTCATAATGATGATATTATAGATTATTTAGAGTTTCCTCATTTCTGAAAAACACCCTTCTAATGGCAAAGTTTAAGTTAAGAAAAATGTCCATAACTCATAAACCACACGGTAAATTTTGTTTAAATTTTGCATACAGGTGACATTTTAGGCATATAACTGTCCTATGTTGTCAATTTTACAGTTCCTTATAGTGACCATTAGGGATGTACTACCTTAAATGGAATTGTCCTGTTGATCTGACCAAAATCATCTTTCAAAACATGTACTGACTGAACAGCTAATTGCACAGATGCACAATTCCATACTTGTAGCAAGTTGTGTTTGTAAAACAAAATTTAGCATAGTGCAAAATATATGAAGAACAGATCTTGGAACCCTTTAAAAGATTTTCTGACAGAATCTTGATCACATTTTCTCAAAATTACTAAGTGAATTATCCATTTATTTTATAAATTAATAGCACTATCACAGTCTAATATAATAATCCCTCAAAATTTACAACCAATTGACTGGTTTCAATGATTTTTCCAATAAATGCTATCCCTCAAGTTGATTGTTGTAGACCAGTCTGTAGAACTTTGAGCATGATGGGATATATTGAAGCAAACTCCTTCCCTTGCCTGGATCTCACCTGCTGGACGTAAGCTTCCAAAGACCCCCTGAAATAAAACAAAGGAATGATTGTTTAAAACAGATACAACTTGCAAAGATGAAAATAAAGGCTTTATTATTGAAAGCATTGAAAATATTTGTAAGTACTTCCTGCTTTGTTGTAGTTGTTAATATAGACCATCGTAACTTCTCACTGATAAAGTCCAAGTCACTATTGTACAACATTACATTGTTAACAACTATTTCAGCAATCTCCTAATATTTTTATATTTAAAGTCCAACTGGTTCATATCAACCTATGTCACATCAAAAAATTATTAACATAAATCGGCTCTTGTGTTCTTTCAACATTTTGGAGTACATTTTTGGTAACACGCAAGCGTGAAGTCATTATTTGAGAAATTACCAATACAAAGACCCACATACATACTCATAAGCATAATCCTGAATAGAGACAAAAAGGTATCTAATTGTCAACAAAATATTCCTTTGAGACAACCTGACAAAAGGTCACAAAATTCAGGACAAGCATTTCTCAATTTATTCTCTTATCAGGGATGATATAATTTATATTATCAATTAGGAGAGATGTAAATTTTACAAAGCCATCACTGATCTTTATAACATTCAGTTCAAAATATTTTTCCAACAACTAGCTCCTTTGCCAGAAACTTGACAATCTTATCTGCAAATTTTTTTGTGACTAATTATCATTCTTAAGAACTTTTTTTTTTGCTGGCATGACTTTAAATCAAACAATCTTATACTCCACTTTGACTTGTTAAAATATGTTCAGATCTGGAAGAGCCATGACATAAACTGAAATTACTATAGTCAGTTCTTATAACCCATGTTACTGTATATAAGATTCTTACTTAATGAGTGTCAGCCTATCTTTCTCAGAAGGATGATCATCTAACCACTGGGAATAACGACTTAATGACCAATCTGCAGTCTGAAATAAACAAAATAATGTTTGTTAATGATTGATTATTTTACTTATAAACTATAGGGCAGTGTATTGGTAGCAATTATTGTAAAACAAGATGTGTTTGTAATACACAATTGCCTAAAAGCCTAGATTTGTTAATAACAAATATCTGTTAAAATTTCCTAATCAATATACAAATGCCCAACTTAGAAAAATAAATTAATTAATAACAAGTTTTTGGCAAAATTTCCTAATTAATATGCAAATGCAAAATTAGTGGTAAAATTTCCTAATTAATTTGCAAATGCCCAAATTAAAAATATGTTAATAAATACCAATTTGTGGTAAAATGCCCTGAATTTTGAAGGTTAATGCTAATATGATTTTGCACCAACATAATATGTAATGCAACAAACAAAAGATAAAAATAAACTGTTCAAATCTTTAAGTAAGTTATGTGGTATTAATAATTGGTCACTTGCAGAGAAATTGGAAATAAATATCGGTCAGTTATCCAGGAAAGCCTGTTAGGTAGACAATCTGCCAAGATATGATGTGTATATACCGTCCGTCATAAAACGGGGTAAACAGGAAGTGGATGAGCTACAGACCTGAAATCGCATCCCACGGTATGGGACCATGTGTCAATGCTTTATGCCAAATATCAAGAGGCTGTGATAAGTAGTTGCTGAGAAAAACGTTGCGAAAATATTTTCCCGGCCAGCCGCCCGACATTCACCATACTATAACCCAGGTTTGCACCAGTGCAACCCGGCCAATAATATATTTGATAATGAGATGGTTTTAATATACAAATGTACTTACAACATGTGGTGATTTTATGTCCATAGGAGCTCGTGCAAACATGAAGTGTAATAATACACTATAAGGTATAATTTCACCTAGAGCTGGACTTTCACTAATATGTTCAACTGTCTGGAATAATAGTGGTCTAAAATAAAAAACATAAACACAAATAGCATTTTTTTCCTTTTTAAATGAACTGTAGATCTGACTTACAGAAATAGCATTTTTATTTCATCATTAAATAAACTGTAACTTGTAGAATTTATGGTTATTTATTTTTTTTTTACATAATCCAATATTCTATCCAAGCATCTTCATAAAGACTACTTTAAAACAAGAGAACCACATGCGGTGTGAAGGGCACTAACTATTAATAACCTTTTTTTTTCAAATCTTCTTTGTTATCAAGGGGCATCACTTCAATAATATAGATTCAAGAATGATGCCCCTTGTCAAACTACTGTGCCTTGTTATGATAAGCAAGCATTCCAAGTTTCATATGGATAACTTAAAAAAAATATATGTGTGATGGGCTACATTATTTTTGCACTATAATAATAGCTTGACTTTTGCCTCCAAACTGACAAGCTATAAATGGGAAAACTGTTAAAATCCCTGGCAAGAATAATGTACTCTTGCATGCATGTTAAAATGATGGTAATTAACAAGTACAATAAGTTTCAAAGCAATATCTAAATGGATTCCTTGAATAATGGGGGTGCTAAAACTAAACTAGATCCTAAGCTATCTTAAGTAAGACAGCCCTCCAAAACTTTCTTTTCATACAGTTAGGTTTAAAAGGAATAATAGGTTGTCTAGGGGGTTTATGATGAACACGTAGCTGGGAAAAAAACTTTCAACTTGTAACCAGTCTGTAGCTAGGAAAAATCCCTTTCAACATGTAACCAGTCTGCAGCTGGGGAAAATGCCCTTCAACATGTAACCAGTCTACAGCTGTGAAAAATCCCTTTCAACTTGTAACCAGTCTGCAGCTGAGAAAAATCCCCTTCAATCTGTAGCTGGGGAAAATCCCTTTCAAGATGTAACCATTCTTCCGGCTACTTTTGGCAATGTTTTCATACATTCATTCTGCCTTGTAAATTGTATTTGTATACATTGCATTTTTTAAATATAATGATACACACTTAATTATCACATAAAATGTGTATGATATAAAATAATAAGTATCAATATATTTACCTGAAAGATCTAAGAAGTCTGTATGGTTTACCAAGATCAGAGACTCTCTTACAGAATGGGGAGATTGCAAGTTCCATTTGAGCAAAGTCTGCAGCTAGCCGTAACTTTCCACCTTCACCTAGAGGGCGTATCAGACAGGCGTGTCTCACAAATAGATCTATACATCTACTGCAGATAGGCTGAATGCTATAATTAGAAAAAAATAGCTCTCTGAAATTCATTCAATTTTATCAACTTGTGATAAATATAATGGCTTATTTTTTCCATAGTTAAAATTAAAATTGTCAACCTGAATCCACTTGCAGAATGATTTTAGAATTGCAAAATTTTCCAAATATATCTTAACTTGATTTGTGGGACTACACAGCAAGCTGCCTGTAAATGTTTTGTAGTACTTAAATTAAATCTTATAAGTTTCAGTGTAATTTAAACCTTCTAACACTTTAAGACAAAATATACACTGTCAAGTTCATATGGTACAATTGATAAGTGGAGGAAGAAGTATTAATTCTTTCATTTTCATGATTAAATGTACGATTCTGCTTAGGTCGGTGCTAAATCAAACGAGCCTGTAACATCTTCAATTTCGCTGTTTTTGGCGTTCTTAAGGAATTCTGTTTGACTCAATTTCAGGTGATACAACAATACGTAATATCTATATAAACCATATTATTTGTACATGTATATAAGATGATGTTAAATGGGGGACATAAAGACTGGTGGCCTTATTATCAAATAAATATGTTGTTATTGTTCATCTTGATGTATTTTTTAGGCAAAAGTAAGTGCATGAGTAGAACCATGAGCCTCCTGTATGCTAGTTGGATAGTTTCCTTGCACTTCATTTTCCTCTTTTAAGACTGAGATAATCTGATAAATTCTCAAGTTTAATATCACAACTTACTATCAGCAGGAATTAGTAATATAAAAAATTTACCATTCCATGATAAAATCTTGGCATGTGAACTGTGATAGGTAGTCTGACTGACATCTTGCCACAAATCCTTGTAACTCTCTCATATATAGTGAACATGGAGCCTCTGTCTCTGTCTCCGCGGGTGCTGGTCTGTAAACAGATCATTTCATATATTAGCCAATGAATCAGCACAGAGAGTTTTAAGACTATGATAAACTAATGACTTGAATCAAACTTTTTTAAACTGATTCAATGTGCAGACCTACAGTAAATTTTACAATAAGAGGTGACCTCACGGTAAAGGCGTCTCCCTCTCAAACCAGGGATAGAGGCTTTAAACTCTACTAAAGTTACAACCATGTTTTCTTCATATGCCATCAGGACTGATTTGTTCAAGCCCAATTCAAATAAGATTTTCAAATTTTTTATCAAAATTTGCATGATAATAAATGTATAAATATGTTGAAACTAAACTATTCAATTTTGTTGTACCATGTTTAGTTATACTGTAAGTAATGACAAATAGTTCACAATTTGTTAATAAAAAACATTTATACATATTTTGAAAGTAAACTACTAAAATTTATTGTACTACTTTAGTTATTACTTACAAAAAAGACAAACAACAAACTCATTAGAAAGTTTGCACATTATATTCACAAAAACCAGAGTTTACTGTCAAAATTTCATGACAAACTGTATCTTTTAAGAACATAATACTAATATTAATGACAGTGGTATGAGGTAATATTTAACTTGAATATTTACCCCGAGAAATCTTCTTGATGCATGGTGAGTGTAATGGCCTCCAAAGCGTCACATATAGACGACATGAGGGGTCGTACAGAGCTCGTCATCAACATCACTATATTCTGTATATAAAAAACATTGTAAAATCACTGTATCAATATAAAATTTAATTACAATACCATACTGTTTGAATAAACCATCCTGTTAGCTCAATATGTAGAGCTTTTGACTGTGAATCGGGCCATCCGGGTTTCATTCCCAGATGGTGCCGGTCACTTTCATTGTGATTGTTTATGAAATTCTTTCTATGGTCATTCACACTGTACCTCTGCTCTGGCATGTACAGATAATATCAGTTCCTTGCAAAAGTGAAGGCATTTATTACTGGTTAACCTCTTGACAGCCCTTCAAGGAACGATAGGATATGATGGGGTATGCGCTCTGGTAAATTAAATGTGATTCCCTGTCGTGATCCAAAGTGAAAACTTCCAACAACAGCATCATTTAAATGATATGATTTTTTATTAAGGTACCATTAAATATAATCTAAGTTTTATCATTCTAAAGATGGACACAATATGACTGCAGGACAGCTTAACGATTGGTCGAAATTAAATCTAAATGCACCCCCTCCCTCTGTTAGGAGTGGGGGCCTAGACATCTTGCTCTTCCTACCCATTCTTTACTTCTAAAATTTACAAATGGTCTAAAATGATTTCTTTTGTAAGGTTTTATGCCACATCAACACAGTATATGGTGACTTCCCACCTTACTGGTGGAGGAAGACCTTAGGTTCCCCGCTGTACATTATTTCAGGCACATATGGGCATCTGAGTAGAAACATCAACATTCTGTAAGGTAGAAAGTTAGCTTTCTCACATTAGGAATCAGAAGAAACTGGTGCAGCTTGAACCTATGGTGAGAGGCAACTGGTTTGAGGTCAATAACCTTAACTATTTGGACATGGACGCCCCTTCTAATGCATGTATGATATCAGAAAACTTACCTGTAATGATTCTGTAATACTTGATTTAGCTTCATCTGGGTAATGTTCTAAACTGTTCACAACCTGTAATATACCAACATAAAATTAATTTGAAAATACAATACCATGTGTTCAATACAACATGTTCATACTGTATCATTTTCCATATCAACTTTGTATGATTACTGAAACTTAGCACTTTGTAAAGGAGTTACATAAATTATGTTGACATAAATGACTGAATTGGCAATATATGGTTATCCTTACCTGCAAAAACAATTATATAAACAGATTTGTATATATAAATTCCATTCATTTAGTGTATGATATGGGATAAACATCCTATGAAATTTTTACGATTAAAGTTTAAGACAATACATTACTTCTAATTGTCTAATCTCTTTGGCAGATATATTAAATTTACTTGGATGTTTTAAACATTTTTTGGTAATTTGAAGTTATAGTCATCTCAAATTTTTTTTTAAGGCATGGATAAAACTGGGTGAGGAAGACCTCAGGTGCCCTTCTGTGCGCTATTTCAGGCACAAACTGGCATCAGAGTAGAACTACTAACATTTTGTAAGCTAGCTGGATAGCTTTCTAACATGAAAGAATCTGAAAACGCTTGTGTGGCTTGAACCAAGGGAGGTGAGAGGCATTTGATTTGCACAAGACATTCACAACTTGGCCACTGATGCCCCTATTGAGTCAAACCTACACTCAACACTCAACTATATATAATTGAAGGTAAAGTACAGACTTACATTTGACACAGCCAGATGTAGTTGATACAAGGTGTTGACCACAGCTGCATTACGAGTCTGTCCCTGTGTGGGGGGACCTATCACCTGACTAGCCTCGCCATCTGTACACACCTGAAGTCATAAGAAGTTTTGAAATATATTTTATTTCCTTTGAAGTTTCAAATGTTAAACCCATCTGTATTAAAGGAACTCCACTGAGGTTTTTTTACATGATGGGACTTGAAATAATTTTTCGAGATTAATTTTTCCATTTGATGTAGGTCGAGAACAATGTCAGATCATTTGCTCACTCAGTTTTTCCAGAATGTTTATTCTTAAAAATTGACCAAATGCTTTTCACTCAAATCGGGCTAGGAACAGCACAAAAATACAATTTTAAGTTTAAGTAAAAGCCCATTGAAATCTTTTTCATATTTAAAAGTCTGAATATTGTCCTTATTACAAGAAAACTACAGAAGTACAAATACATACCAACTGTTCACTTTTTACACAATACATCTTCACTGTTTTAGCTACATTCTTGGCGACTGTTATACACAACCTCATGTCTACACTTGCTACATTTAATTCACTAAAATATACAACATACTCACAGTGATCATATGTAATATTGTACATTTGTTACATCGTCATGGATAATCTTGGAATTAATATTTTGGAATTAATATTATCTATATACAAGGATGATGAAAAATTATGAATTAAAGGGACTCCACTGAGGTTTTTTGTGACATATTGTAACTGAAAAATAATTTTCCATCATTTGTAAACCATTTGATACAGGTCTAATTTCAAATCATTTGCTCACTCTTTTTTTTGGAAAATAATCATTTCTAATTGTACAAAATGACTAAAAAATGAACAATGTTTAAATGCATTCAGGCTTACTTTAGAAAATGAACAAAATATTTTGAATGGTTAAAATTGGCAACAGGTAAAGCTTCCTAACATTACCTACAGATTTTTTATGTCTCTAAAATACTGAAGCATCGTAGAAAATCAATGATGAAACTGGAACTATAAATAGACTGTTATAGAAGTAAATTTAGCTGTAAGGGCCTTGTTAAATTTTTTGAAAAATCTTGTGTTTCCCATACATCAAATTTCTGTTATAAACCATTTTTAAGCTGTTTTGTATTAAGTGAAGCTGTTTTGTATTCAGTGAAGCTGTTTGTATTCAATATGACATAATAAGTAACCTTAGACTCTACCTTGAAATAGTTTTTACAATGCTGTCAATTTCCTCAACTGTTGGTGGATTGAAGGATGCTGTACTAAATGCCAAGTTGATTGGATCAAATAACCTTGACAACGACCTTGACAGGTAAGCTGTCTCAAAATTAGCCAGGGTCTCCCGTAATGCCATCTCTGAGCTAAAATTTGCACAAAAATATTTTGCTAAAAAATGTTACTTTTTTTTTTTTATCTAAATGTGAATTTTTCAGTTAAGGTGGACACCTATAGAGTATACTTTGATTGTAAACCGTTACCGACAGGTTTTTAAATAAGTCTCTGGTTATAATCTGTGCAAAATGAATCAGAAAAACATAATCGTTCCATTAAAATCTGACTATTATGCAAAGATATATTCATAATTAATTTAATATTTTTGATTACTATTTTTCAATAACTGCAAAAATATGTTTTTAAATACTTGAAAAATCAAATCTGAAGAAAACAAGAAAAGTATCAATAAGTCACAGATGTCCCCCATGTTCCACTGTTTTGTCAGGGTAAATCTATATGCCAGCACCCAAGAGCAGTGGGGGTTTAAAAATCCATTTACATGAAAAAAAAGAGATAAATTTCCACTTCTTTTTTACATATTGTAATTCATTTAGTATACTAATTTTTCAATTTTATCTTGAGAAAACATAACACTACCTATTTTGCTTGTCACTCTTACTGCTCTGTGAAAAAATATCTTCCTCCATTATCTCCCCTGCTGTCATGCTATCTGTTGCCAGGGACAACGACCCAGTTTCCACAGCGAGGCTGAACTGCTGCAGACGTTTCCATAAATCATTGTATAAACGTAGAAGTTTAGGGTATTCCCCTTCAAATGCTTGCTTAAGGAAGGATGATGCTGTGAAATAAAGCGGTACAATCAATATCATTTCAAACAAGCAAAGACTACATTGAGTTTAACCCTTATCACACCAAATATCTTAAATGGACTCTTCCATCTTTCAATCTGGACATAACCATTCATCATTTTAAGGGAAAATTTCAAAATAAATACTGACTGAATAGTGAATAGTGCAGATCAGGATCAAACTGCACGTCTATCTATACTGGTTGTGTGAGTAGATGCAGTTTCCACCAGCAGGAATTAGATAATTAACAATCACTTAATTAAACATCAATTAAGAGATGGAAACTACAAAAACACTTACAATCTGATGCAGATTTGAGCTTGTTTTTTAACATCTTGGTTATCTCAGTCCAGAAATCTGCCATAATCTGTACACTGCCTTCTTGCTAGATAAAACAGCAACAAAATAAACCAGTAATACTTTTTTAGATCTCCAAAATATGTGTCTATAAGACAAAGATGCCCCCACATTTAACTGTTTTTGTCAGTCATCTGTGTTACACTGTAGTACAGACGAAAACAGTGACATCCATTTGTAACATTAACACCACATGCAGTGCCAGTTGTCTGTTAAAAGAAAATACTTTTGACAAAAAGTTCTAAATTAAAAAGTTCTGTGTTGATAACTTTAAAGTATAGGGATTTTTAAAAATGAAAATATTTTTATTTTTAGGCTTCATGGGCCTTAAACCTAACAATAGGTTACTGTGTATATAAAACCTATTTTTACTTTTTATTCGTAAAAATTTACATCAATACTGTAATGGTGATATGGTGATTTTCTAGCTTTACATTTGGATATGCCCCATGAAGCAGTCACTTGACTAGAACCACCAACCTTCTGTAAGCTAGTTGGATAGCATCCTTACATTAAAGAATCCATGGCAAGATTCGAACCCAAAATGGTTAGGTGTAAGTGGTTTGAAGTATATAAAATAACTATACCTGCTTAAGTTCCTCTATAAAACACACATGTGTGACTGGGTCCCTTTTCTTGATCAAAACTTTTTGTAAATGTTGTACCTGCAACAAAAACCATTCATGTTTTTCCCCCCATTATAATTGATAATAACACAAAAGTCACTATTGACTTTGACTGTTTCACCAAGGTGTTTTTTTATCACAAAAGGCACCAGAATCATATGCATGTTTATAAAATTTGGAAATGCCCCACAGTTGAGTCACCCTATCTCTCGCTTATTCTTACTTTTATAAGACCTTACATAAATTAATTTCAAATGCTATTTATTTATTTCATATTTTACACATAGAGTGATTAACATGTATATAATAAACATAAACAAAAGTATTTGAAAACACTTGATATCAAGGGGTTCATTATGACCTGGTAGAAAGGTAAAATCCACTACAACATTTTATGGGCAGAACTGGCTATTTAAGGTAATTTTTTCCCATCCCTTTTCGGTTATATATTCACCCTCTTGAAGAAAAGCCCCAATTTATTAATAAATGATGAAATCAGTAGATATTTGTTCAAACTAGTATACAGATTTACATGTGAAGCTATGGTCCTTTTTGAAGATTGAACAAGTAAATAAATAAGTGAAACAGGATATACAACTTTGTGATTTTACCTGTGCACAAGATGAGTAAATACTATCCATGAGTTTCTCCATGTTTGTCCACAGGGTGGCTCTGAGAGCTGCAGTGTTACCTGTAACAGGCATGGAGGCCCTACCTGGTCCAGCTGAAAATATATCATAAAATATAGTACATATTATCATTTGCATTGAGGCCCTAATAAGGCCAGCTGAAAATATATCATAAAATATAGTAGATATTATTATAACAGCTGAGGTATTAACTATTACAGTCATCAAAGACTTATCTTGTCAGGAAATACATCTGATATATCTTAAGAGATACAAATGACTTTTATTATATCATTGAACTGCTAATTTAAAATACATTCCAACATGCTTCACAGTATTCTCCTATCAAACAGATAGGGCAGTCAAGTGAATTACTACAGGATATATGCACAGCATAAAAAAGGAATGCTTACATGTCACATGACATCAGATATGACATCAATAAACCAAATTACATCACAAAAATTACTTCTATGCTCAATATAGTGAAACATATTTTTATCAATTCTCTTCTTAATTAGCATGTTAGAATGGAAATAGACATTAATTTTTCTTGCATTATAGTAGAATAATGCACGATTTTGTGTTCAAATGCTTTGTAATTAATCACCCAGGTCTATGATAATATTCCTCAAATTTGAACTCGAACGGTGCATTATTCTACAACAATGCACTCAGAATTCATATCTTTTTCCTAAGAAGAAACCTTCCGTAAGACCAACTTACTATCTAGACCACTTTGATTAATAAACATTTGTGGTTTTTGTTCTGTACAAATCCGAGAAAACTTTTTCGTGACTTCAAAAGAACTTGAAAGCCATTGTGTAAGAACACTTCTATCGTAAGAATACTAAGACAATTGTAGACATACCTTTTCCTTGAGGGCCTGTTTGTTGTTTAGACAGTGAGGTGACATCTAGACAAGTTCTGATATCAGCTTCTAGATTATCTCTACACAAGTTAACTACTTTATCTACAATCTCCCTTAGACATCCTAGATTATGGAACACTTGTAAAGATGTGGCTACTTGGGCTTGATTCTGTAAAGATTAAAACATTAATACTGTGATACAACAATAAATATATGACAAAACAGTGTTTTTTTCATTGGTTTTAAGCCACACCAACACAGTAGAAGTTATATGGCGACATTTCAGCTTTACTGGTGGAGGAAGACCTCGGGTGCCCTTCCGTGCATTATTGCTGGCAGAAATGGGAACCTATGTAGAACTACTAACATGCCGTAAGCTAGTTGGATGGCTTCCTCTCATAAAAGAATACAAAGTCCCTGTCTTGATTCAAACCCATAGAAGCCGTAAGTGTTTTAAAGTCAATGACCTTAATCACTCGACCATGGACACCCCTAACCAAAAAATATTTAATATCTACATATAAATATTAAGCATTCACTACCATACTTAATTTATTTTATGGATTTGCCCAGGCCCTTTAACTAGTTTTAAGGATCAGCATTAAAATTATTAACTAGAATATTCTCCACCTGTTTGTGCACATAATATTCAACATTAACTTGATAAAAGTGGACTTGACATAGCATATTTATGAAATTTTAGAATAAATTGATGATTACTTTACATGATAAGGGCTTTTTACATTTGTTCCAAATATTAGTTTTGATCCTAAAATTGTTTCTTATTTTGATCCAATTATTTTTGTCTTTGTATTGTTATCCCTGAAATTTTATCTCAAAATAGTATTTTGTGTACTAATCAGCCCCTTAAAAAGTTATGAACAAGGTTAAAGTTTGCGGACTGCAACTGGAACATTGCATTACTGTAACAATACCTCTACAATGTTTTTTTTTCTTAAAAAAAAATCAGGCTAAAGATTCTCAAACAGGCAGATCAGGACCTGTTCCCGTGAGGGTGAGGAAAATTCCTATTATTCTAATTATTCAAAGAACAGTGTTGAGACTGACCTGTGTTTCCATGCCTTGTTCTAACATTTTGAGAGCCTGAGATTCGACCTGTTGTCGAGCTTGTTTAACAAATCTCCTATCCTGCTCTATAATCTCTACCCCCGTCAAGTCAACTCCTTCACATATATAATCTGTCATTATAAAACAATACATTAACCATTTGTTTCTTTTTTTTCAGTGTTGCGGTAATTGTTTTAAATCTGATTTGTGGTAAAAACTCAAATATATCCTGTGCTCATCTTTGAGTTAAAATATTTTCATTGCAGAAAAATATCTAAATCTATAAAATTCGTAATGAATATGTCTTTTTTAAATAAAAGAACGTTCAAACTATATATGAGAATCTAAGTCCCTTATTACTGGTTAAATAAAACTGGTCCTTTCTTAAAATAACTGCGTTCTTTTCATGACACTATATATTCATAGTGTATCCACTTACAGTGTGTAGGATTTAAAACATAACATATCTATTTTATGTGAAATCAAAGCATGTTTATTCTATATCTACAAAAAGACAAATTATCAATATTTTCTTCAAATACAGCATTTGTTGTAGATTTATGATAAATTTAAATTAAATTCATAAAATGCATGTTCCTTATGTATTTTACATTGTATTTAAGACATCTAAAAACAACTATTTTTATAAACATGAAAACAAAATACAGCTATTATTTAACAATAACAAGGATCCAAGTGAGGTCTGCAGAACGGCACTCTTTTAGGCAATAACCTCTCTACAAAGGACATCAATTTTCCAAAAGTACAAATTCAACCTCTCTACAGCAAACACCTCTCAGTAACAACCAAATATTTGTTTCCCAAAGGGGGTTGCTCTGCAGAGGTTACAATATAATATAGTAAAATAGAAAAAAAATTCTAAGGAACTTGCAGAAATGTTATATTTCTATCTTCCAACTTTTCTTCATAATTTCTTTAATTATATACATAGCAGTTTTAAACTATAGAAAAGAAACATATAATGTTTAAGTTTCTTCTATTGTAAAATAATTGAAGATGTATACAAATGTAGAGTATAAAGGTCATACCTAGTTCATTTAAACTTTGTGCAGCTTTAGTTATCTCCCTTGCTCCACCTTGTAACTGGCTCTGTAAACGTTTACTCAGGTAAATGATTCGAATAATCCGCCGTAACAAATCACATGCTTCCTGAAATTATATGTAGAATTCTATAACACAACCATTGTCTACCTTTGTTATACAGTCAAACCTAAATATATCTATAAATACACCTTGACTTAATAGTTATATGGTTATGAAAAATTCAGAATTTTTTTATAGTTGCCTGTTGCTCTGATGATTACATGTAATAATTTTTTTTTAACATGCCTTGAAAGATTTGACTTGACTTCTAGTTTATATCATCATGCAATATTACTAGAACAATTAGTTGTTTTATGTTTATATGATCTTTTTACAATGTTACTTCTCAAAAAAAAAAAAAAATTACTTATATAAGATTTTCTTTTAGAGAAGTAATTGTTTTACACCTCGGTAAAATATTTTTTTTTTTTTTTGTTTAAATTAATTTAGCACTACAGTTGTATACCAGCTAAGAAATTTATGTCAAGTTAACTGTTCACTTAATCTTACCTGAAGATTTCTAAGTTGGACAGTCCTTGTAAAAATCTTGGTATAAGGTTCTGTTACTTTACTTCTGATCCTGTGAATTAAATAAACCTCTGATAATTTGACCCTAACCACGCTAAATATCTTTAATAAACTTGTCCATCTTTTAATCTGGATGAGACCATTCTTCATTTTTATGTAAAATTCCAAAATAAGTCCATATTGACAAAATAGCAAACAGTGCAAACCATGATCAGATGACGTAAGTCGCAAGAGCAGAATATGTTGCCGTGAATATGTAGCAGACTCAGGAACATTTGAGATTTTGCAACATGACAAAGCTTTACAAATGTTATAATTATAAAGTAGCAAATAATAAAGAAGTATTCTTTTTGTATTTTCTTCAAATACTGAATCATAGCATCAAAGTAACAGTACTATTTTGACATACACAAAACACAATTTGAATTTCTATTACGAATATCTATAGAATGAAGTAGATGTAGAAGTTGCGCACTATAAAGCAGCTAGCACATCTCCAGATTCATGTTACGATTTTATTATAACTTTTAGTTATAGCGGCAACAGGTATTACCAGTGCAGACTGAGATCAGTCGTGCTTTCTGCTCAAGGTCTACACTGTTTGCAATTCAGTCAGTAAATATTGTGAAATTTTCCCTAAAAATGATAAATGGTATTGTCCAGATTGAAAGGTAGATTGGTCCATTTTAGATATTTAGAGTGGAAAGGATTAAAAATATTGTCAAGCAAACAAATTTAACGATTCAGGCTAGCATAAACCACTAACAAACCAAAAATGTGTCAAAATTAAAAGTAGAAATATATATTAAAATAGTAAATATATATAGTTAGCATTCAGTATGTTACAAGTTATATTATAGATTGTACATATTAATCAATTTACTAGGTGATAAACTTTAATAAATATGATTTACTGTATATAATTCAAAGTTTTTATAATAATTTTACCTGTCCATGGCAGACAGCAATGACTGTATTCTGGTCTGCATCATTTGAAGAACACCTGTAATCATCACATATGAATCACATATATATCACATATGAATCACACATATATCACATATGAATCACCTATATATTATCGCTTAATACATGTATGTATCACATAAAGGTTTATAACTTTATAACCTGACAAACTCTTTGAATATTTTAAAGATGATTTCAACACATTTTTATTTGTATCTATGCAGTCAGTTCACTTAATTGATTTTCACTAAATAGTGATTTACGATTTCTTTGCAAGTGACTGACTAGCAACAATGGAGTAAATTTTGCTAAGTATATGGGAAGAAAAAAAAGAGAAGCAGGGTCTTTCAGATCTTTTTTAAAACTGTGAAAAAAAAGGTTTAAGATAAAATTTCATGACATGTTTTTTATTTGTTTTTACTAGTCATAACATTTTATCAGAAATGAATGTATTTTTACAATAAAATTTCTCCTTTACCTTCTAAAGTCTCTACTCCAGTGGCCTGGGACAACAAATCTTCATGATGGGCAACAATCTGAAGTTAAATAGTATAAAAACTTGTTATTGAACCCATTATTATATAAGTACTAGCCATGAATATATAAGATCTTAGCCACAAGAATAGATCCTGACTAACCTTGCAACCCATGCATGCTAACAAAGATATTTCTGTTGGCTGCATGATTAAATTATTTCTATACTTAAATCACTGAAACTATTTATCAAATAATTTATTTGACAAGTAGTTTCAGTGATTTTCATTTTTATTAAAAAATCTTCCTATGTCAATGCAGACCAAAGTCAATTTCACTAACCCAGCTAGTTTCCATTGAGCAATGGTTAACTTAAGGCATGTGTTGCTTACTATATCATACATGTCATAGTTTACTCAAGGAATCTGTATTTCCACCTACATGCATTAAAAAAGTATTTATATTTAAATATAGTGCATAAATGACATAAAATCAATTTTGCTTCCAATTCAGCAATAAAGTACATGTACATGTATTTAAGAATTTCAGATCTAAAAAAATAAAAGTACAAGTTTCAGCAAATAATTTCAAATACTGACAAGCTTGTGTAGAACAAATCAACAGAGTATTGTACCTGTGAGTGGATTTCCTTGTCAAGTAAACCGATACCTTCAGCAAGTTTGGAGAGTTGATCAGTGATGGCACGCCGCTGTATTGCCTGGTTTGCGTGTGCTTTAACATCAAAACTCTCCTCCAAAAACTGCCTGAACATATCTAAAATATCCAATTATGTTTTACACATCTACCAACATGTGACATAAAATTCAAGTCATTTACCTGATATGTTACATGCAATAAATGACTGATTTTGATGTATTCATCACCATATTTTAATTTCTATTGCATGACCAATGCTGCTTATGCAGTATTAAGGGCTATTTTTGCAAATTTTGACCTTTAATTGGTAAATCATTTGGTCTGAACATGCAATGTGTGAATAACTTTCTCTCCTTTTGGCAATATCTTATTTTTTTAATACATTTTTAAAATTTTCATGACAATTAGCATGAGTCTGTAGGTGTACTGCTTTAAATAATAAATAAATAACAAGCAAGTAAATGACAAGTTTTAGCTAAATAAGCCTTTGTGTCAGAAAAAGTACATCGTTAAATTGGCCAAATATGTCCTATATGTACCTACTAAAATGTAGGCCATTAGATTTTTTATAGATCTGCAAATCACCAATGATCCTAACAACAATATAGTATTACTGCTAAGAGTACACCCCTACATATACAAAAATGCAAATGTTTAATTCATCAGGCACTGACATTGTGTAATCATCACTTCATTCCTTGTTGAAGTAAAGTGTTCCTTAATTATTTAATAGTCCTGAATTGAGACTGTATCAGAATTTTGACAGCTGAAATCAGGGTCAGCTGTTTAGAAAATGCGGTTGATCTATTGATGCACGTGTCCGCACCAGTATGACTTGCTAATTATACTCTACAGCCCACAAAATAATGTGTACCAAAATAGCTGTCATGAACAGCAATAACTGCTTAAGGACATTGTAACACATTCAGCAAAGGAGCTGCAGCAAAGTTGATGTCTTATTATTAACATAATTTACTTAATAACCAAATTAAAATGCGAAAGCAAACATATAAAATTATTGCATCTTAACATCTGTGTCATAAAGCTTTTGATGCGCATTGTCATTGAAGTATTAAAGTATAGCATCATGCAATTATTTTTGGATAATTAAGTATCCGATTTCTACTCTACTTTTGATGGTTTAACGTATATAACAAAAGACTACGTGAGTTATTTAAAGAAAGAACAATGCTAACAACTGGATATTACATTATTTTACTTTCATCAAAGTGCAAACAAGTGAAATATTGGAAAACAATGTCAATTTACCATCTTTTTCCAGTTTTGACAGCAAATCCTCTTCCATTTTGTTTACTTCCGTTACACGTTTGAGAGCTTTCGTTCCAATAATTCTCGAAATAAAGATAATGCTCCCAACAAATGTGTTAAACTTAACAGTAAGTAGCATTTTATTAGTAAACTAATTGTTGTATAATTGTTCATATTTGTTTTTGTGCATTTTTTAAAGAAAACTTACTTTTAAATAATGTCAAAATGTTGGCCTTCAAAGTAAAAGATATTCTATTATTATAGAATTGTTCGTACAAAATATTTTCGACCTCGACGAATTTGCAGTATTTTACAAAGTGTAGTGACAGAATTTTTTGTTGGTTTTATATAAGAAAATCTGGTCAAATTTAAAGATTTCTTTCTTTGATGAATTGGATTCCTTTTATTTTTAAATAATTCAGATTTGCAGACCATTTTTCAGTTTACATGTACTGCCTAAGGCTGTCTACCAGGCAGTAAGATGATGAATATGGGCTTAGATGAACAAACAGACACATTCCAGTGGACAAAACCTATGGAATTATTCCAGGGAAAGAAAGTGGTAAAAGTGTGTGCACCTATGGTTAGATATTCAAAGTAAGTGAATAATAAAACAACTTGTAGTTTATTGTTTTTCTTATAATACAATGCTACAGTATACAGTAAAATCTTTATCACCTGACCCTGCCACTTTTATAACTCGATAAAATGGTATTGCATAATTGTGTATATATGATTAAGGTAATGTCATGAGCTTTATACAAACATAGCATTGTAGCCAATTCTACTAGAACATTTATTAATATCATATATAGCATGGAGGTTGGTCATGATCATTAGATGACCCCTATTGATTTTGAGGTCACTGGGTCAAAGGTCAAGGTCACATGGATCATGACTGAAAAAAGCTTGTCCACCCAATAACTTAAGAACTCTTTGACCCACAGTCTTCATATGTGGCATGGAGGTTGGTTATGGTTATTAGATGACCCCTATTGATTTTGAGTACAAGGTCATAGGGGCCTTGACTAAAAAAAGCTTGTCCGCCCAATCACTTAAGATTCCTTTGACCCACAGTCTTTATAATTGAAATTGAGATTGGTTATGATTAGCAGATGACTCCAATCGATATTTAGGTCACTTTTGTGAAAAAAGTGTGTCTGCCCAGAGACATAGATAACAGAGATAGGCAACTTCCTAACCAGTTAAAATATCACGCGTTCCTGCTAAACTTTAAACTTGTAGCAAGTAAAACTTATTAACCAGATATCAAAATTAGGAAAATTATATATTTTCTGAAAGCTTATGCATTTGTCTATGGCTGCAGGTAAAACTATTTACAGTTCCCATTTAAATAAATGATACATCAATTTTTAAAGAGCACTACCTATTAATTTTTGTTACAAAACTATTCATTTGACAAGAAAACTGGCTCAGTGGGTATGTTCTGCTATGTTTTTCTAAGTGAAAGGCGTGAAAAGTTACCAATATTTTAGCATGCAGCCATAGATAAAAGATTTACCTTTCAAATGGTACATAATATTAAAGGATCAAATGTACATCCATAAAGTTTTATTTGCTACAAAATGCCCAATTTTTCACTTTTTGATAGGCATGAGTGATATTTCAATGGAGTATATAGGAGCTGCTTATCTCTGTTATCTAAGTCTCTGGTCTGCCCAATAACTTAAGAATCCTTTGACCCACAGTCTTCATATATGGCATGGAGGTAAATCATGATTTTTTAGATTACCCCTGTTGACTTTGAGGTCACTGGGTCAAAGGTCAATGTCACAAGGGCCTTGACATTAAAAGCTTGTTCGCCCAATTACTTTAGATTCTTTTGACCCAGAGTCATCATATTTGGCATGAAAGTTGGTCATGACCATTAGATGACCCCTATTGCTTTTGAGGTCACTGGGTAAAGGTCAAGGTCACAGGGACCTTGACTTCAATAAGCTTGTTTGTTTAATTGCTTTAGAATGCTTTGGTCAACAGTCTTTATATTTGGATTTAGGTTGGTTATGACTAGTAGATGACCCCTATTGATTTTGAGATCACTGGGTCAAAGTCAAGGTCATAGGGGCCTTGAATTTAAAAAGTTTGTCCGCCCAATAAGAGTCCTTTGACCCACAGTCTTCACATGTTACTGGGTCAAAGGTCAAGGTCACAGGGGCCTTAAGTTCAAAAGGCTTGTAGGATCAATTGCTTAAGAATGCTTTGGTCAACAGTCTTCATACAGTCATGTATTTGGTATTTAGGTTGGTTATGACTAGTAGATGACCCCTATTGATTTTGAGGTCACTAGGTCAAAGGTCACAGGGGCCTTGACTGCAAAAAGTTTGTTCGTCCAATAACTTAAGAATCCTTTGACCCACAGTCTTATATTTGGCATAGAGGTTGATCATGACAATTAGGTGACCCCTATTGATTTTGAAGTCAAAGGTCAAGGGGTTTTTAGTCTAAAAAGCTTGTCTGCTCGATTGCTTAAGAATGCTTTGGTCAACAGTCTTCATATTTGGTATTTGGTATTGAGGTTGGTTATGACTAGTAGATGACCCTTTGAGATTTTCAGATGACTGTGTTAAAGGTCACAGGGCTTACTACCCTCAGATTTGGCACGGGGGTTGTCCTTGAGCTCTAAATGACTACTGTTGATTCTGACAAAGTGGTATGCGGAGGTATTCACATCATAACAGTGGCAGTTCTAGCTTTTTTGATCAATTGAATACTTTATTTTATTAAGTGTTTACTAGATTTATTGGATTCATTACTTCATGTTTGAAATTGTATTTGTTCAATAGTATTGCAGTATTTGAAATGAATCAGAACCAATTGGCAAACTAGTCTAGTAAATAAACTGTTTGTAAGAATAATTTACACCTACATGTATTTAATATCCTCTTTGTATAATATTCTGTTTTTGGTCCAAAATGAACCATGAGCATGTAAATACATGTATACGGTAAGCACTTTAAACTATTAGAAGTGCAGGTTGAAAAAAATGTTGTAGTCATGATAGTGAAATCCCTGTTATTATCACCACTCTTACATCCCACTAATGGATGTGAATATAAAACCACCACATTCTCTAAGCAGTGTGGAGACAGCATGTATATACAGTGCAACCTCTACAGAGTGACCCTTTGTACGGCCAAAACCTCTTTTCAACAACTGTATTGATTTTTCTTGAAGTCTCTTTTTCCCAATACATTATCCCCTCTAGAGCAAAACTTGTCCATAACAACCAAAAAATTTTTGTCTCCCAAAGGGTGTTGCTCTGCCGAAGTTTAACTGTATATTTCAACTTATTTTACCTGGCATGCTATCCATAGCAGGTCGATTGGTATTTAGGGATCTGTCTTTCAAATGGCTGGTACATGATGACCTTATTCAATTAACATCAAAGCTAATTTTCAATTCAAATGTATTTACTTCATAATTCATGCATTTTAGGTTACCATTTCGAATGTTGGTTAGAAAGTATGATTGTGACCTGGCTTATACTCCAATGATTATTGCAGACTCATTCGTTAAATCACTGAAGGCACGGGATAATGAATTCACAACTTGTAAAGGTATGATTGATTGATTTATTTTTTGTTATTTTCTAAAGCGTTTGTTCAAAGATAATAAATATTATATTACAAAAATATCTTTTGGTGATAAACTTTTATTTAACATTGAAGTTAAGAGATATGAGCTATTTAATTCATTATTTGGAATATTGTTTTAATGCTGGTACTTAGTGGGAGCATACTGTGACAGGCTTGATCCATATGTCTTTATGTATGTTAGTCATCTCTTCCTTGTTGGATCAATAGCTTGAGAATGAATGAGTTGTGGTTTATATAACTTTGAAAGGACATCATCCATGGCCATTAGATGGTCCCAAATGATTTGGAGATCAATAGGACAAAGGTCAAGGTCACAGTGCCCATGACCATTAAAAGCTTGTTTGAATAATAACTAGAGAATGCTTTTGCCTCCAGATTTTGTGTGGATGTTGATCATGACTACTATAATTATGACCCCTATTGGTTTTGAGATCAAAAGGTCAAAAGTTTAGGTCACCATGGCTTTAACCTCTCAAAGTTTGCCCAACCAATAATTAAAGAATTTGTAAGTCTTCAGGTCAAGGTTGTCATAGCACTATGTAAAAATCATTGTCCAAATAATCACTAGATAAGGAAGAAAGATTTTTTTTCCAACTTAATAGGGATATTGCCCTTGGCCTCTAGTTTCGTATATTTTATATAAATGTTATTTTTTTAATAACAAAGAATTCCCACAGTGTCTCTGTGACCTTTGACCAAATACCCTTCATAGCTAGCTTCTACTGGCCAAGGACATTGCAAGAATGTAAACACTTAGTTTGAAAATAAAGTTACATAGATATTTGTTACAAAAGATCAGAAATAATTATGACTGACATGTTTTATGTATTTATTAAAGTTTCTCTACAGTCATCAAAATATTTTTATTTCAGAGGATCGTCCCCTCATTGTTCAGTTTGCTGCCAATAATGACCTTGACTTTGGTGATGCTGCCACTATTGTCTCACCGTAAGTTGTCAGCTTTGTTTTCATATGTTGCTGAAGTTTTTTATGGAGCCACTATCATTATAGCATGTCTGGTGCCACTAAATATGAGCCCGGACAGTGTGTGTATATAGCCTTACAGTTTTACAAAACTTTATCCTACATCAGTCACAGAATGGAATAAAGCTATGTTAAGTATGGACAATTAGCCATGTTGTTTTGTAAAAATAGCTAAAATATTTGCTGATTTCTGTAGACTTGATTACTTCATATTTAGTGGTAATTTTCAAGGTGTTCTAGAACTAAATGGAGTTAAATTGCCTCAAGGCCAGATAAACAAGTTAATTACAGTTTTTGACACTTTTGCTTAGGATGCCACAAAGAAAGTTCATTAAGGCAAAGTAAGCAGTGAAACTTTTATAAGAATTTGTAATGTATATTGTAGATCTTGTTAAAATATACCTCAAATGGACAAGATATTTATTCATTTTGTTATTTTCAGGTTTGCAGATGGAGCAGACCTGAACTGTGGGTGTCCCCAAAGGTAACATTCAGAATTGACACTTATATTAATCACTGAACTCATTTTACTGATTATTTCTCTATAACTTTACATTCTTAGGATAAGTGAAACTTTTTTAGTATGTCAGAAAAAAATTATTAAAGATATTTAAGTTATTATTTGAAATTGATCGAAATTTTCTTTTTGTTAACTCATTTGTTTAAATAGATTAATTAACAACTTAAGCTATTTATAGCAAAGATAATGTGCAAGTTTGAACATTATTTAAGTTTGATCATAAAGAAAGCTTGTAACTTAAACCAAGCTCAAGGGAGTGGGTGGCATAAACCAAGCTCAAGTCTGCTTCCTGAAAGTAACTACACAATGACCACAGTAGGGCTGGGACCCATGATCTTGAAGTTTAGGGGGCAAAGACCATAACTACAATGTTTTTCTTAGATAATCATGTATAATTTATGCATATAATTTCATATTTTAACTAAACAGATGGGCACAACAAGAAGGTTTTGGGGCATGTTTGATCCATAAACCAGATCTGGTACACAACATGGTGTTACAAACTAGAAACAGGGTAGACAACCCTGATTTTACAGTATCTGTGAAGATCAGAATACACAATGACATCAGGTAGATTTTGTTTCTATAACTTACTTTTTAACAAAAAGGTACAGGTTTCATTGACCTTTTTCCCCTTATCTTTGAGATGAAAGTTTATCATGTCCTGCTTAGAAGATTGGGGGTATATTGCTTTGCACTTGTCGGTTCGTTTGTAGATCAAACTGTTTCAGATCAATAATTTTAGAATACTTGGACCTATGACTTTCAAACTTAAGATAGAGATTTTTCATAACCAGTAGATTTATTTTTTGGGTCAAGGGGTCGAAGGTCAAGGTCGCATAGACCTTGTATGTCAAAACCATTTTCCGATCAGAAACCTGACAACCAATGGGCCCATGGCTCTCAAATTTGACAGAAGCATTGGTCTGGTATAAAAATGACCTCTATCGATTTTTGGGTCAAGGGATCAAAGATCATGATCACAATGGCTTTGTTTGTCAAAACAGATTCTAAATAATAGCTTGCCAACCCATAGGCCCTCAGCCCTAAAACTTCACAGGTGTATTGGTCTTAGGCAGCAGATGATTTTGAGGTTACTGGCTCTAAGGTCAAGGTCACATTGAACTTGATTTTGGTGTCACTAGGTCAAAAGTCAAAATCTTTAACCTTGTCTATGTCACCTTTATTCTGTAAGCTAGAGATATCCATACTTTGGGTACTCCATACCTCAATAAATGCTTCATTTTTGCATATAGACTTACAAGTTGACCTAGATCTATGTGGTCAGTTTTTGTAAATAAAGCAAGTTTAACAGAATAGAAGGGGATTGTTTGATATGCAAACACATCCAGTTTTTGTTATCTCTTTACCATTAGCCAAGTGTTTTTAGCATGTTTGTTTCAAAGAAAAAGTCGGACTATTACGATCACTGCAGCGTAATTGTCATTGTTGTCATGCAAAACCTTAATGTAGCCCAGTACTCAAACAGTTAAAAAGTATCTGTATGAAAATTGGAATACTTGCATATCATGACAGGGGCATTAATTCTGAAAGCAATATTTTTGGTGTTATGCCTCTTTTTTACTTAGAATTTTTGTCAAAACTGGTTATTTTAACAGACGAGTGTTAACACCAGATGCGGTGCTCTTGGTTTTTTTTTATAGAGACACTGTGAATCTATGTAAGAGCTTGGAAGCAGCTGGTGTTTCCTGGATATCTGTTCATGGTCGCACAAAGGATCAGAGGAACCAGCCAGTAAATCTAGAAGCAGTAAAATTAATAAAAGAAAATGTAGGGATACCAGTCATCGCCAATGGTGACATTAAATCTTTGGAAGATATTGAAGAGGTCAAGAAATTGACAGGAGTAAATGGTGTGTATATTTTTGTCATCATCAAGCAAATATTTATATCTTTAATGATAATGATTTTTATGTATAAAATATGCATAGATGTCTTTTGTAACTAATGTTAGATGAATAGTTAAAATTGTAGAGTGAAAGTATAGTGTATTTTCAATGACTACATGAAAATGAGAAGAAAGTCATGCGTTTCATAGTTCTTTTTAGGGAATATGCTTTTCTCTGTTTTCTCAGCATTTCCAGCTATATTAGAATTAACTGTCTTAACTATAGCTTAAGCCTTATCTTGCTGAATTCTTAACCCTTTACCTCATATATACGCGAAACAACGCACTTTCGACCCCCCCCCCCTTTTTTTAGGCCTGAAATAGTGAAAATATGTCCTATTTGGGCCCCAAACACATGTTTTCGTTTGAGAAATGTTGCTAAAAAAAGTGAGCACTTTTTCGGCGCCGCCCCCCATCCAAAAGATACATCAGGGGGTTGCCAGAAGGGGGATGTGCCCCCTTTTGTTTGGGGGGTTTGAAGGGGGGCAGAGTCCCCCTCATCGCCAAGAAAATTTTGGACTTGTGAGAGGCTTAAAATGACCCCAGGTCGATCATAAGGTAACGTGTAACCAAGGCTGAAAAGCCTTTGACTCTATCTCAATCCCTTGAGAAGTTGCAGCACTTTGAAATAAATTTTGATGGAAAAAATCGAGGCAAAATAGTGATTTTAGGCAATTTTGAGATGTCCCCTCGTTGCCATGGTAACAGGAAATTTAAGACTGAGCATGTCATTACAAAGGCAATGGTCCAGTCAACATTTGTGCCAAGTTTGATTAGTATTGAAGGATTTTTCATAGTTTCATAGCAGTTTGAACTTGTAAGAGGAGGCTTTTCAGTGAAAATGGCCATTTTTCACAATATGCTCATGGGGGAAATTGTCTTATTTCTGAAGGTGCTTATTATCAAATTTGGGGGTATGGGGATGAAATTTTAATGTAATTAAGCAAACCTGCTTAGAAGTGCAGTATGACCAGACTCTACAGGGTTAGCACAGGACATGAAAGTCCTTGAAATTTGTGGTTTATCCTTGGAAAACTCCTTGAATTTTTGTCAAGGAAAAAGTGCTTGAAAACTCATTGAATTTTATAGGAAACATCAATCTAGAGTCTAGATTGGTGGCATTGTCTGATCACTTCTGGTCCCAGCAGAGTTAAAGTTGGAGTGCAGTCTGACCAGGCTTTATACTGGCAACGTGTAATCACTTTTGAAGGTTGATATGATAATGATAATATACAATACGAGTTTGAAGGTAATGAATTATGAGCAGCTGGTGTTTTATTTTCAGGAGTAATGTGTGCTAGAGGAATGTTACAGAATCCGGCCATGTTTGCTGGATATGACAATACTCCCTTACAGTGTTTAAAAGACTGGGTACGTTGTTCGACTTTGATGAAATTTATTTCTTCAAAAACACTACTTTAGTTTCACATGAATAAATGGTTAAAACTCAAAAATATATACATGTATTTAAATGCTGGTTTGTTTGTCTGCTTTTTATGCAGACTTCATCATATTTAATTTTTCGGTCATATCTCAGTGGTTGGTCAACCTAACTAATCGGCTTTTCTGGATAATAATCAGTTATTAATAAATTCTTGGCAATTATCCAGCTACTAATCCCACATGATTTCTGAATCAGTGGCGGAAACAAATGACCATTAGATTGGATGTCTGATATGAATTGTCACATTGAAATTTTTATACTTTACTAGTGTATTGATGTTTTGATAGTAATTATGATATATATCATATATTTCACTTCAGGTGGATTTATCATTAAAGCTTGGTACAGCACACACCATCTTCCATCATCATTTAATGTATATGAGTGAAAGAATTATGTCAAAGGCAGAGAAACGTATCTTCAACACGTTACCAAGTACTCCAGCAGTGCTTGACTTTCTGCAGGAAAACTACGATGTAAAATATGAAAAAGGATGATGCAGAACATTGAAACATTAAAACCAAAGTTTTTGTTAAGTACTTGACAAAATGATGGTTTGGTGGGCGATGAGAAAAGTTTTAAAGAAAAACAGTTGCTAAATAACTAGCTTAAAAGCAAGTATTTAAGTTAAGTAATAAGGACACAAGAAGTAAAATGCTCAGATTTTGATTACACAATCCGAGATGATGTGCTCTGTCAATTGTACCTAGTTTATTACTTTTTTTGTAATGCACAAGTTTTTCGACATAGTTGTGTTGATTACCTTTGAATATTTTCAAACATTAAGTAGCCTTTAATTATTCAAATTTGTTCAAGCAGCATCCTGTATTGTGATGATGCTCAAGAAATATCCAAGTGAAAATATACTAAACCGTTACAATTTTCAAAGAATTATTAATAGAAATATGTTCACTTTAATAGGCTGTAATGTGATTAAAAGCTTTAGCAAACAATTGAATGTTTTTTATATTTTATACATACCTGTGTAGCTGTGAATAAATAATCAAAAGTTCCAGTTTTTCGTTATTTACTTGTCAGCTCATCTTGGCATAAAGTCCTTGCTCCCCTGAGCATACAGTGCTCATGTGAGCATTAAGGTTTTATCATCACCTAAGTGCAGAAACGGGTTAATTCCTATTAAATTATAAGGAGTTAACCCATTACTGCATTAAGGTGTCGTTATGGTTGTCCATCATCCACAGATCAGCTGTGTATTTTTTTACTAACTTTGAACCATCTTTCCTTATTTTCATATATTGGACCAAGCAAAAGGGTGGTTTATAGTAATTGAACCTTTTATTTCCGCATTGTTGATCTTTTTTGGCAAGTTTAAAATACACAAGTTCTACTTGTACCAATGACTTCAAACTTGCAACACAAACCAATATAATGGCCAGGATTCAGGCAAATTACCTACTTACTTACAGTTGCATTCCTTTTCCCCAGTTATCTCCCCTTTATGCACTTTCATGGTACAGATTTATATGATTAACCTTTATCATCACTTTAAAAGTGGATTCTACTTGTACAGTAAGCTTTATGCTTTACACAAAAAGAAATGTAAAGTTCTTGGTCTACCCAAGTCGGGTAAATCCAGGCAAAGAATCAATGTGACTTTTTCGGTAAAGTACAGAGCGGAAAATGCTAGAAATAGCACAGTACTTGTTTGTTTGTTTGTTTTGGGTTTTACGTCACATCGACACATTATAGGTCATATCGCGACGTTCCAGCTTTACTGGTGGAGGAAGACCTCAGGTGCCCTTCCGAGCACAGTACTAATGGCTTCATACTAAACACACTTACAACTGATACAAAGGCTTGCAACTTTTTCAAAGATTCTGGCAAGTTATTAGTTGCACAAGTTTTCCAAATTTGCTATTTTATGCACTTTGAATGTAGGTACAATTAACATTTTTCAGCAAGTTAAGATACTTTGCAACTTAACAAAGCTAGGAAAAAGATTCTGTTTCATAAAAAGTAACTTGTTTATTAAGATTATGAACATAATTCCCAATTATAGTCTTTACAAAATGGCAACAAATATTTTTAAGAGCTAATTGTAATTTTGTCCTCTCAGGATTAATCTCCCCTCCTTGAACTTCAGGAACTGGTAAACTGTTTTTGGTATGTTGGTTATTTTTCAGCTTCTATAAATAGCAGTCAAGTACCGAGTTTACTGACCAGAACAAATAGTTACTACTCTTAATGACTGTGTCAACAACTTTTTAGGAGAATTCATACTTTTTTGAATTTAAAGTTGCTTTTTTTCTATAAAATGAATATTTATCCCTGCATGATTGTAAGAGGGGACTAAATCGGTTTAAATAACTGGAGTCTTTGCATCTCTTAGCTCCAGCAGGTGAGGTGGTTATGACCCCTGGTGTTGCTTAGAAATTGTAACACAAATCATCTTTCATGTGTCAGCACCATATGACCTATACTGTGTTGGTGCACCGAAAACCAAAGGAACAAAATGAATATATCTGTTACACTTTCTACTGAAAGTTCAGAAAGTTTAAGACTTAAATTACCAATACAAAAGGTCATTACATTTAATTATTCAGGACCTCAAGAAATCACATGAATATTGCGCATGACCAGAATCTTAAGTTCTTTTCATTCTAGGGGTCATGTGTGTTTACCAAACTGATTCTCTTGTTTGTTTTTTAATTTTTGTTTGTTATCTGTTTTCTGTGCATACAAGCAGGTAGCCAAGTAGAATCTATGCCAAGTACTCCCCACATAGCTGTAAGTGGCAATTATATAAATGTACTAGGTATACATTGTTTTTTCACATGCTGAGCAATTACTGTATAGCGCATTATATCTGCGGTGTCAAATGTTGGCGTTTTTTAAAGTGTTTTGAATTGGCGGGGTCATAAATTGGCGCAAACGCTTTTAGACCGCCAAATTAAAACACTTGTTGGCATAAATATGGGGTCATGAATTGGCGATTACAAATAAAGAATAAAAAAAATAAATAAAAATAACACCGGTCACGCAGTAGTTAACTGTCCTCGTTTATTTTACGGCATACGGTATACCTATGCTTGGTCACCTTTATCTTTACATCGTGCTAATTCTGAACGATTTTAATAAAAACATGAACTTTTTTTGTTATTATTTGTATCGTGATTAGAGAGATGTTTCTCAAATGAATAGGAATAACATTAGCACGAGCAATTTGTTGAGCTGATATCACAAATATTTTGCTATTTATACATTTGATATTCCCGACTCCTTTATAATTAACTGGGATCAGACAGGTGTAAATATGGTACCGTGTGGTAACTGGTAACTGGACCATGGAAGAGAAAGGTATGCCCTATTATCCTGCAGTCTTTAAAGCGTGAAAAATTGTTCACGGTCACCACAACTGATTGCTATATAATTACAGTTATCATTAGTTTTATTTCAAATTATGAAACATAACAGTGAAAACAAAACAAAAACTAGTTTACTTAAGATTTGTTTCTCGTCGTGTGATCATCTTCGTAATAAATACAGTATATAGATATATAATTAAATGAGTTTCGTACCAAGACTTAAAAATAAACAAATTCTTCTCAGCTTACTTGTAATGTTTATTTTTATTACAAATAATCAAGGGAGATTACTCGGACAAACCAAAGCTATTTTACCATGAGTTGTCTACCTTTCAAAGAATAATGGCGATGATCAAAAATGGCGGTGCTTTAAATTGGCGGTGTTTTGAATTGGCGCTACTGACCCTGACCGCCAATATAGCCAAATATAAACCCCCGCCAAAATAAGTACTTATACAGTACATGGTCTTGTACACATATATGTATCAATTCATAGGTCTTCTCAACAAGAGGGCCATGATGGCCCTGAGGTCGCTCACCTGTATATAGGCCCCCACCCCCCCCCCACAACGTTGCAGGGCCAATTTTAACCCAAGGGCTTTTATTTGCACAAACTTGGTAGACACCCATAAGAAGATGTTTCAATCTAAACATCTTAGCTCTAGCTCATTGGGCTTTTCAAAAGAAGATTTTTTTAAAGTTTTTACTATACACATATAGTTAAAAACAATGACACCCCTGGGGCGGGGCCAATTTTGACCCCAGGGCTTTTATTTGAACAAACTTGGTAGACACCCATTAGAACATGTTTCATGCTAAATATCTTAGCTCTAGCTCTTTGGGTACTTTAAAAGAAGACTTTTTAAGTTTTTACTATATGCATATAGGGAAAATCAATGACCCCCGGGGCGGGCCAATTTTGACCCCAGGGCTTTTATTTGAACAAACTTGGTAGACACCCATTAGAACATGTTTCATGCTAAATATCTTAGCTCTAGCTCTATGGGTTTTTTAAAAGAAGACTTTTTAAGTTTTTACTATATGCATATAGGGAAAATCAATGACCCCCTGGGGCGGGCCAATTTTGACCCCAGGGCTTTTGTTTGAACAAACTTGGTAGACACTTATTAGAACATGTTTCATGCTAAATATCTTTGCTCTAACTCTTTGGGTTCTTTAAAAGAAGACTTTTTAAGTTTTTACTATATGCATATAGGGAAAATCAATGACCCCCTGGGGCGGGGCCAATTTTGACCCCAGGGCTTTTATTTGAACAAACTTGGTAGACACCTATTAGAACATGTTTGATGCTCAATATCTTAGCAATAGCTCTTTGAGTTCTTTAAAAGAAGATTTTTTAAGTTTTTACTATATGCATATAGGGAAAATCAATGACCCCCCGGGGCGGGGCCAATTTTGACCCCAGGGCTTTTATTTGAACAAACTTGGTAGACACCCATTAGAACATGTTTCATGCTAAATATCTTAGCTCTAGCTCTTTGGGTTCTTTAAAAGAAGATTTTTTTAGTTTTTACTATATGCATATAGGGAAAATCAATGACCCCCTGGGGCGGGGCCAATTTTGACCCCAGGGCTTTTATTTGAACAAACTTGGTAGACACTCACTAGAAGATGTTTCATGCCAAATATCTAAGCTCTAGCTCTTATGGTTTTTTAAAAGAAGATATTTAAAGTTTTTTCTTTCGGTTGCCATGGCAACCAGAGTTCTGCATGGAATTAAATTCTTTGAACAATTTTTAAAGGTGACCACCAAAGGAACATTCCTGTGAAGTTTGGATGAAATTGGCTTGGTGGTTTATGAGGAGATGTCATTTAAAGTAAAAGTTTACGGACGGACGACGGCCGGACGGACGGCCGGACGGACGGACGCCGGACGAAAAGCGATCACAAAAGCTCACCCTGTCACTTTGTGACAGGTGAGCTAAAAATAAAAACACAAAACTCATACTTTGTTTTTTCTGGCACTCCTTTTTTTATTTAAAAGTATGCTCTTTATTTTTAAAGTTCAGTCATTTTAGTCATGTGGACTGCTTACAGACTGCAAGAAACATAGGCAATGTAAGCAAATACACACAAAAATCAATCAAATGTCAAATCTCATATGCAAATTATCACAATGGCAACAAAACTTAAACAAGTTTAATACAGATCTAAAACAAAACACATTCATTTCTCTTCTTGAACTGAAATCAAGTTGCACATTTTGTTACTGAATGAATAGTTCTACTTTGTCATATATTGACTAAAGACAGAATACAATTTATACACAAGAACTTTTCATTTCAATTTGTTAACTAAGATTATTTTCTGAACAGATGCTGATTGTAATGGCCTTTTGAACTTCTTTCAGAAGCATACCAAAATGAAAATTTTTGTCAAGAAAAATGGGAGAAATTAACACGAAAATAGCTATATAGCAGTAAATTATACTTGTGAAAACTTAATTGTCTTAATTGTTATAACACAAATTGCTTTGCATATCAAGCTATTCAGATGAATTTTTAATACACTTAAAGCTGGAAGTTTTACACTGTCTAAACAAAGATTAGAAATGAATTTCTAATTCTCTCTTTTCTTTTAAATCTTATAACAATTATTTTTGAAATTCTTTTAATTCTAACTATTGTCAAAGTTGTCTAAACAGTTTTAATTTAACATTTTGATGTTATAAAATCACTTTCCAAACTGCCATGATATTTTCTGTTACATGTTTGTAGTATAGAAAAGGAATGTTGTCAGAGTTTGTATTATGTTATTGTTTATAATAACTTTGTTAAACATAATTGGATATCTTTTAATAGTGTATTACAATTCATCATATTATTTAATAAAGGAACTCAAATGAGGTTTTTTGACGGGACTGGAAAACAATTTTCAAGATGCCAGTAAATGTTTTGTTTGATGTAGGTTTCACTCATAACATGTGTGCTAAATTTCAGGTCATTTGCTCTTTGCTTTTTTCCAGAATAAATATTTGTGAAAAATTACCAAAAATTGAAAAGAAAGCATTGCAACACTTCACTCAACTGTGCTAAGAACAGCAAAATAATACAATTTCTAATTTATTTCCGAGTCTATTTCTTAAACATCTTTTGCATATATTTTATGTGCCTTAGTTGATCTATGTAAGAAATATAAATTTTACGTTTTTAGACTTTTGGACCTCAATGGAGTTCCTTTAAGACATCCCGACTTATTCACTATTTATGCCAAAGAAAACACTAATAAGCTATTTGCTACGTATTACACTGTATTACACTTTTGATTATGGTTATGATTATTGAGATAATAAACTAAAATTTGTCCCCATCTGAATATAACTTTATAACTACATTAAACTGCCATCTCATAAGCCTGAATTAAGTTATCTATACATGTAATATATGTATCAGAAAGTTTGCTGCACTGTTCAAGACATATTTATACTTTATTCAGAATATAAATCTTAACAGATATTCCAGTTAAATAATCTCCAACCATACTTTATTATATATTTTTCATTAATAAACAAAAAAATCATCACATTTTAATTAAGGGAAAAAAAAGAGAGACATTTTTAACTTTGACAAGTTTGGCAGTTTTAAAATATAAATTGTAAAGCAACCAACACATGCTCTTTTATACTTTCATACAGAATGCTTGAACCAAGTTTGGAATGAATTTACAAGTATTTAGATGATGATCCATGAAAAAAATGCAGTGATACATAATATTCAGACAAATAAATTCATTTCAACAGAGAAAAAGGTTTGACGGGAGACTAATATTACATTGTCTGAAAGACATAAATAACATTTATTGCAGTTTCTATTTTTTTCTCAAATGTGTTCAGTTGACAATTTATGAATAGAATAAAGTTTTATTGGACCTCACCCTTAACCTGATATATTTGAAAATTAGAATTGTCTGGCTTCAATTTATTGAACTGTCCATATCATGATTTTAAAGTTACTCAGCCAACAGTATAGAGCCTGGTCAGACTGTTGGAATTTTGAAGACATACGTGGCTCTATACTGGTGGCAAAGGCTGGTCACTTCCAGTTCCAGCTAAGTAAGGGATGGACATATAAAAAAAATGTTATCAATGTTGTTGAAAACCTAAAATTTGTTACCAGAACCATCAAATCTAAAAATTGTTTTTCATGAAATAATATTCACTAAACTATCCATAATTTATCAACTGTAGATTAAAAATTCTTACAATAACTAAATTTACCAAACAGTCTATAACAAGCCTTATGATATAGTTAAATTAACAAAAGATTTTTCTCTTCAAACAAAAAACAATGTTTCTATAGTAGGTATTTAGTTTTCAAAAATGGTGTTTAGACAATCTTTTTGACCTACAGTAAGGAGTAAATTTATCTTTGATAAAATGAAGCTGGAAAATACATTGAAAACACACAGAAAAAGGTTGTGCTTGGAATAAAGACAATACACTGTTATAAAGCAAGACTGAAACTTGACATTTTTTCAAAGAACAGAGTTGTTTACATCTATACAATAATTTCCTATTTGGCATTCATACAAATCTTTTCATGACACAAAAAAAAATCAAGCAGTATTATTAAGGCAAAACAAAGAACTATGATCACAGTTTCTTTGGTAGCTAACAAAACATTGCACAGATTCCACTCATGTGACTTTAAGATATCATTAAAGTACTATCAATATTTATATATATCTAAATATATCTATATAACATTTACTACAAAGTTATGAATAATACTAAACTTCCTTAAGTAGCTTATTTTTTTACTTTTTTAAATAAATTTTGTTCCAATTTTCAAATTACCCATTCTCAAAGACGAGTTTTTAGCTTATCATTCCACAGAAAATCTTTTATTTACTTCTTTAAAAAAAAATCAACTATTCATGACTTTAACAATTTTAAAAGATACACTGACCTCTTATTAAAACATACAGAATGTCTAAATCCCATGAATGTATAGAAGACTAGAGGAAGGTCAAGACTTTGTAACTAAATTTTTTTATTCTACCATTTTGATAATGAAATCCTTCGAATTTGCACAGTTCATGTTCAAATGAAAAGTCTATTTCACAATCTTATTAGGATAAGGATCAAGATAAAACCAACACCATAATTTGATGATTTTCGTTCTCCATATCGTTCTGTTTTAACATTTCACATATTGCACACTGAGAGGTAATGGAGAAAAAAAATCACACTTTGAGCAATGTTATTGGACAAAGGAATATACAGCATTTATAAGGTCCGTTCAGAATATGCATCCATCTTTGGTAGTCATTTATGAAGAAAAGACAAAAAAATATATCAAGTTCACCAACCAGACAATAACTTAAAAGACAATGTAAACATTCAACTTACACTTACATCACAAACAGGTGTGAAACTTGCTGCAACAGTTACTTAAATACCATATCATGTCATTTCTTTGTCAATAATATACTAGAGAGAGAGAGAGCTGACTGTACATAAAGATATTAAAAGCAACATACCTCCAGGTCAGTCCATGTAAACAAAATTTTCCAAAATCCAAAGATAGATATATAAATGTTCAAGAAATGCATATATTTAAAACAGTCAATGTGCCACATGTTGCACAAACAATTTACAGTTTCTTTTACATAGTGAATACAAAAAGACATTTTTTAAATGAATTTTCTGCTGATAAAGACTTGCGCTTAATTAAATTACTTCATTTCTATATAAATATGAAATATGTTTTACCATTCAGCCCATATTTTTTTTATTAATTCAAATTAAGTACAAATTTGGAGGCATCTTGCTTTTAAATCTAAATTCTTTCATACAAAAGCTCTCTCCTCTTTCAATAATTTATAGCTTAATAAAACTTTAAAATCATCATCTTGCATACAGTATTTCTTTTCTATGATGTTATTAAATAAGCTTTGTAGAGAAACATTTTAATTGGACAAGTCAAAGACTAAACTTAAAACAATCGTATCCAGTATCTCAATATCTACAGACTTGGATGTTAAAATTCAAAATGTATGGAAATTTCTGCAACCTTAATTAGTATACAATGGATAATAATAAATGCTATATTTGATGTCTGCAAAAACTACAAAATCCTATACAAATATACCAGTCAATAAAAAGATGATCTTGACAAGTTTTAACGTAATAACTTATCATATTGTTCAAATGTCTACCGTCAGACAACCCATGTGATTTTGTTGGGTTTATAAAAAAAGAAAAGTTTATCAATTATTATACCCCTTACTAGAAAGATATCATGGGGTGATGCATTGCATAAAGACTAATGACAAAAATAAGCCACACCATTGAAGAAAAACGTTGATGCTGTCTATAAGCAATACTGTGAATAAGCCCTGTGCACAAAAATTAGAAATCCATAACACCAAATGATGATGTACTTTATTCACATGGTATCCTGTCTGCCTAAATGTTAAGCTCTATTTTCTCTTTCCTCCTTTTTTGTTCTTTTTCCTCTTTTCTACTTTCAACATAAAATCTACTGATAATAAATAATTTACAAATATGTATATATAACAACAAAAGAACAGGTAATTCTCTGTACAGAAATTATGTTACTAATCAATAAGGAAACATGTAAAGATAGGATTTTTTTGTAAAACTTACAAATTAACATTGACCAAAATAATCTATATATAGCACTTATGTCAGCTCAAAATCAAAATACAATGCAGCATTGCAAAATATCATACACTATTTAACATATTTGAGCCGCGTCACAACAAAACCAACATAGTGCATTTGTGACCAGCATGGATCCAGACCAGCTTACGCATCCGCACAGTCTGATCAGGATCAATGCTGTTCGCTTACCAACTCTATATCAAGTAGAGAAACTGATAGCGAACAGCATGGATCCTGATCAGACTGCGCGGATGCGGAGGCTGGTCTGGATCCATGCTTGTCGCAAACGCACTATGTTGGTTTTGTCGTGACGCGGCTCATTTATAATACTACTAGTATACAAGTATCTTACATCTGTTTCAAAATAATGTTGTTGTCTTTTTTTAAATAACTATGTATAAGCTCTCTTCAACTCTTACAGTGACACTGTGGTTTTAAATATCACTCTGTATTGCTCAAAACCACTGATTACTTGTATTAACCTATAACCTGCAGAATATGTATAATGGATTTGCCAAGCTTTTAAAATTGGAAGTCCATTTAAATTTTTCATGGGATTTCAAAGAAAGAAATACAAAATTTGAGCTGCCATGACTATAAAGCTTGGTCAGATTACACAGATGTACAATCAGACCTGTCTTTATACTGGTGGCAACTGGCAAGGGCTAATCACTTTCGTTTCTTACAGGTTAAGGGTTAAACTTTTAACATATCTTTTTGTTGTTGATGCAAATGTGGATTACTGGGTAATACCGGTAACATGTTCTGTAATATCATCTTTAGTTTAAAATTATTCCAAATACATATGTACATAAACTATTTTTACTAACCAAAAAAAAAAATTTGATCTAATAATGAGGAAGACAAATTATTTTCTTGACTTATTTTAAGCCATTCTGGTGGAAAGAAAAATTACAAACAATTTGGAAACAAGTATTAATGACAAAGTAAATTTCTTTGACACTATAGAATACACACGGATTGTGCTAACATGTGAAATTCACCATATCTTAATCCTCAAGATTGTTGAAATTTACAAGCAAGAATGTTAAAATTTACAACTTATAATGTTAAAATCAACAATATTCGAATGTCAATATGACAAAATATTTTGAATTTATTCAGTTCACAAAAAAACTTATTTCCAATTATTTAATTTCAAAACAAATTCATCAGATATCTATTTACTAAAATATATATATATATATCTATTTATATCCAATATAAAACAATAAGCAGAATTTTAATTTCAGCCCAATGTATTGCAAATGCTATGAAATGTGTAAAGAATGTTTTGACCTGGCATTTTACTCTACGGTATGTTTATATCTATAATAGAAAAGGAAAGTTTCAAGCAGTGCTACTGGTAAAGTAGAAAGATCTTTTGAGTAATCTTTGGTGCAGTGTTTATATGGGATCACAATGCATCTTGTACAGGAAGAAAGAAATTTGTGAAGTAATATTCATTTTTTTTACAAGAATGGCACTCAGATATAGGTATTTAATGTAGCAATCAGATTATCACACCACACTTAATCCTATATATATATCTATAAACTGTAAATATTTATTCCACTCCTTCATTTATCAATCTTATCTATAACATAATCACTTATACTCTCAATAAACAAAGATCACAGTGATCTTGTATCAGACCAGTGTACTCTAGGATCACACTTCACAGATATTCATCATTCTTCCTTTTGTAAAGTTATCTCTCACTTTCATATTTCACTGTCAAACCAAATTCTTTCAGGAATACTCTACATCTAAACTGTTTGAATGCTCTTCAGTGAAACAGCACCAGGGCGAAACATAATCTCTTATAAAAGATCATTTGATCAATTTCATTCGCACAACATCCTGCACTTTCACTTTTTCATTCCTGTCTGATATATTCCTCTTGCATTTTGTTTGCATCTACATCTACTGTCTGAATACTTTGAATTACTAGTTAACCTAGTATGAAAGACTTGTAGTGCTATACATATTTTTTTAACTATGCTAAATTTGAAATAGGTCATTCAAGACTGGCTTTTTGTAGATGTACTGGAAATAGAATCAGTCGCACTTGACTCGGCAATCGTTGCTACTGGTACTACTGATGTGTACGAAGTTGACATAGGTAGAAGACCTGCTTCTACAAACTGAGTCCCAGCATATCTAGAGGGCATTGAAACAAACGGTGAAATATTTGCTCCAGGAAATTGCAAATTGTACACATGGTTAGGAACTAATGAGAATTGTGGACTTGAAATAATATTTTCTTGAAGAAGGGGCGTAGTTGGTGGTTGTCTGGGGGTTTGAGCATCAGTCTGGGAAACATCAGCACTCTGGCCACTTGCTACTGTCGTGTACGACACTCTTGGACTGCTGCTTCGGTGGTCTACAGTCTCCGTATAAGAAGTATCAGATTTACGACTAATTACATCCGACTTGGCAGCGGGTGAAATGTTACCATTATATGTTCCTTGATGACGTGCTGAAAAATTTTCAACACATTTAAACAGTTCTTCATGGAAAGATCCAGTTGAACCTTTGGTGGAAGCTGGGCGTCTTTGAGCCATGGAGAATATAGGGAAATTGTCTCTGACAGCAATGGACATTAATGAAGCTGGCAGAGGTGGTGGGTTCGGAATACTGCTCATGTTAAGAGGACTAAGTATTGGAGCAGTAGACAAACTGCCGGTTGCTGTAGTTATAAGTGGCGAGTGTGGTATACTGATGCCTTTCTCACTAAAAAAATCTTCCAGTTCCATTTGATGGCGCTTCTGAAGACTCTCTCTTTCATTTGATTGTCTGTAACATAAAATTAAATCAATATTGACCATTAATTTGTCTGTCAATGTTACATATATCTTTGAAATCTTGTGAAATTTCAAACACAAAGTTCTAAAATCAATATTGCAATCATAAAATCAGAGTATATTTTTCATATGATAAATATCAAAATATCAAAAACTTTTCAGTACAATTCAGGGTCAATTCATAATATCCATAGCAAAATCAAACATATGATGCAGGTTGAGATCACTGAATAGTACTAAATGTGTGATTTAACAAAATTCAGGAAAAAGACATTTACATATTATTAAGATACGGGGGAAAACAAGACCATAAAGATTCAAGAGGGAATCTGTAAGTTTCTTTTAGCCCCTATATTTTTCAACTTTATAAAGCAAAAAGTAATTACCTAATAAGCAATTTCTGATAATCTGGATCTTGTGACAGTTTCAACAGTTCCTGCTGCTGGCTATCACTTTCCTGGCAAAAATAAAGCAAAGTCAACCATCAGGATTAATATGTAACATGTGTATGCCATTACCTGAGAAATTCATACATAAATCATAGGCCAAAACTTTTCTGTCCAAGTGCACCTTCTATATGCAGAAAATGATGTACATGTATTTGTGATTATAATTAGGTAATATAATATCTTAAAGCAACTTACTATAATCAAGACTTATTCAAATAGAAACTGTAATTAAATCAATTAGAATTGCCAATCCTTTTGCAAGATTACTTTACATGCTGACAATTTGCAGAGAGCTTTCACATGCTGACAATTTGTTGAGAGCAACAGTTACTGCTATTTGACACTATAATGGTTTGAAATTGAGACAAGAATATCTGACATCATTTTAACAACTTGCTGAATGTCAGATGAAGAAAATAAAAGCCAACAAAAGTAACAAGTTTGCTAATGTTGCTGTTATTACAGACATTATCAATTTTACAACTGAGACACATAAGTACCTATTTATATAATTGCATGTCATAAAATAAAAGATGTGCATAATATATATCAATATAATGCAAGTGAACTGTTATTTCTTATTGTGTGCATTTAGATATACAATGTACAGAATAAAAACAGCAGGTTCAAAAAGGCATAAAATGGTTGATTGAAAAGGATTTGCAAAATTTATGCCAAACAAGGCAATTATAAAACCTTTCAACCAGTATAAAACAAGCTTTTTAATAGGTTTTCCAAATATAAAGTTTTAAGCAAAATATTTAATTTTCCATGCACACATTATTCTAAAATTTGCTTTTAAGATATATATATAGACATGCCACTTGATTGCATGTAGTATCAAAATAATATATATTAAACTTAAAAAAATAACGAAATTTCAAAAAATTCAAAACAGATAAAGAAGCCTATCATATGATAAAATCAAACTGCAAAACCAGTATATCATTCTTAATAACAAAATCTTTAAAACATGCATTTCGCCAGTACTGTATACATGTACTTCTTATTGTTTGAAAATTTCTGTTCCTGCGTATACTTGGTATTATTTACTACATGCTACGCTATAAATACACAGCTACCATAATCTATAATCTAAACATACATATATAATAAAAGACTGCAACTAGGACTGCAACTACACAGCTTGTAAAATAATGATAGCTCATTCAAAATCAAGGGTTTGAAAGATTAACATTCTTACTTTTTAAGTTTCTAGCATCTTAAAAGCTAAAGGTGTATTGGTATAAAAAATCTATTTATTACCCCTCACTATTTTTGTAATGGTAATTTCCCATAGGGCAATGCGAGTTATTCTTACTGTAAATTCAAATGTACCATGTGACTTAAAATTTAGCACTGTTACATAGGTAACAGTATTTTTTTTACAGTAAAATTCTGAAAAATAAAAACCTATAGAAACAGTGTTCAAATGAAGTATTTGTTTGGATAATAAAATAAATAACACATAGGTTTTGTGATAAACAGCAAATATATCATCCCTAGTAAAAATACTGTTACCCCCTGCATTAGTATTTTCCTCAAGATAATATTTTACTGTTACTCACAAAGCTCTGTGTTAATTATATATTGTCAAGCATTGAAAATCTAATAGCTGCAATTACAGTCCTTGTACACCATTTACCTGTCAAAGGGTATAGCTGACCATCACCACAAAGGATATACATTACATTACCTTATCCAGATACAAGTAACATAGGGGCTACCTTCTTACGCAAGTACATCGGTGCATCAAGTTGGGTTAAGCTGTCATGCCAATTTTGTTAGAAGCTTTTACTAACTCTGGTAGTAGCATGCATACATGGTTTGTGTTACTTACCTTCCTACGCTGTCTTTGCAAAGGTGGACGACGGAGGATAAATGGTTCCCTGGGTTCAGAATCAATACCAGATTCCCGTCCATCTTTGCTTTCTGAACTACTACAGGTGGAGTCACCATCGTCATCTCTACTAGACACAAGGTCAAATACTACATTGGGATAGTCCCGATCAACTGGCGAGGGGGAAGGTGATGGAGTCTCACCATCTCCATACTGTGTGCACTGAGTCTGCTTGGATATTGACTGACTGCCCAATGAGAAACGAGCTCTCAGAGGGAGCGACCCAAGTGATTTTGTCCGGCGACGACTAACTATCTGGAACCTGTCCATATGGGTGTTGTAAAAACTATCACAAGTATTATTAGACAACACTGGCGAGTCATTACCCTCAAAGAAGGACATACTCTTTTTACGATAAGGTAAATCATGCAATCTACTTACAGAGATATTTGTATCATGGACATCACCAGCTGACATATCTTCATCCACAATCAACATCTCGCTGTCATCCATTCCGTCACATTCGTCATTTCTCTTGTTATCAGCATCTTCCACTTTTTTGGGACAAACTTTAGTAACAGAAAATCTTCCCAATTTTGTAGAAGGTTTATTTCCAATGTTATCAGAAATGTCATTAGCTAAATTCGTTGTTTCATTATCACTTTTGTTTGTGTCTTTTTGTTCATTTGCTTCACTAACACTATCTTGATCACCTTCTTGCTTCTCTTCAATACCAGAGCTCTCTATTAATGGATCATTTTCAACACGACTAACTTGAAACCTAAGCTTTTTTGTAACAGTCTTGTCTGGCTTAGCTTCAACTTTCTCTTCATTTTCAGATTTTGTATCAGTTGCAGCTTGTTCACTATTTTCAAAACCTTTCAAATCATCTACTTTTGAAAGAAGAGCATCAACAGGTTCACTGTAAGCACTGTGTAGACTTTCAGAAGACTGGGCCCACATTGGTCTATCATCTTGTAGTCTTAGGTCACTTGCACTTTGGGAGAAACTCTCGCTCAATACAGCCCCCGAGGAAAGAGGAATATCTCTTCTGTTTCCATGGAGCTTCTTTATAAGATCTTGTTCAAGACTAGCCAAACTGTAGTTACTCCTTGGAGCTGCCGGTGACTGTGCCTCAGATAAAGGAGCCCCGGACTCACTCTGTGTATCTATACTATGCTGCTTACGAGAGTGTGGTGGCGTGCCTGGAGGAGACGCGGAGCGGGATTCTCCACCATGGCTCTCCTGATGAGCATGTTGTGTATGGAAAGTAGCCTGGGGATTCATATACTGCATCTGATTTGACATAATCATGTTTGCTGGCACCAGCATTGGAGCAATCTGATGTTGTTGCTGTACATTTACCATGACATATGGAACCATCTGGTTTGGGTAATTACCAAACTGTAAATTCATGTAATGCATTGGATCTGGATACATCTGATGTGAACTTTGTCCATGCTGATGCTGAAATCCAAATGGTTGCATAACCGGAACATAGGACATACCTGGTGGATATACACCTGAAGGCATCATCGGGTTTTGGATATCTTGCGTTCCCTGTGAATGCCCTGACATTGTATGTCCCTGTTGCTGAGACTGTGGCTGCCCATGTGCATGGGCTACTCCTTGCATCTGTTGGTGTACCTGTGGCTGAACAGACCCTTGTTGACCTTGTGGATGCCCTTGTGGCATTTGACCAGGTTTGTTAGATTGCTGTCCTTGAGGCAGCTGACCTTGCTGGCCTGATGTAATTCCTTGTGGAATTTGACTTTGTTGTTGACCCGAAGGAATGCCTTGTGGAATCTGAGCTTGCTGTTGGCCCGAAGGAATTACTTGTGGAATTTGAGTTTGTTGTTGGCCCGAAGGAATACCTTGTGGAATTTGCGTTTGCTGTTGGCCTGATTGTTGCCCTTGTGGAATTTGACCTGGCTGCTGGCCTGAAGGAACTCCTTGTGGAATTTGACCGGACTGCTGGCCTGAAGGAACTCCTTGTGGAATTTGACCTGACTGCTGGCCTGAAGGAATTCCTTGTGGAATTTGACCTGGCTGCTGGCCTGAAGGAATTCCTTGTGGTATTTGGCCCTGCTGCTGGCCTGGTGGATGCCCTTGTGGGATTTGGCCCTGCTGCTGGCCTGGTGGATGCCCTTGTGGGATTTGGCCCTGCTGCTGTCCAGACAAATGCCCTTGTGGAATTTGGCTAGACTGACTTGAATTTTGTCCCTGTGGTAAATGGGTTGCAGACTGCTGTGGCAGAACTGGTTGAGACGATTGCTGGGTTGGTTGACTAACTCCCATTTGAGATGGCTGTGTGTTGACAGAAACTTGATTCGGCTGTGGTTGTTGTGCTTGTGCAGGAACTTTTTCTACAGCCTGAGACTGCTGTATTTGTTTTTGTCCGCCTGACTGATCTTGTCCTTCAACACTTGTCTGATGTTGTGTAGGCTGATGCACTGGTTGCAAGCTCTGCTGGTATGGCTGAGTGCTCATATTGTCATCTGATGGTACAGGACTATGGCTATCAACAGAATGAGATGCTCCAAGCTCAAAACCACCACTAATTGTTCCACCTGTCAATTTAGCCAACTTATCACTTAAGTCATTAATATTAACAGGAACTTTAGGCTTTCCCAATGACTTCATAGACCTATCTGAGTCTGAGACACCACCAGTGTCAGTATCTGATTGAAGAGACTGTCCATGCATGAATGTGCTGGCACCTGATGGTACTGAACTCTGTGTGTTTTCAGGGGAGATAACTGGTTCCATGTGGACACTCTCGGAATCATCCTCCTGTATCTTATCTGCTATCACATTATGCTCAATAACTCGACTGACAATAAAACTTCGCCTCTTGCTCTCAACAACTCGTGCAGGTTCTTGACTGTTTTCACCACTGGGATGACGTGTTTTTATTGCAATCTTTGGCTCAGACTCCTCCCCAGATTGAATTTTCTCTGATGTATCACTGTCATACTGCAACTTCTGAAATGTATACGTTTAAAGAAGAAATTAAACACAAGTAATAAAGAAAACAAGTTCAAATGTAAGACAAAATCCTTTCTGTATCAGGTTATCTTATATTACATTAAAGACCAGAGACACAACTGTTTGATTCATGTTAAAAATGTTTATTTGTTTACATAAACAGTCAAACAGATTGAAATACAGTTAACAAATAATTTTATATTCCAACCACCACCCCAAAATAAAACAAACAACCAATTTCAAGGAGTAATGGGTTAAGACATTATTACTTATACAAAACAAATGTAATGTCCAGAAAAACTCGAAAACCCTATTTCTGTAAACGGAACAGATTCAGAGTTGACCTATAATAGTTTTTTTGAGAACACACAAGGCTGTTCTAGTTTGTACAGAACATCTTCATTCCTCTAACAGGAAGAAGCCTTGAAACATTTAGCATTTATACAAATGCAGACTACTGAGTTAAAACAACAACATAATAGCAAAAATAATACAATGTATGCAAATAAAAATTGCAAGTCTAGGCTTTTTTCATAATCATTCATTTTGCTTAGTAAATTAATTACATAATAAAACATTACCTTTGGTGCATCTTTTCCACCGTCTAGCCCGCCAAATGCTTTTCTGTGTGATGTTGGACTTGAAGTTGGTGTCTCCATCATAGATAAAGTTACAGACATAGCTGATTTAGGGTCCTCATTCACCAGTGATATTGCCTTCTCCAACAACTTCACCACAGGCCTTGACTGAACTGTGTGCAGTAAATCATGTTCAACCTTGAAACAAAATAAAGTTGAATCATATGTTTTCAAAGAAAAATAACATTTCTTTTTTACTATTACTGTATGTCTTAGTTTTGCTAACAATAAATGTAACTTACAATACGCAAATACATATGAAAACTCATCTCCATATTATGTTTTCAAAAGAAAAAAACTTCTGCCTTATTTCAAGTATTATAACTCTTTAAATATTTAAAGGAGAAGACTCACAAGACTTTCAGCGATTTCATCAGGCTTATCTCCCTCCAGATCAAACTTGAACGTGACAGCATTTCTATTGGGTAGTTCTAAGAGACATTCCACCTCCTCGTCTACAACACTAAGTACAGTCAGACAAGGTGATCTGTCCACCGTCTTTCTACGTTTTGTCCGGCTTTTCCTCCTCTTGATATCCTCACCGCGACCAATGGTACTCTCACTTTCACTAGAAAGTAACAAATCAATATGAGTTATTTCCCCTTTCTTTGAACCATAAACTTTATGTAAGAATTTGTAGATCTGCCACATTTTAAATAAATTGTAAAATACTGTGCACTATTTCATGGAAGAAATTGAGTTTGACATTTTTCCCTAGTTATTTATTATAACAGACTTGTCCTGCAGACATAAGTCTTTTGTATCAAAATACTGAATTTGTGTAGCCAATAGCTGAGTCTGGTGAGTCTGTACAGATATGCAAGCTGGCCTGGCTATATACTGGAATTATAGGACAGCTATATCCCACTTTCATTTAAACTTAAAATACATATATCTTAATGCATAAAGAAACATTTCCTTTTTATTACATGCTTTTCGGTGGTTTATAGAAATATATCAGTGATATAAAACTGGTAATTTCACTGTTTGAAACAGTGAAATTACCACTTTGATAATTTCACTGTTTTGAATTTAAGCCCCTTACGTTGTTACCAGCATGCACAGTACTGGGTACCAACTTAATGATGTGACGTCGTAAATGACGTCACGTTGTATTATTATTTGGCACGCTTTTCATTCAGTATTAGGTTTAATGTCTTTTTAAAACGTTTTTTTGCATGTAATAAAAAGAAAATTTGTTTAGTTTAGTGTAAGATCGAAATATATTTTACCTTGTGAACACCAAAAGTTCAAATTTCACTCGTGGCTGCGCCACTTGTGAAATATACCTTTTGGTGCTCACTCGATGAAATATATTCCGATCTTACACTGAACTAAACAAATATCCTCTATATATTGAGAATTTAAACCTTGTATTCCTAGAAATGTGATCATTTTAAATATCACCATCTTAGTGCAGAAACAGGATAACTCCTTATAAGATAGGAGTTAACCCATTACTGCTGTAAAGTGATAATATGATACCTACTTCAACTATGGAGAAAACTTTACATAAAATAAACACACGAGTATCCAAAAAGAATACTCTTACAAAGTCTACAAAGACAATCATTACCTTTCCCTATTGGCTGTAGGATCGTCCAAGTGGGTCAAAGATTGACTGTTGACCATTGACCCATGTTCACTTCCCATAGGCGGTGCACTTAGTACACCAGGTTGTAACTGCTGGGCTGATGTAATGTCAAGGTGCCCTAAACCAGCAGCCTGTTTGAAGGATACAAAATATACAATGAATGAACATTAAAGTTATAAACGATGAAAAAAGTCTTACAAAACACCTGTAACTTGAAAAAACAGAACTATGTTATGTTTAGATATGACAACAGTTTTTTTACTAGCAGGTAGTACAAGCAATACTTTATTATTATTATGATGATTACTATTATTATTATTATTATTATTAGATTATGTACTTTATGTAATATAATATAGAATATCAAATGTGTTATTTAGTGATTTTCTTTTTTCTCTATAGCTGCATAGTTAAATATAGCAACATATTCTCTTGGAAGGTTCCTGTTACTTCTACATAAATACACATTATATCAGGCTGTCTCTAATTATCAAAATGGTAAACACTTTTAACGCTGATAATTATGTACTTTATGACACTGAAAATAGTATGTCATGTTTGAGATGAAATGCTTAATTGCAATAAAAGCTAATGCAAGATCTGAAGCAAGTTCATGCCTTATTTAACCAGCGTTTCCCTCGAGATTGTTTTAATGTTGATTACAACATGTCATACTAATCCAATATTTCGCCAACTCATCAAAAGATTAATGCCGAGTATTGTTAAGATCATTTCTTTAATTCCCAGGTTATGTCACTCAACTTTTTACTTTATTACATACAAGTCCCACTGGAAATCTCAATAAGTGTAAACAGAGAAGGAAATGACAGTTTACAAATTGTGGAGTAGCATCGTCTCTGTTTGAAAAATAATGGCAGAAATGCTGTGAGTTGAATGGTACATCAATATTTCACTACAGTAACATGAGATGCCAATCAGACAAATGTGTTCCAAGGGGAAAATTATTACCTTACCTACACATACAGGCTTGGCTTTAAATTGAAACAAGAACTGATAGTTTTTTAACCTTGTACACGCCTTAACCTTGTGGAGGAAATAATGAATATAAAATGCTTGTGACACAGGATGTATCATGTACAATGCACTCTCATTCTATAGCAAATTCCAAGAGAGCATTTTAGGTGAGAAACAATACTATTCTTAATTAAAAACACACCTAATGAATGAATATCAAAGAGAACTGGATTATTTCTGGATTATTTCTATATTACTGCTACATGTTTATCAATTCATATTACTCATTACTGAACAAGACGAAATAGACCTTATTTGTCACAACAGTCATCATTAAGAATTAACGCTGTTCGAGTTGACTTGGATGTGTACGCTTGACATTTTCTTGGCTGTACATGTTCGTTGACATTTTTGTAAGTTGGACCATTTTTTAATTAACACAAAAAAAGTGTTAATGCTGTACAAATGGACAAAAACATGTATCTGCCATACAACAATCTCAAATGTCTGGGCATGACATAGCCATGTAAAATACCCATACACTGTATTAGATTATATATTTAAATACATTACTCAACATAAAATTAGATTAAATTTAGTTAAAACTGTTAAGTGCTAGTATAAATTTAGCAATGGCAATGTGACTAGTGTTAAAATGTTATCTAAAAGATTACACTATCTTGTATAATTTACACTACACAGATAGTGTACTTTTGAAGTTGATATCTTATATTCTTTGCACTGAAAATCTAATCAGTCTGAGGTTCATATCAAATTGACTATCTGATATAAATGACATCACCTATGTCCCAAAATGAGATCATACCAAAAACAGGAAGATCAACCTATTAAAATAACATTTGTAAATTACAATATAAAAGTGTATTACAAAATCATTTTCATATGATGAAATGTATCCATTTAAATCAAGTACAAGTGTCTTAATGCATTAACAGCATATTTATAATATAAGATTCCAGAAACTCAAAGACACACCTTTTGATATCTGAATCTTATGTCACAATTTTAATACATATTAAGCAATTTCAACATTACCAATAATCTTCTCTTACTTTAATGTTTTACAGTCACAAACATCATATATAGAAAAGGAAAAAATTATACATATATTTCATGAATTAACATCATGAAAGGCAGAGTATCTTGCAAAAATACTTTAATATCAAATCCTCTCTCTTCAAATGATATAAAGAAAGTATTTAATTGTTCACAGTCTTTCGTCCAGGAGATATTCAGATATCTTCAAAACACTTATCATAAATTCCAGCTTAAGAATCAAAGAATCAGATGATTACATTGATCACTGATCATGTATTATAGACAATGCAAGTTAAGCTCTATATTACATGAATGCATAAGGCATTAAATGTGTTAGTTAAGCAGGTGCTTTTGCAGCCATTGCTACAATAAATTGACAGGCTAAAACTCTTCATAATATTCATTTCAGTTTTTTTTTTTTTTTAGTATTGAACCAATTTAACAGAATCCGAGTCAAAAACATGTATATTGTAACCTATAGCAGAAGGATACCGTAAATTTGTACTAATACATATCTTTCAGGGTTCCCCCCCCCCCCCCCCCCCCCCAAAAAGACAGACACATTGTCATTAACCAAATTGTCATGGAAAAACATATTTAAGCTTGGTTCATAGACTTAATATGCCATCTTATTAAGAATTAAAATGAACAGAGGTCCTTCTAGATAAGTAAAGCATTAATTTATGCCTTTCAAAGATGGCATACAAATTTAAAAGAAATTTTATATGATGCCTTTACATATTATCAGAATCTAGTTATCTTTAATCATTTTATGGAGTATTTTGATAGTTCATAATAACTGACTACATTATCACTTTATATAGGTCATTATTACATTTCCGCAAGTTTGATAACGATGCCCTTGAACGAGAATGTTATCAATACAACATGTATGTTTTAATCTTAATCATATTATGTAACCTAAAGTCTGCTGCCAGCAATATACTCTACCAATGAGACCAGTGCAGACCAAGATAAGCTGGCACATCTGTGCAATTTGACCATGGTCTGCACTGGTTGCTATTCAGTCAGTACATTTATTTGGAAATTTTACCTAAAATAATAATGGTTTTGTCCTGAATAAAAGATGGACAAGTTCATTTAAGATATAAAGCCTGGTCAGGGTTAAAAAGCCACAAAACTTTCACTACAATGGTTAGATTTACTCCTAGCAGTATTCAAACAACAAACAAATGACTTCAACAAACTAGGGTGAGTTATAAATACATAGCAGGTGAAAGAGTGGGGTGAAAAGTCGTCTTAAAATTAAGGTGAGGGTGGTCAAATGTGTTAATAACTAATGTCTGTGAAGCATTATTTTTCACTAAATTCATAAAATTTAGAAGCTGGTATGTACTAGTATCTACTTTTTTCTTCTTTTCTTCTTTTTCTTTAATGTATAAACTCATTAAGATCAAAAGACCAGTATGCATTCTGCATAGTGATTGATAATTATCACAGAAATAATTCTGACATTGTTTCAAAAAAAGAATGTGATCTATTAGCTTAAAATAACACTTCACAAAACAGTACATTACTATACTAGTAATATTTTTGTAAAGAGAGAATTAAACTATAACGAGAGGCAAAATAAAAATATAAAAAAAGAGACAGACTGAAAAATGAAAAAAACATGCTTTTTCAGTATGTTCTAAACTAACAGACCTTCTGGTGTAACCTGCTTTGTGCCGAGGTGCTTCGAGACATTTTTTTAGATTTGCTTGGGGATGCTTTTTTGTCAGAGTGTGCCTGTATCAATGGATGGTATGATTAGAGTATTCTCAAAGCAAATTACAGATTAAAGAATTAAGCAAGATACTGCATTAAGATCTTCATTTTCAAAAGCAGTCTAGAAAGTATACACCAATAAAGGAATGCCCTTGATGGAATCTATAAAAGATCAGGGGCTTTAACTCTTAAAAAAAAAAATTTCCTATACACATTATTAAAATAAACAAGACCATCAGTTCATTTCATAACTTTAATGATGTATTGTTGACAAAATTTTAACATTTTAACATGTCATTTACAATAAACATGAGGACTTTGTTACCGGATATAAGTAACTAACACTTTTATGGAGAACTTTTAACTTCATAAGAAGAGAAAAATTCCTGAATTATCACAATTATCACTCGGTAACAGATGTATGTACATGAAATCAATGACCTTTAAAAAAACACTAAATGTTATAACATTAAATCTGCTTTATCCTTATACACAAAGAAACAGCAGATGCTATAAACACTGCTGTTTACAAGTTAAATAAACCAAAGCAAAATATAATAGGTTTCATATTTTATGAAGAGACACATTCTGCATTCAGAACATTGTCATAAATACTGAGAATTTCATTTTGCTTTGCAGAATATGATAAGGTTGCAAATTGCAAAGCAAAAGTATTAAGATACTTGAAAATCTAAACAAAAACAACACGTATTAATATCAAAATGAAACAGCAACTTTCTTGACATTTAAGTTTCTCTTCTATATTATAGGAGTTGAGTAGAACAGCCGCCTTTAAAAAAGCATTAGAAATCCCCCCATATTCATCTTTAAATTGAAGTGTTAAAATTGAAATTATATCAGTCCGAAAAATGTTCATTGGCTATCAATACAGCTGTGTTGTTTTAACAGTCATTTAACGCCAGACTGATATCATTTCCTTATTTCATTCCTAACTTTGGTATATAGTTTCTAGAACGCAAGAATTAAGAAAACATACACTCTTAGTATCATAATGATATGCAGATTTATAGTATTACACCCCCTGAGGAAGCAGGCACGATTCATGAGTAACAAGTGTCAATTAACCACCTATAAAATACCATGACAACAGATGCATAACAATTACTTGATTAATAATTACAAAAAGAAAGAAATGAACAAAAAAAATATATATGAAAGTTTAACCACATGTATAATGGAAAGATGAATTTACAGATTGTTCTATTTGAACTACACAACAAACTGTCTAGCCAACTATAGAAAAAAATGCAACAATACTTAATATTATGATTCATGATATGTGTAATATGATAAGATGAAGTTTGTTACGATGAAAATTTGAAGATGATAAACCCTAACTAATAGTAGTATTCCCAACAAGTTAGTTTGTTTTTCCTTTAGAAATCATGCACATTTCAAACAAAACTCGTTAATTCTTAGATATCTACTGACAGTTTTAATAGATTAAGGTCTCCAGGGCTTAAAAAATCATGATATATTAAGAGTAGGGTAATTTTGAGGGAACTGATTGGCAGTATACCTGTACTTGTTGCAGGGCCTCTGGTGTTGCTGCATTACTTCCTGCTGCAGACCCAACACCAATCTGTAAATATTTATAGAATGATGAGTAACAGTGGAATATCATACGCTTTATACTTGCGGAATATCATTCGCTATTTTCTAGTGGAATATTATTCACTTTATACAAGAATAATATTATTCATTTTTATTCTAGTGGAATATCATTTGCTTTATACTAGCGAAATGTCATTCACTTTATTCTAGTGGAATATTATTCACTATATTCTAGTGGAATATTATTCACTTTATGCTAATGGAATATCATTCACCTTATTCTAGTGGAATATTATTCACTATGTTGTGGAAAATATTATTCATTTTATTCTAGTGGAATATTATTCACTTTATTCTAGTGGAATATTTTTCACTTTATGCTAGTGGAATATCATTCACCTTATTCTAGTGGAATAATATTCACTATGTTGTGGAATATTATTCTCTTTATTCTAGTGGAATATTATTCACTATATTCTAGCGGAATATTATTCACTTTAAGCTAGTGGAATATCATTCACCTTATTCTAGTGGAATATTATTCACTATGTTGTGGAATATTATTCTCTTTATTCTAGTGGAATATTATTCACTATATTCTAGTTGAATATTATTCACTATATTCTAGTGGAATATTATTCACTTTATTCTAGTGGAATATTATTCACTTTATACTAGTGGAATATCATTCACTTTATACTAGTGGAATATTTTTCACTTTATCATTGTTGAATATTATTCACTTTATACTTGTGGAATAGTGTTCACTTTATACTAGTGAATATAATTCACTTTATACTTGTGGAATATTATTCGCTTTATTCTAGTGGAATTTAATTCATTTTATTCTAGTGGAATATCATTCAGTTTATACTAATGGTATATCATTCATTTTATACTAGTGGAATATCATTCACTTTATTCTAAAAGGAATATCATTCACTTTATTCTTGTCCATCTAATCTGTACAAAGGGAAATCAGAAAGTTATGGTATTGAGAATTACAACAATGCATACTTTTCTACAGCTGTTCAAGTTGAAAAAGTGTATCTAGAATAAAACCATATAAAGGGCTAATAATGCAAGAGCTCACATATACAAATTTTGAATTTTTTTTAAGAGAATGTTTGTTTATCTTAATGATTACGATTTCCTTTTTTTTTAAATATTTAAAAAAAAACGCAAAATTCTACTATATCCCACTCACTTTTAAACAATGTGATATTACTTATATCCCATTGATATACTTCGTTCAATTTCGCACTGAAAAACATGAGGTAAATCTTTTGTTTCATTTATAATTTTCCAAGAATATTTTACATTTGAAAACATTAGCTTTAACTGAAGAATTAACATATATAATATCAAAGTACCTGCTCAGCTTGTTTTCCAGTTTGTTGGCCAATTTCTGACAACTCTGAAATTTGAATAAGACCTTGACCTTTAAATTCAATTTAATTTACATAAAACATAGATCAATTCTTCACTCCAAACAGAACCAGTTAAATTAATGGGAAAATAAAGCATCTACAACAAACATTTATCTTGTAGTTTACTTTTTGTTGTTTTTTTTTTCTGTCTACAAGACCGATGAAATTTCATTAGCATATCATTAACAATTTAAAATTCTACTTAATAGTTTCAGAACAATATTGATCAATAGGACTGCCATGCTTTATAACATTGTGCTTTAGCAAAATCTCCATGAAAATGTGATATTATAAAATTCTCTTCCAATAAAAGACAAAGATACAGATATTATACACTCCACTATATTAGGAAAAGATTGTAAAAGGAACCTTTTTTATATTATATATTGTTACTATTCAACTCAAACTTACAACAATTTGTTATATTTTCTTTAATCAATCAAATCTAAACTGCAGCAGACATTTTTAAAATACTGGAAAATTTCAACAGTGAGATGTAAAATAGAAGTTTATGAAGAATATACTTAAATTAAAGCAGAAAATTGCAACAAAAATGCCGAGATGTTAGTAGTTTATGTTTTACCAATTTTTTGTTCATCATTCATCACTTGATGTTTCTGTACATCTTCTATCTGTTTATCTTTGACAACAGCTGACTGAGACTGCTGCTGTTGTTGTTGTTGCTGCTGTGTATAGCCCTGTCCTTGACTTCCCTGGTACCCCTGTCCACCTTGCTGAGAGGACTGACTTTGTGAAGTTTGTGGGTAGTTCTGCTGGTACCCAGCTGACTGCTGGCCAGTATACCCTCCTTGTTGTTGCCCTACCTGCTGTATAAATATATAAGTCTTACTTACTAATTTACATTTTCTATACATTGTATTTGAAATTGTGTACAGCGTATTATAATCATGTTGCTTTTGTAATCTGTAAGTTTAAAATATAAGAAACTCCATAACATTCTTTGTGAAATTTCAAACATCATTATAAAGAAAGGAACAACTTTCCTACCCGACTTAAATGACATAACAGTAAATCTTGCATGTGCTATCATTATAGCAGGGCTTTTTTCCTTCTATAACAGGGGCCGATATAAGGCCCCTTCACAATTCAAAATTGCACTTTTTTTTCACAAAGTGGCAAAAAAAATTCACAATTTCAAAATAAATTTCACAAAATATTAGGACTTTGTCTTCGAAATACATCGATTACCTTCCAGTAAAACATGATTTACGCCAATCTTAAGAACACGGTTATAGTTTTAATCAAGTTAAATGGTTTTAGCACATGTTAAGCGGGTTAAAGTATCGAGTTGAAGCAGATTTTCTGGTTTCATAATGTCACTAAATACCAAATACTATGTAAATTTTTTTCACAATTTTATAACAAATCGCGTTTTTTTCACAAAATGAACAGGTCCAGGCCCCTTCACAATTTTGACAAAAAATGTCCTGTATAGGGTAGCTCATGCTGTCTGACACAACTCTACTATTGTTCATTAAAACCCCTTACAAAAACAATGGACAGTTCCAATATCAAAGCAATAGAAATACATCAAATAAATTTATCATATTAAGTTCTACTACCAATGTATAGAATAATCTAAAGAAGGCAAATTAGTTTGATCATGGTAAACTTTTACACAAACCATACTATTATTTTTCATACAAAGGCTTTCTTCAGCATGACAGGGTTACATATTATCAATATTCTTTTCCAGTTAACAATTTTCCACTATAAAAACATGTTAAAAGGGTCAGATCTATTTCAAGACACTTATCATCATTATCAATGATATTGCAACAAAAAGTTACTTCATAAACAATTTAACACAAGGCTATATTCATTAATGTTCTTAAACTGACATAAACTATTTATGTAATAAATCACAATTACTTCTTTCTCATTTCAAGTTCCTTGTTAACTTGTTTCTCAAGTTTAACTTTTGAAGACTTTACAACCATTGTCTACAAGGAACCTTTATGGCAAAAAAGGTTGCCAATTTAGAAAGCTTAACTTTCCATTTCCAAGCAGAGAAGATGGTTGACTTAATCCAACCAATTTTATTTTTCTGATTAAGTAAGATGTATTAATAGTTATACATAAGATTGGGCCATAAATAATAATTTATAACTCATCCTAAACTTAAGTGGTTAGATGCTCAGCCAACCTCCAAATTAATTTACTAAATCACACAAATTTATAACCATATGGATATAGCAATATAACTTGCACTTTTCTGTTCAATAGTAAACAATATTATAAGGAGTGGCAATTTTTATATAAACAACCAATCCTAGCCAATATGTCATATGCAATGGTAACCAAAAACAAAAGGGTGCTTATTGTGATAATTGTAAATTTCCAAGCCACAATATTAACATGTGCTCCATTAGGAAAAGTCTCAAACTATTTAACAATGTGAGTGCAAGAGATAATTCTCCTCCTTTGTTGAAAGTATAGATCAAGGCAAGTCTGCACTTCTTTACGGTCTGATCAGGATCTAAGGTTGTAAAGAAATTCTAGTCAAACTCAAATCTAATGACCCGGGTCTTTTATTAGTCAGAAACAGGTACAGAATGTTCACAGATCAATGAAAATCTCAAGATTCAAGATAAAACCCAGTAAAAAGTTTAATAACCCCAAGGTCAGCTCTAAATTGTTGGCTGCTTCTATTTTAGCATTTTGGACTTTAATAGTTTGTTTATGTTAAATTTTAAGACACAGAGACAATGGAATTATCTGTCATACGGAAACTTTTCCGCTTACCCAGTTGAGAAATACCTCATGTGCCCATTTGTGCATAATTTCAGGCATAAGCTGGAAGCTTATGGAATCTATGTAGGTAGTTCTAATTTTATTTTTTTATGCTTTGGAGTGGAGTTCCTTTAAAGAACTAGAATTTCTTTCAGAGTATATGTATGGTCCTTTGACAAACAAATGAGGTGTATGACATTATCACAGACTAGGGCTTCAGATATTATTAGTCATTCTTATAAATACAATGTCTTTGTGAACATAATAGTTTACCAAATAAAATTAATCAAACTTTGCAAACATATAGATCACAAAAACAAAACAAAACCCAACAATATGTTAGTTTGCTTAAATATCAACTTATACAAGGAAATTTTCCTTCAATGGAGAAAAATTTCATATTTGTTTTATTTACAAAATACATAAAAGGATTGTTCGCAGACATTGCGGGAATTGCCAGGAAGTGTGCAGAGTACACAGGATTGGTGCTTAACGTAACCACTAATTTGTTCAATGTCAGTTTACCATAAACAATTTACAGAACTTGCTAAAAAGGGTAGGTATCATAGTATCACAATTACTGAATAACCTCACACTTGCAATTTGTTTACTAAGATGTAGTAAATTATACAACAGCCCACTCTTTCATTGAAGAATCCAAAATACGATCATACAAAATTAAATAACAAAACTATTTCTTACATTTGAAATTCAGTTCAAGCAAAATACAAGGGTCAATACTGAAGGCAAAGAGAATGAAAAAATAAATCATTAATACCTGAAATTCTTGTTGCTGGCCACCTTGTTGAGTGGGATACACTTGTTGCTGATATTGCTGATAGTTGCCAGTTTGTTGAGGATACACCATCTGTGGTTGAGAGCTGGACGATTGCTGCTGTTGGCCATAAACTTGTGGTGACTGGCTTTGATTACCAACAGGTTGCTGATTGTTATACATTTGTGTAGACTGCTGTTGTTGTTGTCCTATAGACTGATGCTGGGGGTACATCTGTTGTTGTGGTCCTCCTGATTGATGCTGATTAAACATCTGACCAGTCTGTTGTTGTTGTTGCTGACTACCAGAAGACTGATGTTGATTATAAATTTGTTGTGATGGCTGCTTTCCTTGATAAGATTGTTGCGAGGACTGTGACTGCTGATTTACACCCTGTGACAATAATTAAACCTTTCACTGCCAACTTTATACAAAATACTTCTATACAAAGTTAAAGTTAAGATTAAACGAGGAGGTAAAGGTACTTAAAATTAGAATGCTCAAACTTGGCAGGCTATAGTCTGATAACAATCCAAAGATGTGCAGAATCAAACAACTGCATACAAGTGGCATTAATGATAAAATGAGGTAATTTCTCAGAACCAACAATTTAATACACCAGGAAAATGAGATCATTTTCATTAATTTCTGTTGGTTTATTACATTTTTCTGGTTTTTACTCAATTTAACACATGATCCAGTGATGTCACAGTGCTCTATCTACCTAACCAGCAAACAGTTATTACAAATTTCTCCACAAGTGAATGAGTACTAAACCCACATGATTTCTGCATAAGCAGTGAGAGACAAAGACCATTATATTCAATGTCTAGAGATCAATTGTCATGGAAAAAGTTCACCTCACCTGAAGACCGAACCGGCAATCTCTGAATTAACTATTCTGATGCTCTCCCTAACTGAACTAGGCGGGGTGACATTTTTATAAACGATCATTATAAGTTTCATTCAATATTCTAATAATAACATCATTTGCATTTTACTGAAAAGAAAATTTTGCAAACATTTACTTTAAAGAGAGTAAATGGTACATATTGTTTTAACAATGATGCCAGCGAGTGCCCACAATATGTATGCAAGCAATGTTCAAAATATAAAGATCTGAGAACAAATATCAGCATATCATTTTTACACTAACCATTTGTTGTTGTTGCTGTTGTTGTTGTTGTTGTACACTAGAAGCGGACTGTGATGGATCTCTAGATTGTTCCTGTTGGCCCCCTTGTTGGTTATAGTTTGTTGTACTTTGTGAGTTGTCACTGACACTTGAACTTACTGTCATACCCTCACCTTCTGGCAACTTTGTCTGGCTCTCAGCAGCTTTACGTTCTCGCTCCCTCTTTACCTACATTTTGTATAGATAATTCTACATTCTCAGAACATTCAAAATTCTACTTGTTACATTTCTCAAATAAATAATTATAAGTTATGCTCTTTGTACCTAACAAATGTGTAAGCAAGGTTTGGATATTTTTTTGCCATTTTCAAGCTGTGATTTCATCTGTTTGCTTTTCCAGTAGCTCTGTTTCAATACAGACAAATTTCCTTTACATTTAATGCAAATGTCATACACCTAACCTGTATGGAAAGCATATCAAATTACATAATTTTCTCAATGATTTATACAATTTGTGTATCAAAAATTTGATCATTCAGTATCTGGATTATTTCAATAAAGAATGATTTACAATAGATAGGATACAAGTCCAATAAATACCTGCTAGCTTTTGCTTTCTTTGGCATTGATAATTATGATAATGCAGTGGTTAGACTTGTATATTGTTTAAAAGATAACCGTAAAAAAATCATGAGCTTTAAATTTATTTTTTTTTCAATTTCTGTCAGAAATAACATTTGCTATAAAGGGATAGACCTCTTATCTAGATATAAATGAATACTTTAAAGATACTTTACCTGGGTGATTCTGTCTTTGATCTGTTTGTTAACAATACGCACATCTTCTTCTTGTAGAAATCCAGACTTTACCTTTAGTAATTGATAACCCAAATAGATATAAATTATGCAAGACAACTGAAATTTACTTAGAATTAAACCACACAAATTTGTTTCTGTCTCTTTGATAAGATTGTACTGTTTAAACCAAGTAATTAAACTTTGCGAAAAAGAAATAAAGAAATAAAAAGGAAACAAAATAATATTGAGACAACTTTAACAATGATTATTATAACAAGAATGAATATACACATCTTCTGTTCTTAAAGTAAATCTTTCAATATATGTTGTTTCCTTTAAAGGTACATTATGTCTAAGAAATGAATAATGTTTTCCTTCTTTAGAAAGGACAATATCAATTTTATAACATTTATTAAATAATGATTTTAGAGCATTGTACATGCATATTGCCTGAATAAAGAAGCGCTGAATGTGAATTTATTTGTCTTAAAAGTAGCAAAATGTTAACAAAATACTTAATCACTATAACTGTACTGATTGCTAAAATGAACAGAAACAAAAGATGGTTCAGATTATTGGCCAATGAGTATTTTTTTGGAAATCAAAATAGGACACCAAAAATAAAAGGTTTCTGACATATAAACATAACAGCTTCTCTGACTGGCCTTTAATCAATTTATAATGAAATCTTACATGCCTTCTTAATAACAGTATAGATCAACCCATATGATATCCTGACGGAGCCAAAAAAATATCAGCCTTTGCTACCAGTATAGAGTCAAGCGAGCCTGTATATCTGTGCAGTCTGACCAGGCTCTATACTGTTGGCTAATTAACTTAAAATTGACACCATATCCCCAAATTCCAAAATGAAAACTGGGCAGGACCAGTTAAGAAATTCAGCAGATAATGGGTGTATTATGCTATTACATTTAAATAATGTTTTTACAATGTCAAAAGGTCAGTTTAAATAAAATATTTTCACATGTTTATGTAATAATACATTTTCCATATTTGTACTGCTGTTTGTTTTGATAGCATTTTTATACACACAAGATTTAAATACAAGAAAATGTGAAGAAAAAAAATGTATTCTATGCAGACCATTTCTTGAGCAACATTTTCTGAGGCATCATTGTCCATGTCAAAGTCAAACTGGATAGCCTCATTTTCTTTGTGCTTGTCTTTTCTTTTCCTGAAAATATCAATATTTAAACACTTTTAGCTGAGGCCTTTGTAAATGATAATCCTCCTTTTAAATGTTGTGTGCAGGCTTTATTCACTCAATAACATATCTTCATGCATGGTATTGTATTTATGCCCATTTTATCTAACAGACTATTGATCTTCACAACAATTATCAACAAATCTATTTTATTTCTTGGCATGCCTCATTCATCAAACATTCTACATCTATGAAAACAAATTTTATTTACAATTCAGCATTGAATAAACTTACAATGTAGATAACATAATATATATACTTGTAGTCAATGCCTATCTAAAGTTTGCACTTGAAATATTAACAGAATGTCAGTAGAACAAGAACAACAACGTTAACATGGTTGAGAAAACAATTAATTCATACTATGGATTAACACCTGTTAACCATGCAAATAACAAAGCCAGTTCTTATTTCTATAATTCTTTAAGAGGGATGTTCAGAAAGAACAACTACTTTTTGCTAACAAACAAGGCAAGTTCTTAGTCAAGCAAACAACTTAAGTTAGTAAGTTTAAGGACTGGATGCTTCCTATAGATCAATATTTTTGAACTAAGTCCACTTTCAGTCTATTATCATGTTTCAAGAATGATAATAAAGGAAATTATGTAAGAAGGAAGAACTGTTCCACAACACAACAAAGTTGAGGATTCAATGCCTTATATCAATACCTATTTATAAAACCAGCAAATCTAAAATAAAGTTTAAACAAAGGAGATTTAGAACTGAATGCATACTTTGTTTCAAAGCCATATCTATCTACACGGGCAATCTATGCCTAACATATAGTTTTTACAACAGAGGTTGAGAACTGAAAGTGTTGTTTTTTATAAGATACCTTTTATTCAATCATACTTGCATAAAATTTTAGCACAGGAAATAAATAAGATGTTTTGGTACTAAACACATACTTTGGATCAACTACCCGGAGCCTCAGTTGTATGGTATTTGTTTGTTCCTCACCCTCAGTACCAACAAGTTCTACCTTCAGACCAGTATCCTCCAAGAAGAAGTCATTCTGAAGTAACTCTTTTACTACATATCTGAAATGTCCAAAACATTTATATATCAATTTCACAGAAAATACTTATATCTCTCCCATGCATTTTCATTTAAAGGCATATTTAAGACTTATAAAAGGAATACTTTTTCTTTCTGTAAAGCGAGCACTTGTAGTATAATGTTGTAATTATAGATTCAGAGCATATGAGATGTTTATAAACTGAAGAAAATAACGCTGAATATAAATAATTTGTTATAAAGGTAAGGAAATGTAAACAAAGTGGTATTTTGACTTCCATACAAAATACTTAATCATTATAATTATACTTATTGCCACAATGCAAAATATGGCTCAGATATTTGTTTTTAGAAACTATAACAAGACACCAGAAATTAAGTTTTTTAAAATATAAATTATAGAATTTTTTAGGCTTCATGGGCCTTTAAAATATATCTATGCAACATAATCTGTATCAAAGAGGAATGATGTATTTGCGGGACAATAATTATTGATATAAATCTTTTCTTGTATACAAACCATCATTGTTTCCATTGAATGACAAAACCTTACAAAGAGTAAATTTATTCAAATATAACCATTTATTTTACACATAGTTAAACAGTACTACACTGATATTACATCTAAAAGTCTCAACTATTTGAAGTATTTTATTGCATTAAAAGCTGGTGTATCATTTCACTCATTAATCATGCAAAAATATGAAAAAAGGGACAAGAATTTAACATTCCCTTCTTAAATATCATTTTAGTTTACCAAGCTGTTGCATTAATAGGATGTCATAGTCGTAAAATATACTACAATGAAAAAAAATCCAATATAAGAAGTGATGATGACATTAAAATTTTGAGGAGTAAAAACAAAGCAAATTTATATGGCAGCCCCAGCAGACTTCAACTGGATTCCAAATTATGTGGACAAAGTTGATCATATTAACTTTATTTGTCAAGATCAACTTTTATGGCCTGACAAAAAATTTAAATCTACTAAATGGAAAGCCCACACCAGGTATATGTATGTCAATAATTAACTACACAATTGAAATTTAAAGATTTCTATCATAAATATATGTTTTTTTCCTTTGCTTTGTAAGTCACATTTTGATTAATTGGAAATTAACAACTCTAAATTGCCTGTCAAATCTGCACTTAGATTACATGATTAAAAATAAATAGTTCTAACAGATCAATAAGGCATTCCAGTGAGTCCCAACATTGCATGACTCAAGCATCAATACAGCCAAGCTGTGTCAGATCGCATGAAAAGCTTCGATGCCAGCTGGCTAAGCAACAAACCTTACCTCATAAACATTTTTATTTATGATTCAGTTAGGCAAAGCTAAGATTCAAATCTAAATCAACACAATTACTGCTTTCTCCTATAACAAAAATTTATGTGGTGTGGGGTAGGAGGGTATGGGTTTTTTTGGTTTGGTTATTTTGTTTTTTGATTCGGCTTTTTTGTTTCTTTTTGGATAAGTTACAGAATAGGACCATAAAACATTCAGAAACATTCTTATTTTTTATCATTTTATAATAGCAAGTTTTTGCAGATTTATTACTTCCTCTCTCAAGCTCTAATTATGCGCTAAATGACAAAAAACTTTTATTTATTTTAGAAAAAAGACAACTAGTTACCTTGAGGAAAATAATTTAGTGACATAGTTTTGTAAGATGCACATAAATTTGAAAACTACCATTAGATTGGCTTCTTTTATGAGGAAGATGCAAACCACAATGCTGATTAGGCAAGATTTGTTAGCAGAAATCAACATCTCTTAATCAAGAACAAAATTTCAAAAGTTGTGAAAAAGGATAGTGTAGATTCTATAAGCCATTACAAAATTGGAAAATGTTGGCAGGGATTCATTTTTTGCTAAAATTAGTTTAACAACCAAAAGTGGTTAGCCTGCCTTTGGTATCGGAATAGAGCCAGGCCAGTCTGCTCATTTGTGCAGTCTGGCAAGGCTATATTATGTTGGTAGCTCAATTTTGCATTTTAACTTTGAATGAACTTGTCCAAATTCAAAGCATGTTTTTTTTTACTAGTACCAATTGACTTACAAAAATTCTCTGTAAAGAATTCATGTGTTCATACCTTTGTCCTTTTTTGTTTCGTATACAACCCTCTATTATCTCCTTGATTTCAGGATTATCTACCTTGGCAAATGCTTCTGGTAATACGCCCTGAAAAATGTTAAATTACAATTACGATGAAATTCAGTAAATTTTCAGAAATATTCTGCATTACGTTGCATGTTATCATTGTAAATAAACTAAAGTTTTTAAGACATGTTTGTTAAATAAGTAGCATTCTAAAATACAGAAATTGCTTGTGTAAGTATAAACACATGGTATAGAAGGTAAATTATGTGCACGTTATTTTTTATTAGATTTAACTTATTCTTGAAATATGTTGCCATTACAAAAATATAATATGGATAAAATGTTTCTTTTCACTACTCATCAGGAAGTAAGTTACTGAATATAAGACAAGTTTCTAAGTTACTCCAAATATCACCTGTATGAAAAGAAATACCATTATTATGTCGGCAAAACATAAAATATACAACTTCTTCACCTCATTGTAATACAAGTATTAGCAGTGTCATGAAGTCAATAAGATCAGACTAAAAGGTTAAATTCTCAATTACACATAAAAATATCTCGCAAAATAAGTAAACAACATACTTTTTGGTTACCTACATTTAAAAATAGATTTATTCACATTGTTGACAATGCAGACAGCTCTGATAACGAATATTTTATTGCAGATCTTGTGAAAGAAAACATTCATTGGACATGTTATTTAAATTTCAAGTAAATTTAAATATTTTCACTCGATTCAAAACTATGTACATTTAACCCTGACCCAGCTGTAACTGGAAGTGATTACAAATTAGCCCTTTGCCATCAATAAAGCTGGCTATCCTGCACTTCTGTACAGAAAAACCAGGCTCTATACTGTTGGCTAACATTTAGAAATACCCACAATTGATAAAGGACAGTTCCAAAACTTAAAGCTTGACATCCATTTAAGGAAATTCAACAGGACTTGTTTTAAAGGTTTATGAAGTATTTATGCAAATTGATCAGTGACTATGGTAACAAACTTGAGGTTTCATCTTTTAGTAAAAATTCGTATTTTATTAACATAAGAATATACATACGCTGGTGACTTTTTTGTAAATCTGAGCGGCGTTTGTACATTCCTTATATGGGTATTCTGAGGTGGCCATTTCCAGCATGCACATGCCGAATGCATACACATCCACAGACTCGTCATAGTGCTCCTCGTACATTTCTGGCGCCATGAACTCCGGAGTACCTTAAATTTACAATAAGACCTAGGATGTCTTTGTTCTTGTTCTCACTGCAATAGGAAACCATGAGGGAAACGTTGTTAGTGAAATGTTCTCTAGACCCATGGACAACATGCTGCTTAGTAAAACATACAGTCATTCATTTGCCACAATGTATCATTATATAACCTTAAAAAAAATGTTGAAGCCTATCATTCAGGAATGCAACCCTGATGAGAAGAACAGTTTTTATTACAAAAATGGATTTAATAATATAATGTTTATCTCCTGCACATACTTACATTCCAGGCATTTCTGTACTGACGAAAAAAACATGGTCAATTTTAAAATAATAAAACATGTATTATTTAAAGATATATAAAAAATAGAGAAGTATAAGGGCCTATTAAGATGTATCTTATTATGTGATAAAAGCTCAGTATTATAATAATTCTACATATACATGTATGAAAAAAATAACTAGGTCACTGGGACAAAATTTACTGTATGTTTTATTATGCAGCATGTATGACTGCTGAAAATGAATGAATGGCAATGGTTAGAATTATATCATATAACAATATTGAAGATTCAGTTACCACTTACCTTAAGTGAAGATCTACCTTTAAAATAGTTAGTGTAAGAAATGATTACAATTGTAACAGAAAATTCAGTTTTAAAATGAAAGCAAAACAAAAACACAGCAGACAAACTTGTAGATAATAAAAAAAAAAAGGTCTATAAGAATAAAATAAACATTAAAATAACAACTGATACTTTTCATACATTTGTATGTTATCCTTGATCAAAGTTTATAATAACAATACAAATAAAACTTCCCCTTTTGAAATGAAAAGTATTACATGATTTTTATAAAATAGAAAAGCATCAACAGAAACAGCTTACCTTTCCGGTGAGTGGAGGGCTGTTCATTTTCAGCTAAACAACTAAATCTCATTATTAAAGGCATATAATATCAAAAATAGCAGATAACAAATAATCTTAACTACGTATTATTACTATGAATGTTGATAAACATTTCCACTTACCAATGACACTCTTTGCAAATGACTTATTCTTCAGTGTTGCTAAGCCAAGGTCACCAATCTTCACAGAGCCTGTAGTGCCTGTGATGAAAATATTGTCACACTTCAAGTCTCGATGTATCACAGGTGGGGTTCGTGTATGAAGATACATTAAGCCTTTCAATATCTGACGGCACCAGTTCTTCAACACTTTCATGTTTATCTTCTTGAACCTTTTAATATACCTGAAATAGAAAATCTATCACTCATTACTGTGTTCTTTGTACTTTAGTGATGAATGTTCCTTTTTATAGAACTATAATTATATCATTTTTAGAAGTATGGATATCAAAATTATCATCTGTGTAATTCTGAGCTGTAGACAACAGACAGTGGATTATGTATGATCAATTTGTGGACAAAACAACACCATACATTAGAGCTGAAACGTATGGTGTCCCGTTTGGGCCAACCAAAATGACACCAATTGACATGCAAGATTGTGTCAGCCAAATAAAGTCATTTCAATGATACAACGTAAAAGTTAGGAAATGGAATCCACTTTTATCAAGGAAAAAAAGAAGGGAAAGGCACCACTAACTTAATGACATGTCTCATTGTATTGAGAATTGGTGCATTAAACAGTAATATTGTTGCAAAAACTATACATTAATATGTTTTGCCATATCAGAAGCCTATTAAAAACAACTTTTAACTATCTTAATTGTGTATCCTTATTAGATATGCTTTTACTATATATCCAGATTTATGATATTCTCAGTAGTGAAGTAGACTGGCAAAAAGCACTCTAATATAAAAGAAAACACCTCTTCCATCTTCTTTTGAAAGTTCTATATCTTTGATTATATAACAAATTACTTGGCAGTGAAAAGGGTCTTTATCCAAATGCAACATAAAATATTCTCATTGCTATATAAAATTACTGCATATTTTCATATAAATGTCTCAATTACAAATTTTGTAATTGAGTAAAAAAGGATAAAAAAGACGCATTTTTTATGGTCTGTCGCCTTCGACACAGCTTCATATATCTGATTGTTACACTAAGTGCAGATAGCAATCTATATAATGTCAAGTTATTTCAGACCTAGAGGATCTTCTTCTATATGAGAACACTCATTGTCAAAAACAAAATGAGTTAATTACCTATTTGCTGCTGTGACCAATTGTTTATTTTTCTACTAAATTCAGCCTATCCCCCTCTTCCACGAAAAAACCCATGAGAAAAACATAATTGTTATTCATAACATCAGGAGATAATTAATTGTATAATGATGTTAAGACACTATGAACATTGTAAGGTACGGTACATAAAAATAAATTAACAGAAAATATCACTTTGTATCATACACTGTATCTATTAAAGCTTTGATATTTAGCATGAATAACAAAACAGTATAAACTCTTTTGCTTCAAACGATGATTGATTGTTTTGTTTCATAGGGTTAAAAGTAGCACCAACACAGATCAAGTCATTTGGAAACTTTCCAGCTATTCTATGGTGCAGCAACACTTGAAAAATACTTCCCTGGTAACATTCATACTATTATATAAGTTGTCTGGCAGACTCACCATAGCTGGATGACGTCCTTGTTCATACGCATGAAAAGATAAGGTGTGGGAGATTGTTTTGACTTTTATTTCAGTTGCCAGGTTAAAATAGAAATCTTCAGAAAAGTATTTTTTACTAGAGGTTAAAGGCAGTTCCCTGAATGTGCTCAATACATTCTTCTTCTCTTAACTTAAGCATTGATCCCTTAAGGTGTTTAATTCATTGTCTTCAAGAAAAAGTTTTCATTAAGTTTTGACATCACATTGAGATGTTTGATTCACTTTTCCTCTACCTAAAATAAATAGCCTGGCCTGCACACATTCATATTTAAAACAAACAAATACAAAAGCCCCTTCATACCTACATCAGATTAGGTTTAGATCTTTCTGTTTGAGAAAGGCTGTGTTGCCAATAAATCAATCCAATCTCTAGACAATTAATACACTATTTTTCAAAGATGAATCAAACAGTATAAGCATTAAAAACTTATAATGAAACAATTAATTACCTTGGTTTTATCAGCAACATGCTACAGATAAAATGTTGTATGATAACATACATTTACAGAAATCATTTATCAAGATTTCTGGTAACAACAACAGTAGGGAGAAATTAAAAGTAATTAACTTCATGCATGCATAACTGACATTCTACAATCAATATAAGGTCATTATAGACAATTATTTTTTATAGCTACTACAGTTGCTGATCAATCTTTATTCATAAAAATGACAGATTTCAGTTTGTTTCAGGTTAAAAGTTGCCTGTTTCCCATTCATATGCAATTTATTAGTCATGTTCTGTTTTGATTTCCTTTTGTTTTGATTTTACATTTGTTGTACAAGCATCACAGTATTTTTTTGTCATAACAATCAGGCAAGTCATATATATAAAAGTTTTGCTTTTCCTAGTGTGTAAAAAAGTCTACGCTTTTTTCCCCACAAGTAACTACCAACCTCTCCACAATAAATAAACAAAAATGCAAAACAAAAACATTTCCAATGGCCTTTTTAACTTATAAACCAGAGGCTCTATCTTCTGAAATATTGACCAGAAAATTAAACAACATTCCTTACAGCCTGCATTTGCATTGCAGTTAGACTGCATTTTTTGGTGTGTCCCCACATTACTTAGTCAATGCAGTGTTTTGTTTTTATGCCAAAATAATAACAGACATTACTACTTGTAGAGAAATCTGTCCATTTGTCTTTCTTTGCAAAGGATTAAAATCCCAGACTAAGTTGCAACGTACATGTACTTCCTAGGTTATGGAAAGCCAAGTTCATAAGCAGATAGGTTATCATGTATAGTACATTGATATTAGTCCCGTACTTGACTCTCTACTGCAAACAACTTTACAACAATTTCCTAATTATATGAATTAAGCTGAGCTTCATCTTTTTACAACTTAAACCTAAGGGACTATTAGGCAATCTCTCTAGTACTTGAAACAAAATGTCTTCAATACTTTAAATTATTATTATAAATTATTATTGTGAAATGTTCAGTATTTTACAAACTTGAAATTTTTATCAAAACCAAAATGGTCTACATACTTATAAGTACGCAACCAGCGAAAGCAGTGAAAAATTCATTGGACTTACGAGGAAAAACCACTTCCTTAAATGCTTATGAATTAAGTAAAGTGTTACAGAAATTTTAAACATCAAGATGCCACGCAAAGAATTGAAACACTTGAAAGAGTGTAGCTTACATGGCAATGTCATTTAATATCTTCATAAGAGGATTTATAACTGAGCAATGGTATGTATAAAGCATCAACTTCCTGAGTATAAAAACACTTCAGTAATTTGGTCAATAGATTATCTCATTCAAACACAGCAAAATACAATAATTCACTATTAATTGTCACATTGTATTATGAAAGAAACATCATATACAGGAAATAAATTGCTTGATTGATAAATAAAAAGCGATCAGAATAAAATGCCTTAATGAAATATACAATCATGAAAGAACAGTGGAGTATCTGGCTAAGAGCATAAACTAAGCATCTGGTTTGTTGATTTATTTGATATAATCTGTCTTATTTTCATTATTTTGATGTATGAACATGTGAAAGATTCACCCTTATGAACTGATACAATACTTTCAAAGATAAACTAAATAATAAACAAAGATAATCAAAATCAGCCATTCATACCACTTCACATTCTTCATTAAGAAAACAGAGAAGGCAATATCTTAAAGGAAAAAAAATAACAACCTGAAAAGAAAACTTCATACAATGAAAACCTTTTAAAAAAAGGGGAAAATTATTTATATTTGCAGGAATAAAATGAAGCGGCTTTCTCGGAAATGGAGATGTACTACTAGTGTTTTACAAAAATAATATTGTTGTAGTTTTAGCAAGGCACCTGGTTAAGGTTTGATTTAATGATTGAGTTTGTATGAGAATTGAGACCTCATTTGTTGTCATTATTTATTACTATAAATCTGTTGGGGCTAGACTGTGTACCAGTCTGGGAGATTTTAGTATAGTAACTCTGTCAACAGGTACCTGCATAAATTATGGACAAGAGGCCTGCAATTGTTGTGTTTAGGGAACTCAATCATTGGTTACCATCATAAATATTCCAGGAATCAGTCTGTTTGTTTCTGGTACAGTTACTTGATCAACACTTGTCGTCATAAATATAGAAGGCTTAGATTTGTCAATTAACACTAAGGTAACCTCCAAATATGGAGAGACAAGGTATTTCATATAAATACTGGGACAAGATTTTCTAGGGGCAGTCTAGATTGAAGATTGAAGAACAAGATTCAAAATGCAAGAGTAAGATTGTAAGAGCTAGAGTCAAGATTCAGGATTCGAGATTGAAGTTTCAAGAATGAGATCTTAATAGTTAGATATAAAATTCTCAGTGACTTATCAACCATGTGTGAGGAAGAAAAACTCTGTAACTTTAAATATTACTTGTAGATTAGAAATTTAGGACACTTTCAAATAAATAAATAAATGGTGAAATGAAACGGAAAACAGTTATTGTTTATTTTATGCAAATATGTGAAATTATGGAAGTAGTAGAAATTATAAATTACAAGAGAGAAGAATTTATAACAATATTCAAGAATAATATATAAGCCTGATGCAGATGAACTTGACTGTTGACCTTAAGTTTTTTTTCACAATCTGCTTGTTATTAATAGAGAAGGTTCTGATGATGAACATCTACTGAATTAATATCAGAATTTATTTATGACAATTCAAATGACATTCAAAGGTCTTAAATAGCACTGGTGAGAATAGTTTTGTCAAGCTATTTTCACTTTCTTGTGATTTCATGCCAAGATCACGTTGGCACTCAAACATACCTGGCATGTAAACATAAAACATTACCGCCTCCATAATGTTATATAACAACAATCTCTCCACAAAAACTTCTGTCATCCATACATCAGTTTAAGCAACTGTTATGACTTGTAATTCGGACAGCTGCATGCAACTTCCAAAGGTACACTACTTAGTCAAAGAAATAAGCCATTTTGTCTGTGCTTAACATAATAACATGTCATATTTTGACAGGTCTTTTTATTGTATCATAGCAGGAACAATTAACCTACATTCAAATTCATGGATTTTACATCTTTAAATTGATATATTCCACAAAATGATGTGGCATAAACAATTTGTAGGGGAAAAAACCCACTTTTTTCTATGCTTACAATCATGAAACTATGAATTTAATTTGAACATATCTTGTAATTTTTTCTCTGACCTCTCAATCAATGGATTAGCATGAGATACAGTCAAAGACATCTGTAATAATTCAGTATGAAATTCTTCTGGAGAAGAAAATACTGCATACACATAATGTGTGATAAATTGATAAACTTTAAGAGTTTTATTTTCCTTCAATTTCTAAAGCAGGAACAATGTACTTTAACATAACCAGCCGCCTGTCAGACAGGTTGTTATAAACCACATATTTGTATACTGGACTAGATTACAAGTTTCAACTACCAGATGGAAGTAAATTTTGCTTACAGACGCAGATTATTTCCCTCTGACTCATAATCTGAAGTATTTTATACAAACTACCAAGAGTAATTGGCCAAATTATTTATAATGAATAGCAACTCTGTCCTTCACCACCACAACAGTCCTATGTACAGTATACACTAACCTTAATACCATATTATATACAAAAAGTTTACAATAGTATAGAAAATTGGATCTATTCCCACACTTAAAAACATTTTCATTCAGTATATTGTGTAAGTGGTTGTAATTTACGTTTTTCTAAAATATTGGATTTAAAAAATGTTATCTACCCAATAGGATAGGTATATGTAAATAGTTTCCAGGTCAAGGAGCGGTTTTGGGTTTAAGCTGTGCCTATTATACATACATACACTCCTTATCAATAACACTGGGTTTAAAGTTATCTCACACTTGCAGATTCTCATTTAAAACCGTTTATTCTAAAGAGTAAATACAGATCAATGAACATTCTTTCCGATGACTGATTTTCCATCAGTGAAAATATGCCAAGTCTAGGTCATTACATGCTTTTTGTATATAGGTAAAAATCTATCAGTTTATGCACCCACTGACATTTTCTACAATTTCTCAAATACATTAAATGTACTCAGCCATGTAAAATGTTGAAATTCTCTTAAAAACAACTTTAAAATCCTGAGATTCTTTACAAACATTTAAAAGATTTGTTCAGTTTATTATAAATTTTTGTAAGTTGTGGCACATAGAAATCTAGGAGAATAATAAGCCAATAAAAGTCTTCTTCCCAATGAAAATATTCTTTAAAAACATGCAGTTTTCCCAAAAATCTGAATATAAAGCACCATTTTTACTTCCTAAATTAGGAATTTAAGTGATAATTTTTCCCAAAATTGAAAGGCTATGGTCTCTCCCCAATTCAGAAGTGGGGGGGGGGGGGTTTCATTTTATGGCTCTCCAAAACAATTTAGCTCATATGGCACTGATACAGCAAAGATGATTTTGACTAACCTTCTACGCTTAAAGTAACACCTGGGGTCAAAACCACCTAACATGCTGGAGCTAAGAGATGCATAGACTCTAGTTATTTGCACTCATTTAGATGCCCCTTACAATCACGCAGGGAAATCATTGCAATTCTTATTCCTGCTCACCTGTCTACACCTTTTGTACATATATCTCTATAATGTGTTATGTTAATATTTAACATGCAATAATTAATTTATGATGTATTTATCACTCTATAAAGTAGCCTGAAGTCTTAACGGACTGCATAATATTATAATATCATTCTGTATCAGCTGTTCAAAATAGTTGAATAAAGCCCAAGAAATGATATATACTTTCCCTAATGCTTAATCATTTTAAACCTAACTTGATATGCAAAGCTATATATGCAAGATCAACAGATCAATGGCATCAAACTAGGAGGCATATTCTCACAACATAATTTCTTTCTGTTTTCCAGACAGGATCAAATCAATACGGCAGACAATTCAGGCAACAATTTCTCATTTCAGCAAGTAACAACGTCTTCCATTATTGAACCATTCATACATATCATTGATAAAATTATGTAAGGTATTGCTTTTCAGCTTCATTACATTCAATTAAGATAGGCAGTAATTGGTTACTATAGTCTGTTTGTACAGAACTTTTCAATATACTTTGTTAGCAAGGATTCCAATAATACTTCAAGTTCACAATATGTTCTGACCAATTCAGCCAGTACCATGCACAACGAATATAACATTCAAGTATTCAAGTTTATAATCAAGTCTCTAGCTGTGCAGAAAAGGTGCAGTTTGCATTTTCAGAGGATATTCAACTTCTAATAAGAAAGTAGAAATATTTAGTTATTATGCATACACAGACATAATCTTTTAAATTATAATGACAAATTCTCAAAGAGGCTTTCTCAATCGATAAAAAACATTTGCATTGTTTAGTATCGGTTTTTTGGATAACTACTTCAACTTAAAATCTGTATTTAACAAACTTCACAAAATTATAACAAAATCAAACTAATCAAAACTCTTGAATGCTTTTCCGCTTACAAGCACAAACACTTTGATGTTTTACACCTGTTTTTAACCAGCAGGCATTTAAACTTCATCAATGACACTGGATTCCATACAGTATCTGTCACTCTTATGCATGTACAAAAAAACCCTAAAAACTTTCTTCAGAAACCTGAAGTTTTCAGCATGAGAGTTACATCATTTCATGCTGCAATAGAGTTTCTTAGACATACATTCATCATGGTAACATGTGTACATAAATGCATGTCATTGCTTATCAGCTAAAAGACTTCAGACTACAGCTGATAGACATGTTCAGGCAGACAGACTTTCTCCTGTTCCTAGACATCACACTCATACATGTTTTTCTTACAAGGCTGAAGGTTCTTAGATACGATTTCACAAAGTGAGACACCAAATGTAACTGTTAAAATCTTAACAGTTACACCAATGTAATGAAGAGTTTACTGTTCAATTTAAGACATACCAAGCATATTATATAAGCATACATTGTAACATGGAACATGTTCGTAACATGGAACAAGTTCGTAACATAGAACATGTTCCAATACACTTTTTCAACTGCCATCAAAACAGGTTTGAAATATCTTTATCCTCAAGAATTTATAAAAAAATTAACATCTTGTCATGCCATGAATTTAGAACTATTGTGAACAGTCCATAAATAGTTAAAGGAATTTTAGAATTTAACAGCAAACACATAACTTGGCCAGAATGCTATGTGCAAGCTGTCATCTCAGGGCCCTCGATCAACCAAATCTGCGGCCGATATTCGGCCGCAGTCCCCCACCAAAATAGTATGTTTTTTTCCCCCTAACAGAGGTAAAAATTCCCCCTCAAAACATATAAAGTGTTAAAGAGAAAAATGAAAACTAATGTTGTTTTTGAAAATTAAAATCAATCTATTTGACGTCTATTTTGTAAGCGGAATATCGTACAGTACATGTCTGCACGTTTCCGTTTGTTTTTTCCCTCAAAATCTACCGTCACATATTGGCCTTTCATCCTGTAAAAATGCTAAAATTTCAACAGAAATATGCAGAAAAATCACAATTCCCGTCAACAATTTGATTTCAAATTGTTTATTCATGAAAATCATTTTTTTGTCTTCAAAATGTTACATCAACCACGGTAAATTTTGCCGTAAATTACAAAACTTGTAAGTTTTGTTTTCATGATACTTTATTAAATAACTGATGAAAAACGATCTTATAATAAACAATCAATTTAATTTTATATAATTTACATCGGAACACACTAGAATTGTGGATGTGTAAACAGAAAAAAAACAAATTTTCATTTGTCACATATTTTCGCGATGCCGATTTTTTACGAATGTTTTACAAAGTCAAGAAAAGGAAGCTTTGTCTTAGTAAAAGGTGTGTTAGAACACTAAAAATGTAGTTTATGAATAGAATTTACTTTAGGTTCATGTATTGTTCATATTAGTGGAAATGGAGACATTTGTCTGAATGTGTTTTCACAATGCTTATTTTTATTTTATTTTTATTTTTTTATTTGGGGGGGGGGGGGGGGGGGGGGGGTGAATCATAAAGAAAGCTACGGTAAGCAGCATAAAGATCTGATGGTGTAAGGTGTTAAAAAACTTTCTTCAAATCTTATCAATCACTTCTGAACAGTTTAGTGTAACCTATTTGGGATTTTTTAAAAAATAGTATGCGTGTAAATAAAAAAAAACAGCTGATATTTAAATAAGTTTATTTGTTATTTGATCATGAAAAAAAGAGGAAAATTCCCCCCATACACTAAAATTACCCCTGCTGAGGGTAGCGACCCGCTTCCCCCAAATTGGATTGAGGGCCCTGCATCTACATGTAGGATGCGTCACAATTTTTTTAATTACTACTTACGTTTTTAAAGTTCCAGATGTCATGAGTTCAGTAACTAAGATGATCACTTTACGACCCCTGGTATTTAATTGCTCAAATGAGTCATAAAATCTGACAATGTTAGGGTGTTGTAGCTCTTTCAACATTTCAGCTTCTTCTCGGAACCGCTGCCTCTCACTTTTATTCCATTTCTTGTCCTGTAACATAACAAAATGCTCACAGTAAAATCATGCAGGTTTGATTACAAGACTATGATGTCATAATAATGTATTTGATAGTTTTTGGAATGTATTTGATAGTTTTTGGACATAACTTTCTTTGCAGAATATTTAATAAAGAGAAAATTCCCTTAAAAAATAATACAACAAATTCATGTGATACTAGACAGACTTTGACTTCCTGCGGACCACTATAACTTTATCAAGGATGATTTATGAGCTTAAAGAGAAGACTTTTAATCTTCTTAGAAATCTGAGTACTTCAATTTACTACTTAAGAAAAGTAGACACATAAGTATGCAAACAGAGCTTGTAACTTAACAGTATACTTTTAATACATTATGATTCTATGATTCTTCAGTCTGACTTGCATGGACAAAACTTAAACTCTGTTCAACTGTGTAAAGTACAAGCATTATACATTATTACCAGTCTTGGCAACAATTCTTCCAGACATACATCTATGCAGCAAGATATTTTTTATATCTCCAGGGCTTCAAACACAGGCTAAATGATTTCTATTACTGCATGATTGTATCTTATGTCATGAAAAATTATAATGAAAGCAACATCTGCTTACAACTAGTGAAATCTTACAATCTTTACAATCTACCTGGGCATGAGTAAGATGTAAAATTCATAGAAATATTTGTGGTATTTGTATCATAGATTCATAATCTGACAGAATTTTGCTTGAATTTCAGCTCACTACTGCAGCAGCAGGGAAATTTATCTGAGGGGAAAAAAATTGAGGAGAAATATTTTTCCCTCTGAATGCTTGAAACAGAAAGTTACTCTGTAGCCTCATTAATCATGGAATGTAATATTTAGCCATCCTTTAACCCATGACTGAATATGTCTTGCAAAATATACAAAGACTACATGACATAAAATCCTAAGTATGTCACATATTAGCTGTTTGGAATTCAGCCAAATTATAGTAATTCATATATTCCCTACAGTATTAAAGTAGGCTCAGATTGGAAATCAGCCATCTACCATATAAATACAAAATTTGTTAACATTTTTTTTTAAATTTCAATAGAAGAAAAAAACAATTGCCTTGGGTTATGTTGAAAATTATCTCACAGTCCTTAAAACAACATAGAATGATATTTATATCTGAGTTAGGCTTCAAATTTAATTATACAATACATGTACTTATGTAAATCCATTTCAAATTCTGAAGCTTTAAGAGATTCTCAATTCCCAAAAGAAACATTTCTTATACATCTAATGTAACAAAATACAATAAATTTGCAGTTTGAAATCAAATAACAACTTTAATTTAAAGGTATTTAACAAAATTTAAATAAATATTATTTCGCCTACAATATTCAATTAAATCAATTTTCTTGAATTGACAAATTTTGAGAATAGAAAGTATCTCTTTTTTTATTTTTGTTAATTGAAAAACTAAAACTTAACACTTAAAACGGGGGAAAGAGTAACATGCTTTTAGTCATTAATTAGTAAAATCTTTAATGCAGACTTGCAAAACCAAATTATTATCCAAGACCTTTTTCTTTATTTCATAAATTGTTAACCAATAAATAGCAGTATCCTATTTTCTGTTTAAGATGAAATTATGTATTATTTCTTACAATAGGACTGAACCTTAACTTCAATATACTTTAAATAGTTAACTTTTAACAGTTAAACTTGTATATAATAAAATATCTGCGCCTAAATGGTTTAATGCTGAAGAATAATTTACCAAAATTCACTCTAACCAGCCAAAGTTGTATTGAAAGGAAATGTGTAAATATAAAATCAGCTATGTGAAAGTTTATTGCCTGATCAATTTAACACTATTGTGTGAGAAAATCAAAACAACTAGACAGTCTGCACTTGAAATCTTACAATAACAATAAATCAGTCTGCTGCGAAATGACCTAGACTTTACAATATCACCTTTAAAGTGAACGAAAAATAATGTCAACATATACCACAGTCAAGTAACAAAAAAATAAAATATGTTTAGCAAGGATAAACAAGTTAGGGGGAAAAAAATACATAAAATGTTATCTCAAAGATCATTCACAACTTTTGCATTCATCTAGGCTTCAAAACCTTGACAAGACAGGTTTGTGGAGATCATGTTCACATGAGGTCTAACTAACCTATTTCTTAATTGATAGCTGGCAGACAGTAAAATCAATGAAGACATATTGACAATATAAACATATACTGCCGCTTTGACAGTAAACTTTGACATATCTCTGAAAATACAACCTTAGATCTTTTTAGATTTTTATACGCTTAAAAGTAAACCAAATATTATAGCTTTAATATAACCCCAGATTTGGTTACACATTTGAGTGTGTACCTGTATTTATGAATGAATAGGTAAACTATACACTTAAATAAATGAATGGGACTATAAACCTTGATGAGATAGGAGGTATATAATCAATGCGCATTTGGACTTGAGATAAACAACGGCCCAAGTAAGTTGCTCACAATACAAAAATGCAGCTCTAGTTAAATATCTCATCAAACAATCAGCAATGACAGGGCAATCGTAAAGTCAATAATGGCCGATATTGTACCACAAGTAAATTGCACTGATCTACATTACATTTATTATATATTTGTACATGTACCTTGTTCAATATACAGGAGTCTCTATCTTCCTGTACCATCTAAAGATCATCTGACCATGAGAAATAATTGTATGATAAAAATCTAACCCATAGTTCAGCATCCCAACTTTGATAAAGTAAACATATCTTTTTTTTAGCAATGACATCTACATACATACATGTACATGTACAGTTTACCTGTGAAAGTCATTATAGTTCTTTTTTTCCCTATAGTTGTTTACTTGAGGAACAAGTAATTAATTAAGCCACAAAAACTTTTCTAATTTATTATGTGGTTTAGGGAAACAATATATATTAGTCTGTAATCTAGGATCAAATTGAACAGCATTTGCATTCTCAGACAACCTTGATAAATCTTAATGGATACTTGCACTTAGTAATGGAATTGCACAAACAATCTTGGAAACAGTTTTCTGAATGTCGAATGCAAGTTTCCTTATCAAACTCTCAGATTCAACACTGCAATTCTATTAAAAAATTTATATATCAGTAAGTAGAGAAATGACAGTTGTTTTTTCCAGTAGAAAGGGAATAACTGGACACCAAAATAAAAAACTTTTGAAAAATAAAATCATTTTTGAGGCTTAATGGGCGCCTTATGATGTATAATTTGAAAAAGTCATTATTTCAAATTCAAAGTTTAGAATTTAAAGTTCAAGTTAAGCTGTTATCAAATTTATCCTTAACAATGCTTGGATATTAATGGATTATAAACCTATAAGCAGCCATATTTTATATGAAGCAAATTTAGAAACATCATTAACAGTTGCTATGAAATCTTTCTCAATTGAATAATACATGCAAGGTTTCAGGTAAACCCAGGTCAAACTATTGATTTGAAACTGTAATGGGAATTAATCATGACATCAGAATGGCAATTTTCTTTGTTGGTTATGATAGGCTGTTAAATGAAAAATTGTTAAGCTTAACAGGATAAGAGTAAGTGAACAAAATAACTGGGGGTCAGGTTTCAGAATATCACCACTGTGTACATGTAAACTTCTGGTCAGTTGATGGCAAACAACAATCTATCTGGTATGCAAAACTTTCATAAAGGTTACCTTGAGACAAACTACACAAAAATTCACCACATATTTACAGAAATTCAGTCTTTTTTTATTTTATAGGAAGGTAAACTTTTTATATCCGAAATTTCTTCATATCCTAGAATTAATGCATTATATACAAGTCTAATTAATTGACTGTAAACACAGTTTATGATCAGCACAATCCTGTTTACCACACAGAAACATTATTGACATAAACATACTTTGGTGCTAAATTTAATACCCAAATAATATGAAAGTTTGTAAGTCAAAGAATTTTTTTTCCGTATCATCTGACAAATTTTGAATATGTTAATGAATTAACCACATCTTATGAAATCTTATATTACACATGAAGTTCTGTTTGAACATGGAGCAAAAACACACCTTCATGCACAATACATGTATTTCCATGCAGATGACTTTATTGCCAAAACAATGCTGTTATTTGAACTTTTCATAAAAGAAACTATGGATAGCAAGACACAACTTAGTTGCAAGGGTAAACAATACAGTCTGTAAAATTACTAAATTTATACTGCCTACTATGTAAAAACTAAAATGTACATCAATGGTTCTTTTAACAAGAGGGCCATCATGGCCCTGAATTGCTCATCTGAGATACACAGCAGAAGAATATAACATGGGGACATTAGCTGTGTCATTAAGTTGCTTAGATAATTCATAAAATATTTGTTGAGAAAATGTATATGCAAGATATCAGTTCTGGCCAATGTACATACAAGTGTACTTTCACTTAACAAGTGACCTATAAAGGTTATATAATTCTACATTAACTAAGTGACCCCCAGGACAGTGCCTCATTTGACATCATGGGCATAATTTATATAACTTTCAGGAAGGACATCAAGGCAATGCAATATATGCCAAATATCTAGTGGTTTTTTTTTGCATAACTGTTTGATTTTAGATATTGTTCTATATAAATTTAGTTGCCCCAATGTTTGGACCATTCTTGACCCCTTATCCATGTAGAGGTCCAAAAGGCAACGTTACATGCAGAATATTGCAAGTTGCACACATGATGACTCAAATGTGTTCTCCTACATAAGTCCACTTGTGGATAAGGAGATGTTGTTTCAGAAAACTTGTGAATGAATGGTGATGGGCTACAGACTCATTGACATCACAAAAGCTCATCTTTGAGCACTCTGTGCTCAGGTGAGCTAAAAAAAAAAGTCAAACAAATACTTGATTTTTTAAAGACATTCAAATTAATCTTTAAAACAAATAAATATGTATGTTTTCCTTCATGATATTCATTATTCCATTTTGCAAAATTTAATACTTTTAAAATCTTCATTCATTATCAAGAATGGAAAATTAAGACATAGTAAGGATATACATTAGTTCCTTCCATAATCTCAGATACATTTTTGCTATGATTTACCATGGTAAAGAGTTAAAATTTTCCAATTACGTACATAAATTTCACAGACTGTTTTAGACTGTTGGGGTAAGGACTTTTTACTTACTGATGAGAATTCCAATTTTTCCTACCAGAATAAATGCCATTATATTAAATTGCATATATATTATTAATTGCATAAACCATACACATGTTTATAGCACAAACAAATAGGCATGTGTGGCATACATCTGTCAGTTAAAGACATTTGTGTTACACAAGTTCATTTGTTCAATTTACAGTACTCTTAGACCAATAAAGGTAAAAATATCAAATAGATCTACATGTATACAATTTTCTACAGTCACTTAGGTATTGAAATTTCTCACATTAATGACAAAATGATAAATATTTAAACTGCTTAATCTCAGCAAAGTCCATTAAAAAAAAATATCTACATATTTATTGAACAAATTATTGTTATAAACCATACAGATATAAAGTACTTTATCAATCTTACAGATCATAATACTCCAATAAATATGTCTTTTTTCTTCCTTATTTGATATTTTAATTCAATGACTAAGAATGATTAAAGAACCTTTGAATCACAGAAATTTTCATTTTCTTCAATTTGTTTCGCACTACCCTGCTGGAACCGAAAGTGATTAACCAGACCAGCCGGCAATCCAAGTTTCAGACAAGACACTATACTGTTATTCTAAGTTTTAAAAAAATGTATTGATCGATTCCTAAATTTTCATCGCATTTTACTCTTAAGCAAACATTAGCTGAAGAAAAACAAAGAAGTTCAAGTCTTAAACAGTTGTATCTTCCAACACTGCCCATCATAAAACTTCAAAAGCTGAGTTTCAAATATTGGCTTGAACTTCAGCTAGTACAGTTGGATTTTCAAGCTGTGGACTAGACACAAAATTGCAAAAAAGGCTTTTTCTATATTTTTTCTTAAATGCTTCCAAGCCATAAACTGACAAAAAGAAAAAGGTAATCTCCCCACCATCTTATTTATTTTAAAAAATGAGATGTAATCTAAATCTTAAAACTATTCTACCATATATTGGCTTTATAAGAAAATATGACAAAATTTGACAAGCAAGAATGGCCTAGGACTTTGATTTTGACAGGTAATGTCTGATATTATACATATATTTGAAACCTAATCACTATATCATTATTGTGGTCTTGCTGTAAAAATTATAATTTTCAAATGCAAGAAGATTTTCAAATTACTATCATGATACCAAGACAGCTACAACATCATTTATCATAGACAGGATATACTTCTTCTCCTAACAATAACATGATCAAGCTTGCAGCAAGTTTCCTTTTACAGCATAATTAGACATCATCTAGTTCTAATCACCAACAATCCCTTTATTGTTCTCAATAGCTATAAAATTGGCTGTGAAAAAAAAGATTATCAACAAATAGGGACCAAGTAACTTTGAATGCATACATATTTGAGACCCTTGACTTGGGAAGAAATAACTAAATGTGTAGCTGAAAAGTGCACAACTTGTTTCCAGACATGAAGAAAACCAATTATATACATAGAACATAAATGACATTATGATGCAAATATGCTTTAAGTACTGGGTTGCAGTTTCCGTATAACAGTGATCTAATAGATTTTTGTTATGTTTTTCTTAAAAATGATATCAACTGGTCATAACTTTAGCAAACAGTTGACAGAGTAAAACAAGCTACTTGCCCAAATTTTCATTACAGCATGAATACATTCTATTTAAAAACAATGACATCTACTTCTGTAAGAATCTTAGGAATGTTTACCTGTAGTTCACACCAAGCAACAGCAACACCAGTGTCTGTGTCCAGACCCTTGTACACAGTTTTGAAAGATCCCCTTCCAATTTCAATATCAAACTTGAAGAATCTTCCATTTTCTGATTGGGCAACTGCTTTCTCTTCTACTTCATCTTTCTTTTCACTTATTTCACCATCTTTCTTTTCAACAGGTGATTTGTCATCTCTTTTCTTCTCTTCTTTAGGAGCATCATTTTTTAAAGGGCTATCAGTAAGTTCCTTTTTGTTTTCATTTTCTAACCTCTGTGATGTCCCAATTCCAGAATCTGATTTAGAATCTGTTGTGTTTCTGCTGCTTTGATCAATATCTGATTTAATCAACTTAATTTCAGACACTGATCCAATGATAGCTGAATCAATATCACCAATTTCTACTATAGTGGTGGTGTCATCAATAGTTACAGACTTTTTCAATTTATTTTTGGCTTTAATGTCGGATCTCTCCTTACTTGAATCTGACTTAATATCACATTTTTTAGGTTTTTGGTCATTAGAAACACTGTTCTCAAGCTGACCAGAATTTATAGAATTCAAATCTGTTTGTTTTTCATCAGCTTCCTTGGCCATAACTTTGGTCCAAGAATTACTGTCTTTCTTCATTTCTTTAAGATTATTCTCTAATTTGCCAGTCTCTGCTTGATCAGAATCTTCTTCTAAAGTTTCTGCTGGAAGACTGTAGGACCTTATTCTTTTAGTTATTTCTATTGCACGATCATTCTTCTCTGGTCCTGTGGAACCAACTGGAATTCGACTAGGTAAAACATATGAGTTTTTCTTCCCTGACAATTTCTCCTTACTTTCAACCTTAACAGGAGCAGTTTCAGTTATGCTTTTTTTATCACGCCCACTAGAAACTTTGGAAATCTTAAACCTAGAATTTGCAATATTAGCTCGAATAACACTACTTTCTGGTGATTGTGATAATCTTTCTGGTCTGTGAGTTGTGTTTTGTCGATGGCTGGACTTCTGACCCATTTCTACTGATGTACGCTTCCCTTTAGATTTGTGGCCGCGATGATGTAATTTGGGTGAATCACCCATATCGTCTCTCTTCTCTTTATGAACATCTCCATTTAATGATGGTGGGGTGGCTGTAGAATGCTTGCTCATTCTTTAAAGTTATAAACTTAACAAGTCTGAAAAGAAAGGTAAGTCACCTGGTATATTTCAGGCAAACAAACCTAAAGAGAAACAATACAATTTTCTTCTACTTTTTAAAGATGTCCTCATCTTGAAAGATCAAAATACAATATTGACCTTAAAATGTACACTATCTGATTAAAAATGAGCAAAACAACAAAAAACAATGAAGTAAACAACAGTTCTTCTTCAAGAAGTTCAATTAATGTATAACTTTAAATTGTTAATATTCATTATGATCTAAGTTATTCATTTTCAATCAATAACAAAAATGTTCAGTTGACTTTACGTCATGTTGATCTGAAAAATCGGTGACATTTCTCAACCTACTCAGTGTAAAACATTTTAAATACCAAAGTATCTCACAGAATAATCATTTCTAGCTAGTTTAAACACTGTCTCTTTTTTAAAACAACACTGTCCTTAAGACAGTATGGCATTTAATCCAACAGTAATTCCATCTTTTCTACGGCCATACAATACACAAATTACTATCAAGCGTTAATGAAATTAGTGCAAGTATGCGGAGTGATATCGAAGTCGGCGGCTTAAACAAAGGTGCATATCTAGAAATAAATCAATTAATGAGATCATCAGATTTCAATTTATTATTATAAAATATAATCGTTTCCGTTATTTCGCATGAATAAAAGAAATAAAGTTATAGCTAAGAACTATATTTCATAGTTGTTATACGCCGGAAACTGACTCATAAAAAGCGTTCACACTTTACCGCAAAAATGCAGCAAGATAGGACGTATATGGATGGCTGGATGGCTGGATGGATGGATGATAGACGGCAGACGTTATTTTTTATTTTAATCTAATTTACAAAACACCCTTTGGAAAACTATTGAAATAATATGATGATAATTATGTCTCCTTAGAAATACAAAATAATTACTTGTTATTATTCGGTCACCTTAACCTTTACCCTATAGAGACAAAATCCTACACACTCTGGGACTTAATATAATTATAATATAATGTCCCAGATTCATTACAGTACGAAAAAAAGTTATTTTAAATTGTCTTTCACTCCCCGGGGCACCAGACCAAACATTGAAAACACAAAATTAGACATACTGATCACTTTGTACAAACTGTTTTCTGACTATTTTAGAGTAGACTGGCTTGTTTTATATGTGGGGAAAATCAGTTCACTATTCATATAGATTTTAATATTATCAGATTATCAGACAACGAATTTAGACATATTCTATGAAAGTTGGTATTCTTCAATTGATAAATCGTCTAGATTAGATACATATTGTTTATTTAAAATATGATAAACAAGATCAAGAAGGAAATGAACGCAACCCCTACACGACCCAGCAATAAACATGTACTCATTTGAATTTGAAGTGAGCGTGCAGCATGGCACAAATCTGCCACCATAGTTACTAGTTTTAACACATATTGATGTAATATGCATTACTACATATGACCACGTAATTAGAGTTTAAAAGTATTGTTCTGTTCTGCTCATACACTATAATTTCCAACAAAATTATTGATGTGAAAAAAACCCAGAAAAACCCATATATTTCCCAGTTTAACACTTACATTATATGTCTCCACGCGTCCGTCTGAGTCTAGTAATCGATAGGGGTATCAGATATTTTGCAATTTGAAATAGAACCCTTACCTCAAAACTATACATAATAATTTCATAAGACACATTGGAATAAAGTAAAACATTTTGTTAACTGTCTTAATTATGCTTACAGAAAAGGCGAACTATCACAACTTCAAAAACAATGAATAATGACTTTAACACCTAAGCAAGGTTAAGACCAAACTTCACTTTCAAATAAGCGGCCTATAAGTGTTAAAAATATTGACTATATTGCACCAAAAACCTTTACTATACAAATGAAGAAAGTATTGCATATGATCATTAGTCATGAGCAACAGCAGGTGTCAAGTGCTGTGTGGCAGCCGTTTAAAGTTGCTCCGTACTTCATTTCAGTGTAGTTATATATATCTTTTTCTGGTCTTTCGGGATCATTGAATCCGATACTTTTAAGTATTTAAAATTGAGTACCGCTCAAGCTGGTGCTAGGAGGCCTGAGGGATATTGCACTTTTTCATTATCCCTCATGTACAAACTCAATCAAACCGAGTCTGCAATTTTTATGTAATATTACTGTTTTTAATGCTTGCGAACTTTTTTCCAGATATTTTTGAAAGGACGCTTCAGTGGATAAAATGCACAATTGATATTTGAGATTATTGAACACATTGTAAGAAATAACAACTCGGGTGGTTTGCTATTCTCCGATCATCAAAAAGCATTTGATATAAGCTATCAATGCCTCCACTTTTTTAAGTTTGGCAAATCAGTTACTTATATTTAACGGGTTAAACTCTCCTATAACAAAATCAAGATTGTAATCATAAATAATGGTCACATGTCAGAAAGTTTGAATGGAAAGTTTCCATATTCAAAAGGGAGTAAAACAAGGATATCCCTTTTTTCTTCTCCCTTATTTATCATATGTATTCAGCTGTTAACAAGCGCAGATACAAAAGATAATAATATAAATGATTTTAAATTAAATAATAAAGAAATCAAACAGACATTATTTGCTGATGATTCAACATATATAAATAATGGACAAACATATTATTTTAAAATGTTAATAAAAGTAATTACTGAATTCGGAAATACATATATATCCGATCTCAGATTAAATAAACCAAGTTTTTTTATCTTGAAAGTTCGTCCCTAAAAAATAAAGCTTATAGCCTGAAGTACAAGAATTTAAAACATGTATGAAGCAGCTGCAACAACGTAAATTAACATTGATAGGAAAAGTAATTAAGACATTTGCATTACCGAAATAAATGTATCCAGTAACAGTCCTCTAAAACCAATCTGGTCATATTGTTACAGGTATATATAACACAGTTTTATCTCTTATAGGATGGTGAAACAGACAAAATAAGGCGCAAAATTATTACGTGTATACATAAGCAAGTACAACATATGAGGATTAAAATTATCGGATGTAAAGTCATTTTTAATTTCTATTAAAGCTTGCTTGGTAAGGAGATTTATTTCAAATGAAAGCAATGGGCACTAGGAAGCCATTTTTTTATTATATATATATACAAAAGATAAATACATTTTAAGAGATATTTTAATTTCATGATTCCTTATTTACATAAAAATGAAGTTAGAAAACATATCATATGGATGCTGAGATAAAATTACAAAACAATACAATTTACTAGATTAGATGGCATGAAAGAGGCATAAATTATATAGACACAATCTTTGATTTTCGTACAAAAGCCTTTCATAAATTTGAAACAGCAAAACAAATAAATCTTGATACACTAGATTATTTAAAATATTATTAATTAATCTCAGCTTCCCCTAAAAAACTAAAGCAAAATATGTCAATGCATTTTTTCTCTATGGGAATGCATTTTCTCTATGGCAATAACGAATATACTCTTATAAGAATAATAAAACTCCAAATCAGTGTTTGTTTAAACTTCAAATCATTGCAATAACTTTTGAAAACAGACTGTATTCATAACTTTGTTTGATAGACAATGAAATAGATTGGAAATCAACATTCAATAAACCAATCTTCGTAGAATCCAACACAAATTTTCAATGCCTTTATAGTCTCAACAAAAAATATGATAAACGGAAAGGCGGCGCTCAATGAACGCAGACCCCACCCGACCTAGTAATAAGAGCCAGTGGCAAGGAGCCCAGGAGGACCCCAAACAAAAACAGGACAGGGCACAAGGCAGAGAATTTAAATATATTTTAAATGCAAACTATAATAACTATATCAATGTGTGCGGGTGTTTTGTTCTTTGGAGATAGAATTTATTGAACATTTAACATAGGAATGTCATATAACACAAGTTTTCTGGAACAAAAGATTTTTATTTTCCATAAGCTTAAGACATGTGATTCCACATAAAGTGGTGTATGGTCCCGAGTCAAAGAATTTGCGTTGATTCCCTAAACGAGAAAACAATAGGCGGGACTAAATAAACCTGCAACTATCGCCACTTAAATCATGTTATTTAATTTTACTTTTGATACTCTTACCCGAATACTGGTTACTTGAACATGATTAATTGATATTAAAGTAAATCGCTTTTCCCAAAATTTTAATATACATAAGATACAAATATCTGAGCGACGAGTTTTCTAAACTTGATTTGCAATATACACTTTGTTGTTCTTTTCTATAAATGGAATATCTACAGCGTATAAATACCGCATAATCTCCTAAATTGACGCACTGAATAGAAGATATTATTACCTTTTTTTTCGACAAACTTTTGCAGATCTGCATTTGTTCTTGTACCAACAATATACCACTCATCAAAGCTAAGTATGTAAATCTGGCAAGTACACAACTATGGCATCCATTTATTTAGAAATCTTCCTTATGCACCTTGAAATTCATGATAAAGCTTTTTTCTGCAAATATGATATTTCAAATCGGAAACAAATAGAAATGACATGCGCTGTGAATTTTTGATAAAAGTAAAATCAATCTCAACACTGTCACGACACATTAATTGTGTCTACCATTTTAAACTGATAGAAAATTAGTAAAAATCGTTTTATCTGTTTTTGTTTTTTGTTTTTTTTGTGAGTTGGATAGTTTTAGCTTCTTCACATTTCAGAAAATTAATGATTTGACCAGTATAACTGATTACTATTTAGCTTCCACGACAGCATCAACACTTTTATCAGTTGAATGAGAAGAATAAAAAGTGCAAAGAACAGAATCAGGGCTGGATCCAGAAATGTTTGGCTGGGGTGGGGGTGGGGGGCTAATGTTTGCAAATCCAATGTTCCACTTTAAGGGGGTCTGGGGTCCCCCCAGGAAAAAGAAAGGAAATCTACATGTGAAATGGTGGCTTCTGGTGCATTAAGGTGCACATTTTGAAATGGAAGTGTCTTCATTATATTTTTCTCGAAGTTTCAGACTTTAATTTTAAATTTGTGCTGAAATTACATTTATTTTTTACAAAAGTTGAAGAAAGTCAACTAAATCGTTACTGATTTCCAGGGTAAAACTATGATTTTAAAAGAATTTTCCAGACAGACAGATGCTTTCAAATGGTCCTGCTTGCTATAGAAAGGAAAAGCCCCAATAATGTATAACATAAACACTAAAAAGCAAAGCGATTTTTTTTTCATTATATTTGCATCACTTACACTTCAGTATTTATATAGATAAAGATCAGTTAAAACTGGCTGTAAATATACATGTATACAAAAAATAATCGTATTCAAGGGGGCTATTTCTAATTTACTAGGACATATATTACGATCTATACTGATTTAAGAGTTCTAATGCTAATTTACTCATTATTATGTAGGGGCTTAATGTCCCTCTTCACTGACCAAGAGTAATCTATGAAAAGTGTATGCATGACCTGGAGTCGAAAACATTATGTTGAGAAATTGCCTACAGGCATATAGTGTTTAGACTGACAGGGAACCGCAGCAGGAGTCCAGGCTCCAATATACAAGGATTAAGTGACTTACATTTATCTTAAGCCAGTTTTTTTTGCTAATATTTTACCCTCTTGAAAAAAATTCTTTAGGCTAGGGTACGTGTCTGGGGGTTTCAGTCGGGCCTGAGAATGACTTGCATATATTTACTCTCTCTCTTATGTTGAGAGTAAATCAATTATTCTCCTATCTACTATAGCAAGAAGCAACAACAAATACATAGGAATTACGCTTAATATTTGGTTGTACATATTATAAATCAATAGACTCAATCGGTATTTATCTGTATCTGTTATGTTCTTGTATTTTGGGATTCATCAGATGTATAGCATTGTTGCTGCATCCGAAACTCTGAAACGAAACTAAAACAGGTCTGAATACGTGGTTACAAAAAATTACAAACAGAATAATATTGTGCAATCTGTGAAATATTAAATAACAATTTATGCTCATTAAAACAAAGAAAATTCATTAAATTATGCAACCTTACTAAGTTATATTTCAAGAAACGATTATTGTGTTTCATATTATCCGAATAATGTAAAAAGCCTAAATATTCAGCAAGAATGTGTATTTAAATACTTCATTACAAAAACGTTTTTGTAAGAATTAAGGGATGGGGTCGGGTGGCGTATTTAAACAAGTTCTTGAAGTACTTCCAAATGCAAGCGTCGATGAAGAAAAACCGCGAAAACACTATATATATACCCCCACTAACCCACGAAATACACGTGCACCGTTAAAAGAAAATATTTAAGGTATCACTCTATATTCAACTTAAGATACAGAAACCATACATTAACGCACATTCAAGCTTTATCCGATACGAGAATAATTTCATATATATATTATTTGTTCTATATATTGCACGAGTGTAGGACAAAAGCCCCTCCGGACAAAAGCCCCGCCCCCATCGAAAAATGACAAGGTGGACAAAAGCCCCCCCCCCCCCCCCCTATGAAATTTACACATAGAACAAAAGCCCCCCCCCTCCCCATCAAAAATACAGGTAAAATAAAATAAAATCATTACTTATACAAGAAACTCAGACCTTTTTCTTTATAGTCTATTTCATGAGAAATAATATTAAAGGGCCGTAAAAACTCGATCTCCGCTGTTTGAACTGATGACTGGTAGGATTTGCAGCAATGGAAATGTTTTAGCCCATGCCAATATTCAACCAATCGTTTCCAAGAATTTCATTAGTTCCAAAATGGCGTCCGCCGGACAGGTAAACAGAAATTAATAAATAATTTTCCTTGTTTTCGATGACAGCTGTATTTGTTTGCAGTATTCATAATGTTATGAAACGACTTGATGCTTTTGAAAATAAACTTGTCAGTGTCTCCTTTTGCTTTTTGATTTAGAAGGAAACTATTTCTCCACACTAAACTTGTGACGATGAGTCAATGTTATATTTTTCAGAGAATTTTAGTCCTAAGGCTATGTAGCCATCATGCAGGCTGAAGAAGAAAGACGTGTATTGACGCATTTTCAAGTTTGCGGTCTATGTCATATTCTAATGTTTACTGTAAAAAAACAGACCAAATAAAAAATCATCATGTTATATTGATAATCAATATTTGAATTGCATTTGTAGCAAAAAAATCCTATTTCCCCGCCTCTTACTTTTTTGGCTTGCAGCCACGGCTGCAAGCCATTTCATATGGAAAACTTGTTCCGGTTAGGTGGTTTCCTGCTTACATCTGTTGGTGCATGATTGAACGGGAAACCAACTGCAATCGTGCCAATCGCAACTTTTCGGCCTTTTCCGTCACTCTTTGGATTGATGATAATAGCCGATGTAGTTCCGATTGCAATCGTGACAATTCGGGCGATTTTGTCATACTGCGGAATTAGACGAAGTAATATTACGGAAATCTAAGCTATTTTAGTTACTTCGGTAATCCCAGTTTGTTTATATAAATAGGATTTCTATTTTTACTTGATTTATCGGTTTAAACCGTAATAAATTATAAACGAAATTGTTCCGTTTCAATTGTTTTTCAAAACGCAAAAGTTAGTTTATTTCATAATTGTTTTTTGTCTGTATTAGTTTATACAATAGAGAATGGTGACTGCAGTCTGTAGTAGTATTCCGTCTTCAAAGATCGAGTTATATTTAGATCCAACTTCTTCTTGGTGAGGTTATCTAAAAATAGCCCATGCATATCATTAACCTTGCCACCTAGCGCATCGTCTATTTGTGATCGTGTAACATAGTTGATACATGCTTATTAATTGGTACCACGTAACGAAGTATTTTAGTGCAATTACTTGTCTATAAAGCAAAGGAATGATTTCGCTGCGAAAAAGGGGAAATGAAATGTGCACACTTGTTTTCCTTCAGTATCACGTTAGTATTTTTACGATTGATCATTTTCTTTATTAGTTTTATACAATGGAGAATAGATTTCAAATCGTTTTGACAAAAAATATTCGGTTTTCAAAAAAAAAAAAATTAAATTAACACTTTATGATATACAAATACCGTAATTCAAAAAAAATGTGATAATAAATTGAAACCAAAAAAAAAAAAACAAAAAAAAAATTGTAAAGGGTTTGGATGAAGGCACAACTGTGCAAGCCTTTCCTTTTAAAAGGAAACTTTATTTAGCATTTATTACGTATAAGGCAAAGCCTTATAGCGAGCTCTTTGACAGAAATTATAGTATATTAACATGAAATTATGCAAAGCCTATGATTGGGGAAGTCGTTAAAAATTCCTTCCATTTTTTCAGTTTAAAGGTGTCATTCTGTATTTCATGCATCACTTCTGTTTTCACTCGGAACACTCGACTTTTATTTTTTTTCCGAAAAGTTGAGTTTTGTTCCGTTATCAGAAAAAAACGTCTTTTATCATATAAAGTTACATTGTAAATGGCAGCGCCTAACTAGAACTGACACTGAAAATTTAATTTTAATTGATAGGTATAGAATTCTATATAATTTTTAATTGTTTTTTATTTGATTTTCTTTTTAAATATGATGTAGTCTATAGCCGGGAAAGCCAAAGCCTGGGCCCGCCAAGTTGGGACTTTGACAGTTTCCCTTTTAATTTAAACCCATCAGTGGCTACACATTTTATGTTTTCAATACACTTAGATCTACACACTTTCGGCTGCACTCAACATAACCACACACTATATACAGCCATTTCATGTTTTATATGATATCTAAAAAATCCATCTGCCAGAGAACATAGATGGCAGGGAACCATAATATTGTTCAAGTAATATGAAATCAGGCAAACCCTATGAATGGGGAAGTAGGTTAAAATCGTTCATTTCTTTTTTTCATTTTCCATTTTAAAAAATCCAATTCGGTATTTTATGCACTGCTAATTTTATTATGATTCCCATAGAATAAGAATGATATATATAGAATGATATCTGGAAGGGATAAAAAGAATCTTGACATTCGAGAATTCCTGATAATTTCAACTCTAACCGGAAAAAATAAATGTCAATGTAAAAAATCAAAAACAGCACCAGGGTATAAAATGTAAATCGCACCTTCAGGCATTGATTGGTAATCTGTCCATATTCTGGATGGAAGCAGATTAAGTATTGTGTTTCAGACTTTCAGTATTACTAATTGACTAATTGAGGCAACAGTTACATAGGACAAATGACCGCATCTTGTTTGCCAAATTATTCTGGCTTGAACTAAACATGCATCAACTCACTTTTTAAAAAATTTAACAATTCAATGATTCAGTCTTTTATTTGGCAGTAGATAGTACAGGCTACGTCACATAATGATACAAGTTACAAGGATGGTAAATTTACATGTATGAATGGGGGCATATAATAAAAGCCTTTGATTTTCATTGATTGTTGCGGCACTCAGCTGATTAAAGGTTTTAAAAATCATTTAAATTGGATCATTTAAAGCCTGTATGAGATGCAATAAGACAGTGTAAGAAATTTGGATTTGAATCCACTAGGCTGGTCGGACTACCAGATTCGAATATTCACTAGCCCAAAAGACATTTCACTAGCACGATTCATTTGTTCAAAACAGTTGTTTATAGTGCCTCTGAAAATACAGTAGCCTGGTCGGGCTTGTTACTGTAAAAAGTTGGTAACCCGAGGAGAAATTAGGTAGTCAGGGGCTATCGGACTACTGCTAATTTCGAACGCTGAATTAAGAGCATGTCTAATACATCTCTCTGTAATTTTTATTATTTCGTTACACAATTGATTTGTTTAGGAATAACAATTATACATTTACATGTATATCTATTCTTCAAAAATATGGATTAAAAAAATCAAAAACAGAAAATTTCTTGCATCTGTTTAAAAAAACCAACTATATTTGATGACTGACTGAGAAAAAATAAGTTGTCTTCTAATTTATGAATAGTCATTCTAGCATGTTTTCATATATAAGCTATACTTTTTTTATACAAAGAAATGACTTGTCAAGCACAAAAATAGCAGAACATGTTCTTTTCCCTTCTATCTTTTGATTTATTTGAATGTTGGGAAGACACCGAACTGTTGTTCCAAATATATGCAAACCAAAACTGTAATATAATATAAAGAAACTTTTATTGACTTATAATGATACAAGACATAAGTTATATATATGACTATATTCTTTTTTTTCTTTTTTTTTGTTAAAATAATATTGGTAATTAAAGCATGAATAAGATCATAAAAACACTTGTCATTTTGAGGGTACTTTGGGTTGTTTATACCAAATTTGCGAAACACGCATTGACAATGGTAACCATTACACACCGAAAGTGTAGGAATACTGTTTTATATTCATGGGTATGTACCTGAAGTTAAGTTTTAGTACTCATGAAAGAACTTTTTTCTATGTAAAACCAGTGAAAATATTGCTAACTTCAGTGTGTTCAGGTTTTCTGACATTTGAAGTTTTGAACTTGCATCTATGTATATATTCAAAGTGTTGATGTGCCTCAACAAATTTATGCTCATGTTGTTCAAAGTAAGAATTACCAATATTTTAAGTTAGAGTTTTAAATAACAGGATGAATGTGTATTACTAATAATATGAATTATGGTCAAATTTTGTTTATTTTGAACTAAAATAACTTAGTTATAAGGTTGACCTTTATAACTCTTTTTCATTAGTGGATTTTAGTTTATGGATTACATAGGCAATAAACAACTTTCTATTGGTCGCTTATATCATTGGCTGTAAACATTTTTGTCTTTTTCACCTGTACAATTTTAGTTCATTCTGTATTTGGTTGACAAGTAGATCACATGTTAGATTCTAATTTACCCTCCTCACTCGCCCTATTTGTGTGTTGTTTGTATATCTTATTGTACAATATTGTATTTTGTATATGTCATGTCATCTTAATGTGTATGAATATACAAAAGAGAAAGAACACCAAAACACTCGGTAATCTGATTAATACTCGGGGGCTACGCCCCCTCGTACAAATCAGATAACCTCGTGTTTCGGTGCTCTTTCTATTACATATTTGCTTGATTATGAATATTGCTATTGTAATGATTATTGGGTTATCATATGGATAGACAAATCCATTTGGATTGAGTTTCTTGATGAAACAAATTGTCTTATTTGTATTTTTTATATGAAAGTGAAACATGTGATCTCTGTTTACCTAATTATATTCTATCAAGATCTAAATTTCTCTTGTGTTTTCTTTTAAATGAAAATTATAATTTAACATTTTCTGCAAAGGGAGATAATTATTGAAATAAAGTGAAATATCATTCATGTCATTCATTCAATTGCATTTATATGGCCAGTGACCCTTCAGAATGTTGCTGGGGTTCTAACCGGTAGGGGACTTATGTATTGCTTGCAATACTATGATAATTGCTTGTTTATAATAATCTAAACTTTTGTGCTGATTCTGCTGAAAGAATTTGGAGCTACAATGAACATTAAATTTATTTTGATGTTTAAAAATAGCAAATTTTTTTATGGTGTTTTCTTTAGGACAGTGTTGAAATTAGGACATCCAACGATATGGTTTATTTTTAAAGCAAAGTTATGATCAATGATAATTAAAAAGCAGGTGTCAATAACTCATATAAATACATGTAATGTTTATATTAAGTTAATATTTTATTGTAGTGAACCACTACATACATTTTTTTTGTGAATGATACATCCATAGTTAAGGTTTACAACATACTGTTGAGTTATAGAAACCCTTAAAACATGCATGTAGTTTATAGAAACATTAAATAATTAATAATTTTCAACTTGATTTATAAAAAGATTTAAGTAACAAATGAATTGTGACTTGAAATTTGTGTTTATCATTAACATTTTCGACATGTCTAAATGTTACGTTGTTTTCTTATTTTCAGATATTCAGTGGCTTTAACCTTGAATCCCTTAAAGAACCTAGGGGTTTTATCAAACCAATCCAATGGGTAAGCATTTGATGTTTTGTGAAAATGTTTGTGAAATGTGTTTGATGGCTTGCATAAATTGCACATATATAAAAATGTGTAGTTAATATATATGGAGCAAAAATGTCAGTTCTTCAGGTAAATTTTAGCTCAGCCAAGATTTAGTTTTATAAAAGAGGACAGTTAAGGCTGCTTATTTCCTATAGTTAAATTTTACTATATGTTAGTTATTTCTTTATCAATAGTTCAACAGTGCTATTAACACCTCACTGAATTATTTACTGTGACCCTGTCAGCCTCCATCAGCAAAGCTGCGAAATCACCATAATGAGATGATATGCAGAGTGCAGGTTTGACCTTTATCAGGTCAAGGTCACTGTCACACTAAGTCATTTTGTATGAATTTCAAAATTTTGTTTTAACTCTGTATCTTTTAAACCAATTTAAAGAAATCAAAACTACTTGGCAGAAATATTACTTATAATGAGACAATGCAGCACACAGGTTTGAACTTCCTGAGATCAAAATTGGCCCTGCCCTGGGGATCACTTGATTTATTGACTTATTTAGGGAAAGACATTTTAGACTCATTGTGTGAAACTACAACTACAATTTTTAGTGAACATTTGAGACTTACTGTGTGAAACCACAATGCCAAGAAGTTAGATATTTGGCATGTAACATCACCTTATGGACCATTAGTGACTACATAACTGGTATTAATATGCCCACTGGCTCTGAGTGTAACTTACATTGTAGTTAATATCTATATAGACTTTCATAGGAAAATACTTGTGAAACTGCAAAGCCCAGATCTTTAATACTTGGCATGTAATATCATCTTGTGGACCAATACATAACTGGTGTTAATCATGCCCTTTGGGTCAGTATTGTCCTCGCCCCTGGGGTCACTTAGTTTATTGGCGTCCGCGCCGAAGCGCGGCGCCCTTATGGAATGAAATTAGATTTTGTGAAAGGGCGACAGCATTTTCTTGAGCCTTATAGTCGGTCATAATAAAAGCCGATCATTCCGATCCGTATGAGGGTGCTTGATTAAAAAAAATGTCTCGATATGTACAATGAATAGCGAACTGGAGAATTTCGCAATGCATGAAATAACCTTTTCCTTCTCTTCGTTTTTTTTTTATTTATCATTTTGTAGTACACAGTGGGTTTTTATGGTATGTTAAAATAGAATGATGAGTTGTATAGCTTTGTATTGGAAAACATGTTTTTAAAAGTCTTATTTTGTGAAACTACAATGTCTAGAGCTTAAATATTTGGCATATAGCATTGCCTTGTTGGACTGTACAAAACTGTATTAATCATGCCCCATGGGTCAATATTTGCAGCGCTCCACAGGAGTCACTTAGTTGATATAGTTTATTGTATAGGAAAACAAATTTAAAACTGCAATGTCTAGAGTATTTGTCATGTAGCCTTTCCTTGTGAATCTCTACAAAACTGATATTAATTTTTTACCATGCCCCTTGGGTCAATATTTGGTTTGCCCTGAGTGTGAATGATAATAGGCCATAACTGTCTTCTTGTTAAATGACAAGATAATTTTTATTTGTTGAAAAATTTCTTTACATTTTCTTTTTCTGCTTTGTCTCTGGCATGGTGGTAGGCCAAATAAGGCCACCATGGCCTGCTTGTTTTCACACTGTGACACAGCTAGTGTATTGTGCAAAAGATGACATTCTTGTATTATTTTATAAATAATGACATTAATTTATGTAAATATCCATGGAAACTAGACTACTGCATGTTTTTGTTGAATTTTCATAAACAATAATATAATGTTGAAGTTGTTCTGAATATTTCCGTTTGTATACTGATAATGACAAAATAGTCAGACAACCAAAGCTGTAATATTGCTTAATATAGACTCTGTCGACAGGTTATTATTTGTTTAATTACACAATACACCATTTATTATATGTTAAATGACACATTCAATAAACTGAACTCTTTTAAAGCCACACAAAGACTACCCTTAACCATCATTAATACTGCTTACTGTCTGAGATAAGAACGTACAGACAATCTGAAATACAAATCCAGCTTTTATGAGGCAATTCCAGTTTGATTAATACTGTAGAGATGTCAATGTCCATGGATAATGTAGCCAATATTGTGCTTTTTATGGCTACTTTATAGGATAGAAAAAAAACATCATTTTTGTATTTAGTTTTTTTTTTGGAACAAAAGTTGATTTTATATAAGTTCAATATTTATTTAGAGGCATGAGTACATTATACCTTGTAGAACTGCAGTTGAGCAGAAAATGTCTTCTTGTTATACTATTAGTGTAGCATTTGATACTATTTTGACAAAAATTTAGATTTACAAAAAAACAAAAACAATGGTTACCATTTTCAGAGAATTTTAGTTGCTTTTTTTACCTTATAAATCATACTTGATGACAGTCTCGGAACTGAACAGAAAAGAACTGCAGTTCACATACTACCACATTGATGTAGAATACTTAACATTTGAGCCGCGTCATGACAAAACCAACATAGTGAGGTTGCGACCAGCATGGATCCAGACCAGCCTGCACATCCGCGCAGTCTGATCAGGATCCATGCTGTTCGCTTACAAACCCTATTACAAGTAGAGAAATTGATAGCGAACAGCATGGATCCTGATCAGACTGCGCGGATGCGCAGGCTGGTCTGGATCCATGCTGGTCGCAAACCCACTATGTTGGTTTTGTCGTGACACAGCTCATTTGGTCCCTGGCGTTGCTTTGTTTTGAAGTTTGTAACACCTGAAGTAAGCCAAAATCATCTCTCCTGTTTCGGGGCCATATGACCTAAACTGTGCTGGTGGGCAGTAAAACCAAACACTCACCTTCAGCTTCAGCCAAATTTTTAACAATCTTGTTCATTGTGCTTATTTTTGTGTTGGGTTCATGATATGTTTCTTATAATTGACCTATAAACACATGGCTGTAATTATTTGCTGTAAAGTATTGGAGACTAACTACCAAGTAATTTTATTATCAAATTTCCACTAGATATTTGTCAGACTGGCCTGTGTCAAAGTGGTTATTTAATGTCAGCCTCTGGCAGATAAATGGCAAGATGTGGCGACTGGAATTATTTCTCTGCTAGGATAATAAATTTATCTTTAATGAATGGTGAGAAAACTGACACAGTTTTTTTTTTTAAGATAAAGTACAGTATACATGGTGTATCACTGAAGACTTTTGGCAAAAAAAAAAATGTTAAAGATAATATAAAACTTGAATTTTCATTAATACTATGAGAGTGAAATAAAAAGGCATTATATGTCTTGCATGTCAGACAGAATTATCTACTGTTTACACTGGTGCTAGAAAAACCTGTCTTACACCCACCTTGTGTAAGACAAGTTGCGTGCCTTAAATGACGTTGTTCCCACATGCTTTTTATCATGTTTTTGAATAAATTGGGTTCTTAGAATTTTGCCTTTATGAATGAATGAAGTTGTAAATTCATATGCTACTATGAAAAACGTTCTGCAATGAAAATATTAGTTTTAGTAATATAGTACATAAATATGATTTCCTTGTTATATGCAAGAAAAAGAATCATAAACCGGCTGCCGTAACAGACCGGAATATCTAGCTCTTGGGTATTTGTGTTTAGTGGAAACTTTGCAACCGTAAACAGTTACCCAAGAGCTAGATGATTCCAGTCTATACCGGCATCCGGTGTAAGATTCTTATAGTACAAAATGTTAGGTAGTCTATTAACCCAAATCCTGCAGAATTTCTTAAATGGACTTGTCCAGCTGTCAATTTTTTTAACAGTCCATTTCCAATTTTAGGGACATCAAAATGAACACTTGGAGTTTGTCAGCCAACAGTATAGAGTCTGGCCAGACTGCATGAAAGTAACTGGTGGCAATGGTCAATCACTGTTGGTTCCTGTGGGTTAAGGGTTAAGTCACTTAATGTCAAACACCCATTGTGGGCCAAATCCCTAAACATTATAAGCCTCCAACATTTACCCTAAGACTTAAAATAAAACGCAAATTGTTCCTTTTGTTATATTTCATTTTTCATTGACAAGTTCATTGTTTGGATTACACCTTACCACATCTAATATTCTTAATGAACATGTCTATCATTCAATAAGGATGAAACCATTCAAATTATTTTTTGGGAAAAGTTCAAATTAGATACTGATGAATAGCAAACAGTGCAAACCATAATCAGACAGCACAGGTAGAATCTTTTGTTGACAGCACGCTGAAAGTTAAATTGCAACACTGTGAGGAGAGGTATGTTCCCTCTGATCTGAGATGACCATTCGTGTTGTAGGGTTCAATAATTATAATAGTAAAATGACATACCGTATTATGGGTAGGGTTCAATAATTATAATAGTAAAATGACATATAATATTATGGGTTACAACATTTAATATATAAAAATTCAGGAACAGCCTTGATTTCTTTAGAATTAAACAGATGTGATTTTATTACTCCATTGAGAACATTTAGTGTTGTAAAATTTAAAAAGCGTGTCTAAATTGGACACGTAATTAGGATTGAAAGAGTAATTTAATTTTGATTAATTAAATTTGATCATTAAATAGAAAGTCATGTTCAGCATGAATAATTGAAGACCTTTAGCATGAAAGATGCTGAAAAAGTTTCTCACTCATTAAGATACATTCCTAATCATTCTAAATTTTGCAATTGACTGGTTCACTGCTTTGAATTTTAAACAGTCCATTTTTAGCTCGACTATTCGCAGAATAATCGAGCTAATGCAGTCACCCATTTGTCGGCGTCGGCGTCGGCGTCGGCGTCCCTGTGGTTAAGTTTTTGTATGTAAGCTGGTATCTCCATAACTACTGAAGGGAATGGATTGAAACTTCACACACTTGTTCTCTGTGATTATCTAAGATGATTGGCACAAGTCCCATAACTCTGATTTGCTTTTTTTCATAATTATGCCCCTTTTTCGACTTAGAAATTCTTGGTATAGTTTTTGTATGTAAGCTGGTATCTCCATAACTACTG